CTTGACACCGACAAGAGAATTGGACCACAGTAGTAGATGTAATTGTTTGGTTCCCACCGGAGAAGGCGCTGGCAACTCCGATGATGCCATTTTTCGTCTCCGCTATATTTTATTCTTTCCTTCTACCAGACTACCACGAAACGACCGGCGATAATTCCATTATTATTGTTGACTAGTGATCCTGAACCACGTTTCTCACAAAAGACTGATTTGTTGACGAGCATGAGTTAGCCGGCGACTCCACAGCGGCACCTTCGTTCATACGATGAACTATCGTGTTAAAGTTTATAAATCATAATTACCTACACACGGCTGAGGGGGACCACAACGGGAAGAAAAAGACTTTCGGACCACGTGGCAGATGATCTGCGCCCCAAAAATCAGATGTGACAAAATACGGAGGAGCACGGAAGATAGAAAATAATCTACAGTTTTAGTTAGCACCGACGTTCCCCGAAGTAGATGATGCCTTTTTGTGGACATTCGGGTTTACGGCCTAAATTCCGCTTGTTGGGCGCTGTCTAGGTACAATTGTACTTCCTGCGACATGGGGGCACGGAGGTGGATAGAATGCATATTTAAAATTGGTCGCACAGAGAAGGAGCTTACCATCCCTGTAACTAGTACTTAGCAGTGCTCGTCGGAGATGGCAGTGATAAATCCAGCGCCTACAATATGACTTGCAGCCACGGCAGTGGATTTCTCGGGTATCCATGTGGCATGAGAGAGATACTAATCCTTCCAGCGCATTAGTGCTTCCTCGGCTCTAGTATTCTGTGCTGGCTACATCGTCATCTATGTATCTGTCGGACCACCACTGGTGATCAATTTTTGGTTTAGGTCGCTGCATGCTAGCTGTAGTGCTTTCCGTCTTCCCTCTTCTTCCGGTCTAAAGGAAGTGATTGGGCAATGGCTCTCGACCCGGTGTTTCGTAGCTGCAGCATTTGCAGACTGACGGCCCTAGCGACAGGCCCAACAAATTTCTGGTCTCTTCTTAGGGGGCCACGATAACGGCCGCGATCGGAGGGAGCATATGGCCTGTCACACCCGATAACATTGAAGATGAGGGAGGGGCTGCTGCTGTGTAATCATCTATCGATCATGGCGGTGTACCACGTAGAGATGACAACTACGGAGTACTAACTGCAAATATCATACGTTCAAGCATACGGGGGATTTGCCTCCGCAAGTATGTATTTTATTGTCATAAGACCCAGCTCTTCGCTTCCAGCCAGATATGTCGCGTACGCTTCCGGTAATTTTAGATCTTTGAACCAAGGCACTTCGATTCTGCAGATTAACACCAAGCGGAAATGAAATGCTTGGCATTTTTACTTGAATATGGGAACGCTTTGAATGAAATTAAGGTGTTTATTGTTCCATTGTCATGTCAAGGTTAATCTTAACGAAGCACATGCATAAAATGACTGCATGCTATCTGTGGCTATTTCATGTTAGTTCACTAAACTTGCCTCGCTTCGAGACCTGATCGACTCGCTGATGCCTGCAGATCCACAAGAGCGGAGATAGCAGGAGTTAAACGGGCCATAGTGATCGTCGCGACACGCTGTCTCGGTCACCGATAGACTGGTCGGAGCTATTCCAGCTGGTCGCTCGCAACATAAGTAAAAGCCGAACACTAAAGAACACGAATGATCTAGATAGCATTGCTTATTCACCCTTGCAGCTCTAATTCGAAGACCGGTCATTCGGATATAGGATAATTCTCCGAGTCTCACATAGGCCCCTCCACCCCCAACAGCCCCGTAAACCGGTCTTCATTCCGCTCAATTGTGGGGGATGTGTGCCCATCCCGTCTGTGTTGACAAACTACCTGACCGGGGAGAAGAAAGCAAGTCGATCACTACTAGCATCAGACCAACCATCAACCGTCGACCACCTACAGGTAACAAGTATCCTGAAAACACTGTCTTGCAGTGACCAGAAGGACTTTTTCCGGCCGCGAGAGGTACGAGAACGAAACACTAAACGTTCTCATCTGCAACGGCAGAAGCGGGGTGACGAGCTAATCAGCTGGTGCCGCTAGAGCCGGCGGCGATCGAAACCGGTGACCGCCGTCTTGTTCTTCAGGAATTTGAATTTGATTCTGATTCTGATTATGGAATAGAAGCTATTGTGTCTGGCAGCTCAATGCAGAGTAACAATTATCCTAGTCAACACATGTTCCGCTTACCTGACCATGACGATGCTGTGCTCCGTCCGTTTCTCCCCGGGGCTGGATACACTGCAGAATAGGGCCTTGGCATGTTAGGCTCTGAAGGTACAGAACATCTCTCTTCCATACCAGCTCTCTAGCTTCCAAGCTAATGCAAGTTACCACGAGACAAGCAGAGCGAGATAGATCGCCGGATTATTCGTGGTCTATGAGATCCCATTTAGCCGTCCACGTACTCTATACATTAGAGTTTCTCGGAAGCCTGCGGCATTGATCATAATTCTTATGCCGTCGAATACAACTAAAATTGACTGATTGGCGGGTCATATTCTGGGGTATTGAAGGTATCTTGATCTGTGATTTACATGTGCATTGTTGTTATTGTAGTTGTTGATTCAATCCTCGATATGCATGGCCACTCCCGCCCCTGATGCCTAATCGAAAGGATTCTAAAAAGCAATCTCAACCATGTTTTCCCGGTCCCTTTAGTTGCGGAGTTTACGGCGATGGTCCGGTCCAGTTGTCAAGGGCTAGAACATGGTCTTTCTAGTATAGTTAGGATCAAGGTTTTCTACAACGCAGACTAGCTATACTATCTACGGCCTTCCATGTCAAGTACCCCTAGGATTGCCTTGAATCTGAAATTATCAACTCGTTTACTATTCAAAGCCATCCCGCCACCGGGCTGGGAGTTGACGGGAGCCGGAGTATGGATCTTCAGGCAGTATGTCCCTCGGTTGGATGGATTTACAACATTCGGGCTAGGCACCAGACATCCTAGAGGTCCGGATGCATGAGTATTCGCCACCGGAGGGTAGTTGCTTCATAAAAGGCAGCTAGGTTTCTATACCATGCGCAGCCGTGCAGAAATGTGGAGTTGCCGCGTTGTCTGCAGGTAGACAAGAGTAGTTACATTGTAGCCAATTTCTCTATACTCTGCCTTCGACATAGCCCCCCCTCCAACCCGAAGCTACTCTATTCAGTATAGTGGATAGCGTAATGCGACTGCCCGGGCTCCGTTTCCCTTCACGGAAGCACACTAAACACTGCCCCCACCCCCAAAACAATGACCTCAGGAAACATCACCCGCCCCACGGGCCACCCTAAGTTGCACTAGGTTGTTAGATGCATGTTACTTTGACGTTCGAGCACTAATCACTGTATGAGCCTGTGGCAAGACGGTAAGAAGGGAAAAGAGAATAACTTATGACTACGACATCAGACGATCTTGTCTGAACAAGCCGTAATTTGGTCTCTTTCCAGACACCAGTATTGTAGCATACCCTATCTACAGTACTTTGACTAGCCTCAAAAGTACTACGTACCACCCCACCACTCAAACCGAATCCCCATGAGCCATATTGCATAATTCGCATGGTACTCCAGCCATCGGGGTCCTGCATGCAGCGTAATATGCTCATACTGCTTGTTGCCATTACTCCCGCCTCCAGCCCATCAACCCACGAGATACCTCAAGGATAATAACACAATTTATTATTGTAAAGACCAAGTAATTCCTATGCAACTCTGCTCCCTCGCAGCAGCAGAGAACCCCCTGTGCATCAGCTCAGCCTCCCCACTTCCCATTTCGGGATAATAATAGGAGAAGCTACGACATGTCACTTTTGACACATGGTCTGGGCAGCACGCATGCATGTCGCGTGCACCCAGACCAATCAATAACATGGGTTATGCTGTGGCAAGGGGGTGTAGAGCATGTGTGTACTGTAAGGGTTCTGGGTACAGCTGTCGGTAAGTAGTCTTTTGGCTTTCCTTTTTTTTTGCTTTTTGTTGAGAATGCTGCATGGAAGACCCTGGCGGGTTTGGAAAGACGACTGCTTGCTTGGCCGTATATCACTTCCGGTGAGAAGGGGCAAGTATGGGGATGCTGGGAATTTTTGGATGGCTAGGATTTTCGTTTGATCTGTTTCTAGGTTTGGCTTTGCTGAATTTTGGAAACACATTTTGTCTTAGACTAGACTTGGAGTGTACATTACATGGTTTCTAGAAATAATCTCATGTTTGCTTCGTTGATATGTTTTTGTGAGGTTGTGGCACAGGATCGCGATGACCACGGCAACACCAAAAATGGACATGAGCATTCTAAATTATTCATTTCCCTCCTCGCCTTGCTTTGCCACCAGATACCAGACCATTCCCACCCACACTAACGGCAAGTTGCATAAGAGGCAAGACATCACTCGATCGACTCGATAGTGTCGTCATCAAAGCCGATCCTTGTAACAGTCATTCTTGACTAATAGCTCATCTCACAGCAAAGGATTGCCATTGTTGCCTCTTGACACAGTAAACAATGATAATCTGAGTTAAGCGTGCTGTGTTCATAGCTTAAACGAGGGCGGGGGAAGATGGCGTTCGGGAGTGTGAGTGGCTGCCACGCTTTTGTGACATATCATAGCGGGATCAGATCGGGATGAAACTTAAGCTAAACTTGATGGGATCCATGTTAGACTTGTGTTTAGTCCTCTTGGTCGTTGAACTAGTTAGAGTTAGGCTGATACCGGGGCTGTTTGTCTGTTTGTTTAGGCTGGATATACCATCATGAAGCGATTGGTGGGTCACTATACCGTTGTGGAAGCGAATGTTACATCAGAAAGAATCTTGGAAGACCTAGTATATGCTTTAACACCGACGACTCTATTCAAATGGTATCAAGAAGTTGAGATGAGGCCCGCTGCTCGCAGGTGGAATGATTATATCTCTCTAGCATGCAACATGCAGATACCAAACCCAACAGAACCAAGAAGAATAATGCACAGGGTAAAATGCAACCATAACCAATGCAAAACAGAACAGCACATTTTCACTCCCTCCACCACTGTCCCAAAGAACTCCCCGTACCAGCCATCTCAACAACCTCCTCAAAGCTAATCTCCACACGGAACATCTGTCCATCTGCAGTGCCATTGCCACTACCAACAGGCGTAACAAGGCCCCAAGTAACCAGCTTCTCCCAGGACTCCCTCGCCACGTCTCGACCCCAGACACGGCCAGGTGTAGCTGCCGCACCGGAGATCGACGCAGAAGTCTTTGCAGAGGTGAGTAGGCGTACGTACTCTGCGTACGCAGCGGGGAAGGAGAGGGCTAATGGAGCAATGCCAGCGTGGGCGCCGTCGTTGCTTGGGTCGAAGAGGGCAGCAAGGCGGGTGGCTGCTAGAAGGAGAGCGAGAGGGAGAGATGAGGGACTGAAGGATGCGGTCATGGAAGTTGAAAAAGGAAGGGGTGCTGGATCTGGGCAGGTGAGGGATTGCGAGGCGAAGCTTTTGGGTGTTGGGATTTGGAAGGTTGGCTTGTCGGCGGCTTGTGAGCTGAGGTGGAACTCGCTGATGGGGAGGAGAGCGCTCGTGAGGAATTCCTTTACGGATTTGGTTTGGTGGTAGATCTTCTTTAGGTGGAATTGGAAGTCCTTGTCGTTGCAAAGATTCTGGAGGAGGAACGAGTTACTTGACTAGCCTTTGGTAACGGATTAATCATTCATGCTTACCTGCAAGTATTCCTTCCATCCCTCGAGAAGCTTTTCCCAACCAGCGGTTTTTGTAATAGCATTCTCAGATCCAAGTCCCGCAGCAAGCTCCTCGACTTCATTTTCATCGAGATCCAAACTTGCCAGACAAATCTCCGAGAAAGTCTCGTATGTCTTGGGAAGCGGAATGTAGACATATCTATGACTGAAACGACTCTTGACACGCTTCTCCAGCATCTCAGTTACATCAACCTTGGTAGTGAGCCCGATGACAGCAATAGGCGCCTTTCGGGCTTGGGCGATATCAAACAGATTATACAGCAGAGTCTGTCGAGGATGCGTCACAAACAGATCAAACTCATCCAAAAGGATCACAACGGACTTGGCTGCGGTCACATTGTCCCCATTTCCGGCACCAAAGAGCTCTTCCGGATGTGATAACAGGGCCAGCAAGGTAGCCATAGTGTCGGCATAGGAGCTGACCTTTGCGGCGTCGTCTTCAGTGTGGGTCTCACGACCGAGCTGACGCCACATCTCTCGAAGAGCAAGACGGTCATCAGTGTGGAGGAAACCGTTCAGCCTCACTACGTGGAAGTCATTGCCGTGTTCCTTTGCGAGAGACAAGATGATCGTTTCCACGATCGCTGTCTTGCCAGATCCGCGTGCCCCGAGGAGAAGCATTGAGTTACCTTCGCCAACGGTGACAGTTTGCTCAATCAAGTGATTAACCTTTGTATACTCGCTTTCAAGCCCCTTGAGCGGGATTTGCCGTTTACCGGATAGCTTCTCGAGCAGTGCAGTCGTCAAAACACGGACTTCATCTTGCAGCCCAGACTGGCAGAGTGCTTGGAGCTTCTCTGCATAATTCGGGAGAGGCTCGGCTGTTTCCACAGCCTCTTGCGATTCCTCGTTGGTTTGGAGGCCTTGTTGCAGCTGCATTGCAACTAGGTCATCGAGGCCATCATTGTATCCCTCTAACGGGGAGGTCTCCCTATCACCTTCTCCGGCGGTATTCCCATTGGCGCCATTTGACCTAGGCTTGGCCGTACTCCTTCGGGACCTTGTCCTAGAAATTGTCCCAGTCGGCTTCGGAGACTGCTCATCCTCCATCTCCACATCCTCCACAGACTCTTGTCTCGGCTTTCGCGCGCTCCTCGTCCCTCGAGCACTTCGAGGTGTAGCAGCTGTCTTCCGCGTCGAGGACGGTGTCGGGGAGTCTTCGAGTCTCTGCGGTGCTTTACGCTGCCGTCTACTTGTCCGTGTACTCCTTGGTGTCTCGACATCTTCTTCCAAGCCGCCCGGCACGTTGCTCTTTCTAGCACGAGTGGACTGGCGTCGCGAGGCTTGTCGCCGGGGGCCGCGATAGTCCTGATCTTCGTCGGAGTCTGCCTCGGGCTCGGGGGATGACAGGGCCGAATTGACAACATCATCACTCTCCATGGTGATGTCTCCATCATCGTCATGCGCAGGTTTCTCGGAGACCCTCCTCCGCTTCGAGGCTCGGGGGTCGTTCATGGCTGGGCGTTGATCGGTCGTGCAGAGGTATTATCGGAGGATATAGTGAAAGGCAAAGGGCAAGAGGACTGTATGATAGGATCGGGGAGGTCTTCCGTATTTGCGACCGTTGCTCCGTTGAGTAGCGATTGGCGAACTCGTTAATTAGTGGTGTGCACCCAAGCTTGCGGCACCGGGCAGGGAGTGCTAATGGACGAAACACTCTGCGTTGCTTTTGAATTGGTGCAATGCGAATTTGGCGGTAGGACTATACAGCCTAGCAACAGAGTCCTTCTTCCTTGTACACCGCAGGGTTGCGACTTCAAGTGACAGGTTCAATCGCAGAATTGACAAGATTTGTTGGTGGTTTGGCACCAAATCGAGCATCTCCGGTTTTCGCGCCTCAGGCCACCATGCGTGACGCGAAGTCAGGTGCGCAAGGGGACACCAACAACCACCCTCGTTACATATTTGATAGAAGGGTCTTTGAAGTGAAATTCATGGTGATATTCAGGAGTTTGAAAATCAATTAACTTTTGCACTTTCGTTGCAAAAATGTGTTACGGTGTCGGCTCTAAACATGGCCACCGAAGCATTTCACCATACAATCGAGATAGAAAGAAATCTATACAAAAAGTCCAGGCTAGGGACGATCCTCTCATCAGAGCGGCATGTAAAAGCGGGCTTCGTCGATTCAATTAGGCCGAATGTCCAACCAGAAAGAAAGAAAGCCAGCCACGTCGGATCCGTATCTATCGGCTCCCCTCAGCCGAGGTTCAAGTCGACCCGACCTGGTGTGATGTGCCTGTGGGGAAGAGCTGCCAGCAACTTTCTGGAGAGTCACGACTTTCCCAAGTAAAGCCTCTGTGACATCCATATACCCTTCTTTTCGAACCTCAAGTCTTTCACAGCGTTCTTCTTCACACATACACACAATGTCGGACGAAGGAATCAGGCCGCCAGCGCGGAAGCTGGACGAGTTCGAGGAGCTCGTCTACGAGTATACGAATCGCATGGGCTTGGGCAACGAAGAGGTCCGTTGATAACTGCGCAGACCCTCAAGAGCAAGCGCACTCTTTCGCATCTCCCCTCGGATCTCAAGAAAACATCTGTGAGAACATGCAAGCTAACATCCTCCAGCACTGGGACGTCAACGCCCGGGACTGCAACCTCCGCTTCGAGTCTGCGACCCGCGGTCCCCCAGCCAAAGTCTCCTTCCTCCTCAACATCACCCCAGCACTGAGCAACTACATGGGAAATCTGCACGGCGGATGTGCGGCGACACTCATCGACGTCCTATCAACCACCATTCTTCTGGGCATTTCCGAGCCAGGCAAATTCTCATTTGGTGGTGTTAGCCGCAACCTCAAGGTGACGTATCTACGCCCTGTGCCGACGGGGATAGAGGCGCGCGTTGTATGTGAGGTTATCCATGTCGGTAAGCGGCTTGCGCTGCTAAGGGCGGAGATTCAAAAGGCGGATACTGGGGATGTATGTGTGGTTGGAGAACATGAGAAGGCGAATACGGATCCTGAAGTGAACCAGAGGATTTAGAGGTGTGGAGTGCCGAAGGGGGATAGATGCTGACATTATGTAGAAGGTATTGATAAGGAGGAGTATGTTGCGTTCATGGACTACAGCTGTATATAGAGATTACGGTCTATTTGCTCCTTTTTACCGTAGCCCCGATTTCTTTCCATGTACAATGTATTTGTTGGTAGTACGAATTGAATGATAGAGACAGGTATTGTGCGCTAGCTACAGCCTCTCGGTGTGATCGGAAAAAGAGCATATTGTGGGAAAGAGAAGAACAACAGAGAGCATCAAACATGTCCAAGAGAAATATAATCAGTCCAGCATCTAAGAAATGATACGTAGATCATCCCGTAGCATCTACTCCCTTTTCATCTACTCCTGAGCAAGCGACTGACCCTCCCGCAGACCCTCAACCTTCAGCTCCTCACCGGCGGCACGCTGGTACAGATCCCGAATGTCGTCTGAAAAGGTATTTGGTTAGCATACGAAGACCATGTAACGTAGGGAAGTCAGAAGACGTACAGGTGGTGGTCTCAAAGTGCGATGTGGAGTCGTAACTCTTGGAAATAAAGACATTGTCCTTCTCGCCGCTCTCCAGAGGCTCGTAAATGGGGATGGGAGGACCCATGAACTTCTCTTCGATGGCACCCAGGCGCTCAAAGCCAGGCTCGAGCTCCAGGTGGGGGTTGGCATCGTTCTCGGCAATTGTCGAGACGATGGCAATGTAGTAGCCCTTGGGGCAGACGTTGTGTGCAGAGGAGACCATGGCAATGTAGATATCTAACAAACATATAAGCGGTCGTTCAATCATTGGACTGACATGTCACTTACCGTGCTTGCGTCCAATCTGGGACTGGGGAATGATCAGCTGCAGCGAGTCACTGCCATCGGTCTTGTCGATGGGGTGCTTCAGGATACAGATGGCCTTGAGCAGGTAGCCGGTGACCTTGACCTTGTTGGGGAAGTAGGAAGGATCGGCGATAATCTTCTTGGTCTTGGTCTCGAACTTCATGGCCGCGGCCTGGTCATCACGATCCTTCATGGTGGCCTTGATACCGGAGACCTTGCCACTTTCGTCATACAGAACCTCATCGATGTCGGTGTTCAGCATGTAGGTACCACCGTAGATGGCAGAGAGACGAGCAAAGCCCTGGGGGAGCTCGCCCAGACCGTACAGAGGATAGATGTAAGGCGACTTGCCGTAGCGGGCCATGGAGTTGACGTAGAGGCGGATACGGTCGATAGTCTCGATGGCGGCGCCGGGCTTGTTGATGTACTCGTCCGAGGGGTAGAGGGCCATGGAGTGACCAACGAAATCACGGGTGTTATCCTCAAGGCCGAACTTGTCATACACCTCCTTCATGGTGCAGCTACCGATGTTGAGACCTAGTCCATGTTAGCCATCATTATCCTCACAAGTTCGCGGCTGGATATCGACGCACCCTGGTGAGACGCAGGGTTCTCCTTGTTGAATTCACCGACCCACTCCAGGAACTTCTTCGCACGGCGCTTTTCGAACAGACCCATCAGAGACGAGCGCAGAGCCTCGCCAGCGTCCGAAGGGACCTTGGCCACGGTCGCCTTGGCAGCCTTGCCTTGCTGCACATAGCTGCCCGCAATCTGCTTGAACTCAAGGTATCTCGTCACATCGGTAGAGACCAAAATGTTTGTCAACTCGCCGTTGGCCATCAGCAGCTTGGGAACCAAGTCGATGTTCCAGTCGTTGACTCGGCCATACTTCTTCCAGGGTTCCTCGCCAGCGGGGACGTTGCCGTACTTCTTGAAGAGCTGCAGAAGAGGTCAGCAGAGGGAAATACCACGATATCAAGTCGGCATACAGTCTCAATGTTGACGGAGGCAGCCTCTCTAAGCCGATTGTTAGCTGGTTTGGTACGTGGCGCTGGTGGGGAGCTCCATTGTCAACTCACCCTCCGTAGTGGTCATTGCGATCGATGTGCAGGACCTTGTTGCCCTTGACACTGAGAACACTATAGCAGAGAAGGAAAATCAGCATCCGGCCATTGCCATTGTATGTTTTCGGACTGTAGAGTGATACTTACCCAGACAGCACGCACTCGGTCAAGCCTGCGAGAGGAGGAGGTCAATCATGGGCGGGCAAGAATGGCGGGGTAGGCCAACCACTTACCAGTGCCGAGGACGACGACATCATACTCGGGCGCAATCTCATCCATGGTGGATACAAAAGGTAGACGGGGAAATACAGGTGATAGTAAAGAGGAAGGGGATATGCCAGAGGCAAAAGTGGAAGTGAGAAGGAAGGTTCTCCTGGTAGCTTGTCCCCGCGGATCCACGAAGCGGTAAGAAGAGAGACTATTTGACGGGGCCCGCCACTAGTGAGTTACCTCAGTGACCATTCCTTAATCTAGAGCTGCCCATAACGAGTATAAGGAGGGAAATGGTTGCCCCTATTCTTGCAATCAACAGATAAAAGTAGCAAAATTGGCATAATCCCTATTTATTGAATCTCTCGGGACGCAGCTCTGGCCCTGGATGAAGCAACTGCTCCTGGTCAGTGACCTTTCTGCCATCCACTCCGTCGAATATCTTCTTCGCCGTCTCAGAATATTCTAATTCAACATATCTTTCCAAGAATTCTAGCTTTTGTAATCTCCCCCGGGGTCATTTGCTGATAATCTACGACCTCACCGCTCGAGCTAAAACTGCGGTACACTCCATCATTAGCAAGGTGGGTGATGCCTTGGAGCGATGGTGAGTGCTTGAGGGGTGGCCAGGTCTTCGATGCCTCGTCGTCTTTCTTTTACGGTGTTAGCCACACATAGATGCAATCTGTGAGAAGTAGCCTTTACTATGCAAGACATGATTTGAGTGGTCTGCTTGTGTGATATGATGAAACTCTTGATTTGTATTGTATACAAGAGAGTCGAGTCGAAAGAGGGTACAGGCTGCTTTGGGAGGGGTGATGAGAGAAGCTGACTGATACTTATACCCCTTTCCAGCCTCTGAAAGCGCTTGGATACATTACTGTAATCACATTATTCGGTTGCTTGTTGTACTCCATAAAATAGGGGCATGAGGTGGATATCCCAAGCAAATGATATTCGATAATTTACACGCAACAAAGCTGATAAGGAAAAACAATCAAAGAACCTAATGCTACAATATATGTGCTAATGACCTTCTCCCAACCCGATTTGGCTTGGGCTGCCTCGGTCACAGCTTGGTCTCCTTCACAGCATCCTCCTTGAAGGGGTCCTCAGCGGGAGTCACCTCATCCAGAGTGGCCTCCTCCATGGTGTCCTGATCCTGTGGGCGGTATCCCTTGTTGTATAGGCGATTGGCTTCTTCCCAGGCGTAGAAGCGCTCACGGAGGACGTGCTTGATAGTCTTCTGGGTGACAACGATCTGAGAGAGGTACAATTGTTAGCAGATGGTTCAATGGAGAAGAATTGTCCAGGGAATATGGAGCGAGCTGGTGATCTCCGCCACTGGCCAAGAACCTGGATGCTGCTAGGGTTGCAGGACACCAAAAAGAGTATAGACATTGGACTTACCGCATCATCGCGCTGGTTGGACTCGTGGTCACCAAATCCAGCCTTCAGTCGTGACCGCTCCATGTTTGAGGTAGCAATGCGGTTGCGCTCCTTGACGCACACCCACCACAGCTTGTGAAGGTCTTCCCAGCTCTTGTTGCGCAGCTCTTGCACTGACCACGGCCGTCCTATTGAGAGGCAATGAGCGCTATTCGAATCGTATAGGAGTATATAAATGAACAATAGTTGCCCGTTACTTACCAAAGGCGGCATCGTACTCCGTGGTACTCAATGCCTCGTGTGAGGGTGGGAAGAAGCCCCAGAGGCCATGGTTGGGTGTCGGAGCCCGCGCCTTCATCTGGTCGGGCAACACGGGCTTGGGCAATGGGTATTTTGAGGCGCTCAAATTGAATCGTGTTCCAGTCCGGTGAATCGCAGAGACACCGCGGGTTCTGTTCATGTCGCGTCCACGGCCAGCGGCGACGGCGGGAGTCGTAGAGAAGCTCGAGGTCTGCACGGAGTACCGGGTCATCGAGAAATGGAGGGAGGGCGCCAGATAGGGAGGAGGCAATTCGGCCATTGCCATGCCTCCCTGTTGTGCCAAACGAGCGATTGCTGGCCGATGCATTGTGGATGTGTCGGTACAGGAAGTCGTCCAATCGTCCAGTCGTCGGGAAATGCTGTTTGCTATTTGGGGCTTTTTTTCGGGGCTCCTAGGCGGCTGGTCACGTGCACGCGCCTCGCGGCAAGTCGACGTTGCCCGCTTTCTCCAAAGTCTGGTGGCTCGTTCAACCAAAGACTTGCCCTGTACTCTTTCTGGCCTCAGAGATTTGATTTAATTTTATTCACCGAGCCTTGTTTACACACAAACAAAGTATCTGGAGTGGTCTCGCAACACTTCAAAATTGGTCTGTGCTTCCCCCCAAGCATCCGCGCGTCTAATCACCCAATCGATCCCACTCCACCTCCAGGCGGAGCAGTGCCGCATCAAGTGCGTTCGAGAAGGACTTGGTCGACTGCTATTTCTCCACACATTCCCTTGTGTTGTGAACTCCGACTGATTTTTGTCTCCGACTGGTCTCAGAGGCTCTCTCAAGTGACTTCACCTAAATCGTTACCACGAACATTAAGTATGAATCGGCCAGGTGTGTTATTTCTTCCTTGTTCATCCGAAGCGCCCATCCCACTTGCCCTCACCTCCAGAGAATGCCGGTGGCTATACCCAGCAGTCTTTCTTTGTTCGGAGCAACTCTGAAGAATGCGGTTGCATCCTTCAGAATCTAAAGACGGAGGAGCTTCATGCTGCAACGGTAGATAGGGTGCAGATAATTCCTGCATTTGCGCCCATTTGCGACCGAGACATATTGGGAGGGCCAGCGACACATTCTTGAGTTGAACCGAAGGACGGGTGCTTTGACTTGAGACAGCGAAGATCATGCTGACTCCTTGTGTTCTCTGTACCAGGACCAGGGCCGCAGCCGCTACGAGGCATGCCCGGATTCCCCGCGCAGCAACAATCACAAGCTCGAAATGCGACATTGGCCACAGCACGATTGCCTAACGGAAAACTCGGTATGATCTATTCACCCCTAGGCCCCTCCGAGGGGCATATGATATAACCAAGATCGCGGGCGGGTGCTGATCATTGTGGGTGGGCTATCATCTAGGTGGCGCAGCTAATTGGAACTTCAATCTCCCCGGAACATCCACTCTCCAAAGCAACCAGCAACGCACCATGGGCACAATGGGCAGCTTCGCGCAGAGTCTAGGTGGTTCTCAACCAGTAACGGCTCTAGATCTTTCGTAAGTCGTTGTCATTTTAGGCTCGGACTCGTTACTGCATGCGCTTTGCCGTCGACCGAGATCGTTCAAGGTTCATAAAGCTCGCGAGGACTGACAGTTGTGGCACTTCATAGTGAATTCCCCTCCCTTTCCGGCGCATCGCAACAATCACAATCCCAGAACCCTGTATGGGCCAACGCGAGTCAACGAGCTGCGCAACATACACCCGTCCAGAGACAACAGCACCCTCCGACGTCGCAACCCCCTTCACGAGCTTCACAGACTCAACAGCTTCCCGTGCAGCAACCTTCCCAGCCTCCCCACGATGACATGTTCCCTTCCGGTGCCCAGTTTGCGAACCGCCTGGACGATTTCAGGAACGGAGGACAAGGGATCAGTAGTCAGATCGGGGCTGGAAGCCAACCTCAAACAGGAAACATCGAAGAATTCCCACCTCTAGGACGCAATGTTGGAAACATTGGCAATGTTGCCGCCGAGCTGGCCCAAGAACGTCGGACTTCCTTGATGCAAGGTGCGGCCTTTGGCACTTACAATTCTGGTACGACCACCCACGCCCACCCTAGTGGTGTAGAGTATGGATTGAATAGTGACTTGAGTGGCTAACTATGATTGTTTAGGTATTGGAACATCACGGTCGCCGGTCAACCAAGGGCCTAATGGGGCGTTGGGGCAGGATAAAGAAGTAAGTAGTTTGACGATCGGGCTTGAGGCCCCGCACTCACCGACACTAACAACACAGGACCTGAACAACACCCTCATGTCGGGTCAGCGCAACTTCAGCGATCCGCAACAACAATTGCAACAGCGCCAACAGCAGGCAAATGAGGGTCAAGAAGCTTCTGCCGCTGCTCAAAGTGCGGAGCAACCGCCTCTCGCTCAGATGAGTGAGCTAGACCGGTTTGGACTCAGCGGGCTCCTACGCATGATTCACAGCGAAAGCCCCGACGTGGCCAGCCTTGCAGTCGGACAGGACCTGATGACGCTTGGTTTGGACTTGAATCAGCCCGAGTATGCGCTCTCGCCCTTTGCGTCTCTTCACAGTGAAATTTTCGCTAATCGTCCCATGTGCTAAAGGCCTCTTCACACTTCGTTCGCCTCGCCCTTTGTATCCTCCATGTCTGCCGTCCCCCTAGAACAGGATTTCTCCCTACCATCATGCTACAATGTCGCCAACATCCAGCCTCTCTCGTCAAGGATCCCTGGATTCAGCGACGAGACCCTCTTCTACATCTTCTACAGCATGCCGCGGGACATCATGCAGGAACTAGTGGCGGAGGAGTTGATGGGCCGCAAATGGCGTTACCACAAGCTTGAGCGATGCTGGTTGACCCGTGACGAGACATATCCCGGTCCTGTTGACGTGGAACGTGGCGTGAGTGAGCGTGGTGTGTACCTTCTATGGGATCACACTAGCTGGAAGAAGGTTCGGGTAAGTTTGCAGACCACGGGAAATACTTCGATCGGCTTTGTTTATTCCAGTTGCTAATCTATTCTCGAATTCTCTAGCGCGAATTTATCCTCCGATATGAAGATTTGGACAATCGGCTGGATAACCGCACTGTGAACCGCGCCGCAGTTGGGCAGGCGCATGCTTCATGATTTGATGTAGTGAAACTCGGTCGCTGTACTTGGAGATAGTAATTAAGTTGATCAGGAACGGCGTTTGGCATTTTAGTTTTCTGTAACGTTGCTCAAATGGGAGGCCGATAGTACAGTGTCGTTCGGGAAGTGGGCGTGTTGAATATCATCGGGGAATCTACATGGGGGTTACATGTGAACCATACGTCTTGCAAATCAATTGGTCTTGATAATCTTGCCAGCATTCTCATATTTCGTTATCTGTTTTCGCCGTAGACTCTCGTTGTTCGGTCCCATATCGAAATAAACTTGCGTAGAGTAACAGCCAGTGACAATTTAAAATCTAAACCAGCAAATAACTAAATACTTCGCACTCAATGCTGCCCTGATAGTGGTGATAATCTAACATGGCTTACGAGCCGTCGAGAGAATAGCAGTCCACTCCATGGGAATATCTCCCTCCTTTCCATAAGTGCTCACCAGGTACTTCTCCAGCGCCGGGCGGACCTTAGCCGTGTCTTCCTCACGCTGCTTCTCTGTCCAGAATACCTTGGATACCATCCCGAACATGAGCATGGTCATTTCCACAAAGTTCGGGACCTTGATCGACATGTTCGTGGTGACGGAGCGCACACTGATATCTTCGAAGCCGCGCTCCTGCAATTGAGATTGGATCCACGGCACAGAGTGCCATTTGCCAGTACCTAGGGCTTCGAGGAATTGGTGGGCTGTGGGGAAGGGCAGGTTCCCTGGGATTGTCTCGATGGCTTTTTGGGTGACGGATAACCAGCCAGCTTTCATTATATTAGCCTCTGCGTCATTATTGGGGTTCGGACAACTCACGCTCTATCCAGGTTGAGAGAGCAATGGTGCCTCCTGGCTGCAGGATCCGAGTGGTATCTATATGTATGGTCATAGTAAGTAGATGCACTTGGTTATTTCCCAGAAGATCTTTGGGAAGGTCATGCGTTTCACTAACCATCAAGAGCAGCTAACGAGTTAGGAAGTGCCATGAACACTGATCATGCAGAAAGTCATGTTAGACGTAAGACGAAAAAGGATATTATCTCAATTAGAGAATTCGAATATCTCTTACCAAAGGAAGCAATAACATGCGTAAAATGCGAGCTAGGAAGTCCAGAGTCCTGCGCATCCACCACCTTGACTTCAACATTCTGCCAATTCTCCTCTCCAATACGATGCTTGACATAGTCCAACATGCCTTGCGAGATATCTCCACAGGTCAACTTCAAGTTCTTTTTGACTTGATCATCCAGCTCCTGCTGCAGGATACTGGAGACAATACCAGTGCCGCAGGCATTGTCAAGCACCACCAGAGGCGTGTCAGGGTTGGCCTTGGAGTTGGCGACCAGACCACTTTGGTCGATGAGTCTTTTGGCGAACTGGCCCGTGATATGCTCGCCAGTTTTGTACTGGTTGACAAACTTGTCTTCCTTGAAGAAAGTCTCCCAGTCTCTTGCGTGGGATTCCATTGTAGATTGAGAAGCCATGGTGGGTTTAATTAACTGAGAAGAAAGTGCGTGTAGTCGACTTAGTGACATATATCTCTCACAAGTGGACTTGATTGAGAACCTGGTTGGACGAGGGAGGGATTTGAACATGAGTTGTGAGGGAGAATCGAGATTGAGAGCATGCTGAGAGCAGCCTTTTATAACTTTGTTTCATGGAATAGTACTCTATAGACTGGACTGATCACTTAGGTAGTTGGTTCGCTCGTATAAATTCAAAATGGGGAAAGGCTGCAGAAAGTATCCGACAATGTCTCCGCGACTAGGGGCCAAAAGGAACCTTATTGCTTGGGTAAGACGAGAAGCTCCAGTTTAGCGCCTAAAAATGCCCTCACAATAGCAAGAAGCCGAAGATCATTGGATAGCCTTGTCAGATTCGACTCTGTACGGTTGCAGCCGCAAGTACATTCGAAGAGAGTCTGCTAAGGGCACAGCTTGGCTATGGGTCAATCATAATTTGTGTCTCCACGGGTGGCCTGAGCCAAGAAAGTTAGACCCCAGAGTTTCAACCAGCTTAACTGGCTCTATACTTCTGCCAGGTAAGACGAACGGAGACTTTCATGCCAAATGTGACCGAAGGGACAGCTGACACACGTGACCTGGAGTGATTACATCACCCAGATGGCTCTAGGCCCGAACGGGCAATCCATAAACACATGATTTGCGGCAAAACAACTCGCGCCCCTCTTCTGCCCTCCCCGACTTTCGATGTACTCCGCCAGCGAGCCGACTCGCAGTCACCACTCACCACCATGCGGATTACCGAAATTGTGATAGACGTGAGTCGCCAAGGTGAATTGATTTGATCAACCTGATATGCTGACCAGAAATCCCCAGGGTTTTAAATCGTACGCCGTGCGAACGGTGATCTCGGGATGGTGCGCCGGCCTGGTCCTTCTGCCCATAGCATTGTTGCAAAGGGTATGGTGATTGGGCAACGCTAATATAATACTCTAGGGACGAAGCATTCAACTCGATCACCGGCCTCAACGGTTCCGGTAAATCCAACATCCTCGATGCCATTTGCTTTGTTCTCGGTATCACGAACATGAGCACCGTCCGCGCGCAGAACCTCCAAGACCTCATCTATAAGCGCGGACAAGCCGGCGTTACCAAGGCCAGTGTGACCATCGTCTTCGACAACCGCGATACGGCGAAGTCGCCCATCGGTTTCGAAGAGTACGCCAACATCTCCGTTACGCGTCAAATCGTGCTGGGCGGTACCAGCAAGTACCTAATCAATGGCCACCGCGCACAGCAGCAGACGGTTCAGAACCTCTTCCAGAGTGTCCAGCTGAATATCAACAACCCCAACTTCCTCATCATGCAGGGTCGCATTACCAAGGTCCTGAACATGAAGGCGGTTGAAATTCTGTCGATGATCGAGGAAGCTGCAGGAACACGAATGTTCGAGGATCGGAGGGAGAAGGCGATTAAGACAATGGGCAAGAAGGAATTGAAGCTCCGCGAGATCGAGGAGCTATTGAAGGAGGAGATTGAGCCTAAGCTCGAGAAGCTCCGATCCGAGAAGCGTGCTTTCCTGGACTTCCAGCAGACGCAGAACGACCTCGAGCGCTTGACTCGTCTTGTGGTTGCGCACGACTATGTACGCGGTGGAGAGCGCTTGCGGGTGGCAGGCGAGGAGTGCGATAACAAGAGGAATAAGGTCCAGGCGCTGGAAGAGAACGCCGACAGGCTGAAGAATGAAATTGCGCACTTGGAAGAGGATGTGAAGCGGGTCCGGGCAGCGCGCGACAAGGAGCTCCGAAAGGGTGGCAAGTTCCAAGCGCTCGAGGATGAGGTCAAGAACCACTCCCACGAGCTGGTCCGTTTGACCACTGTCTTCGATTTGAAGAATGCTAGCATGGAAGAGGAAAAAGAGAAGAAGACAGCCATCCAAAAGTCCGTCAGGGATCTTGAGAAGTCCTTGAAAGAAAAGAGGAAGGTCTACGATAAGCTGCAGGCTCAATACGATGCTGCCAAGGCGGAGCTTGATGCGCAAAATGTGGAAGTGGAGCAGAAGGAGGAACTGCTCCAAACACTACAGACTGGTGTTGCGTCAAAGGAAGGTCAAGAGAGCGGCTACCAGGGCCAATTACAAGACGCACGAAACCGAGCCAGCAACGCCGCCACGGTACAAGAACAAGCGAAACTCAAGATTAGCAACTTCGAGAAGCGGATCAAGGAGGAGGAACCACGCGCCAAGAAAGCGAAGGAGCAGAACTCGGGCCTTCTCAAGGATCTGGAGGGGTTGAAATCACAAGCCAAGAAGCTGGAGTCTGAGCTCACTCGACTCGGGTTTGAGCCTGGCAAGGAGGAGCAGATCTACCAGGAGCAGTCCGGCCTCCAGCGAGACATCCGCGAGCTCCGTCAGCGAGCCGATGGATTGAGGAGGAAAGTTGCAAACATTGATTTCAACTATCAGGATCCTCATCCCAGATTTGATCGCTCCAAGGTCAAGGGTCTGGTCGCTCAGCTGTTCACCCTGAACAAAGATCAAGTTGCGGCAGCCACTGCTTTGGAGATTTGCGCCGGTGGCCGCCTATATAACGTAGTGGTTGATACCGCTGAGACCGGTACCCAGCTGCTTCAGAACGGCAAGCTGCGCAAGCGCGTTACCATCATTCCTCTGAACAAGATCTCCGCCTTCAAGGCATCCGCAGAGAAGATCGGAGCTGCTCAGAATCTCGCACCCGGGAAGGTGGACCTCGCCCTATCTTTGATCGGATACGACGAGGAAGTGATTTCAGCGATGAACTACGTCTTTGGAAACACCCTCATCTGCCACGATGCCGACACTGCCAAGAAGGTGACCTTTGATCCTTCCGTTCGGATGAAGAGCGTTACATTGGATGGTGATGTCTACGATCCTTCAGGAACACTTTCCGGTGGTAGCTCTCCGAACTCTAGCGGAGTGCTGGTCACCTTGCAGAAGCTCAACGAGATCACTAAGGAGATGCGAAGCAAGGAGCGTCAACTTGCTGCTCTTGAGGACAACATGAACAAGGAGAAGAAGAAGCTGGATGCTGTTCGGTCCATTAAGCAGGAGTTGGATCTCAAGTCCCATGAGATCAAGCTCACCGAAGAGCAAATTAACAGCAACTCCTCTTCATCGGTACGTGTCCAGCAATTGAGTGTCCAACGCGCTTTTATTAACTTGGTATACCGTCTAGATCATCCAAGCTGTCGAGGAGATGAAGGCGAATATCGAGCAACTGAAGAAGGATATTACAGATGCCAAGGCTCGCCATGCCGAAGCAAACAAGGATATCAAGCGTATCGAGAAGGATATGAGCGAATTCAATAACAACAAGGACAACAAGTTGGCTGAACTACAGGATTCCCTAAACGCCCTCAAGAAGAGTCTTACGAAGAACTCTGCGTCTGTCAAGGAGCTTCAGAAGGAACTGCAATCATCCCGACTCGACTCCGAGCAGGTTGGTAGTGACCTCTCTGCAGCAGAGGAGCAGCTGGGCGAGTCAGAAAACACGCTTCAAGCTCAAGTGGAAGAAATCGAGTCTCTGAAGCGTGAACAGGCGCGACTCAAGGTATTTTTCTTTCCATCATTCCCACCCGGTTCATGAGCATCAGACTGATTGTTATAGGATGCCCACGACATTGCACAAGCCCACCTTGAAGACGAGAGGGCCAAGTTGACTGGCTTCGATGAGGAATTGCGCGAGCTAGACCAGGCCATTCATGCCAAGTCTTCGCAGATCACAGAAGAGGGCTTGGAAATGCAAAAGCTTGGCCATCAGCTCGAAAAACTTCAGAAGGACCAGCATACGGCTGCCCAGGCTGTGTCCCACATGGAGCAAGAGCACGAGTGGATTGCAGACGAGAAGGAGCAATTCGGTCGCCCGAACACGCCGTACCACTTCCAGAACCAGAACATCGCCGAGTGCAAGTCAACGCTGCGCAACTTGACGGAACGGTCTCAAGGCATGAAGAAGAAGATCAACCCCAAGGTCATGAATATGATTGATAGTGTCGAGAAGAAAGAAGCCGCCTTGAAGAACATGATGAGAACGGTCATCCGCGATAAGAGCAAGATCGAGGAGACTATCCTCAACCTCAATGAGTACAAGAAGGAGGCTCTCCACAAGACCTGGGTTAAGGTCAATGGAGATTTTGGTCAGATCTTCAACGAGCTGCTGCCCGGCAGTTTCGCCAAGCTCGACCCCCCAGAGGGCAAGGATATCACAGATGGTCTGGAGGTTAAGGTGTCTCTGGGCAAGGTTTGGAAGCAGAGTTTGACGGAACTGAGTGGTGGACAACGGTATGCTTCTGCCTCATCTCATTGTCGTCTGATATGTGCTAACTCTTTCATGAACTATAGCTCTCTTATCGCTCTGTCTCTTATCATGGCCCTCCTGCAATTCAAGCCCGCTCCGATGTACATTCTTGACGAGGTTGATGCCGCTCTGGATTTGTCTCACACCCAGAACATTGGACGACTGATCAAGACCCGTTTCAAGGGATCTCAGTTCATTGTTGTCTCTCTCAAGGACGGCATGTTCCAGAATGCTAACCGGATTTTCCGTACCCGGTTCAGCGAGGGTACCAGTATCGTCCAGGCCCTAACACCCGCCGACATGAAATGAGTTCAATGATCTTTGCTTGCTAACAACGAGTTTCATGGTCTCTGTTGTGTTTTTTGATTCATGGAGATAATTCGGTGCGAAGCATTGCTTTCTGCAGCCCATTGGTGTGTGGCAGCTGGTGTTTTGTGGCTTTTGATTCATACTTGGTTTGGTCTTTGGATGGGAATGGATCTGTTGTTTGGCTTATGATGTATGCATGTGGTGGCTATTGACTCGGGAAGCTTTCATTAGAGAGTGCGTTTGTGTATTCATGTAAATTCTATTTTCCTGCTCCTCTTTGGATATTCTCGTTACTCCTATCCTATTCTACAGCTAAGGTATCTACCTTCTAGCTCCTCTGTTGTCATTGTATAGTTCCGGCCTTTAGTACAGTCAGGCGGTAACACTGCTGCACCGCGAAACCTCTTCTGTACAGAAGGGTTGAAAAGATCATCCGATAAGTAGAGTGCAGCATTGGTATGAAGGCACTCGAAAATTAAGAATCATCCTTATCCTGATCCTGAGGTCCACACATACTCTCACGTTGCCCTCTTCCGTCTTGCCTTAGGCACTTATCGGCACGTGCTGGCGGTCCTCAACCCGAAACTCCGTCACTCCGTCCGTCGCCGCCGCCACCGATCGACCAACTTGCGCCAGCACCGCCGACCCTCGCAACACTCCCGACGCGCTTCAATAGCCCACCAAGATACAAACCGCTAATCGCTTCACGACATTCTATGCACACGCTCTTCCACTCATCCCACACGACCTCCTGCCCGTCTCGGAACCACTCCGCTTTTACGACCCGAACTTAGGCTTCGGCTACCCGCTTGACTCAATTCCGATTCATACAACACCATAGTCCGCATTTCCGCGGCTCCAAGGCATAATGCAGGAAGACGAGCCGTCGTTGAATATCCCGTCGCTCCTCACGCTAGCGGTTGTTTCGTTCTTCGTGCTACGATGGTTCTTTAACCGCGATGAGGGTTCTTCGGCTGGCGGCAGGCCCCGCGGGCGAGGAAATGTTGTTGATCCGGCGCAGGTTGAACAGATCTCCCAGATGTTCCCACAGCTGAGCACTCGCGATATTATGTGGGACTTGCAGCGCAATGGGGGTAGTGTTGCGGCGACGACGGAGAGGATCTTGACTGGCCGGGGACTGGAAACGGTAAGTTGTTGTTATCGTCAACACTCTTAGCATTTCGTCATCGCACCTTGAGATTCAGACATACCGCCCAGAGTATGATGCGATCCTATTCTTGTTCATTTATACTGACTATCATTCTCTAGCCACCCCCGTCATTCCAGCCCCAGATCGTCCTTCCCTCGGCGAATGCGCAACCCACCCAGGCCACGCGAGCCGCATCGGCGTCCAAGGGCGGTGGCCAGGACTTGATCTCCCGGTATAATTTAAGCGGAAAGATCGCAGCCGATAGCAACACAGAGCAGCCTCCTACCCCAGCATCCACGAGCGCATGGTCTCAAAACAAAGAGGAGCGCCAACGGCTGCTACAGAAGCGTCGGGATGAGATGATTCTGGCCGCGCGGAGGAAGATGGTCCAGAAGGACCAGGGAAACACCCAATGATTCAGCTGTTTTCTTCGATTTAAATAATGGCGGTGTCTACCTTGTGCGATGAGCCACGGCTTAGCTTAGGGCTGGTTGTATATCAGGACATCTTCTCTACCAAGTTCAGTTCCTGCTCATGTTCCCGTCTCATCACTACGGTCTTATCATTACCCACTCTCGTTTTGTATTAGAGCGCCTTGTCTTTGCATGCTGTATGGTGTTAGGTAAATCGGAACAGCCTTGGTTACATTACCTCCGATCCTTGTCAGATCACGTCAAATCGGGTATATGGGTCTATATACATAAATATCGTTTCTCGAGGGGCATTGATCCGCGTCACAGTATGCACCTGAACTCCAATCCAAATAGCCAAACACAAATCCCATGCATTTTAAAACTCCATATAATCTTCTTCCTCCTCGTCTTGGGTTCCATCGTAGCCACCGTTGGCTCTTTGTTCGGCCAGTTGTTCTCGGCGAGCTTGTTCTTTGGATGCGCCAATTTTGCTACACAAGTTAGTGAGATCGCGCCAAATGATATGATCCGTATTACATACCGAAGACCATCTACCACACCGGTCAAGAACCCTCGCTCTTCGCCCAATTCCATTGCACCAACACCCGTCAGCGCAACTCCGCCTCCGCCTATCGCAGCATCGTCAAGCACATCCACTCCGGATCTCATCTTGGCCATCCGCACTTCACGCAGGTCTTTTAGTAACCGTCGGATCTGATCCGGGTCTACTAAGTCGTCGCTCGCCGCGTCGAGCAGCATGTTTCCAACCTCAACCCAATGGTATGGCAACGCAGGCGGATCTCGTGAGGAAACCGCTGTCTGCGCAGTATTCTGAGGGATGAAAGGCGGCGCCGCGTAATATCTATTGCCGTCTAATGTATACTGCGGCCGCGCAGTTGGCTCGAGACCTTGATCTCGAACACCGGGCTGACCGGGCAGCGGCGGAGGCGGAGAGAAGGCACTCTTGTAGTCTTGATGTGAGGACTCGACTTCGAGGATTAAACTGAGAGAATCTGGGTGTAGCCATGAAGGGGGTATGATATTGGCGCGGCGCTGGCGTTTAAGTAGGAGGGCCAGCCAGAGGGGGAGGGAGGCGCGTCGCGGTGGTACAAGAGGTTCAACTGGGCCCTGGATGAAGGACAAAAAGGTCAATTCGTATATTCTGTGTATGCAGAGAAAGATTGCAAGTTACCCCGAGCAATTCTAGGCCCTCCAGGCGCTGGCGAGGTACAACCGTCACCGTCTCCATCTCCGCCAGAAAGGCGATCTCCGAGGCTGTGATGCCCCGCGGGAGAGGAAAGGCCATGATATTTGGAGGCACGCAAAAGCAAGTTTCAATCCAAATCAATCACAATGAGCAAACCACAATCAAATTGATATTCGCCGTCATAGTCCCATGTTTATTTTTGCTGCGCTCTGGTGGCGGCGGAGGCGCGAGATGCGCGAAATCGCGCCTCGACGATTTCCAAATGCGGTGTTTGGATTGTTTGCACCCGAAGCTTAGCTTCCAACCCACCTTGTCCTCTTCCATTTAAGCACAGCTTTCTTTCCACTCCTTTGTACTTCGTCTGATTCGACCCTGGAAGCTATGAGAAGATGAGTTCCGCCCCTGAGTCGAATCTCAGTCGCGCGGCGCGCTACGCCGTGCCATTCGCTCTACTTCTCATCCCCGTTTGGAGGACGAAAGTCAATGCCGAAGTCCCCGAGCCATACCTCGATGAAGTGTTCCACATCCCCCAGGCCCAAGCCTACTGGGCGCACAAGTGGACGCAATGGGATCCAAAATTGACCACTCCCCCGGGATTATACTTGTGGTCGTATGCTCTCTGTGCTATCCTGCTTGCACTCCGCGGCTCGCCGACGAAACTCGATACCGAAGCTTTGCGTACGACTAATGTCGCGACAACGGGTATTTTCTTCCCTTGGAGGCTTCAGACTCTTTCGGATGCGGTTCATAAAGTCCGGAATACTCGTCCATTGGGTGCGTGGCTTAGCCACACCGTCTTGAATATCTGCCTGTTCCCTCCGTTGTTCTTCTTCTCCGGGTTATACTATACCGACATCCTGGCGCTGTTGGCGGTTGTTGAGGCATATAATTGGGATCTGAAGCGGGCTTCTGGAGATGGCTACATCTTTTTCTCTACGTTGGGATTTCTGGTGTTTGGCTTGGCGGCATTGGTATGCCGGCAGACGAACATCTTCTGGGTCTCTGTTTTCTTGGGAGGGCTGCAGATTGTTCGAAAGATACAGAAATCTGCAAAGGTCTGCGAATCATCTGATTTCACTGCAATTGTGAAGGGTGGTCTACAAAATGAGATTTATGACCCGCTCGTCTCTGAGGCTTCATTGCAAGGTATGTCGGAATTCATCGATGAGGTGATTCAATCTAACGCATATTATTTAGATTATCTCAAGACGAGTATTTCTCTCGCAACTGCGAGCTTGATGAATCCCTTCTCAATTGTGGCCTCCGTAATCCCTCACATCATTATTCTCGGTGCATTCGGTGCGTTTGTGCTGTGGAATGATGGCGTAGTCCTTGGTAAGCCTATCAAGACGTCATGTCTAGATTTTGAAATTGAAAAGCTAACGATCCATGTAACAGGCCACAAAGAATTCCATACTGCTGGCATTCATCTAGCACAAATGCTCTATATCTGGCCTTACTTCTTCTTCTTCTCTTGGCCGATCCTAATCATTCCCGTGCTGAACGTTCTTCTCCCCAAGAAGCTTCTGCCTAAGTATCTGAACTATGGCTTCCCTGAAAAACAGCGAAGAATGCCCAGTATCCTTGCAGCTTTGATCGTTGTACCACTCATGCTTGCTATTGTCCACTTCAACACCATTGTGCATCCTTTCTCTTTGGCTGACAACCGACACTATGTCTTTTATGTCTTCCGCCTCCTTCTTGGTATCCATCCTGCCATCAAGTATGCCGCAGTCACGGCATACTTCCTGTGTGGCTGGGCAGCGATCTCTGCATTTGGATTCTCTGTCATTCCGGCTCCGCCTTGTCTCCTTCAAATTTCCCCTACCGCCAAACAAGCCACTCCCGCCCCCAAAGCCCCTGCAAAGGAACAACCCAAAGACGCCAAAAAGTCAGCTAGAGCGCGCAAGACTCCAGCCAAAAAGGAAATCAAGCAGCAAAACCAGCCTGATCCCATTACCCCGGAAGTACTTCTCCGAATTCAACAGTCTCTCATCCAACGGCGAAAGGAGCAACCCGAGGTGCCACGGGTCAGTTTCGTCCTTGTATGGCTCGCTGCTACGACCTTGTCTCTCGTGACAGCGCCTCTCGTTGAGCCACGGTACTTTATTATCCCGTGGGTGATGTGGCGCCTCCACCTACCGCCATCGTCAACTCTGGCGGCGTTCAGACAACGGAAACCGCAGAGCGAAGAAGAGAGAGCCCGTGCCGATTTCATTACAAACTTCCCTAAGTTCTTGGAGACAATCTGGTTCGTTATTGTCAATGCAGTGACTGGGTATGTCTTCTTGTATAAGGGCTTTGAGTGGCCCCAGGAACCTGGCAAGGTTCAGCGCTTCATGTGGTGATCTTCACGGAGAGTTAGCTTAGGTTGCCCAAACGAGGCATCTGTATATTAATTGATAAAATGATTGATTTTATGACGTAACCCCTTCTTACTGTAGGCTTGGTAAATCCCGTTGTAAACGTCAAATCTTTCCACTCACTACTCTTTTCCCCCTTCTCTCATATTCCGCTCCACAAAATGTCGCCTCCAAGCTCCTGGTTCACCGAAGGTCATATGCGCCAAGCCATCCAGGTGGGCAAAGTTATCAGCCTTTCCCACCCAAAGCCAAGCAAGTGGAGGATCCTCGAAGTCCTTGGTGAACACGACTGGCAAAAGTACGAAACTGCCAGATATCCCTCTTACGTCGCTGTCCAACTATCGTGTATTGAGGTCGGAGGCTCTGGAAGACGTTCGATGATGCGCATCGTTATGCAAGTCCCGTATCTCGGAACAGAAGATAAGGACAAGGACTCGGCTACACGGGCAAAGCAAGCGACGAAATTCAGGTCAGCGGAATTTCGCGCATTTTTGACCTTCGAAAAACAACATTCAACATGCACACCTCCCCTCCTTGGCTATCTTGAGGACCAACAGGACCGCTTTGGGCCAGTTCCTGGCGGCTTCATCACATACTATGCTTGGGAGGCTGTGCCTGGAATACGCCTTGGCGATTACACTGGGAAGGCTCCTCAGTTCTGGACCTTAGACAAGAAGGAGCGAGAGGAAATTCGTGTTGCTTTTCGGCAGATCTACTTGTGAGTGGATGATATAGACTTGATAGTATATTACTAACGAAATCTAGTGAAATTACATCAATGGGTATCTGGCCGGATTCTGCTGCCGCTGCGAATCTAGTGTGGAACTCGGAGACTAAATCCCTGTAAGTATACAACGTCTAATATCCATGAGATTATAGAGAGCGGGCTAATACTCTTTGTAGTACCTGGGTAGGGTTCTGGAATTGTAGGGCCGCCCAGCCACAGCCCTGGAAAGATTGGCTATTACCACGCTTTGATTTCGTCAAATCCGATAAGTCATGGACCGATCCAGATTGGAATGGCGATACTTCTAAGTGGGAATACTAGTTCCTACTAGCTATCATATGGCTTAAGAAAAATAGCTCTTCAGAAAATGCGGTCTTGGCTTGTCACCTTCTACACTTAGCTATTTAAATGGAATCAACTTTTGATCGAGAATCAGAAGGACAATATGTTAACGACAAAGTAACAACTCCAATCAGCTCTGTCAACTATAGATGATTGTTTCCAATCAGTTTCAATGATTCTGAGCCTCGAGAATGGCCAGCCGTACGCTGAAGCGATTGGTGAAGTGCTCTACGTGGCATCATTTGTGTCATCGTGTTACGATATAATGCTCACTGTTCGGATCAGAGCGCTCAGAGACGTGATCAAAACTACTCAGTGAGCAAAAGCCGGTATGTCATAGGAGTTTCATATCAAGCTAATCACGGTGTTCTCAAATGGCCCAGTCCCAAGAATATCAAGCCTGCCACTCCATGAGTACAGAAACAGAGATATAATGATATGACAGGGTGGATTAGGTGAAAGATGGAAGCCATTTTAGAATTGCGGGAATGTGAGCTTTCTAATGATACTAAACTCATTCCATTACAGTCGTTGTGGTGCTTTACGTGTTGGTCATAATTTGACTTATTCCTAACATACCCCCATTGTCTCGACACCATGGCCGCCATGACACATTTGTCAATTATTACACAACTATGGAGTACATCGATGGCAGGGTCAATCGCAGAAATGGAAACAAAAGGAGTGGGGATATGATGATTGATATTGATGATGATTCCAAAGAAAGAAGAAAGAAAACACAGGAATGAAGGATCTCGAGGATGTTGAAATACCCTGAGATGACATGATCACAGATGTGACTCAGATGTTGCAATTCCGAGTGGTGTGATAATAACAACGGTACATGTAGATATCATACAAAAGTGTCGTAGTGCTGGTGTACAATACGCAATTGGTATGAAAAGTCACGAATGTGCAGGTACCAATATCTGCGTATTTGGTTGACATAATATGACGTTTGGTGAAGTATAGATGGGGTTTGTTGGTCAGTACATATCAACGGCAAGACATTTATTCTTGCTCGCAACATCATCCGTTCCAGTACCCCCCACAATGTACGCTTTTTTCTGGCCAACAACTTTCTTCAAATAATCAATCGCGGCCTGGTTCGGCCCGGCCGCCCAATTTCCGACGGTCGTCGCGATCGCCTTGGTGCCATTTGGCTTCTTGGCGCAGGCTGCCGCAGGTGCATCCTTCAGGACATCATTGGCGAACCCGTTCTTGCGATTGGTGCCATCAGTCGATGCAATCGTTGCCGCACCATCACAACCTTGCTCAAGGGAGATGTCGCCGTGTGCGGCGCCATCGTTGGATGCGCTGATCTGGAATTCGACCCAAGTGGCAGGGAGCTCTGTGCCACGCTGGACACGGCCCTTGAATGTCGTTGGCAACGGAATGTGGGATTTAGCTCCAGCCGCAAGCGTGACGTTTTTCATAGGCTTATCGAAATTAGCGCCGGCGGTGCCGTTGCCGTTCCAGTAGTTGCCGTAGAAGAAATACGTGCATTCTTGCTTGGATTTGTTGGTGAGGATGATGCCTGGTCCGTTGGCTGGTGGCGCTGGTGGCGCTGCTGCAACCTGAACTCGCTGGACTTCGAATGCGGCCACACGGCTCTCCCGCTTCGGTGAAGCCAAATCTGGTAGCTATGTTAGTGCGGGATAAACATACTTCTAGGTCGAGACTCTCATCCTACCTGGAGATGCATCTCCGTCGTTATAGGTGATTAGGATATCTTTGTTACCATGCCCGGCGGAGCTTTGGGCGTTATCATCGGGATTTCCAGGATTGCCATTCCAGGCACCAACTCCAACGTAGGCTTTGCCGTTAGCAAAGGTGCGAACGAGTTTCTCGAGCTCAGGGCTATCCTTGATAGGACCAATCCGAGTGACCTTGCCCTGGCCGTTTGTAAAGACAAAGCCCTTGAGCTTGTTTCGAGTATCCTGGGATGCTTTGTGCCAGGCTGCGTTCATGTCCTGCATGAAGTGGGGATCTCCTTTAAGAGTTGACTGGTCTCCAACTTGCATGGCAGTGATGTTACCACCAGCTCCGACGATGTTGCTCACATCAAAGAAATCATTACCTGAATTTTTTTGTTTTTCAGCTCCAGCTAGGCACCGGGATTCAATATTGAACATGACATACCACCATATCCATTCTTAGTAATTTCGACTTGTTCGCCCTCGTGGCCCTCATGGAGCGCGATAATTGCTCCCGAGCTTCCGTCTGGAGCCGGAATCTTAGAGGTTTGCCCAGCCTTGACCGTGATGTTCTGATTATTGGCCCATCCGTGGACCTCAAAGGTCTGGTCGTGGCCAGACTTATTATGGATGTTGATAGAATGCATCTTGATGGCTTGGTTTGAGTTGTCTGATAACTAGGTGGTGTCGATATACAACTGGCGATGTTCTTGATATGTAGACAGTAGGAGGAAGATGAAATAAGTATGCTAAATACAGGTAGAATGGAAAAGGTATATATAGGCACAGTGGCCCCGGGGGGTATCATTAAGAGTAGCAAATTCGCGTCTAGCTGAAGATGCCGTCGCGTCGATGACGTCCCCTTGTCGTTCAGCTTCGCCTTGGACAGCTGTGTGTTATGAAGCCATTTCTGAGAAATAATAGCAACATAAGCTGGTATAAGCTGGCCTAATCCGCTTATGTTTGTGTTTGTAAAGAATCCATGGTTGATCGTGCGGAGATGCATATGGATTGGTTGGCCTAATGAACGTACATATGGATGTTTCTGTTGTTAAGGCGTCCGAGCTGGATGTTCGGGTGATTGATTTGCCAACTGCTATATAATAATGTATCTTAGAAAAGATATATCTGCGGCGGGCTACAGGGTGGACTATGACGAATATATCTCTAGTGGTTGGCCTAAATAACTCAACATTGAATCACTTGTGATAAGGCATCCAGCGTTGTCTAAGGATGAATATCATGTGAGATATCTCTTACAGTATCACTCGTGGAAGGCCTCGGCGTCCATTCAGCTGGGGGTTTATGTACGTAAAAACCATTCTCCATTTTGCGCCATGCCCAGCTGAGCATATCCTGGACCTAGGCGTGCAATAGGTGGATATATTAGCTTTGGTGACAAATTGTGTACCAAGATTTTAAAGGTATATAGAGACCAGAGATATCTATCAATTCCTCCTCCTTGCCTTTCCTTCCACTATCGAACCCTCACCAGGACACCTCTTATAGCTATATTACATCCAATTTATTCGCAAACTACCTATTCCTGTTCTCTATATTTTTTTGTCTCAAAAACAAGAAGCTTTCAAAATGGTCATCAAAAAGCGCTGTCTTCTCTGGGATTGGACAAACACCAAGAACTGTCCCCAGATGATGGACAAGGTCGACTTCCACGGCCCCTTCGTCTCCGTCTCCAACTGGAACACCTGGTATCCCACAGAACTCAAACATCGTGCTCCATTCCGGCCGATGGTTCGACTGGAAGCGCAACTCTCTGGCCAAGACTGGCAGAACATCCTCGACTCTACTGAAGCCATCATTCACTACTTCAATGAGCCCGAGCGCGCTAACATCTCCGCCCAACATGCTGCTGATCTGTGGCACAGGCAGATGGTCCCTCTCCGCAAGAGCAAGGGTAAAAAGCTTGTCAGCCCCAGTTGCTCGAATGACCAAGCCGGTCAAGCGTGGATCGCAGATTTCATGGGCCGGGTCCGCAACAGTCCTCCCAATTATCTTGGTCTCCATTACTATGGTACGAAAGGCAGTGAGGCAATTGGCTTTATCCAGTCGATGCACAAGAAGTTCCCGAAGCAGAAGGTTATTGTTAGTGAGATCGCGTGTATCTCTCGCAACTATCATGACGTGTTGAATTTCACGGTCCAGGTGACGAATTGGTTGGATCAGCAGGATTGGGTGGCTGAATATGGTTGGTTTGGGTGTATGGAGCATCCTGCTGACAATTTCGTCAGCCCAGCGGCGCAGTTGATGAAACCGGATGGAAAATTCACAGACTTGATGAACAGGATCATGCATGACCAACCGATGAAGGTGTAGCTTTATATAACTGCTCTAATTTGCCAGAGCCATAAATTGCAGGAAGGGCCATGTCCTTTAAGTCTGTTCCGATGGTTAATGGATTTAAACATGTTATAATTTAGTATTCGATATACATGATGCCCTCCGTTTCATCCTTTCATCTATAATTTGAATTTGTAATGATTTAAGTAATGTAGAATAGTTGAAACATTTATCCTCTACCCGCGAATGAATTATACGTCTGCAGCCCCCTCCTCAAAGTAGATTCATGCAGTCGCTCTTTTAGCACTCCCACCATGCCTGACCAAGAGACCATGGAACTAGTAGGCAAGGAGGGTTCCCAGGAGCACGCAATTTATTTGATTGACTGACCGCATGATCAACAATTAGGCTTCATCGAGGCCCAATGAACACCAGCATGTGTACCAAAATGAAACGTCAAGTTATTGATGCCAATGCTGTTTTGATGGAAGAGTGGGGGCAAACTAAAGAACGAGGGTTGCACGTGGATGGCGCTAGCGTGTTGTGTTTTATTGAGGTGCCAGACACTCAAGTTGTGCTCAGTGAGAAAATCAGAGCGTTCAGAGATGTGGTCAGATCTACTCAGTGAGCAAAGCGGCGAGGGGCTGAGCACTATAACGGGAACGGAAGGCTAAGACGTGGCAGAGGAAATACTCCGGTACGTGGGTGGATTTTCCGGGAAGAGATGACTTGACTTTGCTGATGGTTGGCGCTACCCACGCCGATTGGGTTACATACCACGAGCCTCTGAGCCTCTTTGGAGAACTCGCTCTTGGCGATCGTATTTGGTGTTGGACCCCTCCCACGGGATCTCTAGAATGTAACGGAAAGCTCGTATTCGCTGACAATTACAGAGATAACGTCGTTAATAATAGCTGGCTCTGAGTCGCATAGCATATAAGCGGTTCTAACATGCCCTCTTAAATACGCCGTGGATGGTCCCAAATAACAACTTGCCGAACTCAGGACTTTTGCGATAGATAATCAAAGATGCCACCAGTTGTGCAAAGTTCCAAGCCGAGAGTGATCCTCGGTTTGATGACATTTGGACCGGATCCAGCTGGCGGTGCCCGCATCACATCCCTTGATGAATTCAATAAGTGCCTCGACTATTTGCAGCAGCAAGGATACAATGAGATCGACACGGCCCGAGTCTACGTGGGTGGTGCCCAAGAAGCCTTCACAGCCCAGGCAAAATGGAAAGAGAGAGGTCTCACTCTGGCCACAAAGTGGTATCCTGAGACTCCCGGTGACCACAAACCCAAAGTTCTGCGCGAGAACCTTGAACTGTCCTTGAGAGAACTGGGAACGGACCGGGTAGATATCTTTTACCTTCACGCAGCTGATCGTTCGGTCCCATTTTCTGAGACCCTTGAGGCTGTACATGCGCTGTACAAGGAAGGGAAGTTCGTGCGACTGGGGTTGAGCAACTACACTGCGTTCGAGGTTGCGGAGATTGTTATCATGTGCAACGAAAGAGGTTGGGTCCGTCCGACCATATACCAAGCTATGTATAATGCTATTAGTGGGTTTTCATTTACTTGAAATTATGCAACCCAGACTGACTTGTATCACCGATAGCACGTTCAATCGAAACGGAACTTATTCATGCCTGCCGACGCTACGGTCTCGAAATTGTTACCTACAATCCTCTTGCTGGAGGTATTTTCTCAGGAAAATATAAAACCAGAGATGTCCCTACAGATGGCAGGTACAGCGACAAGTCCATAGATGGACAGCTGTACAGGAATCGCTACTTTAAGGATGCGACATTCGACGCCCTTAGAGTTATTGAGCCTGTGGTAGAGAAGAACAATCTGTCACTTCTTGAAACGGCGCTGCGCTGGGTTCACCATCACTCTGCATTGAATGTGAAAGAAGGTGGCCGGGATGGCATCATTCTTGGAGTGAGCTCCTTCGCCCAGCTCGAAAGCAATCTGCGAGACATTGAGAAGGGCCCGCTACCTGAAGAAGTAGTTGATGCCTTGGACCAGGCATGGTTGATCACCAAAGCAACCACTCCAAACTACTGGCATCTGGACCTGGAATATACTTACGACACTCAAGAGGCACTCTTCGGGTCAAGGACGAAGGACTCTGGTAAACCGTCCCTGTCCTAGCGTCTAAGGACCCAGCATGACTTTTGGGGCCACCACCTGCTGATCACCGTGGGCTGGTGGCCTCTTGATCGTTCGTGCCTCTAGACTATGTCTTTGAAACTTGTCCACACCAAGAACACCTGCAGTGGTGACTGTGACAAAAGGCGGCTGGGCAAGAAATTTTCTACATCAATGCAACATGGAACTCCCTGCTCGTTTTTAATATGAAGAATCTCATTGAAGTATTAGCTCCAGATTCTAAATAGAAACTAAGATGGCTGGCGTTGACAGCTAACCTCGAGCGACTGGTTCCTCCATATCCCCCTCCTCTAAGAGGCAAATCTATCATTAAATTGAACGGAATTATTTTCGATGACCCACGGGCCTAATCCATAGAACCGCCACCCCCCAAAAAAGCAGTAAGAGAATCTGAGAATCTGATCAAGACTTATCACAAGCTATGGACTATAGTTGATGCATATTAAATATCCTCGCCGTCAGAAACAATACCGCTGAATTATAGTATCCATCCCATCTCAGTTCGCCGAAGCCTAATCCACGAGCTTGCCGTCTTCAGTCACCTTTTTGGGAACGGAGCTGCTCCTCTAAATGCAAACTCTCCCAGGACCTCAAAAAGAGAATGGCCAAGACAAGTGGCTGAAAGGAGTCTACATGCCCTATGGATCATCCACCTAACACACGTCCCGGGATTACGGAACGAAATGAGGATATAACGAGGGCCCCTTAGTCACGTAGAGATGGGCTGCACATAGTCAATATTTCATTTATTCTTCTACAGTATCCTCTCGTCGTTCTCAAGAGCTGAATCGTCTCTGAGATTGACGGGTCTACCTCTAGGAACAGTCCTCCTCGGCCCCAGGAGCATAAACCGAACAAAACCAATAATAATCGGTTACTTCAGGATAAACAGGTAAGGAGGAGCAATATCCAACCATCAACCCTTCCAAACAAACGCACCAGTCACAGATTCCCCAAAACGCGCCGCACTCGCCGGATCAGCCCGATACTCCATAGAATTCGCAGCGGCGCCCCAATCCAAATCTGCCCCCTCATCATTCCAACAAACAGAGAACTGACCTTCATCCAGAAACACCCTTGACTTACATCCTGCCCCGAATTAAGCACATCCGGATAATCGTAACAGACTTCGGTTGTCCATGCATTATTCACCACCTGGTTATATGTGATCGCTGACTTGTTTCGAAAGATTCCGACGCGCAGACAGCAGCGGTCTCCTTCGAAGAAATCGAACCAGCATCGGTCTCTTGCAAGGCCTGCTTTGCGGGTCTCGTAGTTTGTGAGGATTGCGCCCGCAAAAGTCTGGCTTTCGATAATTGCTCTACTCAGAGACCTCTAATGTAGGCTATCTAGTCTCAGCACTACCTACAACCGGATTTCCTATGCTTGGTCTTGGCTTTCCCTTTCTGTTTTAGTGCTCGAACCCTCGCCGCTTTTGCTCACTGAGTACTCCGTAGATCTGAGCGGTCTCTGAGCGCCCTGATCTGATCAGATCAATGATCATTACGTAAGCACTCTGATTTACTTACTGAGCACGTGGCCTGACCAGCATCTCGATAAAACGTAACACGCTAGTCGTATCCACAAAGATCCTCCCTTCCCCCTCCTTCTCCTCCGTACTAACTACAAACCAGCCAGCGTGTGGCTATTTACAACGTGCGATGCCGCCTGGGTGAGTAAAGGATGAGTAAAGGGTGAATGCGCAATAGATAGGATCAGAAGCTAGGCGAAAGGGGGTGGTTGTCGCGCTAACACTACGACGACACTGTCGGTTTTAAAAACTGTCAGGCAAGATTGGTAATTTTAAATTGGATTCGAGGAATCACACTTATGTTAAGCTTGAATAATACTCCCATAGACTTGGTGGACAATCTTGTGCAGGGTCGCAAAAAACAAGGGAATCAGGAAGGAAGTATACCACTATTTTCTCCCCCATAGAACCTCACATGACTAATGAAAAAAATCAGCAACGCCAGAAAGACTTTTCCCTATGGATATATATTATATTCTTTGGCGGTACAGCTCGAAAGCCCTGCGTGAAAGTTGACAGGGATAGCTAATATCAAACTTGAGTCTGTTCACCATTAATTGCTGGCGCAGGCTCGGCGCCAGGGTTTGTAGCGGTTCCATTATTGGCACCACGGCCAGATGAACTCGGTTTTTCGGGATGATTAATAGTAGGAACCGTAGAATGCCGGCCGTCGAGATAAATATTGAGAGTTTCCAAACATAGGCCACAGAATGTCCAGAAGCTTTGCGGGACAATGAGCACGTGTGTTCACATATTTAGAAAGGGAAAGACCGGGGTGGGGGGGGGGGGGGGGGGGGGGGTGTTTGTGGAGATAACTCACAAGGATAGGAAAGTAAATGCTTCGATGGCATTCCTCCGCCTGCAACTGGTACTTCGGTCCCAACTGTAGTAAGAACACCCGGCGCCATTACCGAGGTCATCAGTTTGGGCAACAAAAATGAATGCTGATAGCCATCTATAGTTTTGCGGATAATCAGCTTCATGTACTCCAATAGGGTAGTAACTTATGTCAACGATTATGGGGTTATAAGGGAGAAGGGTCTGAAATACAGTGCATAGAAGACTATATCTAATGGAATCATATAACCACGGTTGCGACGCATGCCTGCGGTGAAAAGAGAGGGAATATAAAACGCTGTGGTGAGAACCGCCTATGCGAGGAGTGTCAGTGCCATCCAAGTAGAAAGAAAGTAACAAGAAAGATTCGTATGCTCACAATGACTAGGGGAAAGACGGCCCGATAGCCCTTCAGGTGGTCAACCACCCAGGCAGTGAGGGCCAAAGTGATTACTGCGCAGAACCATAAGAGCAGGCGGACAGAAAATAGAAATGGTCGAATAGTATCAGCGTGCTTCATCATCGAGAATTCTGGACTCTGTAGTCAGGGACGATGAAGCTCCTGCAGGAAGAGGCATTGTTTTAAAAATCAACGCTGTCAAGTAAGAAGCCCAAAGTCAATGACGTTACTGCGAAGCTCTATACCCGGGAAAATCCAAGTAGACCTGTTCCTAAGTTTCCAGCTGTCAAGTAAAGGGCTGCTGATAGTCAAAGTTCTGGTACACCCTGGCTTGACCAAGCCTAGCGTAGACTAGCTGGTAGATGGATCGCTTCCAGTAATGTAGACATTGGAGGACATTCTTTGGCTGATTGAATTCCAGAATATATCTACTGGCTTTGAGGGCCTCAAGAAACTAAGTATATTTATTCCTCTTTTATCTACGTTCTAGACCAAACATACAATTAACGGGCGATAATCCCGGAAAGTCGACTTTTATGGCGGATTAGTACGGAGTCGTTGAGATACACTACCTACATTAAAAAATTACCGTAAATCTTTGGAGAAATCGAGATACTTAAATGAGAGAGTCACTTTTACCTTGATCGTGGCTGAATTCTCATGACCTATGGTGCTAATTATGATCGATCATGTGGACAATTTAACTTCTGGTGGCGGATTCTGCTACCGATGCACCGCAGACCAAGTACGGTAGGGAATCGACCAATAAGCTTCATAGGCTCCAATAAAGGTGATTCAGAGGCGTTTAGCTCATCAATCAGCTCTGATAGTCATTCAACTCTTGACTTCTACTATATGCTCTTGGCTCCGTAAACCGGTCGAACTCTCTATTTAATTCTTTGATTCCTTCGGTACGGGCAAGTTATGATGGCGACGACTCCCGCCACCCAGTGGTTTTGCTAATCAGTCGGAACAAGGGCCATCATTAAATTTCCAGTCTTCCATGTTAGAACACTAAACATCGTCCCTCGGTATCGTCATTAATATTTATACAGTGGAATTCGAATACAGATTTCCCCCAAGAAACACACACTTGATGTATTTCTGGTAGATCAACAAGATTACCATAGATATTGTTTTCGGCACCGGACAGACCTTACTTGCCGGAATGCTCTGTGGCATAACACTTCCACCGCCTACATGTAGGCGCGGCGACAGGGTGCTTAATAGATACCTCTGATCGGTCTCTGAGTAATCTGGGAGCTGACTAACCATACTCACTGAGCCATCTGAGCAGTCACGTGAACTCTCTGATCAACACCCTGAGTCTGAGTCAGGTCTGAGATTTACTCAGTGAGTCTGACTCTGAGCGCCCTTGTAAAAGCGGCGGCATCTCAGGAAAGCCCCTGGCAGAGGAAAAATACTCGGTAGAATGACCTATCTGGAGAAACAATCGAAGTGTGTACTTCCTGCCTCTACCGCTTTTCACACCGCCTGCCTATATAGCTAAACTGAGGTCGCGCATGAGGTCAAATCAAGTATTTTCGCCTATACTGTACCGTGATATACAACTAAATGTGGGGAAAGGATGCACAAACCCAAACAGGCAGGATAGTCTGAATGTAGGCGGTCTCAGCCGGCAGAATGACGGTCCTTCGAACAGTGACAGCAAGGTCGTTTTGTTTTGACGTTTCGTGCTTCCTCAAAAGTTGCTGGCTGATTTTGAGGGATAAAGAGACGCTTTTGCTTTCCGCCATGCTCGAATGATATCTTCGAATCGCTTGATTTCCGCGGCTGATTTCCGCAAGAAACATCATCCCAAACCTCGGACTAGGCCTCATCCGCCATCGTCAACGAGACTCCTTCAAGTCACAGATCGCTATTCACCATCAAATATAGCTGGATGCCCCTAATATTGACCAGACTGTGGTATCAGAGGTTCTCTGCAGCTCGACACGCGTTCTGCCATTCGGAGCGAATCAAACTCGAGCTCTGGAATCATCCAGCCTCTCTCACTTCATTACACCACTCGCGGACTCTGGTTGGGATCTCAAGCCCGTCTCAGATGGAGCGCCCAGCCAAACGAGCACGGCTGTCACCGGACACAGCTACAGAAGATGAGTCCCTACCAGGCCGAGTCTCTACGCCTTTGGTTTCTCTTCATCGGTCTATCACACCGCCGCCAAGGGCTCGTTCACAACCCCAAGTGGTGGCCAACTCCTTGTGTCCCGATCTGAAGAGCGATCAACTCGAGGGCGACAAGAGTCAAACAATTGAGACTAGCTCTACAAGAGAGACCCATCGTCTGATCTCATCTCCCATCCAGCTCACACATATTCGTGATTTTCTAGAGTCGAGAGGATACAATATTGACACAGTCAAACTACGTGACATCCTCGGCGACCCGATGATCCGAGAGTGTTGGCAGTTTAACTACCTCTTCGATGTGGACTTCCTCATGTCGAATTTTGACGAGGATGTCCGGAGCCTGGTGAAGGTGAAAGTGGTGCACGGATCTTGGGAGCGAGAATCTGCGAATCGAGTTCGTGTGGAGGTAATATCAGACTCGTTTTCTCTAAATGGGCGTCAATACTTCCAGGATGCACACAGTATTGAAGCGAATTATTGGCAATGCGAGCTAACTCAAGTGCTAGGAAGCATGTTCACGATATCCAAATGTCGAGCCTATCATCGCGTACATGCCTGAGCGGTTCGGGACGCATCATTCGAAGATGATGATAATTTTACGACATGACGATCTAGCCCAGTCAGTCTTTCCCCGGTCTTCAAGTATTGAAATAGAGTCCTAACTTCTGGCAGGGTCGTGATTCATACGGCAAACATGATCCATGAAGACTGGTCCAATATGACTCAAGCAGCGTGGCGATCTCCATTACTTCCATTGCAAAAGCTAGGTACCCCAGCAACAGCTTCTACGAATCCAGAATTTGCCACTGGAGCGCGATTCAAGAGAGACCTACTGTCTTACCTCAAAGCGTACGGTCCGAAGAAAACAGGGCCACTGGTTCAGGAACTCAATCGGTTTGATTTCGACTCGGTTCGTGCAGCGCTTGTCGCGAGTACACCTTCCAAGCAGGTGTTCAGCAACCTTGATTCTGATAAAACTACGTTGTGGGGCTGGCCAGCACTAAGAGATCTCATGGGCCGCATCCCAATCCAATCCCAAACCAAGAAGGCCAATCAAAGTCCCACCGTGCAACCGCATATTGCCATACAGGTGTGCTTGCTACCTCTCCATTAGAGTATATATCTAACCCCCACCAGATATCCTCAATAGCCTCCCTCGGCCAGACAGACAAATGGCTCAAAGGGATATTCTTCAAAGCTCTGGCCCCGACACCAAAATCCTCGCCGCCAAAGTACTCCATCATATTTCCTACCCCCGATGAGATCCGCCGCTCGCTAGAGGGGTATGGCTCGGGTGGCTCAATCCACATGAAAACACAGAGCGCTCCACAACAGAAACAACTACAATACATGCGGCCACATCTCTGCCACTGGGCCGGCGACGGGGGGTCATCTACATCTAACTGTATCGACCTATCGGGAGAAACACCTCTAAAGCGAGAGGCTGGTCGGGCTCGGGCGGCTCCTCACATCAAGACGTATATTCGGTATACGAATGCGGAGACTTTGGATAGCATTGACTGGGCGATGGTCACATCGGCGAATTTATCCACGCAAGCCTGGGGCGCGGCGGTGAATCCGAGTGGTGAGGTGAGGATTTCGAGCTGGGAGATTGGGGTTGTTGTTTGGCCGGAGCTATTTCTGGATGGGAAGACCACCAAAACGGAGGGAGCAGGTTCGGCGACTGCGCTGATGGTACCTTGCTTCAAACGCGATCAGCCTGATGGCCCTCCGCCGGACAGTGTGGCCTCGGATGAGGCCCTGACCGTAGTTGGCTTCCGGATGCCGTATGACCTCCCGCTGACGCCGTACAGCGCCTCGGATGAACCGTGGTGTGCAACAGCATCGCACCACACGCCGGACTGGCGCGGACAAAGCTGGATAAACTGATGCGAGGAGGACAAAGTATCGTTAATAGCCCCGAACATCTCTGTTCTACAAAGTCTACATCTTTACATCCATAGTTTACCGATCCAACCGACTCCAAACAAAACGCGGTTACCCTCGGCATTATTATATACAAGACAACAGCGCTCAGGATAACTTGATTGATAAATGCATCGCTTCATTTGTAGCCAAAATGCAGCTCGTAGGATATTCCAATAGTCCTTTCCTCCATTCGGCCCTCGACCTCATGTTATTATCACCAAGCCGGTCGGTCCTCTCACAGGAACGAACCCCGGCCTTCACTTCCACCTCCCAATCTCTCGCGAGAGAATTTACTCGTCGCGGGTGCCGTACTTGCCGATGAACTCGTTAACATGCTTGATGTAAAGGGCCTGGGCCTTCTGGGGGGAGTAGTGCTTGACAGCCTCCCAAGCGCCGTAGAGCTGCTTCTTCTATAGACGTAAAAAAACCAACACATTAGCAAAAGCGTCCAACCACGACACGCAAACACGCAATGTCCTCTCAATACCCGGGGGCGGGGGCTATCAACATACCACCATATCAAACATGCCAGGCTTCTCGAGGACCTCGCCCTTAGCAACCTTGAAGTTGACGTAGAGATCCTTCTTCTCGAAGGGACCAGGGGCAGTCTTGAGCATCATAACGACCTTGGCGGCGAACTCGAAACCCTTCTCGAGAGCGGTCTTCTGGGCCTCATCGGCGATGGTGTCGGTCTCGCCCATGGCGAGGGCAGCCTCGTATGCAGCCTTGAGGGCGGCAATGTCAATGCCGGCAGCGGCGTTCTGAACCTCGGCGGTGAACTTGGTCTTGCTCTGGGCGGCCTCGAGGGCGGCGATGAATCCGGAGATGTCAGACATGTTGTATGTGTGGTTTGGAGAGTTGAGGGGGTGTTGTTGAGGGGGTTGCGGGAAGATTTGGAGGTTTAAGTGGTGAGGGGATGATAGAAGCTGCTGGAGGTGGGTTTGTTGAGGGGAGGGGGCTTGGTGGGGTTGTTGCTGACAGTTCCACCCGCCAGTTGATGAGCCAACACCCGGTAGTAAGTAGTCTAAAAGCTTGAAGCTTTGGGTCAGGGGAAGTGAGGAATGAAGTTTATATTTGTGGTTGTAGCTCGAATATGCAGAGCTGCCATACTATTCAGTAGAAATGAAAACTCCAGAACCCCACAGTCTACTCGACGCCCGCCGATGCAGATATAAAAAAGCAAAACAGATGCAGATGCCAACGCTCACGAATAGCTCGCTATGCACCTGAATATAACAGAGAGACAGTATCAAGAGAAGAGAAAAAAAATTTCGAACAAGAAAACCGCTTAACAAACAGATATCACCAGTCAACCGCCCAGCCATTCTTGTTCAAGAATTCTTCACAAGCGGCCTTGAGCGCATAGTTCGGCCGCAGGTCCTTGACGCTCATCGGCTCGCGAGTAAGCGGATCGACACCCGCCTTTTCCACATACTTGACAATACCGCTGCGGTCAAAGCTAGCGCCGGACGGAGTCATAACGGGATCGTGCATGACCTCAAAGGTGATTCCGTCAATCAGATAGTCAGGCACAACCTGACTGCGAGTTAGCAAAGTCCCAGCCATGTATGCGCTTAGGAAATAGAAATATACTCACTCGCTCTTGAATATCCCCCTTGGACGAAATCCGGAATGCTTCTCGAATATGTTGAATCTTCTTCTGCGCATCTTCCCGCAGCGCACCCAGATCCTCCCGATAACCCACCTCCCCAATCTCCTTCTTCTCCAATTGACTCGCCAACTCCGCCTCAACACGCGCCAGGTCCGCATTAATCAGCTCCTCCAAGCTCTTCAACGTTTCATCCATTTCATGCAGGCGCGCCGTTTCCCGTGCTTCCCACAGTGCCTTCTTAGCACGCAGCAACATACCAGATAGCTTCTCGGTCTGGATATGCTTCACATCCAGACTAAACTGGTATGCAGTGATGGTGAGGTCGTATGCTTCTTGAGGTCGGTTCAAGGCAAGTAGAGCCTGAGCGAGATAGACGCTGCTCTTCAGCGAGGCGGGATCTTTCTCGCCGTAGATGTTAATTGCGGCGCGCGCATCGTGTTCGACATCCTCCCATTTCTCGAGCTTGATGCGGGTTACTGCGCGGTTCGTGTAGAAGGTTGCATCGCGTGGGTCCTTGGCAATTCTGGTAGGATATGAAGTCAGCTATAACTGTCAATGCGCGCGAGTCCCTTATGCGTTTAAGAGCATGTCTGCGCATGAGTGGTGGTACGCGGGGTTATAGCAGGCAGTCGCGGGTAACTGGGACATGCGTTCTTACGCTTGCGAATAGTAGTCCTCGGCGCTAACATAGTCGCCCTCCTTAAAGAACTCGTTGCCCTTTTTCTTGAGCTCTTGCGCCATGTTTGTCGCAAAGAATGAATGTTTGACCACGATTTGGGAAGAGCAGAGGAGAAAAAGAAGGCGTCGCTGATCAATCAGTTCCCAGGTGGGGCGACCCACTGTTGCAGAAGATCGAGGGGTTGTAGTTTAGAGGTGCATGAAGGAGTATGAAGTGGGTTAAATGGATCAAAACGCTAGAAAGTAATAAGGAAGCACATTTCAACCACGATGCGATGCTCGATCCATTGAGTACAATGGAAAAGAAATGAGGATTGGTCGAGTCCGATATACCCGAAATGGAAATTCATCGATCCCCGCAGAATGTCCGATGACTCAGCACAGTCTTGCCTCGGTTTCGAAAAGTATACAAGTGGACGTTGACGTTGAAGAAGTTGTTCTAGTACAGAGGCAGTCCAAAAGTCCGAGTCTAGAAAACAGAAATTCATCAATAACTCGTATTTGAAGGGTCAATGTAGAATTATCTTTTTTCATAGCACAGAAACCATCTCTGTGGTTACTATCAAGGTGATTTCAAAAATTCCTCTGGGTTTCAACCATATTATCAGTCTAGAAACTACAATGTGAAGTGCAATGAAGAAGTAGTTTTGCAAGACTGCAGAGTTATGTATTATACTATGTACAGGGACCAGTATATAGAATGCCTCTATCATCTAATTCCCAACCTCAAAACAACAGGACTTGACAGTCGGTTCGTGGTATCATGATGCGCTTGGTATAAAGAGAGAAGAAATGGAGGAGGTCGCATAGTATGCCAGTCAATCAATCAATGACAGGCATACACCCCCCAGAAGAGGAAAGCAGCTGTGAAGCATGCGCAAGCCTCAGGAACCAAAGGCATAGAACCAGTCTAGCCCTATGGCAATCTGAACACTTCGCTCAGCTCCAACAGCCACGAAAAAGAATCATGTAGCATCCATTTATGCGGTACCAGAGAACTGAGTCTCATAGTCGGTGATAGCCTGGACCTTAGCGGCAGAAGCACTCTTGGGGTCGAAGCGGTAGTTGAGCCAGTCAACAGCGAGCTTCTTGGCCAACTCAACACCAATCACACGTTGACCCATGCAGAGGACCTGAGCGTCATTGCTGAGGATGGAGCGCTCGACGGAGAAGGGGTCGTGAGCAGTGACGGCGCGAATACCGGGCACCTTGTTGGCAGCGATGGCAACGCCGAGGCCAGTACCGCAGATGAACAGGCCGCGGTCAGCCTTGCCCTCCTTGATCAGCTTGGCACCCTCGACGGCGGGGTGAGGGTAGGCAGTCTTGTCGGAGGTGGAGTTGACACCGACGTCGGTGATGGACTCGACTAGAGGGTTCTTCTCGAGGACGGCCTTGATGGCATCCTTGTAGGGGACACCGGCCTCGTCGCAGGCCATGACGAGACGGAGGGGCTTCAGATCGGCAGACATGATGTGTATAGTAAGAAGAGGAGGCGGAGGAGGATAAGAAGGTGATAAGGCAAGTATGTATGTTGAAGGTATGTATAGAAGAGAATTGGATTGAATGGTCGGATGAGAAATACAAGAAATTCCGCCCAGCAGACGCCTTCTTCAGCTCCCCCTTTATACCTTTTCCAGCCAGGGTCTTTCTGCTCATCTTTTCGTGCAACCATCAACTCCAAAAATCAAAAACCCAGAACCCATCTTTCCGCCATCCGCTATGTCCCACCATCCACAGCTTCCCCAGGGTGGAGCACGGGTGGAGAGAGCCAGTCGCATCGGTTGAGGTGCATTTCTGGGCGAGGCCATGCTCCACTCTTTCCCAATCGCGAGGGCAGTGCCAGTGTCTGGTCCAACCTTGATGTGATTCGTTACGAGGGATTATTCTCCTTGTTCGGGAGAGAGGCCTTTGCTGAAACGAGAGCTGGGATTACTGGAAAGCCCCGCCATAGCGTCATGGCTCCGATTCGTGTGCCGCGAGTGGACTATGGGGTCGGATGCTTTCAGGAGGCTGTACGTTCGGGTACGATCATCGTACCTCGTATTACCAGCATCTGTACCAGACTCTCAGTGACTGCAATCACTACTCGATTGATGATAGAGGGATATGAACTGATATGTGTAGGAGTACCGATGCTTTTCTATACCCCTGCTACCACGACAGCCATCGATGTCATTCTGCTGCACATGTCAGCGGTGCTTGGCTACCTGGCCTGATACGCCACTGCTGATCTGTGCAACAATTGAGTTATCGGGAGACTTCCCTAGACGATACAAAACATCCCTAAAGAATACAAGACAGAGACCAGGATGGCCATCAACAGGACCGTGCGGAAACCAAGAGACGACTCCTGCGAGTCCTGCCCCTGGACCGTGCCGCCGAGTAACGGCTAGACAAGGACGCCGGACATGAAGGCGTCACAGTCACATCTCTGAGCCAACCAGTGCAGAGAAGGAATGAGACGGCTTCGGGAATGGCGTCGCCAATACCCCTTGAAGGCTTGAAGCCGACCAGTTCATTTCTCGCCGTTGCAGGCCTGGCAGCAGCCCGAGAGCCGCATTTTTCGGTCCGTATACCACATGGAGGCCAGCATACCACGCTACTTGAATACACAATACATGGCGTATCTCGTGGACGAGAGGGATATCGACTCCCCATGAACTGCAAGTCCACTTAATTTCCCCCCCCCCGGAAACCAGCCTATTCGCACAGGATCAGACAGATAATCCTCTGACAGCAATGGTGCTGGCTATCGCTGTACCTGCCCCCACTTCAACCCACCCGCACATCCACCAGTCACTCCACCCCTCAACTGCATTGCAATCTTGTTGGCCCGCTGACTGCTGAAGATCAGGACCTACAGGAGGAGACTACCCCGTGTCCACCGAACCTACTCCGGATTTGCAGACTGTCGTGTGGTCTGGGGTTGAAAGTAGAGAGGTTCAAGATTCGCAAAAGCCTGAGAGATAGGCTTCATGGTGGGATGTTGAATAGATCATGGAGGGGTTAATGGAAGGAGGATAAGGAAGGTTATGCGGTTTACCCCTCGCATCGCCCATGCCAATAATTAGTATTATTACATTCCATGTCAATTGGGCAAATTACAGGGTGGTACCCTGATCTGGTCCGAGAAACCTGCCTAGCGATGCCCAGAATATCGGGAATAGTTTCATTGGTCTGTTCTAACCGGGTTTCGTTTCATTTCGTGTTCGCCTGCCGCGTTCTCGTTGATCCGAAATAAACCTCCGGGTGGTACCTGATAGCCAACAATCAGACTTGAGACCGGAGACTTGCGACAATTCTTCTGCCTAATATAAACATGGAACCACTTTATCAATCCCTTTTTGTATGCTCATAGGAGAGGTCCGATTGAATATTCAGTCCTTTTCTCCACTAGTCTGAGTACTCTGGACTGTTTGTCTGATCTGATCGAGCCAATTAGTATTGAGACTGGTGCATCCCACCATGAATGCGCTGTGACATCACATTCGACCTTCCATGTCCGTGCCCATTGGGAAGACCAAGAAAGTATCTCGGAAACAATCTCCTTAATTTGGCACAGCCCATGTCGGCCACTAATGCGTGTGCGGGATGGCGCTGACGCCCTCTGATAAAACAAAAATACTCTCGAAACTTTCCGTTTATTTCCTTGTGCATTGATATGTGGACACTACTTGGCACCTCGTTGGCATTTGGTAAAGCATTGTGAGAATCACTCAATTGGGACAAGTCCAGGACCTCTTAGTCTCAGCACGGACGGCGCCGATACTTGCCGAGATAATTAGACTGTCCGGGGAAGATCAACACCTTCTCTGCTCAACACACTTCTACTCTACCTTTTTACCCACCAACACACTACTGCCTCGGTGAATACCAATCTCTAATTGCCAGCCATGGCTTCAAACACATACCCCGTGCTTCCAGAGAAGCTCCTCCTCATCTCATTAAAGATGTACTTCACCCCAGAGCGCACCACCACCTACCTACGCAGCCTCCTAGATCCCACCAACGAGATTGTCCACCCCCAAAACCGGGGAAAGCTCCTTCTCGCCCTGATCCCAGATTTCCTCACCATCTGGCCCTGTGCCGAGATCCTAAGGGAATACGAGAACAAGCTAGTCGCCTCGGGGACATCAATCTCCCCACCACCCTTCTTCCTCGGTGCCCAGGATTGTATGTGGGAAGAATACGGCGCGTACACGGGCGAAGTCTCCCCAGCCGCGATCAAGTCTCTCGGTTGTTCAATTGTTGAGCTGGGTCATGCCGAGCGCCGTGCTATTTTCGGTGAAACGGATGACCAGACAGCCCGCAAGGCTGCTGCGACTTGCGCGCAGGGTATGGTCCCCCTCGTCTGTGTTGGGGAGATTACTGCACCCGGGGCTATTGCCTCTGAAGCTGTCGGCCAAGCTGTGGCCGAATGCGCGGTTCTCGTACGTGCCGTGCTGGCTGCTATCCCCGCGGATGCACCCGTGATCTTTGCTTATGAGCCCGTGTGGGCGATTGGCAAACCCAAGCCTGCGGGCGTTGACCACGTCGGCGCCGTTGTAGAGGGTATCCGTGGGGTGATTGGCTCCCGCCCCGGTGCTGCGCGTGTGCTGTACGGTGGCAGCGCTGGACCTGGTCTCTGGGGTGCTGGTGGACTGGGCAAGGCCGTCGATGGTATGTTCCTCGGACGGTTTGCGCATGAAATTGAGGGCGTGCGCAAGGTCGTCCATGAAGTGGAGGAGTCGCTGGGCCTGGCCTGAATCAAAGGTTGCGAATAATGCAACACTCCCGTTTCTCCAATTGCGACCGTGTCTATACCCCCAGCCAACAGCTGCAGCTACGAGATACAGTCTCTGTTGTCTACCAGCCAACTAACCTGGTACAGTATTATGGTTTCGCATCATACACTATACGGTCATGGTTATACGACCCAATACACAAGATCGCATAGAAAACAAACAGCAAAAAAAAAGAACAAGACCCCATGATCGATCCGAATCAACCAGTCACAAGAATCAAAACTCCTCCAAATCCCTTCTATTCATGGAAACAACCTGCTAAAACCCACCACGCGTTTACCCGGTGGGCCTCGTCGAGTAAAAGCAAGACCACCCCGGCTTTCTCGGGAAGCCTATCTGGGGGATCCCGTTGAGATGGAGAACTCCATCGGCAACTCCACCAAAGCTACGGAACGCCCTTTTATGGAGAACAATGGAGTCTTCTAGGACTTCCTAAGTCTTGAACTCTTCTTCTCTTCTCCCCGGTTTTGGATACCCGCACAACACAAACCCCCACGCCCACACGGACATACACCACCCCTGTCACGCGGATGAACAGAGATTTAAGCCTCAGATGACTTTGGCCTCTAGAACAATTTTTAGTCTGATCTACAGGGCCCATGGAGCTTGAGCTATGTGATTCTTTCACGCATTTAGGCTAGTCGTGGCTATTCCCCCTCTTTTAGTACGGTCCACACTACACATCATGTGCCTGATTGACCTTGAAGATTGTGCTTCTGTCGGTCCACTTCGGCAATGTGGACTGGTTATATTGAGTAATCCGAGCGGACAAATATTCAAGCTGTGGCTTTTGGTTCATTGAGGCGGCATTCCCTTTCAAGTAAGACTTGAGTTTTCTGTTTCTGGTTCGACAAATGTGGTGATGGAAAGGGTCCTCGTCCCGAGGATGCTATCTCGGGCGAGAAAAAGGGTCCCCCACTATACAAACAATTGACAGCTACCGTACATGATACTGTTCACCAAGAATAACGTGGAAATCTAATTAACAAAAAGAAAAAAAAACTCGTCAAGTGTCCGACTCCAATTTAAAATTGAACTTCATGCTAAAATGTCCCTATCATAATGCTATATACAAACGTAAAAGGAAAAATGGAAACGTAAATGATCACGATCTAGACCGTACTTTTTATGCTCATCTCACTCACACCGCTTCAGATAATTCATTTCTTCTGCAGCTCCTCCCGCAGCTCCTGCTTCACTCGCGTCACAGTTCCAATACCACCGTAAACCACACCAGTATACATCATCGCGACCGAGGCTCCAGCCTCCAGCGCCTGACGCGCCTCCTGGCCGGTCGTGATACCACCGGAGGCGAAGAGCACCTTGCGGGGGTGGCTCGATGCAACTACAGGCACATTCTCACCTTCGGAGGAACCAGTCTGCTCGGTCGCTTGCGATGGAGGACCCTGGTCTAGCATGGTACGGTAACGACCGACGAGCGAGACCAGACGGCCAAACAGCTGCGGGCCTGAATAGCCGCCAGTCTCCTTGAGAGTTTGTTGCTCGTGAGCAGGGAGGACGAAGCCCTTGGGCAGAGCTTCAGGTCGGCGGTTGGTTGTGTTACCGACAATGACACCGTCCACGCCCGAGTTCCAGACAGCCTCGCAGATGCCGGAGAGTTGCTCGTCCTCGTCCTCGTCAGGGCTGACCTTGACCATGACGTACGGCTTCGTCTTACGCTCGACGTTCTTGGCAGCGCCGACGACGGCTGTCAGGATCTTGGTGAGCGGGGCCGCGGCCTGGAGGTCACGAAGACCGGGGGTGTTAGGGCTAGAGACGTTCACAACAAGGATGTCGGCGTAGCGTGCGACACGGTCGACGCAGTAGACGTAGTCACGAGCGATCGCATCAATGTCGCCATCGGGGGTGAGCTTGTTCTTCGCAACCTGCACGGCAAGCAGCTTGCCAGGGACCAGACTACCAGGGGGCACATTGGCCTCGCCGTCCAGCACGCGCTGCTCAGCGAGATCGTGGTCGCCCAGGCCGGCAGCGTAGGCAAAGTCGCGCACGCGCTGCTTCAGCACAGCAGCCATGTGGTCCGCGCCCTTGGAGTTGAGGCCGTAGCGGTTGATCATGGCATGTTGCGAGGGAATGCGGAATACGCGAGGTCTGGGGTTACCATCCTGTGGCAGAGGAGTAGTTCCACCAACCTCGACAATAGCTGGGCCAAGATCGAGCAGGGCATCGGGGATATCGGCGTGCTTGTCAAGACCGGCAGAGATACCGATAGGGTTGGAGAGGGTGTATCCGAAGACCTAGACATAGATATCTTAGCACTGGCTCAATTTGTACGGGTGGGTATCACCATACCTCAGTAGTCAAAGCACCATCTTTATCCGGGTTACCCCGTTCACGAGGGTGAAGCCCATACTGATAGAGGAGCTTCAGAATGTCAACACCAAAATGATGCGCATCCTCCGCATCTGGAAGGACCTGCCGGATCAGAGGAACAACAGCATAGCGGTGAATGCTCGCCCGGGTATCCGTTCCATAGATATAGCCCACCAACAAGACGACCGCCAGAGAAGTACCATACAGAGCTTTCCGGGACCCGCGACCAGCTTTCTTAGGGATCTCCTTGGAAGCCTCCTTTACTGTCTCGGCGGCTGATTGCTGCACTGGCGCCGACTCGGAGGCATATCGCACAGCAGCGGGATAGCGCTTTGAGAGCAGCGTCGATGGCCGCTGGGACCAGCGCGATGCGGGGGGCGCGCGGGCCCGAAGGCTGGCCCGCCAAGCGATGGAGGCAGCACTCGACGACATAGAGGGTCAGGCGGAAGGTGTGCGCTCAATTGGCCTTTCTCGGCGGGTATGCGCCGGATTGGAGCTGGTCGAAGGTCAATCAATGCAATTCCTTCGGATCTTGGTTGCGGGGACCAATTGCAGGTAAATCAAGGCTTGGGGCCAAAGCCTTTGACCATGAGCTCGCTGAGGAGGTTTATGTGGCCCTGCCAATGTGAATGAGGAGCAAACTTACTGCAATAGCTTGGTTTTGAGGTTCTGCACCTTCCTTGCAGATCGGAGTATCGTAGGGCGGAATCGGGATCTTTTACATACGGGCGGTGAGTGGGGCAATCGGCAGTTGGAGGCGGTGAAGTACCAGTGCCTGTGCAAATAGTGCAAACACTGTCGATCTGATATCCAAAACAATACGCACATCGGTGTACTCGACATCGAAACACGCCCCCAATGTAATAATGGAGGAGTCGAGGGCTCAAGGCAATGAATAACTTGGGACATGGCCTATCCTGGCTTTCACCAACTCCACCCCGAACTAGAAGACGTGGGAGCTTTGGACATACCTGTCTTTCACGACACGGACAACTCCCCACTCTACGAAGACCCATATCAAGGTCTGCTAAGGGACATTGTAGCAGCAAATGATGTCGTCGCACTTCGTCTCTACCACGCCAACCCCCACACATGGACACGGGTGTTTCGGAAAGATTACATGAACCCACACTGGCATCCTTTCTTGGTCGCAAAAGTCCATGGCTGCGGCGATGCCCTCCGCGTCTTGCTAGAGATCTACCTGAGTGATCCGGTTTACCAAATGCCAAGATACCCTCCGCTGGAGGAATATCTGGAACGTTGGGCGTTCTCGCCTATTCATATGGCGTGTGCGACTGCCGATCGGGGTTTGATCCTCTGGTTATTATCGGACAAGCAGCGGAATGGATATGAGTCGCCGTTAGCCATGCTGCGGGATCCGGGAAATGGCTACGGCGGGCGAACACCACTGATCTGTGCCGTTGGGTGGGTTGCCGCGCCATGGAGGGGATGTCGAGCGGAGGGAGGCTTTTATCTACTTTCTGCTGGATGACCTAGGTTGGAAGTTGCGCGACTCAGATGTCTATTACTCTTCTGTTCGAGGATAGGGACAACAGAGTCGGGACAGAGCACGAAGTGCCGATGACGATGTTGATGAGGATGATGCCGATGCGTAGGAGGAAGAAGATACAGCGGAAAGGGAGTTTATGTATACGGTTCTCGGCGCCGCAATTCCGCATGCGAGCTACCGTATGACGGCCCGTCTGATCGCCGCCGGAGCTGACGTGCATGCCCGACAGAGCTGGACCGATGACTATAGGTGGCCCCCTGACGAGTGCATCATTAAAGATAGCAAGGGGGTGACCGCTTGGCATATTGCTAGCTTGTATGGGAATCTCGAGGGACTGCGCGCGCTGGTGGACCATGGTGGCCGCGCGAGTGTGGCGGAGATGATGGCCCGCGCGGACGATCAGGGTCGGCTCCCCCTGCACTGGGCCTTGCTGGGAGCTGCAGAGGAGGGTTTTCATACTCTCGAATGGAGGACGAGACGACGCCCCGATCGAGGATGATGATAGACACCGTTAAATGGCTTCTCGACGCGAATCCTGATACGATCAATGCCCGCGACCAGCATGGGGCCACGGTGTTTAGTTATGCGGTCAAGTCCCGTGCGGTGGGAATTGCGGGGATCTTAGCAGCTGTGAAGGTGCTTCTCAATGCGAGACGGCCAAGTTTGACTTTGGATCCTATTCTCGACGAGGAATCTGACCCAGTAGACGCCACAACCGCTACCACCGGGACGTCAACACTCTTGCAGGATACAGTCACTTCCTATTCCCGGAGATTCAACAACGTCCGCGATGAACGCTTCACGGAACTGATCGAAACCTTCCTTGAGCATGGAGCTGATGCTCGGTTATGCTTACATCGGCTGTGTGCCGGGATTTGGTCTGTTTCGATCAGTCTCAGTATGCTGGACCGCCTTCTGGAGCCACCGACGAATATAAACGATACGGATGCCGATGGCTGTACGGCCATGCACTATCTTGTCCGGCATCTGGATCAGATCCAGGCCGCTCGCCATTTGATCAAGCGCGGAGCGGATGTGAGCGTTGTTAACCACAAGGGAAATACGCCTCTCCATGAACTGATGAAAGGAACTATGCTTCGACATCTAGATAAATATGGAAAGCCTGATCCTCCGCAACCAAGGGATGCACCGGCGCGAGCACGGGAGGAGTGGATCAAAGTCTTGCTCGAGGCTGGAGGTTCTATGCATCAAACGAATGCAGCCGGGCAGACCCCAGCTCAGCTGCTTGATGAGCTCAACGAGAGGATACAGCGTCATCGGCAGGCAGAGGCAGCACGTGGAAGAGGACGGGGCCGAGGCCGAGGTTTGAGGTCATAGACGGGAGGCGGAACTTAGAGATTTGTATCACTCTGCTCGAAAATAGCTTCTATGAGTGTAGGTCGACGATAGTAGATTCGGGTGGAAAGGCAGCAGAATGAATGTGTAAAACCCGAGACTCTTTCTAGATTCGAACGCTCTATTCCTATGCTCCTAGCAGTCGGTTTATCTCTCCACTTCCATTTAGGCTAATCTTTCGGAGCCCTTTTCGCTTTCGAAATCCAAATTAGTGATTGCAGGGACGGACTACCCGCAAATAGGCATAGCTTCATGTATAGGCATCTAACCTTCATCACAACCTAAAGTTTGTTGTAGTAGTCAGAATCGAGTCAACTGGGCATATTGCACACCTCATGATGACATCTTGAATGCTGCTGGGCGGTTTGAATATTCTGTTCCTTCCCTTGCCTATCCACACTTTTCTTTTCTCACCCATTCCAAGTCACGTACTTCCTCGATCCCATTCAATTTTTCACTTGCCTTGTTCTCCAAAATCCGCCCCCGTGCAATAACAATCCAATGTCCACATGTGGCAATCTGATAAAATGCCGCTTGTGCGACCAGGCAATACCTGGACCCAACGTAGAGGCAACTAATAAATCGTATCTACGACAAGCGATTGTTGAAGAGTCAGAAGACTGGCTTCAACAGCAATTAATGAACGGCTATGTTTGTGGAAACCCTGCTGAGCTTTACAATATGCGATTCCAAAAACCTTGGCTATGGTCGGAATTCTACCGATTCGGTGAGTTTTCTTTGATTTAGAAGTACCTGTTATGTTCTCTTCATATTAAATGCAAAACTTTAGTTTAGCACGAGCGAAAAGATGCGGCCTACAAGCTGTCAGGCGTCACTTTAGACTATTTTCGCCCCAGGAATTCTTCGAGGCGAATGTTACCAAGAGATCCAAACAAAATGATTCTTGGGTGTCCAAGTCAGATCTCCTCACAATTTATGAGTGTGTGCCTCGACAGAGGGGGTGAGCGCTTCCCAATGGGGTATGCTCTGCACGAAAGATGCTGGTCCATGATGACTTCCATCCTGCCCGAGGAGAATATCAAAAAACACATAGACATCCTGGCATGTCGATTTCTGAATAACACTTGCTGGGACGATTGTGTATGTATGACCCTTGGGCCCCAGCGTCACGTCTCGGCGATATGGCTTAAGACTTAACTACCTCTTTACAAGGAGTTTCCCCATATCGATATACTTCGAGACCCTCTCGAGGGCGACCAAATAGTTCTCGAAGAATTTACACGACTTCAACAATCCTCCTTGACCCGTAACCTTACTCAGTGGCCAACGCGGCCGAGAAAGCGACGTGCAATACTCTCGAAACGACGCATAAGGTCGAAGCTGAAGTGCAATTATGACATTCCCTGGAGCCCTCCATATCTACCTTCGGAAATCGTGATGAAAATCATGGACTTCCTTAAGAGTCCTAGGCATATCGAAGCCATGTTTAAGGCGTTTCAGAATTGGGGATGTCTAGTTCCACAGCAATATTGGCGAAGACGGTGGATCAACAGTCGTAGCCAGGAAGTCTCGTTTCTGGGGGACTTGCTGCTGCCCGGCCCCGAGGATCTGGACTGGAGGCTTGTTTACTTGTATTTTGATAAAACCATAAGAGATTCGCAGGTGTGGAGATACCTGAAATATATCATGAGTCGGTTGCGGTCGGCAGAGGCAAACTTTTTGAAAGCCATGGCGGATAAAGATTCTGAAGAAGACGAAGGGTGAGGTAGCTGGTACCCTGGGGCGAATAGGCTTTGAGGTTGGCTGGAAGAAGACGACGTTTAGTTTAGGTACGATTGACACAGGTTCAAGATAGCTCAGTTGCTCTGCATTGCTAGCTCGAATCAACATTTGTTCTGTGTCTGGGAATTTGAACACCATTAATCGTAATGATATTTGAAATCCTAGCCATGGCCAAAGATATTTGCACCACCATGAGACTCTGCTGGAATCTATACATACAAACAACGCCTATTTGCCTCATTCCCATACGCCAAGCTCCATAAAACAACCCCGAAGTTGGGAGTCAAGAAAACAATATTGCTACAATTGGATCATTGAGCCAACCATGGTCATTCGCTTTACTCATCGCTCATCCGAGTATCATCGCCTGCTTCTTCTTCTTCCTCTTCTTCTTCTTCAAGGACATCCTCCTCAACAGGCGGCGGCGGGAGAGTTTGCGCAAACTTCGGGTCGATGTTTGCGCGGTGCAGCGAGCGCTTGTAGACCTCCGCCTCATCGGGATCGCGGACGGTGACGTGGAACTGATCGATCTTCTCCTCTGGAGCCTGCGAAGCAGTGGGGGCAAGACCGGCCTGGGCGATGGTGCGAGCACGTTCTGGCTTCAGGCGCACCTTGCTGATAATAGGGTAGTAGTATGCGGCCTGTTGCTTGGTCTCCCCTTCACGCGGCTTGTGGAGAGTCAGGGCAATATCCTTTAATTTTTGATCGGTATTCAGAGTCTGCGCGCTGGTTGCAAAGGTACGTTCACGGTCGAAGCGGTGGTACTTCGCACCATCAGGGCCCTCGTTGGTGTAAAGGTCCTCATTATCGCGGTCTGGGTTGCTCAAGTCCATGCTGGCGTACACTTTCTTAACAGAATCTTGCTCCTCAGGCAGATGCAGATCGTAATCGAAGGGGATAGGGCCTGGATCGGGGTAGAGGTCGGGATTAGCCTTATGAAGAGCTTGCTTCGAGGCGTGCTCCTGGCAAATGCGCTCTTCTGGCGCTGATGGGTGAAGCAGAGCCACATCCATACGCTTGTCCCGCTTGCCAGCAATCGCAGAGACAGGCGCCTTGTCGAATTTGAATTGGACGAAACCGCCAGGGTCTGGGAAGCCGGAGAGATCAGGCATCAAAGGGAAGAACCCGACAGGCTTCAACTTCGGGTTGTCAGGGTGGACGGGACGCGCCCATGCATCAGTCTCCGCTTTTGTTGCTGGGAGGCCCCTGACTTGACTCTCCGTATCCTCGCCAATGTGCTTGCTCTGGGGATAAGCAATATCGAATCCTTTCTGAATGAACTTCTTGATGTGCTTAGGGTCTTCCACAGAGATCTTGCCCTTCTTTACTGCACGGTTCAATCCCTTTGTGGGGGCGCTTCCCGGACCAGCGGTGCGATCAACTGAAATGTGCTGGGTGCGACGAAGGAAGCTGACATTCGTGTTTCTCGGAGCAGGATTGCGAAGCTGATCGAGAGTCATCAAAAGCGGGAGGTCTGCGGGGTCCATAGGTTGGGGGTGCTCAGGCGCCATGATCGCTTCAGACTGATCAGTATTGGTCCAATTCTTGAATGTCAATTCATTGAGTGTCATCACATACCACTCTCATCTCCCAAGTGCAAGCCGGGAAGGCCGACTAGGTCAATGGGCATACCACCCTCGGCGTCGACATCAATGTTGGGCTCCTCTCGTCGCGCAAGATTGGAGGCAAAGCCCGGGGTGAGGAAACGGGTCAAACCCTCATGAGGAATGTCGAGTAGCTTTGGGGGCATATGTGGCGGAGGAAGGTCATTGCGATAGCGCAGGGACGCGATGTACTCCTGGTGAAAGCCGCTGGAGGACTTGTCCTCCCGAGACTTGGAAGACATTTCGCGGGATGTTCGGAGTGAGTAAAGGATTTAGAGAGGGCTTGCGCGCGCAAGTCTGTGGATGTGAGTCAGTACTCAAGTCGTAGCTGTGTGAAGCTTGGTGGGAGTAGACTTACTGGAGTTGTAGGTGTCGGTCGAAGGGAGGAAGAGAGCGAGGAGAGAACGCACGAGCTGCGAGAGAGACTGAGAACCCCAAGATCCGAAGCGACTGGAAGCTCAATGCTTGGGTGAAGGGTAGAAGTGACCAAACAGCTGCAAGACCACACGAACCGGCGAACATTCGGTAGCCAAATCGTCGACTTGATGCTTATTCTGCCATCCAAGGCCGCCTTCTACATTCAGAACTTCTCAATGTGGTCCGTGCTCAACTCTTTTGCTATCTGTTTGAAAGGCCTACATACGGAGTATACGATGTTGAGAAGGCAGCAGTAAACAAGCAAACCCTCGTTGAAATGAAAACGCCTTGTTCTCAGACATGGTTCACTGGAAACCGCGGTTGATGATATAAATTGACAAGTGCTTCTTATCTCCTTATGACCTATCCTGAACACCATTTGATAGAGAACCCTGCAAAGAGCCTAGACGAAACATAGAAAGAAACCATATTTAGAAATGCCTTTAGTAGGCCCACATGCACTTGTATGCCATCAAACGATGACCCAATCGGTCATATTCCAGTTGTCCGATCCAGCTGTCGTTGGTGCCACTTAATTTTCCAAAAATACTGGCACCCTTCCAGACAACCACTTGGGCATCGAGGTCTCGCGGTGGCACGCCGATCATGATCTCCTTCAAAAAACCAGGGCGAAGAGCTTTCAATCGTGCTTCAAGGAACGCATGCAGTTCGCTAGTGAGACTGCCACCTCCGACCACCATGATACCACCAATGAAGTCGCGCATCTTTTTCTCGTCTGAACGAGCAGCATGAGCGATGGAGGTCAAGATAGCATTGTCCAAGGGGAAAACAGGCAAGATGTCGTCACGATACTCGACAGCTGGACGAGCAGGCTGAGATGTCGGTGCAGTGACAGCCGGTGTACCGGCTCCGCCTGCTTGGGGTGTCCCCGCAGTTTCAGGTGCAGGGGACCCCGCAACAGAAGATCGAGGGGTGGCGTCTTGTTCCTGGATCCGGCCCAGCGCACTTGGCTGCTGAGGGCGACTGGGGGTTGCATGTACGTCGGATGTTGTGTTTTGCGACTCTCCGTTAACCTTGCCGTTAGAAGGAAGTGGGGGAGCCAGAGCAGTCATGATCTCGGACTGGGCTGCCGACGTGGGATCATTGGGTTGACCGTCGTATATATCGACGGACCTCTCGATCAACTTCCGTCGTCCTTCAAGCTTCTGAGAGTTGTCGAAGATGGTCGGCTCAAAGAAGCCCATGGGGGCCAGATGACCCTCGTCAAATACCTTGAAATTGTGCTTTTCGGTATCCTGGCCTGACACGCGAAGGTGCAAGTCGAATGCCTGCGGGGAGACTTTGGCCTCGTCCATAGTACAGATATTCTTCTTCAAGTCCTCAGCCAGCAGATAATCGTATCTGCGCCAGAGGTTGATATCTGCATATGGGAAATGGTCATGCAGCATCATCTTGATGAAGGTCTCGGTCACATCATTTCCGCCCATTTTCAGGTTCACCCGTGAGTTCTCGATGCACATACCTTCCTCGACGCAGCAGATCGATGTCTTCTGGGCGCCAATGTCGACAACACAGGCAGAGGTGAAGCCGGCACCAAAAGTAGCCGCCAGACTCTCTTGTATAAAGCATACTCGGGCAAACGAGAACTCCCGCATCAATATCTCTAGCACCTGCGTCACATAAGACTTCTCGTATAGATCCGGAATCACAAAGACACAGGAGTATTGGGGCCAGTCCTTTTTGCTTTTGAGACCCAGCTGCGTTTTAATCGCCTCTTCTAGAATCAAGGAGATGTCAAGGAACAACATCCGTTTGCTTGTGTAGTCCCTCTCATTGCACCATCCATTCTGAATAGGCCAGAAGAGCTTGTAACAAGGCTTCGAGGCATCCGGGACCCTCAAGGCTGGTTGCCCGATAATGTACTCTGGCGGAGGAGTCTCAAGCTCTGTCCATTCAACCCGCTCGGGGTCATTGTGTTCTGAGATAATCTCTGGTGTCTGCTTGCGGTTGAAGTTGATCACACCCTCTTTTGGGTTGGGCAACATACGTCGCTTGTTCGCCTTCATTCGGACCTTGAGCTCCGCGGACATCTTGGTGTATTGAGAGGACCACTGTTCTCCAATGAGCGACGTCCAGGCTACCTCTACGGGGGTATATGGAACTTACCTCTGGTCCAAAGACCCTCTCTGGGTCTTCGTCAGTGCCGTCATCCCGCTTGAACCTCTTCGGTTTCGGCTCTTCTCGGTCATCACTTTCGTTGGTACTTGATATCCTTGCGATCACCATCGGCATGGTCTTCGGTAACGCATCGCTTGAGAGGCCGATTCGCAAATTTTGGCTGCCAACATGAATGACAATGACTTTCGAGCCGGCGGTCTCGGTGCTAGTCTCCTCCTCCTCCTCATCGTCCTCGTTGGCATCGGCGTCGGCTTCTGCTTCTGCCTCTGCGTCCGCTTCTTCGTTCGACTTGTCCATTGCACGAGCGCGATCGCGGTCTTTGGCGCTCTTGGTCATCTTGATCCTCGCCTCTTCGTTTGCTAGTCGGAACGCGAGGTACTGATCGTCCCTCTTGAGGTAATCACTAGAAAGGACAGGACGCAATTAGCACTGCCTCCGATGAAGAAATGTCAAAGACTTACGTATAGTAGTTCTTCTGGTTGATTGCGGCAACTTGCGGCCAGCTTGAGAGGTCCATATTGTTGTCTGTTCGCTCCAGGCCTAGTAACTTGATGTTAGATACTCTGTTGTCCAGTGATTGCCATGTCAGGAACAGGATGAACATACCCTCATCGCGAAGGGCCTTGCCCGACTTCTTGCCCACCATGATGCGCGAATCGGTAGCGGCGGTTGTCCGGCTCGGTCGGGATCAATTGAGGTTGGGGTGCGACGGAATCCAGGGAGGAGAGAGCGCGCAACCTGGTGCGGGTTGTCTCCGAACTATGCGCTCAATGAGTTAGGATGTGGCCCCTCGATGAAGTTCAATTATGACGAGTGTAACCGTCGAATCTAGCAAGTTGGACGAGAAAGGGACGCTAGGGACAATGAAAAGGAGATACTTTTGTCGGGAAGTGCGAGGTCCATCGTGAATAGCGGCGCCATTCATTTGCATCTCCGATTGACCGCCCGCACGGACAGGCAGATCGCCAACGACCCAAGGCGGTTGCCACTAAAAGCACTTATCCTCGCGCTTCTTACTTTACTCTGATACTCATTCATTTCCCTCGCAGTCACCCACTTCTCTTGTCCATAGACACTTGAGCTATTTGTCCATTTGACGGCAGCATCCCTCATCGCAGCCCGCCAAACGCCACCGCATCGACACTCAGCCAGCTCCGTGCTCGCCGCCAAACACCAGCGCTTTGCAAATCAAAGAACACCGCAACGGTTCATACACAATCATGGGAGGGTCTTTGTCGCGTCTATGGTCCCTGGTCTGGACGAAGAAGGAGATTCGAATTCTCATTCTCGGTCTCGTATGTCAACCTCTGACTGGCGCGGGGGAGTGAATCCACTGCGGGCACTCATTGTCAGTTGCGTGAATGAAAGACTGATCAGGCTTCTTGGCCATAGGACAACGCTGGAAAGACAACCCTTCTCTACAGACTCAAGGTAAGATACTGGTAGAATTCTCAGGGTCGCGTACTGAGCGACACGCTGGCTTGAGTGCTAATCTGTTACGATTAGATCGGCGAAGTCGTTACAACCATCCCAACTATTGGATTCAACGTCGAGTCGGTGACATATCGCAATTTGAACTTGAACGTCTGGGTATGTCGCTCCAATAACTACATATGAGCTCGTATACGGTGCTAATGGCCCTTGTCTCAGGATCTCGGTGGTCAAACGTCAATTCGCCCCTACTGGCGGTGTTACTACGCGAACACTGCTGCCGTCATCTTCGTCATCGACTCCACAGATATTGAACGATTGGGAACTGCAGCGGATGAGCTTGCAGCGATGCTGAACGAAGATGAGCTTCGGGACGCAGCGCTGTTGGTGTTCGCCAACAAGCAGGATCAGCCAGGGGCAAAGGGCGCTGGTGAGATCTCGGAGGCATTGAAATTGGGTGAGCTCCGGGACCGGAACTGGAGTATTGTGGCTTGCTCTGCCATTGACGGCAAGGGTATCAACGAAGGCATGGACTGGTTGGTGGTATGTTTCCCCGGTTCTCCCCTCGTTTCTTAAAGGGCTCCCAGGGATTATCCTCACAAACTAGATGTCGATCATATACTGACACAGAGATTCGTATAGCAAACCATCCAGGCCGAAAACGCATGAAGCCCTCCTTTGTTCTCGGGCTATAGATTTTGTTTGATCTTTGATATACCTTGCCCTCCAAGTTGCTCACGCGGTTTGGAGGCCGTTCTGCTGCATTCGGGGGTGCTATGCCACTTCTTCTCTTCGGCTCTGCTAAGACCAGCAGGGCCCTTGTCTTATATTGCTACATGATTTTGGGTTGTGAGCGCCTTACGGCGGTTAGGATAATCGTTTAATACAACTGCTGTCAAGGCTTGACGGGGATACGGTGGGGTTTTCCTACTGTATATGTTTCATATCAATCTATCTCTCGCCCCGGAATGAGTAAAAACAAAATAGCAATGGCTTGTTGATTACAGCCCTTGGCAGTGGCTGGCCGAGTATTCGGCTATCACGCCCTCATAGATAAGCGTCATGTAACCCCCGCATCTACAAGATGTTAATCGCCCTGCACCCCTCAGTCCTGTGCATACTCCGTCCTTTCCTCTCGCCAATCCTTCTAGAAGAGATAATCTATCTACTCTTCATAGAGCTGTGGATTGATCCATTGACTATCGAGTCTCTAACGCAAAGACCATGGCTATTCCATCAACCCAAACCGCAGCAGCCATCCCGCCCCCAGGGCCTACCGGATCATTAAATATACAGATTAGCAAGACACACCCAATTCCCAAACCAACCGACGGGGAGGTTCTTGTCAAACTCGAGTTCTCCGGAGTCTGCCATAGCGATGTTCACAGCATCCGAGGCGACACTCCTATGCTGACCGATGTCGCTGGCCACGAGGGCGTGGGCAAGGTTGTTGCAGGTGAGGGGTCTCAAAGACGAGTCTAAGACTAAGACTCGGAATCTTTTTGGTCTACAAGAAATTGATGTCTTTCATTCACATCAATTAGTTGGACCAGGTTTAGATGAGAAGCAGTGGATTGGTCAAAGAGTGGGTATTAGGTGAGTATCAAGCCCATTGGTGCTATGTAGGATTGGTACTGAATTTTGCTATCAGATGGCTATACAGCTCTTGCTTGGAGTGCGAGATCTGTGCTATCAACCATACCTCATGTCCCTATCAAAAGAATGCTGGAGCGGTACGTACTTATTCCGCTATTGGAGTGTTGTCGAGACTGGCTCTACGAGACTACTTTTATGTCACACTAACTCTTGTCTCGTTCTAATTTTCTGCATTACTAGAACGTCCCAGGAACTTTCCAGCGTAAGCTTTGGCCTTCATCATTCTCAATTGAATCGTGGACGATGACCAATCGAATTAGAATATCTCGTTAGCCCGGCCATCCATGCAACTAAGATCCCGCCAGGGCTGTCTCCAGATACTGCGGCTCCTCTACTATGTGGTAATGTTAAATTGATGGCTCATCTCTGGGTTCGTTTCCCCTAACATGTTGCAGCTGGTATTGCAATGTACTCCTCGATCAAGAAGACCAAAGCACGCCCTGGTGACTCAATCGTCATTCTGGGTGCAGGAGGCGGGCTAGGACATATGTATGTTCTGGATTTCGACTATCGCCTTGTTCCTGTGGCTTATATTACCTGTTTCTAGGGGTGTCCAAATCGCTGCTAAGAAAGGTCTCAAGGTTCTTGCCATTGACAAGTAGGCTATATACCCGCACCAATAGTTGACAGATACTGACAGGAACCAGGGGTGAGAAGAAGAGAAAGCTCTGTCTAGAACTAGGAGCTACAGAGTTCTTGGACTTCACCGAAATTGATATCGTCGAAGCTGTCAAGGCCTCTACATCGGGTTTCGGCGCACATGCCGTTATATGCACGGCCAACGGAGAAAAAGCATACGAGCAGAGCATGCAAATGCTGCGTCGCCTCGGCACTCTTGTGTGTGTCGGTATCCCAAATGTTCCTTTCAAGCTACCAGTCACCCCGCTGGATATGATTGTTCAAGGTATGTCACAAAATTGGTCATAGTTCTCGTCCTGTACATTGTTTCATGCCTCGTTCTCATTATCTGACTGCAGGTCTCACCATTGTTGGAAACTCTGCTGGCAGTGCGACGGAGATGGACGAGCTGATGGAAATGGCGGTAGCTGGGGACATCAAGGCATGCATTGAGGTCTTTGATCTTGCTGATATTCTGGACGTACTGAAACGCCTCGAGAATTCGGAGATCGAGGGACGAGTGGTCTTGAAGATCCCTGAGTAGACCCTGCACATATATGCAGCCTTTGGAACGTTTTCACGGTCCGGTTTTTCCGAGCCATGAATGATGGCCGATCACCGGATGATCACTTCAGCGGGAAGCTGGTGTGGGTGGTCGAGGCCATACTATGTATTCAAAGCCGTGCCGCAATCAGATTGCGATATAGTAATCAGATGTTCGGCTCCTTAAACTCAGTCACTTTCATGTATCCCCCAAGTTTCCTTGAGTTGATGCTGCAGTGCATGTGTGGGCCACCCGTGTAGCCGGTCAGTGCGTGACAAGACTTGAATCAGCATATTCTGTTCAACTGAGTCTTTAAAACGATCGCCACCTTGAAAACTTTCAGTCAGTCCAAGATCTGGCATACAGAAATTGGGTAAGGCAGTCACTCACATTGATGGAGGGCCATACAACCTGTGACCATTGCTGGGGGTACGGAGCTGTTTGACAATGCCACTCCGCACATTGTCCAGACACTCTTCCGAATTTGATCCTATGGCTATCAATTAGTGACTATTCTTGACGTCCACATATGCCCTTCAATCAGTTGAGTATACGCTTACATCTGATTCCCTCGCAAGACGTCTCCTCAGGGGTCCAACAGTCGGGAGGCCAGGGTCGTGCACAAATAGCAAGATCCTCGCCAATTCATTGTATTGGTAGCCAATAGCTAGTTATAAGAGCATTAGATTTGATTTAAAATATTCGGCTTTTGGATAAGCATCAAAAAGTTCTCTCCGGGGACTTACCATGCCAAGGAGAACTAAACCGAATATCAGGGAAGGTAGTTCCGACCTCCACCTCATCACTGCCTATGAAGTATGGGTCAAATGACGGGGGTCGACTGTCAATCCAATGCTGGTTTTGTTCTTGCAGGTCAGCGTGCACTCCCGTGGAACGCGCGCCCGTGCCAAATGAAAATAACAAGACATCTGCACAGTGTGCGATAGCTTGGTTTGCCCAGAGACAGTCCCCGTCGTTAGGACCGAGTGCCGTGAAAAGCGAATGAAGGGAGCTCAAATCCACATCGGGAGCTTGTTGTAGACTAAGCGCGTTATAAATTTCTTGACGTAACCCACTCCAGTAGACTGCTTGTCTCAGGCTTGGAGTTGTTGTCATCGAAGGTGGAGGACCTTTAATGAAAGCCCTGGTCCCGAAGGAATGGCCACGAAGATCAGAACCTGCCAGGGGGCTGCAATCGCCGTCAACACAGATGTTCTGATAAAACTGTGAGGGGATGGGTACTGACCGTCAAACTCTTCCAGCAGACGGAGAATTACAGTGGCTGCCAAAAGATCGTTGTCCATAGTGACCTCCTGGTCGTTCAGAGCCGGAATTAGAGTCTCTAGACATTCTTGGTAATACTGAGCCGATACAAAAGCATCGTAACCGGTAGTACAACTCAGCTGTCGTGCTGACAGCGCCATAATAGCATTGAACAATGTCTCGCAATACCGGGCACGATAGGGAATGTGGACGGCAAAATGCCGCTGGTGATCTGTACAGTCAAACTGGTAGAGCACAGTCAGATTTCTCCTCTCAAAGGCGCAAGATCAGTTTCTGTCATTAAAGGATTCGCTCACAAATGTCGATGTTCGATCCACGAAATGTTTCAACAGAAAGGCCTCCTCGGGATCCCTCAGAGGCCACGATCGCAGCCTACGAGGTGCTTCTGGGCCTTCATCAACCCGATGATGTCCTGGGCTGTGATTTTCATTTGCATGATTAAGGTGGGTTAGGGTGTCGATATTGTGTGCAGTCGATAGAAATGTCGGTGTATCAGGACTGGGAGTCGGTGGATGATCACCCAAAACTATGCCGTCATCCAAAGGCTGGGTCTCAATGGAAGAATCGACTGTATCATCTAACTCCCCATTGCCAGATTCTAGCACAAAATCCACTGCAATTAAGATGGCAAATTAGACAATCATCTGAGAATGGGGTACAAGGAATTCCAACCTCGAGGTGGCGGCTTAACCCAAACCTGATTACCCGGGAACCGAGTGCGTGATCCTCGTCCCCTATCCTGGCGAAATCGAGTCTGTCGTTGACCTCGCAGACAACTTCGTCCCGTACGTGTGCATCGGCCACATTGGGGAAGTTTGCCATCGCCTTCAGTAACAGTTAGAAATGTCCTGTACACACAAACCCTGGAGCCGAGGGCCTCTCACATTTGTGGTGTAGCAGACGACACGGATCACTAGATGTGCAGATCCATTAGCAGCGCTCAGACATAGCTATGTTAGGACAATCTCTGACCATGATTTGATTTCCTTTGCCTTGGTCATGGCTGGGCGGTTGAGACGTTGAAGTTGGAGTGCGGAAAAGTGCTGTGGAACCAGCGAGTCCTTGAGGCCTTCCCGCCCAGGTGTGGGGAAGGCCTACTGTAGCCATACCGGAGTCTCCCCGACGAGGGGATATAACTCAAAAATAGGCGGCTCTGAATAATAAGGTTACTAAGTCCCCTGGCACTCTCTGGGACCAACTAATTGATGGTCTTACAGATCTGGAGGTTTCTGAACTTCCAGCCTAGGTACGCTGAATTATGAATCGTCGCTTCTCTTGACATTTATTCAGACGGGAATGGCTGACGTCAATTTGATTCTCCTGCAAAACTCCAAATCTATTACCTCGCGATCTTTATCTTCTTGGGTACGCCTCGAATTTCTCAGGAATGATCACCTAGAAGATTCCAGCTCCACCTGGCTATGTTTAATTCATACAATCCGCTTTCTCTTCTAATCGTACCAAATTCATCACGGGCAAATCTTTGAGTGACTCTCCGCTGGCTTCTGCGCAGCTCCCGAACCCAAGCGCGGTAGGCGTTTAGCTACCCAAACCGAATCCCAAATGCTAGTAGAGGAGACGAAAATCTGATCCACCTCTTCCAGACTGCGGCCAGCGGTTTCGGGAATCAAAAAGTACACAAGTACCACCATGATGGCATTCAATCCAGCAAAAATGATGAAAAAGCGCCATGCAATAGCATTGAACGCAATTGGCGTGATTTCAGCGATCAGAATATTCAAGGCCCAGAAGGTGCCGACACTGATGCCGTTGATAGTGGCACGCATCTTCAATGGTGCGATCTCTCCAACATACAAGAAGGACACTCCTCCGAAACCAACAATGAAAGTGAAGTGGTATAGAAAGATGAATACCACCGCAATATGCATTGCGATCTTGTTGGTCGGCTGAGATCCTAGGCCGGCTACAAGAGCCATGCATATGGCATTGCCTGCGGCACCAGCTAGCATCAAGCCTCGTCGACCAAAAGCTTCCACTGTGAAGATGCACACTGTGCCGCCAACGAGACTGACGAGCTGGTATGAAGCTGCTAGAACTCTGGAGGTCACGGAGTCGAGCCCAAGGTATTGTTCGAATATAGTGTTGGCTAACACGCAAACAAGAAGATTAGAGAGTACAGTTTCACAGGCCAAATAGAGAACATACTGAAGAACGTGATGACATTTATACCAGTCAGTTGCAGGAACAACATGACACTGGCGGCAAGCATCGCTCGGTGGAAAACTCGCTGTGGCCCCATTTGGAAGATTTGCACAAGAGACCCTTCACCAGAAAGCTTGAGGGAGAGTTGAATAGCCTCGATTTCGGCATCTATCTTGGAATCGTCGGGCTTGACATCCTCCAAGGCGGCTAGAATCTCGCGAGCCTCTGTAGCACGATGTTGTTGTATCAGCCAGCGAGGCGACTCTGGCATAAACGAAACGGCACCAATAATAGTGATTGAAAACAGGACTTGGAAAGCAAACGGGAACCGCCACCCCACGCTCCCAGGAGCAAAAGACATCCCAAGGTCCAAAAACAGACTAAGCGATGTACCCAATCCAGCAAAAAGACCAGTTGTCGCCACATGTGCTCCTCGCTTTTGAGGTGACGATATCTCAGACTGCAAAATTGGTGCTGTAGCGACTAAACCACCACATCCAAGTCCAAGGATCAGACGAGCAATGATGAGATGGATAAACCCGAAAGCACTCGCCATCAAGATTGCTCCAACCATCTGCATAAAGGCTGCCACAAGGATGACCCGCCGACGACCCAAGAGGTCGCCGAAACCAATGCACGAAAGGGCACCAAATAAGCCACCAACAGCATACAGTGCAACGATGGTGCCCTGAACTGTGGACTTTTGAGCCTTCTCAGCAACGCTAGAAGAATTGGTCACGTTAATTTCATGGAATTGCTCTTCAAAGCTATCCAAAGTCAACACTCCGCCCAGTAATGACTGGTTGTAACCAAATGAGACGATGGAAGGCATCATCACTCCCAACAGGGCCGCGACATTGAGGCGGTTGCCTCGAAGGCCCAGAAATGGGGGCATAGAGCGCAGAAGTATGATGGAATCTGAAACAAGATGCACGGACAAGCTTATTAACTTTTGATAAATGAGAGGCTAATTGACGCCTCAGATGCTAAAACGAAGGAAGTTTACTTTTGAAAGTTTCAACCTCCTAGCTAGGGGTGCTTTGATGGGATAGGCATCCTTTTTCCCCGTCATTGTTGTCGTTACACCAACATTCCATTCGAGCAATGCTTGGTCTGACCTCATCTAGAGGGACTGCCCCACTGCTCTATCGTTCTATGATAGCAAATTTCATCGGGCGTCCGTCAAGATCAACGAAATTTCTGAAGAAAACCCGAAAAGCCATGGCGGAAATTTAGCTTAGTCTCTACGAAATTGAACGACTGGAGTTATGAGAGCCTCAGATAAACATTAACACATGTCTACGCCCACACTAAATGTGTCAGGTTTTGCCGTGTTCGCCTCTGAGGTGATCTCTTTACTTATACTACACAAAGCTCGTTTTATACTCATAACATCAGAAGATTTCGCACACTTGCTGCTTGGACTGTAAGGTCAGGAAAGAGAACTCAAATGATCGCTGGAACGGTCACTTTGAAGAAAACAAAAATGTCATAAAAGATATTTCAGATTCGAGGCTGTCTTCGAAAGATCCAAGCTTCTTCTAGATACCTGTATATCTCCCAGAAAAAGTCAGATATGGAAGTTTAGCTCGCAAGGCCTCCCCGCATCAATACTAATGCACGGACGCGGTTGATCAACCAGTCGCGCGCAGAATTACTATTTTGAATCACATTCAGGAAAGAACAGCGGCGCCGCCATCGAAAAAAACCCCCCGTTCAAGCCCAACGAGGCAGTTTCCACCGGCAAATACCCTTCATCAACCCACCAACAATCGGACAACCGCCAAGTGCCTGAGCCTGGAGATACTACTCCGTACTACCCCAGAAATAACTCCCCGCTAGGAAATCCGGAGATCTCCAGCGGACGGATAATCAGCGAAATACGCATGTATATAAACCTCACAGGAAGAATGTCTGCATGGATCGAAATAGCCCAGTTCTTCCCAGAGCATCGAAATTGAAACATTATGCTGTCACTCAAGCAGAAAAAACATATACAGCCACCGCCGGGTACTGATCCGCTTCAAAGATGGGAGGGAAGTACGACTTATCTCTACGCGGTCACTGTTTTCGTGTCCTTGGTGCGTTCTTGTTTGGATATGATCAGGGCGTGACGGGTGTTATTGTTGCGGATCGGAGATGGATTGATTTGATGCATCCTAGGAACTCTTGTGAGTATTGCTGATCTGGGGAGTGGATGAGTTGTTACTGATTGATTGAATGTAGGGGTTACTGGTACTGTTGTGTCCCTGTATGATGTCAGATGTTTCATCGGAGCCATGTCTCTTGGATACCTTGCGGATCCAATACGTCGCCGATCTATCACCACCCGCAATCCGAGGCCGAATCGTCGCCATCGAGCAAATGATCCTATGCCTCGGAGAACTAGTTGCCTTCTGGATAAACTATGGCTTCAACTTCCTCGAGACCAAAGATTGGTGGCGTATCCCACTAGCCATTCAAATCGTACCCGCCATGATTCCGGGCATAGGATGTTGGTTCTGGGTTCCACCCAGTCCACGTTGGCTCGCTAGCCAGGATCGACACGAATGTGCGCGGGAGGTTCTCATTCGGCTTCATGGATCTGAGGCTGTAGAGCTCGAGATGCAGAAGATAATGAATTCTATCGAGTTTGAGCATACAGTCAGCGAGGCTACGTGGGGTGCTATGTTTACTATGCCCGTGTTGCGCGTGACATTGCTGGGAATGACGGTTCAAATTTTCCAACAAATTACCGGTACCAACTCGATTTTGTATTACACGGTAAGTACTTACTATCATTTATACAGCAGCTCGATACTGACAACAGCAGCCATCCCTGTTCGAGCGCGGGGGAATCAAAGATCCACGCACCGCCAACCTAGCCACCGGCGGCGTAGGCGTCGTTCTCTTCGTCTTCTCCTGGATCCCAATCTTCTACTTCGACCGCCTCGGCCGCAAAACCTGGCTACAATCGGCACCGTCGGCATGATGGGGGCTATGATGGGAATCACAGTATTACAATGGCATGCTGAGCACCACCTGGGCGACAGTGCCAATTACACAATCATCATATTCCCGTACTTATTCTACGTGTTCTTCAACATCAGCTGGGGCGTGGGATCGTGGACGTATGCAGCTGAGATATTCCCGGTCTCGATGCGAGCTAAGGGTAATGCTTTGACGACTGCTTCGCTCTGAGCAGCGTGCTATATTGTGGCGCAGGCGAGTCCTCCTATCGCTGATGCTATCGGCTGGGGCTTGTATATTATTTACTCTGGTGTCTGTGTCTTGGCGTTTTTCTTTGTTCGATATGCAATGGGTATGTGGACTGTCTCGCCTGATTTTCTTATAAAACGGGAAGCTAACAGAGTGTTACAGTTGAAACCCGGGGTCGCACGCTGGAAGAAATGTCGAGGCTGTTTGGTATTGAGAGTCAACTGGCGGAGCGCAGTGGCATCCAGCCGAGTGCAGCGAGCGAACAAGGCGTCGATCGAGGAGCATGTAGAGGATGTAGGACCTTCGGGTCAATGATGGTCCATGCCAAGGCGTGCGTGAGGCTTTACATCTACCAGGAGTCAAGGGTTCTAGTTGAGAATAGGTCAGACTTGCAGGCCTTTGCCAATCGATTGATAGAGGAGGTAATAGTCCTCAAATTAACATATCAACATGAATATCCATATCATGAAATTCAGAATTCCAACCGTTTCAACTCCGTAAGATCAACTCAACCGCCCCACAAAGTCCAGTTTTTCCAAGAGCTCCCTACGAAATGTGCATGGAGGGCACACCATCCAAGAAACCCGGCGGGAAACCCTGCCGTCTCCCAAACCGACTCTTCTCCCTCTGACCACAAGTTTGGGAAGATCTCAGCCTATTGTAGAATAATATATGACAGCGGGGTTGAGTGTGCTAATCCAGACCATATGCACTGTTTACGAAACATGGAGTGCTCTTCCTACTATGGATTGGTTACTACTACCTTGTTAACTATGTACGATGCTTGGAGGGGCAATCCTAATGATCCCACTTTAACAATTTTCGTGCCATCGGGGATGTGGCCGAGAAGTAACAACCCAAGGCCAGAGATGCGGTGACCAGTATGGCCAATTAGCCATGCAATAGTACGTGTACTACTTGTAGTACTGCGTAGTCCATGCAGGAACCAGGGCCGAGGCGACTCAGGCAAGGCCGGAAATGCAGACCGCCAGTTTGGAGCCCCGCGAGGGGCCGATAAGTGAACGAATAGTGGGATCACGATTGGCAGATAAGTATGTATGTGCCCCTCCTTGATGAGATCGGTGTCAGCACGGATCACCTGCTGGGTCGAGTCCGAGGGGGGTCAAAACGGTCACTCTGGTAAACTGCGTAGTCTCCTAGAAACAAGGAAAATGATTCTCATCATGGCATATTGCATACCTGTTGATGAAAACGTAGGATCCAGAATAGGGGGGTTAATAAGGAGGTACCTGGCCAAAGACTGGAACCATTACGCGAGCCCAGGTACCCGAGAAACTCTGGCCGGAAGCGGAGCAAAACCATCATCCATTGGCCCCAACAAAATGACCACTGGAGCAGCATTGCGAGTCTTGGAAGCCCTCGACTGGCCCGGTAGTTTATGAATGTCCACTTTTCTAATGCTCCATAAAGCATGATCATTAGGCGAGGTCAAGATGGACGGCTTGTGTCAATGGAGCAGTTGTAGGCACCGGATGGCAGTCGCCCGCAAGTTGCAACTCAAGTCGGCTCAAAGAAGCTAGTGCCCAACGACCAAGCTGGTCTTGGAAGTCCATCGAAGATCCTCACAAGTCGGAACTTCCTAATTGGTCCGTATCGATTGTTGACCGAGAGAGAGAAAAAACCAGACAACAATAATGTGGACATTGGGAAGTCCGAAGCACACAGAAAAAAAAGGGGGAGGGGTGAAATGGAGGAGAACCCCGGAGACCAGCGGAGCTCACGTGTGGGCCGTCTCCCCCGTTGGCAGTGCCCACTACCGAGTTCCAACTATTTAATAAACCAGGCCTCAGCCCACTTTCTTTCCGCAGTCAACACTCTTCATTCCTCACGCTACCAACACCACGTTTTTTCGGTTCGTATAAGCCTTGTCAGTAGGTTCGATCACTTCTCCTCGAGACAGTGATCACATACAACCGTCAAAATTTTCGCCACGCAGCTTAACTCGTATGTCTTTTCCCCTCGCCCTCGCCGGCATCGAAGTCCCCCTTCGAAGTTCACCGAATGCAGTTGCTAACCTCCTCCTTCCAGGCGGCACCACCCGTTCAACGGCCGACGCACTTCCAACCGTGGAGGGGCATCGGATTACGCATTATACTTGCAGTAGATCCATTCTGAGCACATCCAGTTCACTCTTCTTAAATTTCCCATCACCACCAACACCCTTGTGAACGCAATGGCTCCCCACGCAAGCTCGGATGTTGCCAATGGCACCGTGAACGGGTCGGCTCGCCAGGAGGCTTCCCCTCTTTTCACCGTCCAGTCGCCCAACGTTGTCTACACTGACAACGAGATCAAGTCTCAGTATGCCTATCAGACTACTGAGATCACCCGCACTGCGGACAACAAGTTGGTTGCCACTCCCAAGGCTACCAACTACCACTTCAAGGTCGAGCGCAAGGTCGGCAAGGTCGGTATGATGCTGGTCGGCTGGGGTGGTAACAACGGTTCCACCGTCACCGCTGGTATCATTGCCAACCGCCGTGGTCTCTCCTGGGAGACCCGTGAGGGTCAGCAGCAGTCCAACTACTACGGCTCGATCGTCATGAGCTCCACTGTCAAGCTTGGCACTGATGCCAAGACTGGCGAGGAGATCAACATTCCCTTCCGTGACCTGCTTCCCATGGTCCACCCCAACGACCTTGTCATTGGCGGTTGGGATATCAGCAGCCTCGACCTGGCTGCCTCTATGGACCGTGCCCAGGTTCTGGAGCCCAGCCTCAAGGCTATGGTCCGCAAGGAGATGGCCGAGATGAAGCCTCTGCCTTCCATCTACTACCCGGACTTCATCGCCGCCAACCAGGAGGACCGTGCCGACAACGTCCTCGAGGGTACCAAGGCCAGCTGGGCTCACGTTGAGCAGATCCAGAAGGACATTCGCGACTTCAAGGCTCAGAACGGCCTGGACAAGGTCATTGTCATGTGGACCGCCAACACTGAGCGCTACGCCGATATCCTTCCCGGTGTCAACGACACTGCCGACAACCTGATCAACTCGATCAAGAACGGCCACGAGGAGGTTGCTCCCTCCACCGTGTTTGCCATTGCCTCCATCCTGGAGAACGCCCCCTTCATCAACGGCTCCCCCCAGAACACCTTCGTTCCCGGTGCTCTGCAGTTCGCCGAGCAGCGTGGCGCCTTCATTGGCGGTGACGACTTCAAGTCCGGCCAGACCAAGATGAAGTCCGCTCTCGTGGACTTCCTCATCAACGCCGGTATCAAGCTCACCTCCATTGCCAGCTACAACCACCTGGGTAACAACGATGGCAAGAACCTGAGCTCGCAGAAGCAGTTCCGCTCCAAGGAGATCTCCAAGTCCAACGTCGTCGATGACATGGTTGCTGCCAACCACATCCTCTACGAGAAGGACGAGCACCCCGACCACACCGTTGTCATCAAGTACATGCCTGCCGTCGGTGACAATAAGCGTGCTCTGGATGAGTATTACGCCGAGATCTTCATGGGTGGCCACCAGACCATCAGCTTGTTCAACATCTGCGAGGACTCTCTGCTGGCCTCCCCCTGATCATCGATCTGGTTGTCCTTGCTGAGATGATGACCCGTGTCAGCTGGAAGGCTGATAGCGAGGGTGCCGAGTACAAGGGCTTCCACAGCGTGCTGAGCGTGCTCAGCTACATGCTCAAGGCTCCTTTGACTCCTCCCGGTACTCCCGTCGTCAATGCTCTCGGCAAGCAGCGCTCTGCTTTGATTAATATCTTCCGTGCTTGCGTTGGTCTCCAGCCCGAGTCGGAGATGACCCTCGAGCACAAGCTGCTGTAAATCGGAAGAAGCACTTTGTGATTCTTCTGGTTTAGCTTGACTAATATCCTAACTAAAGTCTGTCGTTAACTCAATGCAAACTGAAATTGGTATTCTCATACACAAATGTCTTTCGCCTTGGAGCTACTGTAATCGTAATCTAGATGATGGTAGAACTACCACCCCGGGAAACAATCCCGTTCCCAGAGTATAAGGTGAGCGAGCTAGTCACCTCGTCGCCCTCTGGGAGTGAGCAGCTCCCTGGGCAACTTGATCGCTCACCCCAATGCTCAGACTGATCAGCCCATTCAATCTCATTTTACCTCTCCGTCCCATCCTAGGTCCTGGACGCTAACCATACTGCTTGATGCTTTATTAATTATTTACACCACATTCTAGCAATTTAACAAGTCTTAACCCATTTTTAGTTCAAGCCTCAACAGCCAAAAGTATCGTCTCAACAACCTCATCCGGCATCGTCACCATAGGACTATGTCCACTCTTGCACCTCCGGGTCGTAATTTTCCCCTCCGCGTACGTCACAAAAAGTTCCTGAAGCCCAATCGGAAGCGACCTATCTTGCTCACAGAGCAAGTATACAGCTGGGATATCCTTATGCGCGGCATAGCTCAGAGCACCCGAGAAAGATGCCTCAGATTGTGGCTTCATTTTCTCGGCCCATGCTGTTGGGGATTCGTTTTGAGGGAAATCGTGGTAGAATTTTTCGATCGCGGTTGGTTTGTCGTAGAGGATTTGTCCGTCCTGGGGACTGTTAGCTTGGATACAATACATTCACGTTTCGAGTAGGGGGTAAACCAGACCTGTTTAGTCAAGAAAGACGGCCATTCTGCATCACCAGCCACACTCATCACGCTCATCCCTTCTTTAATAAGATACGCCGACACGTAAACAAGCGCAATGATTCCACCTGGTTCACCGTTCGCCTGGCGTATCTCCCAAGATAGATCCTTAGCGCTCTCTGTCCCAGGAATCCCACCGTACGAATGCATGACGAGGATAATTCGTTGACCATCCTCCGCCAGTTTCGAGGTTACTTTGTGAATAGCGATAGCGTCATCTGTCATGGACGAGATACCCCCCACGGATGGTAGGTTGACGGTTGCGGTGGGAAATCCCTTGTTCGTGAGGATGGAAATGACTGGCTTGTAGTAGTCGCAGGTATGCCATGCGCCTGGGACGAATACGATGGTTGGTAAGGTCATTGTTGGAGATAGATGGGACTAAGTGAGATATAAGAGAGGGCCTGGTCGTAGTAATGTTTTTCAGTCTTGATGGGATAATCTCACTTTTATACCTCAAGAATATTGGAAGTCGTAGGATTTTGCTAATGTAACTTTGCTAAGAGGTGGTGCTCCAGATCCCGCAATCTTGGTGATTACCATATCTCTTCCCAAAAATTGTGGAATCCCTAAGCTATGTCGGGAAGTTGCAAGTTCAGCTTGTGGCGATACAAATACCGACTATTGTATGAATAGCGTATATCTCACCTCAGCACAAGTATCGCCCCATGGTTAAGGTTAATTTAGGTAATCTGACTAATTCATAGGTAATCGAGGCGCTAGGTACCTACTACGGCGGAGGGAAAGGGGAGAATAAAGTTCATTTAGTAAAGGAAGTGGGCGAGTCAGTGAAGTTGATACCATGGAAGCCTTGGTCCTTTCAACGAGTTCCTGGCTTCCTATGTATCTGTTAGAACTTCGGCCCAAAAGTTATCTTTGTGATACTAAGCGCATAATTAGAATAGCTCATTTGGGTAACCACGAGTAGCCACCACTAAGAAAGCTCTCTAGTTCGTATACTAACTACTCCTCCTTGGTATATCCCAACTCCGAATACGCATTCAAAGCCAACTGCCCACCCAAATGGGCATACAAAACATTCCCCCCCCTCAATCTCCCCGTTCCGAATCAAATCCATCATCCCCGCAAAACTCTTCCCCTCATACACAGGATCCGTAATAAACGCCTCCATCTTCGCCGCATACTCAATCGCCTCCCAAGTCTTCCGATCCGGAACCCCATAAATGCCCCCATGATACCGATCATCCAGAACCACATCTTCATCCGAAATATCCTCCTCCTTCAATCCAATCTTGCTCGCAGTATTGCGCGCAATACGCAGAACCTGCGCACGAGTTGCCTCAACCGTCGCCGAGGCATCAATCCCGATAATCTTGCGCTTGGGATCTTCCGGGTATAACTTTTCGAGTAACTTGAATCCAGCAATCATTCCCGCAAAAGTCGACCCGGTCACGGCACAAACAAGAACCGTATTAAAGAAAACCCCCATTTCTTGTTCTTGCTGTCGAACTTCAAACGCCCACCTCGCAAACCCCAATCCACCAAGCGGATGATCTGACGCCCCCGCCGGAATATAATAAGGCTTCCCGCCCTCAGCCTCAACCTGTTCAACAACAGCCTTCACAGTCCCCTTATGCTCAATCCCAAATCCCGACGGATCAAGTCTAACATCCGCACCCATAAGTCTCGACAATTGAATATTGCCCACAACATCATACCCCTTATCTGTCCAGTCAACCCAATGTTCCTGGACAAGTTTCGCCTTGAGACCACTTCGCGCCGCGACGGCCGCGACTTGCCGGGTGTGGTTGCTTTGCACGCCGCCGATGGAAACGAGGGTGTCACAGTTTTGGGCCAGCGCGTCCGCCAGCAGGTACTCTAGTTTCCGGGTTTTGTTGCCCCCGTAGGCGTAGGCGGAATTGAGGTCGTCGCGTTTGGCGTAGATGGTTACATGGGGGTGGGGGTTGTTGGTGGCGAGATCGGCGGTTATGCGGGGGAGGGTGTGGATGGGGGAGGGGCCTAGGAGGAGGGGGGTTCGGGGGATGGTGGAGAAGGGGGGTGGAAGGGGGAGAGGGTCGGTAGTGTCGGAGGGAGTGATGGTCATGTTGGTGGAAGGTATAGTTGATATTTTGTGGAGAAGTGAGGTGATGGTAAGAGTAGGACTTTTGATATAGTCTTGGTTGTAGGAGAGTAGAGAGTCCTGGGATTATAGATATCCAAGGATAATAGAGAAATTGACTTGGAGAATGTGAGATACTGAAATTTGGTCAAATTGGAGTAGACAAGAAGAACCAAGACACATTTTATATCCCTAACCCCCCCCCTCTATCTCCTCCATCTCTAAACCTCACGGCCATCGTCCGTCGATAGATATCCACATCCACGACCACAACATGCAGGACGTGTAACACGACATGCAGCCCCCGCTCCCCCCTCTATCCAGTATGGATTATAGGTAGATCCGCCGTCAAGATCACCCTATTAGATACATACCCAGCCCTCGCTCTGTATCCAGTACCTAGTACCTAGTACCTACCCCAATACCAGCCCACTATCAGCCCAGCCCATCCCACCTCTACAAAGCCAAGTAGCAAGGTTGGTTTAGTATGTACAGAGTTGCAGTATTTCCCGAACTTATCCCGAAATCGGCAACCGTGCTTATCGCATCAACTGCGGAGAAAGTGGGGAATCCTTAGGTGCGGACATTGGCCGCTAGCAGATGACTGGGTTCTAATTCGTCTGTCCCCTGTACTTATCGGGTGACGATCATGTCGTATCTGTGTTTGAGGCCGATTGTAAGCGATTTGGAGGGGTGTTGATCTTGATAGAGAGTAGGTTGAGCGTCGGAGTTGGATGTTTGCTCCGCGGTTATCATGGATTGGGGTACTGGGGCAGGGGTACTGGTACTATACTGTAGGCTGGAGGTTAGTTGCAAGCGGTTAGGTCAATTGAACCCCTTCGATGACCTTACACATGCGAGAGAGTACAGTGGACGGCGGGAAGGTTGACTGACTGACTTAAGACGCAATTCGGTGTGTTATGCTGTCCACAAGGTATCTTAGGGTGAGGACCTTGCTAACCTTCAGTGCCTACTACTAAACCAGTCCACAGCCCAGTTGATTCAGTTTATTTAGTCTGACGAACTGGCAATTCTACAAAAATTACACCTATGTCAATACAAAACAACCCGGTTCATCATAACAAAAGGAATTCATATTTCGCATTTAACCTTTTAGGAATCATCGACTTATATATCACATATCACAACAAGTCTATTTCATATCAACGACGCAACGAACGCAGTCTCCGGCCTTCATCTGCTCAAAGGCAGTGTTGATGGCGGTCAGAGGCTCACGGTGGGTGATGAACTCGTCCACCTTGAGGTTACCGTTCAGGTAGTCGTCCACCAGACCGGGGAGTTGGGTGCGACCCTTGATACCACCGAAGGCACAGCCCTTCCACACACGACCGGTGACCAATTGGAATGCTAGAAAGCAAAGGATTAGCAAGGAAACTCGGGGGAAGAGACTACTACCGGGTTCAAACTTACGACGAGTGGAAATCTCCTGGCCAGCGGCAGCAACACCAATGACAATACTCTCACCCCAACCCTTGTGGCAAGCCTCGAGAGCAGCACGCATAACACCAACATTACCAGTGCAATCAAAGGTGTAGTCACAGCCACCATCCGTCATCTCAATCAAGTGCTCCTGAATAGTCTTACCCTGGAGCTTGGTAGGGTTGACGAAGTGGGTAGCACCGAACTTGCGAGCCCAGGCCTCCTTACCATCATTCACATCGACAGCAATGATCATGCCAGCTTTGTTCTTGACAGCACCCTGCACAACGGACAGACCAACACAGCCAACGCCGAAGACAGCCACGTTGGAGCCCTCCTCTACCTTGGCGGTCTCGACGGCCGCACCGTAACCGGTGGTGATACCACAGCCCAGCAGACAGGCGCGGTCGGTGGCGATCTTGGGAGTCACGGCCACGACGGAAATGTCGGCGACGACGGTGTACTGGGAGAAGGTGGAGGTTCCCATGAAGTGGAGGATGTCCTTGCCGCGGGCCTTGAAGCGGGAGGTGCCGTCGGGCATGACACCCTTACCCTGGGTGGCGCGGATCTTGCCGCAGAGGTTGGTCTTGCCAGACTTGCAGAACTTGCACTCACGGCATTCGGGGGTGCTATATGATGATTAGCAGGGTGTTCAGGCTAGCGAAAGCTACGCAGATGCATAGCCAGACGGTGAGAATTGGAGAACGTACTAGAGAGCGATAACATAGTCACCGGGCTTGACGGAAGTCACACCCTCGCCGACAGACTCGACGATACCGGCACCCTCGTGACCCAAGACGATAGGGAAAGCACCCTCGGGGTCCTTACCGGACAGAGTGTAGGCATCTAGATAACCAGACATCAGTACATCATCTTCTCTGTATCTTTCTGCCTTTGCATTGTATTCTGTGCATGGCGGGGTCCATCGCGGGACTTACCGGTGTGGCAGACACCAGTGTGATGAATCTGAATGCGGACCTCGTGGGCCTTGGGGGGAGCAACCTCGACATCCTCGACGGAGAGAGGCTCGCCGGCAGCCCAGGCAATGGCAGCCTTAAAAGTAAAACAGTTCGATTAGATTTGATTCATAGAGAGTGGTGCTAGCTGGCGCAATTGATGGCGGCGTGTGTCGCGCGCGTGTAAAAGTGGCGCGCGGGGTTGTGCCAACGTCATTACACGCGGCGGGATCGGAATGGAATGGGCAGAGAGAGCTTTACCTTGCAAGTGATGGTCTAGCAAGCAATGTTAGTTCCATGATCAATCTTGTCCAAATAAAAAGTATCGCGGACATTGGGGGAGAGCTATGTACCTTTCCTACGGTGCTGGCCATGGTTGTGTGATGATGAAAGTAGAGTGTATCTCGTCCCACACAATACTCTAGAAGGCGGTGATGGGTGGTTAGTCAAGTGACGACGAGTGGAAGGTGGGGTTGGAGCTTGGAAGGGGGCAGAACAGAAAAGAGACTCACCAAGTTGAATTGATGCAAGAACGGGAAGAAAGGAAGAAAGTGGACGAGTGAAGGGTTTTGAAGGAAGCCCTTTTGCGAGGGGAGTGGAGCAAAAGAAAGCGCAATGAGGGGAGTGGGGGGAAATTGACTGAGGAGGTGGGCGGATTTCGACAAGGATATTAAGTATGGCCGTAGAGAAGAGGAGAGGAACTGAGATGAGGAGAGGCTCAGTGAGGGGCCCGTCTCCAACGGCTGGCTGGCCCGACTCGCCCGGTTCCTTTTCTTTCAATTGTGAATTGGATTCCACGGATGGTTCTATTTTGAGTTGGCTAATACTATTCTGTTGGGCTATCTTGATACTGCCTCTATCTTGAGATCTGCTCGAGCCTCGAGCTATCTACTAGTATCATAGCTATATCAAGCTATGGAGCTATCTACCGATGTCCTCGGAAAAGCATTATGTATGACACGGTCCGTCTCCGTCCCCACCCCAGACAAAAGGAGAATCATGAAGAAGACAGTAGATAAACAGTTTTTACAGACAACTCCATATTATAACTGATCAATTAACGATATCAGAGTCTACTCGATCTCACCCTCAAGTAAGCTAACGGTATAGTAGTAGTCTATAGTTATTTTAGACCCCGCATTAGAATGGAGAGATCTGATCATCTGACGAGGGGGGAAATCAGTCGAGCCGCCGGGAAACGGGACCGTACCCGGGCTTATCGCAAATTCTCCATCGCGGGCCCCCAAAACGGTAAAGGATTCCGGCGTTTGAAAAGTCCCAATACTGTGATGCTCGACCAATCACAATCTCTTATCATGGACTGGCAGCTGTCTCCCCAATTGATATCGAGACATCTCGGGCCTTGGATGAAGCTATCACTAATTCGGGTGACTGCCGCGGGCACCGTCATACTCTAGTACATCTAATATTCACGATCCTATGCAGACGAAGACACTCCTCTCGGCACATGGGACGATGCCGCTTTTATATTTCAAGATCAGAATGGATAGGGATGTTCATTCTCCCTATTACATCCCGTCCAAATCACTATGGTACATGAAGGGAACCGATTCCCCCGGCAATCCCTGAAACACAGATTACACGAGCATCGGTTTACCGGGGGAAGTTTCAATCGGTTCCCATAGAGGGGAGGTCCCCAGGCCGTTCAGGTGCTCAGATATCTCGGCCCTGACACTCGGCCCGGGCGAAATACAACTCTTCTTCCATCATCAATTCTCTCCTGTCTTGATCTCTGTTTCCTCAACATCAAGACACCCTCGGGACCCCGGCTATCAGATATTAGACGCTTATTTGCCGCCCAGCTGGCCGCTCTGCATCATAGCAGCGTTCTGCTCCTGGAATCGCTCGTTCAGGCGTTGGGAGCTCTTGAGGTGCTTGTCGACGCAGCGCATGATGCACTGCTCTTCGCGATTGATCAGGGACTTGGTGGTGAAATCGTTGACGCAGTCATCGAAGCAGCGCTGGACCATCTTGGAGTACATCTAGAAAGATGTATTAGATTTGAAATAGAATTCAAGTGGGAAGGTGCGAAGAGGCAATGAGCAAATGTGAGTTGACGAAGACGGGTTCGATATGAAGGCCCGAGATGGAGGAACGCCAGATGAGCCGGTTAGGTAGGGCTGGTGTTCAATGGGAAGGTATGTTCGGGGACAACCGTACAGTCATAAACTCCTTCAGCTGCTTGCGCTCCATGCGGGCAGCGAACTCGCGCTGCTCGTTTGCGTTGAGGCTATTATCAGTCGTTCGTTAGTATCGGAACTCGCCAGCGAGATTGGCATGCACTGATTAGCAGGCATGTCGATTGTGAGGACACGTACCCGTCCATTATGTGTGATAGTGTTTTGATTGAGATTGGTTGGTTGATAGAGTGGACGTCTGATGTAAAATAACAACCGGTTCGGCGAGGCGTGGAGCTCCGAAGCTGCTTCTCGGCGCAACTACGTTTGTCCGCGGACCGGGAGGATAGTCATGTGATGGAACTCGGGTTTGAGATTATGTTATATAGGTCACATGACTTGGAAGACATCCAGGTCATGTGATCCATCGTTTGCGGCGGAGGTGGAGTCCCGTGCAGAAGAATCCCCACAGTTGCTTGTAGAGAGAGGCAGTGATCAGCTCACGTTTCTGAAGCCAGACCGGTGAAGATAAAGATATCGTCTAGTTAGTTTCTCGAATGCCTTTTCATGATCAATTCTAATTATTTACTTTCGCATGTGAGACCACATTTTGAGCCTATCCATGAAGAAGCTCCTAACTTCTTGCGGGGTCCCAACCCTACAGAACGCCACTTTACATACTTCATCCATAGGTTTATTCAGCACCTGAGCATAAGAACAGATAATGAAGATGACGATACAAAGATATCTAATAGGAAAAGTACCTTTGAAAGATCCTTTTTCTTTAGTGCTGCTTTACCATTCTTGTCACCGTCGCTGCCGGGCCCGTCAGCCGAGGCGGTGCCTGAAAGGGCCCCCCCATTTTGTGCCCGTTGCTGGAACCGATGGAGCTGGTTCCTGGATCCGGCGGTCATTCGAGACCCCTAAGAACCCTCTCCCAAGAATGGCCCCGTCCAGACACTCGGTCCAGCCAACGGTCCCGGGAGATTCGAGTACTATTAATAAATTTGTAGCAGAATGAAATGATTCCTAATCCATGGATTTGTAGCCCTACTACTACTGACTAGCAGCTTTTTCTGACTCTTTGCAGGTCATGCTGGAAACGTTGAAAATTGGGAGTCTTACATGCCATGTCAGCCCTCTAGACTACTCAATGCTTTGTACTCCACAAGGGTCTTTTGTATACTTCCAGAACAAGTCTACGATACTCCAATAATGCATACTTGAAGACTTCTTTCTCCATACTCCATATTTTCGTACATTCCGTCATATTCGACTGCAGATGGAAGTTCCGACAGACTGGTTCAGAGGCGCGCGCATAGGGCTCTGTTTCATGTAGAGTCCATAGTCATAGACACAACTCTTTACTAACTAATTACCACTCTTGACCTTCTCTGTGCGGCTCTCTCCTTTCGTTCTAGCCCTTTACCAATCACCAGGGTCTACGTATCCTTCTGCTTACCAGGCTGGGCTCCTTTTTTTCTCCCTTTTCTACTATTCCAACTCCATTTGTGCAATTCATAGCTAGCACAGCGCTTGGACATCTGGGACATCGAACTGATGGTTCTGCAGACGACCTTCAATCTCACCCTAACTAAGTCATCCAACATTCTCCATCGTTGTCCGCCTTCTCTTCTCCTATTCTTCTACTCTGCTTTGTTACTCTATTTCTCTCGCTGGCCCCCTTTCTCGACTATCGCCGACCACCGAATCATATTGGACTCTGGTCCCGAGAAGACCACAGTTGTGGCTCGTGCCCACTCCCCCCAACCCAAATTGACCCAAAATCCATCAACTGGGACCCCCCTCCTCCCCGAACCCTTGACCACCCTTTCGACCCTGTCGCATCCCTTCTTCATCCTTCCTCCTTTTCACCTTTCTTCCTGTCTATTCTTCATCCTCCCTACTTCCTTTGATCGTCATCAAGTCTCCCTGCTTTACCGACAGCTTTAATATCCCCCTGTTCGTTTGCCACCGCCATCCTGGGCCCAGCCCCAGGATTTCCGATTTCCTACACGAGGGCGGTGACGCAGGCCCTTCGACGTTCCCGCGATCATCCCTCATTCCCCTCCACACTCTTGATTTGAACTGTCATATTCATTTTCGCCGAAATCTCGCTCTCTCCCCTCGCACCTCTTCGACTCGGTCTCGTTCTCTCGATCCCGGTTCACCATGGTGACCGGCAAGTCGCATCCAGGCGGCGAGCCTGTTCAGCTGCCTGCTACCTCCCCTGACCCGACCGGATCCAACTCCCCACCTTCAAAGCGAGATTTGGCTTCTTGGTGGAGGCAGTTTAAACGAAACACAAGGAAAGATGAAGTCAAAGGTACGTGATGTTGATAGTGCTCTGAGAATGCGAGCGCAAATCGGCGGTGCTCTGTTGGCTAGCATCTCTGCGCCGCGAGACGGCTTTGTCTGCGCACGCTGCAAATCGCGATTCCCCTGAATGGAAATTCTGGCGCTGCTCAGATATTGGTTTCCTGCGCTCCGTGGTCGTAGCGCGGAAGTTCCTCATCGCGGAGCCTCGTCTCTCGCTCAACGGGAATTGTCTTTCCGGAAACATAAGCTGACCTGTTTCTCGCAACAGAACCAACCCGAGGCATCTTTGGCGTACCACTAAATGTCAGCATCAAATATGCGAACGTCGCTATCTCTCTCACTGGAGAACATGGCAAAAGCCATATCTATGGATACGTACCCATCGTCGTAGCCAAGTGCGGCGTGTTCCTGAAGGACCGAGGTTCGTACAATCAGAGCTTCTACCCCCGCCGACCGAGCAACTCATTGCTGACACGATTCAATATAGCCACGGACGTAGAAGGTATCTTCCGCCTTAATGGTTCGGCCAAGCGCATCAAAGACTTGCAAGAAATTTTTGATTCTCCCGAGCGCTACGGAAAAGGCCTCGATTGGTCTGGATACACGGTGCACGATGCCGCCAACGTCCTGCGTCGATACCTGAACCAGTTGCCCGAGCCTATCGTTCCCCTAGAGTTCTACGAGCGGTTCCGCGAACCCCTGCGCGTCTATCAAAGACAAGTACAAGCTGAAAAGGAGCATGTTGAGACCGAGAAATTCGATCACGCCAAGGCCGTCGAGACCTATCAGCGCCTCATTGTCGAGCTACCCCCGTTGAATAAGCAGTTACTTCTCTATATTCTGGATCTCCTGGCCGTCTTCGCATCCAAGTCGGACCAAAATCGCATGACATCAGCCAACCTGTCAGCCATCTTCCAACCCGGAATGTTGTCTCACCCGCAACATGACATGTCGCCAGAGGAGTACAAGCTGAGTCAGGATGTGTTGATTTTCCTGATCGAAAACCAGGATCACTTTTTGGTCGGAATGAGCGGTACTACTCCCGATGAGCAGCAAGTCAAGGAGGTTGAAGCTGGCCTTCAGCCTGCCGCTTCGTCCAAGGATGTTGAAGGCGGCATCGTGTCTCGTCCCTCAACAACTTCAAACATTCGACGCTCCGTTTCAAATGCGAGCGGCAATGACGGTCATCGCAAGATTGACAGCGTCCGGAGAAATGTCTCCGTATCTTCGCGTAACTCCCGCGGCTCCCGTCATTCAAACAATGCTCCTTCTCCCGGTACGCCCACCTCGACCTCGGGTGGTGGTGTTCATCGAAGCAACACCCTTCCCTCCAAGATGGGCCCCGTTGTGGCATCGGCCCGTTTTGTCCGCGCTGGGGAAACTGGCTCGGCCAACCCGTCAGGTCTCTCTGTTTCGCATCACAGCTCTCGATCCGCGAGTCGAGCACCCTCCCTGCGTGAGGAGACTGAGCCACAAAAGCCCAGCACAGCTCCGTCGGGAACCCCCATTCGAAGCGTCTTTGTGCACACATCAACTCATGGTCCTATCCCGGTCGCAACAGCTGAGCAGCTTAACATCGTCGAGCGCACTCCACCACAGGAAAATAATGAAACCCACAATCCCCCTCAAAGCCCTCCACCCGCAACTCTACCACCACAGAACCTTCAACTCCAGGGCCTAGCGGGTCCTGTGTCTCCCCCACCCCAGGTTGTAACTCCGACTCGTGAACGAAAGTTGTCCAACTTCTTCACCAAATCTCCACCACCCGAAGGAGAGGCGCGTCAGCCTAATCGTCTCAGGAAGAAGCGTATCCCGGGCAGTGCTAGCATCAGTGCACAGAGCTCAACCAACTCTCTCGACCCGCACTGGGACAGCTCTTTGGAACCAAATCGGGATCGAAAGTCTTTCGATGGTGCGGTAGGAGATACTACCCCAAAACCTCCCAACACTGCGACGCTGAGCAATCGTGATGCACACTCTGAATCTACTCCCACCCTGGGCGATAGCTCTTCGCACCCCAACACGGACAACTCTTTGAGACCCCATCAGTCGCGTACACCATCAATGAACTCTCGGTCATCCTTCACTGATCATTCAGACTTGGAACAACCCGAGGATGGCTCACGCTCCGAGCGCCGGGATAATCGACGCAGCTGGCGGTTCCATCGCTCGTCCAAGCGCAGCAGTGAGCAGATCGGGCTGGGTCTCGCTTCTCCTCCCCTGGTTGCCAGCGATTCTGGTGCTGCGCAAAGCACTACCTCATTTGGTAGCGGATCGCATCAAAGTAACGATCCTGCCAGTCAGCCCTTGAGTTTGGATGCCGGCATCCAGGGTAACTCAATTCCTAATGCTGAACCGGAGAAGAGAAGCCTCTTCGGCAAATTCAAGGCGAAGATGGCTCAAGTCGTGAAGGATGACCGTGAACGCGCGAAGAGTCCAAACCAGTCAGATGAACCATCCGCCACGAGTCAACCACTCTCTCCAACTATCCCCAACCACGCGAACGGCAAGCCTCCAGCCGATGTATTCGCCGAGCATCCTAAGGAGGAACCCCTTCGCTCACCCGCTTCTCCACTACCCGGAGCGGGCCTCCCTCCAGCCATCCCCGAGGAACCAAACAGCCCAGAGGCCCCCTCTGCAGCCGCTGAGGAATTCAAGAAACAGCTTGAACCCGAGCCTGCAACCACTGCTGAAACCACAGCGGTACCAACGGAGACACCCGCTGTCGCCGAACCGTCGAAGGAAACAACCCCTACCGACAAAGAAACAACCGCATGAGTTGATGATGTGTGATACGACGATTCCGAAACCCTTTTGATTTTTGTTAAGAGTCCTATACTCAAAGCACTGTGTCTGTGTATTGCTTTAACTAGCCCTTTTTTCTCTTTCGCAAATTCTTCCTTTCCTCTTCGTTCATTCACTTCCTTATACAGCGTACCTTCCGACTTTAGGCATCATCGGATTGATCCCTGCCAAGGGAGTGTTAAACTGGCTTCTTTCAGCTTGGCGTTGTTTGGCGCTTAAGGGTTACTAAAGGTAACCTTTTGGATCGGATGACTTCAGGTTAAAATCCCCGTGTTGGTATTTGTTCATGTTTTGGTCAGTGAGATATCCGTGTCAAGCCTCGGTGGCTTTTCGTACCTGTTGGCACTATTTGGTTTGTTTGTGCCGTGTCTTTCTGTCTGCGTGTTTATTTTCTTCGAAGGCCTGGTCTTGCTCCGGGTCGTGGTGCTATATGATAGGATCAAACGTGTTGGTTCCAGAAGGGCTTTATGAGTCTGTTTGGTAAATTTCTTGTCCATTTCTGTCCGACTTTTTGCTTTGTTGGTGTGCCTTCTAGAGAACGGTGAAGAACTCGAGGCTTGCTTTGTGCTAGATCGACGTGAAGTAATGAGATCCACGAATTATGACTGTCTCATGGTAAATGCTTCATTATGGTTTTGGCTCTTGTTGGGAATTCTTCACTCAATCTGAATTCCCAAATAATGGTCCACATCTCCATGGAGACGTCAATGTCGTCGTTCTCTTTTTTGTCCTCTTGTAGCATGATTTCTAGTAGTCTTTGGTAGCATGGAGGACGTGGGACCCAGAGTCAGCTAGCACATACGCCACTGTGAATGTCTTTATGGCCATCTTACGTGACCTTATTCTGCTCCAGGGAAAAATATTACGCAATAGATATGACACCTTTATAACTCTTGATTTGTTCCAATGAAAAACTTTTACTATAGTTGTATAGGTGGTTCTATAAATTGAAGCAAAATCGTCGCCTGAGAATCCAGGCGACAACAACAATGCAAATATGTCAAATGTACCCACATCCATGGAGGGCCCCTTCCCATCCTCATTCCGAGCCAACCGGATCTCCAAAAAAGACACAAGAAGAAAAGCGAATCCCAAGGAGTGAAGCGCAAGTTTCAATGCGCCCACGATGGCCTCCGTAACTTCGCCTTCATCCGTGAACACTCAGGGCTCACCAACTCAAGCCCCGGCCGAGAAGCCCTCCCCTCCGCCCATCGACATCCTCCCCTCCCAGCTCGCGCAGGCCTATTCATACGTGCATCCAGCAGTCCTGCTGGGGCTATATGCGTACCGGTTCGAGGCACTGGTCGCTGATCCTGTGCGGGAGCTTCTTGCGGACCTGCCATGGCTGGCTGCCCTGCAGATCTCCTTTGTGATGCTATGTCTCCCGCCGGCTGGGTCGACGTCCACTGAAGCTGGCGCTGGAGCTGAGGAGGAGAAGAAGAAGGCTCCTAAGTCACCATCAGGCCCCCTTCGCCATGGGAAGCCTGGGTATCGGCGGAAGCACTCGTCGGGAAAGAGCTCTTGGGCGTGTTTTTTCGCCAAGTTGATGGTATGAACCTACTTCTTTCCGTTGGATCCTATTATATTCGCTTTGTCCCAACTGCTAACGTTTGATTCACAGCCTGCATTCCTTTCTTTCGCTCTCACATCTCTTCTCGCCACTCCTCTAATCGCCGTCCTCCTCGTTCTCTTCGGTGCCCCGCTTACCACTCACAATGCGGAGACGATCCTCTGTGCCGCTCACATGGCACTTTTGTCTGCAACGGGGCTGGTCTATGTTCACGGTGTGGAAGCATCGGTTTGGAAGGAGGTCTGGGGAATCGCCCGACCTGTGGATGCAGTCTGGGGTAGTGCTCTAGGTACCGGTCTAGGAGCTTGGTTCGGAGCTATCCCGATCCCGCTGGACTGGTAAGTTCTGTCACTTTATACAATGAGCGACATTGGCTAACATGTATCATATAGGGACCGCCCGTGGCAAGCATTCCCTATTACCATCCTCACTGGCGCGTACATTGGATACGCTGTGGGGTCATTGGTCTCTCGGACACCACTCCTCTATGGAAAGCGGATTGAGTTTGCGCCTGAGCAAGCTGAAGAGGAGGAGAAGAAGACTAACTAGAGACCGATTGTATGAATATTGAAGTACGGCGTCTTGTACTTGTTAGAGGATGTTCTCTGTGCATAAGCCGTATTGGGTCTGTTCTCTGATAAGTACGGTCTGAAAAATAGACCTCTCGTTCTAGAATTCGTCACATAATGTATACTACCATTTTAAATCACATCAACTTTTCTAATACCCTGCACTTTAATGTCTTGTATTCTGGGTATTGTCCTCGATTACTTGATCTTGTTTGGCCAGCCATGCCTCCTCGCTTTGCGGGCACTTGAGTCTTCATGTTTCATATGAATGTTCGAATATTCACATATCAAAGCTTGCTAAACTCTTTGAAGCTACCATGTCGACCAGACCCTTTACTGAACTTGGCAGCACCTGCGATCGCCTCCTTAGAGACAACCTTGACACCAGCATTAAACTCCTGAGACATAGCATCCTGGAAAGACGAAGCCTCATAGGCACTATAGTAGGCAGACCGACGATCCGTATTCATACAAAGCTCCGGAAAAGCAATAAGCTGCTTAGCAATGTCCAGTGCCTGTTGGAGAGCCTGTCCCTTTGGAACCACCCGATTGGCAAGTCCCATCGCGAGAGCCTCTTGAGCCCCCACAGGGCGACCAGTCAAAATCATATCCAGGGCGCGTCCCAGGCCAACGATGGCCTGTAAACGGACGGTGCCTCCATCAATTAGAGGAACGCCCCAACGGCGACAGAACACGCCAAAGATTGCATCTTCTTCAACAACGCGCATGTCTGCGACGAGGCTGAGCTCGAGTCCCCCTGCCACGGCGTACCCGGCCACAGCAGCGATGACGGGTTTCTGCACGATCAGCCGTGAGGGGCCCATTGGACCTAAGTTGCGATCGTTGACGGGCTGGAGATTCTCGGCTGGAGGAGAATCGACGGTTTTCTGGGCGACATTGTGCAGGTCGGCTCCAGCGCAGAATGTGTCTCCAGTGCCCGTCAAGACGCAGACTTTCTGCGTCGCATCTGCTTCAAAGGCGAGCATGGCCTCGTAGAGTTTCTTTGCGGTCGCAGGATCTACTGCGTTCTTTCTCTGCGGTCGATTGATGGAGATGATCGAGATGCCAGGGTTGGAAGTAGTATCAGTCAATACCAGATTCGATTCCGCCATGATAGTGGATGGACATGGTCAGTATCAACATCACCGCGAAGATCGCGTGCTTAACAAGCGGGAGGAGAGACAAAGTTTGGGGTTTCGGAGAAGCAGAGAGGAGATGTGCCTCGGCTTTAGAACCTCCACACTTTGCCATCTTTCAACCATCCGATCACCGCCATGTCGAGCGCGTGTATCATCTGCCACAAGAGAAAGGTATGTTACCTCCGAAGCTACAGCGGAAGGGGCCCATTTTGTCTCCACATTGACACATTGACCTCGCGTTGATCAAGTCGGCGTTGGTGGACTGACGATTTGCAGGTGCGATGCGATTTGGCGATCCACAATCCTTGCACCAACTGCACCAAGTCCGATGTAGAATGCAGGTAAGTAAATTCCCTTGTTGATAGGTTGACGTATAAATACTAATATCAAAAGACCATATACACGGAAACGCAAGAGGTTCACCAATAGCCTGTCGCCAGGGCGCGTACTCAACAGTGACTCAGTGAGTCGGCGCAGTTCACAGCTTCCCGCTGACGCGCCCGTTGAAAGCGGAGGTGCACCGTTATCGTCCTTTGGGGACAATGCACCTCCCGCAGTGAACAATGGCGAGGCCGCTGCTCTCCCGCCAAGTAATGGCGAGCCATTCATCAAAGAGGAAAGCTACCGTGGTCGGAGCGAGTACTTAGGCGGCAGTGTGCCTTTCGACGAGAACATGGTGAGGCCGGGCCACGAGACGACATACACCAGTCCAAAGGCGTCGGCTGCAGATCTCCAGATGTTGCGCGAGCAAGGCGCATTTGAACTACCGCCATTATCGGTTCAAAATGAATTGATGAAAAGTTTTAACAAGTATTGTGCGCCGTGGACGCCGGTTGTTGACCCCAAATGGCTGGACCAGAGCACGCCACCGTCGATGCTGCTTCTCCAGTCGATTTTCCTGGCTGGAAGCAGGGTTTCCAAGGCCCATCTGGAGTATGGGTCGAGTGAGGTCTTCTACCGGCGTGCGAAGCTACTATTCTTCTTTGGTGGTCGCAATAATTCACTGATTTCGATTGTCGCGGCTTGTCTTTTGCACTGGTATAATCCAGTCGGGCCTGAGGATGTCTCGACAGATACGAGTGGATTCTGGATTCGAACGGCTGGAGCAATGGCCTTTCAGATTGGGCTTCATAAGGAACCTCCGCCCAATGCGAAGGATCGGGGTCTACGCCGACGGTTATGGTGGTCTCTCGTGGTGCGTATCTCGCAATAGGGGTATCTGGGATCTCGTGTGCGATCTTTTAACATCGGTACAGGTTCGGGATAATGTCATATCAGTCGGAGTGGGTAGGCCACGCACAATCAATCTTCGAGATAGTGACGTGCTTCCCCCTCCATGAACGATTTTCCTGTGAAGGACTTCCAGGCACAGCTTTTTCTTTCATACTGCACGATATCCTGCCACCTGGGAGATACCGTGGAGTGTTACCTACGACGAGAGATATCCCGACAGCGTCGAGTTGATCTTGAAAACGCTATATATAGATGGGCTAAGCAGGTCATCCCGAAGCTCCGCTCATCTGCTACACTCCAAGAGGACGCTATAACCTCACATTTGGAAGTCCAACAACTCTCAGTCATGTACTTCGTCGTACTGACCATTCTTCATCGCTCACCCACGCCAAACAGCGTACCACCTGCAGCCTCGCTAGTCGCATCCTCATTTATCGCCGGAATCTACGAAGAGTTCCTTCTCCGTGATGAGCTTCGTTATCTAGGACCCGTTTTCGCCTTCTATCCACTATGCAGCGGATTATCCCTACTTTCAAGCTGGCGCTACTCCCAGTTGCAAAGCACAGCCGAGCATGAATTAACAGTCATCAAGCTCTCTCTCCAAAAATTATCCGAACGGTGGCTATCCGCGGTCGGACCCCTACGAGCGTTGAATAAATTGACCGAAAAGGTCCGAGAACAAGGCCCCCTGGACGGCCAACCACCAAAACTCAACTTTGACACGGCTTCGTTCTTCGACGGGTTCGACGTTAGATTGTGCAAGCAGTGGCGCTTGATTGGGCAGTCTGCGGAGCCTGAAACTCCCGTGCCTGCAACAACAGCTACGTGTACACTGGCCGAGGTTCAGGATTCGGATGAGGCGGTTCAGCCCTTTAGTACTCAGCCTGATGACGCGGCAGATGATTTCGGCTTTCCAGCTCTTGATACCAGTATGGAGCCTTTTACTAGTAATTGGGAAGGGTCTGGCTTTGATTGGAGTGGTTCTTGGCTGCTTAACATATAATAGTGTATATTAGAATATAAGGAAGTCTCCCCTCGAGTCCATACATGGGTCGATAATTCTCATGTATACGAAGTGCTGTAACAGCCATTTAGCCTGATCCCTAGTGATAATTCGTACGTGAAACTTTCCCGGTTGTTTCGTTCCATGTTGCAACAACAGCTAATCCGATAATCTAGTACCTGGTAGATTTCGACGACTTGTCTATTCATAAAGAAGAAAAGCTAAACCTTCATCAAATTAAAGTCCGTAGCATGTCATGTCATAAGTATCATAAGCCTGCCAAGTCCCTCGAAATAAAGATCATCCACGCATCTCCTCCGCAATTCTCGCCAATTCTTCAATCTCACTCATTCTTTGCGCCGCGTCCAAAGCAATAGGTTGGAGCTCCGCTGACACAAGCGTGCTAATCTCTCCGACTCGCTGCTTCCAGAACTCCCATCTCTCGGCGCATAATCCAGCTTTTCCATGATAAAGCTTGCCGCCTCTGGTCACGCGCTTTTGCTGCTCGCTCAACTCCTTGTCGCTGAGTTGTCGATAGATCGTCTGGCCGGCATGCGTGATCCATTCGCTCACCACGGAGATGTAACAGTCTCGAGCGATTTGCTCTTGGGGTAGATCATCTTCTAGTGCATCTCGCAACATCCAGATGATCAAGGTATCCCAGCTGAGGAGTTCTTGGCCTACGATTCGGGCCATGAAGGAGTTTTGATTGATCCACTCTGAGATTCCATCGGGATCGGGTTCCCCAATATCTATTACGCGTTAGTTTATTTTATTCCAATGAAATATTTGAAAGGGTTCTTTCACTCACACTCCAGATGGTCCCTCAAACAAGGCCGAAGAATGGGGAAATCTGTCCAAAGATTCTGCTCGCTCTGTTTTCCTTGTAAGCTTTCGGGAATTTCAACTTCCTGAAAGATCTTTACTTACACCCCAAATATCCAGTGTTCTGGTTGGTATCTTTCCTAGTGCTTGCAGGAAAGAAATCATGCGTATTTGACCAGGGTGTTGAGGAGGAACTAATCTCATAACCTGAATGATCAACCCCCACAGCGACCACAGGAAGGCATCTGGATCTGCTGCAGGATCACTCTCATCAACAGGAGCCTCGGGGTCATCTTCATTAAGAGGGAAGAGATCATTTATTTCTGCTGCAGCGTCAGCAGCTTCGATAATCGGACCGGGTTGCAGCAAATCGTGCAGAATATTGAAAAGCTGCTCTTCGAACGGCTTTAGTTCCTCTTCTGCTCTGACACGCTCCAGGTCAAGTTTTTCGTCTCCTGAAGGTGTTGCCATTTTTTGCTGATGTTTGTTCCGATGATATCAATCTCAAATCAGGCTGAAATGTTTAAAAGTAGACACATCGCAGGTGAAGTGCAAGCTGACCCCTCCTTCTAGAATGCCACGCTAGTGAGTGCTCAGCCACCCACGTGCGCCAGTTATGTTTCAGGGTCTTGATCAGATGTACCTAGTAGAATAAATCAATTTCTAAGTAAATAACAGTAACTAACTAGTCTAGTGAGCTTTACTGCTCTTTGTCATTGAACAGACAAAGCCTTTCGCCGTCAGCCAAAACAAGGGTCTATTATGCGCCACAAACCCCTCCAACTCTAGAGCTTGCCTCTGTCATCCTTGATAGCCTCCAAATAATAATACTGCCTAAAATGTTCCAAGCAACCTGGGTTCGCGACCGTGCTGCTGATAACTTTAGGCATTTCTCCCGAGCAAATAACAGATTTCACCAAAGTCTCAACCTTCTTCCCATTAACGGTCATAGGGATCTCGTCCACGCCAAGAACAAATCGCGGGACATGCTTGCTGCTTAGACCCTTTCGAATAGCAGCCTTTAGCTCAAGCGAAAGTTGACTGCTAAACTTTTGACCGGGCTGCATAACCACGAATAAGAAAACAGATTCGTCGGAATCTTGCGGCCGGCGTCGGCCGATGCAAAGGGTGGATGAGACGACTTTGTTGAAGGGTGCGGACTCGGTTATGGAATATACATCCGAGGATCCAAAGCGTATACCTTGAGGATTGAGCACACCGTCGCTACCCCAGAACTGTTAGCATATCAAAACTATGTAGATTGATCATGATTTTTGACTAACCTTCGTCCATGAATCTGCCAGCCCTTCGTCCGAGGATTGTAGCTTGCCCAATCATGCTGAGCCCAACAATTCTCAAACTTGTCGAAATAGGTGCTTTTGTACTTTGACCCGTCTTTGTCGCCCCAGAAGAATACCGGCATAGATGGGAAAGACTGACGACAGACGAATTCGCCATTTTTTCCGGTCATCTTCACTGACTCACCCGTGATGGGATCAGCCACATCCACATCTTGACCTAGCATGGGAAGCTGAATTTCTCCTGGGTAAAGAGGGCCGGCAGGATCAGTTCCAATCCACGATGTTACCAGATCCGTTCCACCAGTCACACTAGTAAGATGAACACTTGGTGGGAATGCACGATAGAACCAGTGGTATTGATCTGCACCGAGATGTGAACCACCTGTCTGCACCATTCGCAACGACGACAGGTCAAATTCAACTTTCGGGATACATCGGGTCATTTCAAGTTCTTGCAGATATCGAGGTGAGCAACCCCAGTATGTCACGCGGTGATATTCGGCAATATTTGCCATTGCTTTTGCGCTGGGCCACAGGGGTGATCCGTCATATAGAACCAAAGTTGGGCCCACGGATAGGTGACCGATCATGATATTCCAGAGCACCCATGAAGTGCTGCTATACTGGAACACGACGTCACCGGAGGTCAGTGAGTTGTGTAGAACAGATGTCTTCTTGTGCTGCAAGATAACGCTGTGACTGTGTACTAAACACTTTGGCTGGCCGGTTGTGCCACTGGTGTATAGGATATACAATGGGTGAGAGAACGGCAATCTCTTGAACTCCAGCTCATCATCAGGTCGTGATGATGACAGAAATTGTTCAAGGGTTGGAAAACCCGGGTCTTCAGTCCCAAGAGGAATCACGAACGCCTTGGGTTTTACAATCATAGCCTGGAGAATATTTCGAATCTTTGCCTCGTTCGAGTGTAACTTGCCCTTGTATGTCGAGTCGCTGTCAGCAAAGAGCACTCTGGGTGTAACTTGTTGCAATCGCGACACACAACCCTAGACCCAGTCAGATAAGCTTTATTGAGTATTCCAAACGAAAGTAGACTTACTTCTTCTCCCAGATCGGGCGCTATGCTGGTCCAAATCGCACCAATACTAGCCGTAGCCAAGAAGAGGCCAACAGACCACACGCTGGTCGAAATAATAGCAGCCACTCGATCGCCTTCTTGAATGCCCAACTGCAGTAATGCACTTCTTGCTTTCCTGATATTCTCTCGCAACAACCCCCACGACCAAACTTCGCCGTTCAAGTCTTGGCCTTCGCGGACGCCAATCAGGGCAGTTTTGTTCAAGTCGCGGCCCGTGACAACATTCTCTGCATAATTGACCGTGGCTCCACGAAAGAACTCGGGCACCTTCTCCATTGGTGTGTTGGGATCAAATGCAGTCGTGATACTTGCAGGCAACGGTGGGATGATGCCAGTGTACCGGTGCAGATCTATCCAAAAGTCGTGCAAATTGCTCACAGACCACTGGTGTAGCTCTTGAGAGGAGCTTAACTGTTGGTTGAATTTTCGGTTGATATGTTCACGATAGATGTTCATGGGGATCTTGTCCTGCGGCAAGGTAGGCTTCCAAATAGGAGATGGGCCTAGGGCTTCGTCTTTGGACACAGGCTTAGCCATATCTCGTGGGAGTTGTACGTTGTATCTGAAAGAAATATGAAAATGATTTATTTGATGATACGGGTGTCGATGTGATCGCGGATAAGTATGGTTCGACCGGAACAGGTCGTCTGCAGCATTCACCTTAATATTCGCTCGGAAATCGGCTGTCGCCAATATACATTCCCCGCATTTCTTACACCTCTCGGTCCACTCAACCCGTCTCAGATAGTTCTGAGTGAATCATACGGTTCTTTTCGGTGATTGTCGGTCGTAATCGGTGCATCTTGCTCGGCAAACTATCCCACGCGTAGATCGGCTAGATGAACAAGGGGAGCCGACCCCGCATGTTATGCTGCTAGCAAGAGCATCATATAAGATACAATCATGATCAATATCGTTCTGGCTTTATCGTGAACTAGGATCGCTAGTATCAACGCTGAGTACTATGTCTGAACGTTTAACTCCTTCCACCGTCGACAATGGATTCATCCTCACAACTCCAGCGCTGAAAAATCCAGCCACATCTGATCTGGTATTCCAACGCATCTTGCAATGTAAGTGCTTTTTGATAATTTTGAAAGCTAAAGCCAATTTTAAACATTAAGCCCTTTATGTGTCTTAAACTCTAACTGAATTCAAATTTCTAGGGCATCTTCCCCAAGATGTACTCCAGAAGATCGCCCCAACATTGGGCACGTTTGGATCTGATGCAATCTCACAAAAGACCAATAATCTCATTGCAAACGCGGAAAGCCAACAACCATATGTTAAAGCCCACAATGTGTGGGGAGCACGATACGAATCAAATGGCTTGGTGACCAGCACAGGGTGGAAGGAACTGGGTAAATGGGGGATCAAACATGGGTATTATCCTTACAGCTCAAGCAGTCAACCCATCTCCTATCATCGACTAACTACCATGTTATTCAACAGCGTTGTCGGACTCGGATATGAAGAGGAATTTGGCCCATATCGCCGCACAGTACAACATGCATTGTGAGTCCCCAAGAGACTGATTGAAGGTCCCCTAGCTGAGCTATCAAAAGCAATTACTTGTTTTCAGCCTCATCGGCTGCTTATTCCTGCCCAGTCTCAATGACCTCAGGAGCAGCACGTTTAGTCAGACACCAAATTTCCGACCTTCCACCAGACCATCCATTCCACGAGCTTTACGCGAAACTCATTGCTCGCGAAAACAATTGGATCTCGGCCCAATGGATGACTGAGCGTCCTGGTGGTAGCGATGTCAGGAATAGTGAGACGGTTGCTACATACTCCCCGCTGGCATCGAAGACAGGTCGTTTTGGTACCATGGAAGAGGGTGATTATTTGCTGTCAGGATTCAAGTTCTTTTGCAGTGCCACCGATTGCGATGTCGTCCTATTGTTAGCTAAGACCGAATCGGGAGAGCTCTCTCTGTTCGTTGCCCCAACCACCAAAGCAGTAGTAGACGCCGATGGTAAGACAAAAAGAGTGTCAAATGGAATTCGCATCCACCGTCTCAAGAACAAGATGGGCACGAAGGAACTACCAACTGCAGAAGTGGAGCTTCGAGGAGTGCGGGCACATCTTATCGGTCCGAAAGACCGTGGAATTGCAACGATTGCTCTCTTGTTGAACACTACACGCACCCACAACTTTATTACAGCGCTCTCTTGTCTTCGTCGTGCTATTGATATTGCAAAGGCGTTTGCTAAGGCTCGAACTACCATTGATCAGCCTCTCTGGACATTTCCCATGCATCTAAATATGCTTGCTCAACTGGAAGTCAAACATCGAGGCTGGATGCAGCTGGCTTTCTTTACTTCATCGTTGCTGAGCTATGTGGATAATGGATTCCCGGCAGGGATATGCGAGGTCTATTCTGTTTTAGCAGAGAATTCAAGTGCTGCAACGGTTGTACTGCGAGCATTTACCTCTACGTCGAAGGCTGTTATTTGCAAATCCGCAACCTTGGCTTTCCAAGAATGTCAGGAAGCAATGGGCGGGGTTGGTTACATCGGTAAGCCTTTTGGGACTCTGTTCCTATGGTTTCATACTTACCAAGAAAACGAAATAGATGAACCTGACGAGTCTGAGTTCAACGTGAGTCGCTTGTGGCGTGACACTGCAAGTAACAGTGTCTGGGAGGGCACGACGAACGTGTTAGCTAGTGAGACGGTACGACATTTGACTAAAGGCCGGAATTTGGATCTCTTCCATACATGGATCTCCAATGCGATCAGCCAAATCTCCGATGTGGCCTTTAAAACGACCCTTCAAAACGTCTGGTTGGCTCTTAGGCCAGAACTTGAGGCCGGTCAAGATGAGAGGGGCCTGGCTGGAGTGTTGGGAGTTGGTCGTCAAATAATCTTCACTTTGTCTTGGCTTGTGAGTGGCATGCTGCTATCTCTAGATGCGCAGCGAGACAAGGACAGGGTTGCCAGAGAGGTGGCTCGAAGATGGGTTTTGGACGGACAGGGTGTACCTGGAGAGTTTGCGTTCACAGATCTCATCTACCAGCAGTCTGCTTTGGCTCAGCATAGAAAGCTGACGGATCGTGAGCGTACAGAGTGGGACTGTCGAATTGTTTGGGGGTTGAGCTTCCGTCTAATGCGTCGGCAGGATACCGAGTGGCTAAGATATAGTGCAGAAGGATGGATATGTCCAGACTGAATATCAGATTTACCAGGTAGAAACTCCCTTGAATGTCTTTATAATGCTGCTCCAAATGCATCTCAGTATTTCGTTGGAAAGGATTGCATGAGTCTGTTTCTGCCGAAGAATATTCGCATTCTTTCATATACTACATAAGGGTCATTAAAATAGGTAAAGCAATAGGAAGTCGACTCCGCATAGTAGTCCTTTTGGTCTCTATCAAAGTACATATACGAACAATCGCTCAATTCTTCAAAAGGTGGAACACTTCAAGATAAAATTATTAAACCAGAGGCTCTTCAATTTGCCGTACAGTATGTCTTCAAAATCCGGGTCAACGATCACAGCTTGGAGCTCGCCTTCTGCAGTGACCGATGCCCAGATGCCCGGTTAGCCGGAAGCTCGACCCCCCAAGCAATTCTACAATCCCATTGGAGATGCTCCTCCCCATCGTCTTGAGTTACGTCTTTAGAGACTGTAACTATATCATGGAATACCTGTTCTCCAACCCCACCTTCAGCACTGATGATCCACCGCCGCGCAATCTCTACGCTGACGGGGTCCTGGTCCCGTCCAGCATCCACGGCCAGAAGGATGCCACACAGAATCCATGCAAGGGTGAACATATACCGACGCGCATCGGCAAGAATCGTAGTAGGTAGCTGGTTCTTTGTGGACAATCGTGCTTGTAGAGCAGACCACGCGACAGTAAGAGTATTCCGAAGCGTCTCGGTGCGAATCAACGACAACGTACGGTCAACCCATGCTGCGAAGATATCAAGATTATCAGCTTTGAGGAGGAAACGAACCATCTCACTAGCTAAGACATTTGTCGTTCCCTCCCAGATGGAATTGACAGAAGAATTGCGCAGGATTCGGGAGATGTTGAATTCGGGTTCATCCGCCTCGTCCATGTAGCCAACGCCACCCATAGCCTCTTGGCATTCCTGGATGCCCAGAACTGACATCTTGCTCACCACGGCCTTTGCGGTGGCTGTGAGAGTGCGGAATACGACGTTAGCTTCGCGGCCGGGACGAGGTAGGTGGGCGTGCTTCGAAGGTTGAGTAACCCTATTCTCGACCAAGCTCATGACGGCAACGGTGAAAAAGGCGAGGTTCATGCCACCACGGTGCTTAACCTCCAGATCTGCCAGAAGACGTAGGTGCATGGGAATAAGCCACAGAGGCTCGCCCACGGTAGTGCGTGCCTTTGCGAAGCTCTTCGTGATGCTCAGGGCGCGGCGCCAGCCCGAGAGGGAGCCGATAAAGGTGTGGATGCGGGTGACATTGAGGAGAGGGGCGATGGTGACAACTCCCTGATCGACTTCTCCGACTAGATGCGCTCTCATATCTTTGAGCTCCAACTCGGCGGTAGGTAGTTCCTTTGTGCCAAGCTTATTCTTCAGACGATGGATTCTCACACCGTTTGAGATCTGTCGAGATACACCATCACTTCCAATGACCGTCCTTCGCAAGGGAGCCAGAAACGTGCTCAATTTTCCGGAGGGAGTCTTAGCCAAAAGAAGGGCGACGTTAGCGTCGGTCGCAGATGAGAAAAATTTGAAGCCGTTGATCAGATAATCCCCATCACCGAGGGGATCGACGCCTGAATCCTTGGGCAAGGGGGAGTAGGTTGCCCAGGTCTCGGTGTTTTGAACATCGCTTCCTCCTGCGCGCTCCGTCATCCATTGGCCCGATGTCCAGTGGTCATCGCCCTCCGAAATCAAGCCATTATATGCCGCATGGAACGGATGAGTCGGGGGTAGCTTCGCGATTTTGGAGGAAAGAATGAAGGCGGCTCCATCAGTCATGCTAATGGGACAGGAATAGAGCCCCGAAGATGGAGAGTAGAGATAGTTCCTAGATTAACGTCAATTAATATCTTGAACATGTAGATCAGCTCAACAGCTTAGGATAGGCTTCTTACAGTGCATATTGAACTGTTCTTCGATCCAGACCCAATGCAGAATCATAACCAGCGGAAACAATTCTATGACGAGCTCCCCATTTCCCTAGTTGCTTCCAGCCCTCAGTGGTAACGAGGCGATCATAATCATATCGTTTCCCCCAAACATTATGGCTCTTGACGTATGGCTGGTTCCGTTCGGCATCTGCGCTCCACTCACGCACTTGCTCGGAGATCGCTTCAGCTCCCAGCTGTGTGAACTGCGGTTCGACTGATCGAAGTGTGGCCGCAGGAAGATACCCTATGCACTGTTAGACTCAAAACTAAACCGTAAGCATCAGAAGCAACTCACATTCCAGCACTCTTCGGAGACTCGTATCGGTCGTGTACGTGTTCTCCAACGAAGCCGGTTGAGTGATGTAGCCGCTCTCCGCAGTAGCTGGCTGAGGTGGTGATGGTGCCATGTCGGATTTCTGTGATAGCGACGGAGTGAAAATAGTAGATTACAACTCTGACAGGGTATCTGACACCAACAGAGACCGAATCCGGGGTATATTCTCCTTATGAACTCTGGTGGGGAACTGAGGAGTGCCACCAAAGTTTACTTGACACATTCTGTGGAAGGACCTCGGCCGGTCGGCTCTCTCGTGCTTCTGAGGAAGAAGGATCCACGCTTCGGCTTCGGCGCTTTCGCGGCGAAACAGGTTGTAAACATTGAATCAGCTATCCAAGTCAATGAATACTGTAATTATGTCGCTAACGACGTGCATATGGAGCATAACACGTTGTAATGTTGCTCTTGGCTTAATGGGCATAAAGATATTGCTTTTTGTTATTGTTCTTGGAATAATCGACTAATGCCACCCAATATGTTACATTTCATGAAGCGTGTTATACCCGGTTTCAATCAGGCTGCGTGGCCCTCGGGCATCAGAGCAAATATGCCAATAAAACAAGCCGCCCAGTTTCGAAGAAGTCACAAACTCCGCTTTTTGCTGTACCGTCGCGGGAATATCGTAGGTCACGAAGCCTCCATCGGGCCCAACACAAGACGCAGCGCCAGCCTCTTTGTCATAATATTCTTGAGCTTCAGGGCGTGGAAGATCGCGATAATCAAAGACGCCGTCCTCCCCGCCGTTACCAGTATACCGCTGACCAGGCCCGTTGCTGCCGAGGAATGATCGCCCATACACAGGCACACCCAGGATAATTTTTCGTGAGGGTACCCCTTGCGATAATACATAGTCAACCGCCGAGTAACCTGAGATGGGTGAACCGTAGAGCTGGGCCTGGTGGCCGGTTTCAGCCTCCCAGGGTCCAGAGAAATCATAGGCCATGAGGTTTATCATGTCGAGATATATCTGAGCCGCAGCCAGATCAATATTCCGCAAAGCCCATTGACCGGCGGGGAGACAGGAGGTCAGAACATAGCGTGGGGCAGGCAAAACTTCGCGCAGCTTGGACAGCAGACGAACGTAATCCTTGCCCTGTTTGGGGTCTGCAGGATGTTCCCAGTCCACTACATGCAGAACATCAGCATTCGTCTTGCTCTTGTGGTAAGTTCATCAGAGGGTAGGTCCTCAGCAACGTACCGTCAATACCATCCAGCCCAAACTCATCCACCAATGCTCGTGCACTTCGAAGGAACGTTTCCACACAAGAACGATTGTGAGCAACAGCTGCGAAATTCTCACTCCCTTTGCCACCACCACCAACAGAGAGGATGACCCGCATCTTAGAGTATTGCTGTTTCAACTGGACAAAAGCGCGGAGGCAGCCCTCCGTGCCGTCCACGGGCATTTGGGTATCTGCCCACTCATCACTGAGCTGTTCAGGGTCGTCCGATTAGAGAAAACTAGATCTACCAGATTGGGAAAATATGGAGCAGTGATATCAGACTTACATAAATTGTGCCATCATCTTTGACCCTGCAAGGATTCCAGATCGAGATTAGCGCGCCTATCTATACGATTCCTCAGAGATGATTGGCTGCGTACCAAGCAAAGGCGTAGAATACGTGAGAGATAAACCCCAGACGGAGCGATGAAGGAGGCTGTTTCTTGTAAACCCGCCAGTTAGGGTAGTAGGCTGCGTTGGTGTACAAGGGCACTTCGTATGAACCGGGCGACTCGGCGGCAGCGGGGTCAACGGCCTGCCGCCTGCGGAACATGCCAGAGAACATGCTTCTTCGATTCTTAAAAGAAAAAGCCCCCTTGTCCCTTGGAAAGAAAAGACCGATCTGAGAAAATAAATAAAAAGACCGCTTGGTAATCAAGTGGGTTGGCCAAAAAGAAACTGTGAGGCACGCGAGCAGAAGAGTAGAATCAATTGAAGAAATACCAAAAGCAACCGCGTGAACTCTCCGGTGTGTTTCCTAATCAGGAATGCGTCACGTGGGCTGCCTGCTGAGTCGTGAGTTGTGAATCTTTTTGGGTTTTCCTCTGTGTCAACCAAATTGCCATCCGCACGATTGGATGGTCTCTGCTAAAATTGAGATTCACATCGCACATCTGGGGCTGTGACCTTTGTGGGGGGTTAACCCATCGGGGATTCGGGTCTAACCCCCCGCCCTCCTCCAATATGATCCGCCATCAACTGGATACGATCGCACGGTGCGAAGTGTGCGGGGCTCTCGACCTAGCGCGAGGCATGCCAGAATTCAGAATTTTTCTCTCACCTGCAAACATGGGGGCATGATGGGACCAGACACAAACAAGAGACGGGGCTGGGAGACTGTCTTCGTATTGCCGCCAATCACCACTGCAGCCTAGAGTGGCAACTCCTCTCTAGGGATGTAGTCTACCAGGCCGCTCCTGGAGATCTCGGGTCATCGGGCCAGCAATTGACAACGCGGGCGTCGCGAGACAGCCCGTTGAAGGGCCACCGCATACCAGGGGCAGCGCCTCACAAGTTACAACCCCAGATGACGTGCGGTGAAAATTCGACTAAAGGCTGCAGTCAGCCCGATTAGGCGGCAGCCCATTCGCTTGTGATGGACATGCATGTGGGGGATGCACAGAGGCGCAAACCCAGTTCCTCAACTTCTCGACTTAGCCTGGACTTGGCCTGGACTTGTACCTCGATCTTGCGCGGACGCGCCAAATGCGCGCAGGCAACCTCCGACCTCCCGGGGCAAACTACGTACTTCGCAACCTTTATTTCTCACAACCTGCGTTATTTCGTGGAGATGACCTCGTGGGAATTTCCCGCCTCCCGTGGCGGAGACATCGACCAGCCCAGACCTTAAGCGTCACGCAGGCCGAGCTGTTATATTTGCTTTTTCTTGCTATGCTCGGATCGCCCGACACGTCCAATCAATTGGCCCATACTTTGCAAGGCGAAGCAGTGCGACAGGGTTTTCTGTCAACCCCTTACTCTTCCCCGCGATGTGTCCAGTACCGGGCAGGTTATCCGAGACATTAAAAATGCACGCCCAGCAGATGAAATCGAAAGTGTTGGGGCATCTACATAACAGAGCCCCTTTCTTTCAAATATTGCGATACAAAAGTCCGAAATTCTGGGTCGTCTACACTGATCGATCACAATCTAGGATTTTGCTAATGCAGGAGTGAAGTAGCAGGATTCAACGCAGCCATCCTCCTCCCAGTCCTTACATTGAACTAATTTCTAGTACTTCACAGCCCTGTTGACTCGCACCCATTCTTTCTCGCCCTCAGAACCAGCTGGCGGGGGTACAAGGCCATTTATTTTCCACAGATCCCTCGGCGCCTCCGTGATGAAGTACTCCCAATCCATGCCTTTAGGTTCGAACACAGGGTTGAGGACCTGGTCAACCCGCGAGAGGAAACGCTGCTTAGATTCATCGCTCTGGAATGCACGTGCAAGATGATAAATCGTTATGCCCGCAAATTTGGCATGGGTTTCGCCGCCGATGAATGAAGAGCTAGGGTCGTACTCTGTGAAATGGACTTGAACGTAGAAGGTGGGTAGGCCGTGGGAGGCGTAGATGTTCGTGATTGATTTGGCGAGCTGCGCTTTCTCAGCTGCTGAGAATATATTGGGACTATGGTTGATGTACCAGGAAGGCATATTGAAGATTACGTGTAGCGTAGAATAAGACGACTGTCCGTCTTTAGAGAAGTTGAGTAATCTGACAGGAAGCCTCCCGTCTTCTATTAATACTTGTGCATCGTATGCTTCTTACATTAACTCGCTTTATTCCTCTCGAAAAGATATTTCATCATTTTCATTCTTATTGGAACCTCAATGTCATCTTTAATACGTGGGATAGAATGATCAGTAATCACACGGGGAGATAGCGTAATATCAAAATCGCCAACCGCCAATCATCGGCCTCGCCCATTCCCTGATCACCTTATCAGATATGGTTTGCCTCGGCATACCGATGGACCAGGATTCTTCATACTAGCGATAACCTTAATGTAAGTGCCAATATTGATTACCAGAGCTCGGCCTTGAATGATGCAATAGCGACCGAGAATTTCGGTGGCACCGTCAGACCTTCTAGGCCATGCAATGGCGAAGTAGGGAACTAACTATTTGGAAATGATCCTTGTCTGTGAAACGCAGGGCATTTTTCGTTATTATCATCAAATCCTGGATTGGTAATTTTATGATTGGTAAGGCTATGAAGAAGCATAGAGAATTCTATAACAGAGATGTATATATGTTCTCTGTTTGAATCGCAACTATCCAGATATCCATTATTCTCGCATACATTCCAACCAACAACGATCATGACAGGGCAACTTATTTTCATCACCGGTGCAACCGGCTTTATCGGCAGTGCTACGGCTCTTGCTGCTCTGAAAGCAGGTTACCGACTACGAGTAGCCGTTCGAAAGCCATCAGAGAAGCTCCAGGCCTTGGTGTCTGAGTACGGCCAGCAGGTTGAATACGTCACCGTACCCGATTTAACAGACGAAGCAGCGTTCCACGGAAAGCTGGATGGAGTGGACTACGTTCTGCACCTTGCCTCCCCTCTCCCTGGAGGCACAGACAAGAAGGATTACTTCGTTCCCGCTGTCAAAGGGACAACAGCCTTGCTGAAGGAGGCGGATCGGGTTGCAAGTATCAGGAAGGTGGTGGTCACATCGTCCGTGGTCTCTTTCATTCCGATCAATGGACTCCCGGAAGGGGGTGTCATCAAAGGTAAATAGGACCTGGCTTCTGCATGAACCAGCATCAACTAACATGTTACCTGCTTCATTCTTTAGAGGACAATGACTGGGATTTCAGCGTGGACGAAGATGCAAGCTTCGAGGATCCCAAAAACCCAGGCCGCACACCTTTCACGCTCTACCACGCATCAAAGCTGCTCTCCAACAACGCCACCTGGAGCTTCTGGGAGAAGGCAAAGCCGCACTACTCACTGGTGTCGATTCACCCAACCTACGTGATTGGGCATAACCTAGTGCAATCGTCTTCGAAGGATTTTGGTTCCAACGGTATCCTTTGGGGTCCTATCATGACTGGCACGCTTAGTGGGCCGAGTTTTGGAGTTCATATCGAGGATGTCGCCGAGGCACACATCAAGGCTCTGGATCCGAGAATTCCTGATGGTTCAAAGTACCTAGTGGACGGTGACAGAATCACTTGGAAGGAGGTGGCTCAAATCGTGCACAGAGATTATCCAAATGTTGGCGCCAAAATTAGTCTGGAGGCTGAGGGGGGAGCTCCACCAGTCGACACCAGCAAAGCAGAGAAAGAACTTGGGATGAAATGGCGCTCTTGGGAGCAGATGATTCATGAGTTGATGGATCAGCAGCTCAGCTTTGTCAATAAGCCGGCTGTCTGATCATCCAGGTTATTTTGGTGAATACCAGGTAGTGATGCGGGCCGCTAGGTAGAGCTTTAAAGCAGTCAGATACATAGCGCGATTGGTGAGACATTCCAGATATGAGCATAGTCCATAGAATTTTAATTTGATGAGCACACAGTCTGTTAATTGAAACACAAAATAATCCTCATTAGATTCAAAATTGTTAACACGGATTTCACCTTGTGGCTGTTAATATGCGGACCATTTCGTAAGCAAACGAGTGCAAACAGTGTAAACACCTGATTTCTAAGGCCGCCAGAACCTTCCACCTCGGATCTCGATTATCTTTAGAACTGCTCCTGTGTACGCGGTTTCACGATCTCACCTCTAGGCCGCCCAGTTATTCCTGGCGAGCTATTCATCTCAAAGCTCAAGTTCTGCTACAACTCGTCCTCTCAAAAAGAAGTCAGGTAGCTTTTGACTTCCTGTCTCTACGATCGCCCTCACCTCGCAGCTAGCTTCAAAAGCCAACATGGCCGCCGATGTGCACAGCGCGGCTTCTCGCGTCCTCTCCGCAGAGCCCACGCGCGACCCCAGCTATAACGATTTCTCCTTCACGCCCTTCCTCCGCAAGAGCTTCGGCTTCGGCCTCGCCAGCGATGTCCCCGTCTGCAAGGCCTACGGCGAAGGCCACTGCCCATTGGGACCTGCTTGCCCAGACCGACATCCCACACCTTCCCGAGTCACCACATCTACCACCACTGCCTCAGGGATGGCGCCATCTACTACACACGGCTCACTCGTCTGCAAACATTTCCTCAAGGGCCTGTGCAAGAAGGGAGTGAAGTGCGAGTACCTACACGAATACAACCTGCGTCGCATGCCCGAATGCCAATCCTTCTCCCGGTCCGGATACTGTCCCAACGGTGATGACTGCCTATATCAGCACGTTCGCGAAGAGGCCCGACTCCCGCCTTGTGAACACTACGACCGGGGGTTCTGTGAATTGGGACCCCTCTGCGCCAAGCGACACGTTCGCCGAAAGCTTTGCTTGTTTTACCTTGCCGGGTTCTGCCCCGACGGCAAAGGCTGCACCAATGCTCACCCTCGGTGGACGGAGAATCTTCCGCGCCCGACAATGCGGACCGAGAAGACTGAGGAAGAGCTGGAACGTGAGCGCGCTCTTATTCGCGAAGAGCAAGAGCGCGAGAAGGAGCGGGAGCGCGAGTGGCGGAGTGAACGAGGCCGGGGTGGTGGTTTCATGCGCGGACGGTATCGTGGCCGAGGAAGAGGTTAGGTTATTTACCAAAAGCGCCACATTTTCTGCGGTCTTGCATTATCATTTCACGGCGGAGGCGTTTCGGGGGCCATTTTCTTATTTCGGACTGATTACTGGCGGTTGTTGAGGACTGTCATCAAGATACCCATTCAAAATTCACATAGCGGGATATAGTTTAAAACCATGATCAGCAAAAAAACGGATTGATAAACACATACAATGCCACGGGAGGCCATGATAGTCTGCCAGCGGCTTGTTTCCGCGGATTCTAGGTCTCTGAATAATAATCATTGTCGTCTTGCCTTGCCAGTTCAACAGTTCAAGGTCCACTGATCAGCCACGGAACTTAATTGGCCAGTGCCTGTAATACTTGGCCGTTTCGAGGTCGCATTATTGGACAACCCTGTGATATGATATGATGATTAATGGCTGTTAGTTGCTAACTAACTACTGTATGATAGTTACAGTATGAGTTTACCCGAGGGGTCGAAAGAATGCCTTAAAAGTCAATGACTTCATCAAGATCAACTAAGCTTCCACTTTGTACTCCATCATTATCAAGGGGAGACTGTTTCCTCTCTAAGATCAAGGGGCTTCAAGCGATTCTAAATTAATCTCCATCACGATAATCCAACTTGCAGATCTGGCCAAAGGAAAATTGATTAGAATCCTCACTTGTCCCTGCCTGAGGGCTTGGCTTGGCAGTGGTATGTATCCATTTGTCAGACATCGGTCAGACTCGACAAAACATAGCTAAATCCGTGTAGACCCGGGTGGAGCCTACCGAGCCAATCATCACCCCGAATTGCTCTGTCATCGATGACTGATGCGCGTGCGTGAAGCTTTGCTATGCTTTGATAATCGAATCATACCGTAGCTAGCACCCAGGTAGCACCGATGGCGCGAGAGCCATTGGCGGGCAAGAGGCCCTCGTTGCTGGTGGGGTCAATGTCCAGAGTGCAATCGGCCAGAAATACTTAAGCTCCCTTCCCCCGCTCACCAATTCCCTGGATCCTCTCTCTCTAAGCTTCATTCTACCTCTCTATCTACCTCCTACGACTCTCCAGTCAAACTAATTCACCATGGCTCCCAAGGTTGCTATTGTCTACGTACGTCAATTCCTCCATTGCAAATATCTTGCACTTTTCCTATGACTTCCGCGACTAACTTCTGGTTCATCAGTACTCGATGTACGGCCACATCCAGAAGCTGGCCGAGGCTGAGAAGAAGGGTATTGAGGCCGCCGGTGGTGAGGCCACTATCTACCAGTGCGACAATTCTTTTCATTCCAATCTGCAATTCTTGGCTGCGGTGCTAATTACCTAATGTAGGATTGCTGAGACTCTCCCTGAGGAGGTCCTCACCAAGATGCACGCTCCTGCCAAGTCCGCCTACCCCATTGCTGAGCCTACCGACCTTCTGGAGTACGATGCCGTTCTCTTCGGTGTCCCCACCCGTTACGGTAACTTCCCTGCTCAGTGGAAGACCTTCTGGGACAAGACCGGCTCCATCTGGGCCTCCGGCGGCTACTGGGGCAAGTATGCTGGTGTCTTCGTTTCCACCGGTACCCCCGGTGGTGGCCAGGAGTCCACTGTCATTGCCTCCATGAGCACTCTCGCTCACCACGGCTTCATCTACGTTCCTCTGGGTTACAAGACCGCCTTCCCTCTCCTTGCCAACCTCGAGGAGGTCCACGGTGGTTCCCCCTGGGGTGCCGGTACCTTCGCTGTAAGTCTACTATGAAGACCATTCTATTAAGCTAGAGAGCCCCAAGCTAATTGATCATCCTAGGGTGCCGACGGTTCCCGCCAGCCCACCGCTCTCGAGCTTCAGATCGCCGAGACACAGGGCAAGTCCTTCTACGAGGCTGTTGCCAAGGTCAACCACCAGTGACTACATGGCAGTGCCGAGTCGAAGCCCGAGACTCCGGCCCCCGCTGCCGGTGCAGCTGCTCAGAAGTCTGCGCAGCCTGCCCAGCAGCAGCAGGGCAGCCGGGAAGCAGCACAGGATAAGGACAGTGAAGGAGGACCATGTGGCTTGCCCAAGAAGTGTACTATCATGTAAACTGATTGGGTTCTAGCTTCTCCTCTTTGTGCTTGTTTTTACTTCCTTTGTGACTTCCCTGGCGGCGTTCTCATAGGCGTTTCGATTTTCTTGATGACGATATGGATATATATATGACCACATCCGACCATAGAGGCTTCTCCTAGATAAAAGCTAATTCACCCTGAATGGAAAGTTCTCGTCACATTGTGCTATCAAAGCTTTGCCAATCAATTGCTCTATAGGCGTCTTCTACCTAACTGTTAGTCGCCTAGACGTAGCTATACATTTCGTAGCCAGCTTTTGGTCACTGGTCCAAATTGCTCCTCTTGAAGTAGAATTCACTGGCAAAGAATTCCAACTTGTATGCCTCGGTCATACTGTACACAAATAATAATAAGTGAATAAGCTTCATTGTCTGGAATATTCCACGAGCCTGTGTCCACAGTTATGGTATTACAAATATTACGTGTCTTATCCCCGTATATCACGTGCATATGTGGTTAATGGGTAACGTCACAACCCTGACCGCCCGCATGTTGTGACGTGACCTGCTGGAGCTCCAAAGGCAGCTCAACGCCTTCATCATCGCCTTACACCATGCACCTTCTCCTCTGAGTCGAAACCATCCAGCAAGCCCCTTCGTGTCCTGCCTAGACCCAGGTTCGACCGACCGTCCTCTCACAAAAATGGCGTCGCGCCCAATCCTCTTGCGATTTGAGAGCAGGAACGGCCAATTTCGGTTGACTGTCAACCCGCAAGACCAGTTTCCTTCTCTCCAAGAAAAGGTGATTGCGAGCCCAGTTGACCTGGTGGTCTCTATTGGTGGAACTGAGGCTAATCTTATTCAAAATCAGATCATCGAACACCTCCCCTCAGAGGTCGACCCATCATCCATTACCTTATCTAATAAACCGATCGGCACAGGCGGGGAAGAGCGAGAACTGGAAGCCTTGAGTGGAGTTGCTATCGCACAAGTCGGACTTAAGTGAGTAACAGGCTAGTGCTTCTGGGCTACTCAAGCATCAAGTACTGATCTGTTAAATCTTTTAGGCACGGTGATAAGCTCTTTATCGGGTATCAAGAACGAGCTGCTAAACAGAACGGCGCCACCAATGGCCACATACCGGTCCCCTCCGAACGCCGATTGAATGGAGCTCCAGTTCCTCAAAAACAGACCGTCCCGATCCGCGTCCAGCCTACCTCACCAACACTCAATATTCCAAATCCGTGGGACGTGGTCCAACAGTCCCCACTGGACGATCTCCTCGACAAGAAGGATGGCAAGATCAAGCGCACCAAGGACCAGCGGATGTGCAAGCATGGCCCACGGGGAATGTGTGACTACTGCATGCCTTTAGAGCCGTACGATGCCAAGTACCTCGCGGATAAGAAGATCAAGCACCTCTCATTCCACTCATACCTTCGCAAAATCAACGCTGCAACCAACAAACCGGAGATGAAGAGTTCATATATGCCGCCACTCAGAGAGCCATACTATCGTGTACAGCGCGACTGTCCATCCGGCCATCCCCAATGGCCAGAGGGCATTTGCACAAAGTGCCAGCCCAGTGCCATTAGTTTGCAGCCCCAAGAATTCCGCATGGTCGACCACGTGGAATTCTCGTCTCCTGACCTCATCAACTCTCTGCTGGACTTTTGGCGGAAGTCAGGTGCCCAACGACTGGGATTCCTCTATGGAACATACGAAGAATACGCTGAGGTGCCTCTTGGCGTGAAGGCTGTCGTCCAGGCAATTTACGAGCCTCCGCAGAACGGCGAGATTGACGGCGTTACGCTTCGTGATTGGCATAATGAGAAGGAGGTTGATGAAGTCGCTCAGCTATGTGGCCTGCAAAAGGTAGGAGTCATTTTCACAGATCTCCTCGACGCGGGCCGTGGGGATGGCTCTGTGGTATGCAAACGACACATTGATTCATACTATCTGTCATCTCTCGAGATCGCATTCGCATCACGTCTTCAGGCTCAGAACCCCAAAGCCACGAAATGGAGTCGGACGGGTCACTTTGGCTCGGACTTCGTCACATGTGTACTGAGTGGAGACGAGGCTGGTGCCATTGCCGTGAGTTCGTATCAGGCAACGGTATCAGCCGTGGAGATGGTTCGAGCCGACATCGTCGAGCCTTCCGCAGAGCCCTCTGTGATGCTGGTCCAGTCTGAAGATGACGATGACATGGGCAGCAAGACGCGATACATCCCTGAGGTTTTCTTCCGGAAAATCAATGAATATGGGGCAAGCGTTCAAGAGAATGCCAAGCCAAGCTTCCCCGTCGATTACCTGCTGGTCACACTGACACACGGTTTCCCCACCGAATCAACACCCCTCTTCACCAACAGCAAATTTCCCATCGAGAACCGCGAGGTTATCGGCGAGAGCCAGGAATTGCGACATGTAGCTCAAAAGTTGATGACGCACGGAGATCCCGACAAGGCAATCCAGGGCGTATCCGACTTCCATCTCCTTTGCTTTTTGCATGGGTTGTCTACATTCAACAAGGTCAGTATTTGTGCCTTTGGTAGAGACTTCAAGGCACTGGCAGTCGGGTATATCTCTCAGGTACTAATTTGATTCGGATCACAGGATGAGGAAGCGCTCCTCGGCCGAGTCGCGACGACCCATGCCCCCGCCGATGGAATGCAATTGTTGAATACCCCCGGATGGGCAACCTTGATGACAATCCTTCAGGAGAGTGGTGAGCGCCCCCCTAAGCGCCCCTGGCCCACCGAGGCCGAGGCATCCCACCCGGCATCATCCCATCCTGGAAAAAGGCGGGTGAAAGCACCCGCCGTCCATCTCCCCCCGATCCGTGTCTCCCAAGTCCGACGGTGAACAGCTTGCTAAGAGGTTCAAGGGAACTAGTCTAGAGTGATTAGTTCTATTTCTCCGACGTTCGATCTTCGTCCCATCTTTCTTCTAGATTCGGTCCGGCTCGTATCGTGCTCGCCTTAGAGATTTAGGATGTTAACGGCAGTTTTCCAGACGGCGTCACCCGATTGTCGCCAGAAAACATCTCTTTTCATGTTTCGAAGTGCATCATCGGCGGGGGGTTCCGGTTAGTAGGGTATAGGCGGGTGTAGGAGAAAGGGAGGAATAGAGTATCGGCGATCCTGGCGTTTAGCTGGGTCTTTAACACGATTATTATTCATACTTCAACATTCATCACCTATCACGGTGGCCTGCGGATTTCTGGATTTTAGAATTCCATACACAAAATGAAACGTGTGCATCTTCATCTTCATATTGCCGTAAGAGTAGTATCAGTTAACATAAATCGAAAACACAGCCCATTTGCGCTGAACAACAATCCTCGTATACTCGTCGCATAAATCCTGTTCACAACGTCAAATAATCTTATTCACAATCTTGCCCATTCATATCTCTATAACCTAGAAGGAAACCAGATGCAGATACCACAGCCAAGAAGAACATAACTATTATTCAAAAAAAGACAATCATCAATCTAAGACTTGTGTTGGCGACTCGCCCGAACAATTTTCTTCAACTGACTTTCCAAAACCTGCCTCCCTTCCCCATCAGTCCACACTTCATGAGGAGCATCATGAACAACTTCCCAGGATAGTAACTTGTTCGTAATATGCGAAAGATCTTCCTGTCTTTTCGCCCACTCGGAGTCTGCTCGCATCTCACGACCGGAACTTACAACGATAAGAGGCGTCTCGCCCATCTGGATATGACGAGCAGACTGAACTTCAGCCGATGTCATCGTAACCGCCACGAGATTTTCCTGCAACTTGGCCTTGATGAACTTTCCAGTCTGATAGGCGGAGCCTCCGATGACTCTGTCTTCGCGAGTTCGTCCTCGGAAAAGAGCACCGGCTAGACGATCTAATCCCAAAGGGGATAGAATACCGCGTAGCCAAAGGATAAATCCTCGGTTTGGTTGACCGATATCAGCGAGGTATGCCTCGTGAAGCGGGTCAATGAGGAAGATGCCGCTGACTTCTAGTAGATGGCGGCTAGCGAAAAGTCGAGAATAGAGGCTGCCGACACCAGCAGAGACCACGACCCAAGGTCCAGATTCGCCAGCCAGGGCTAATGCCTCGGAAAGAACGTCTGCGGACATTCCTGCCGAGTGTGGTGAGGGTGCATTATCAGACCATCCGAATCCAGGTCTGTCCCAGTAGCAGTATCTACTGATAGCGCCGTATTGATACGCATCGTCGATGAAAGGTTGCAATGTATGTTCGACGGGGCCATAGTCACCCTCAAGAAGAATGGTAGGCTCATCAGGATCCGCGGTCCGATTCCCAACACAGGCGAGATGCACCCGATATGTGTCCCCATGAACAGAGTATTGTTTCCCAACAGGCTCAAGCGAAGCATCCCTCGCACGCAGGATAAGCGTTGCCGTAAACAAAAGCGTCGCAACAGTCATCACCGTCAGGATAATTATCTCAAGAAGCACAGCAAGCCACTCTCGAAGAGAGCGGCGAGTCTCCTCACGACCAGTCAATCGCTCCTCCTCCTCCCGTTTACCCCGTGTCACGACCTGATTCTGGAGAATCTGGTAGGCGGAAATGACAAGCGCCCAGACGACAGAAGCAATGCCGACCCAGCCTTCTTCGAAACGAATCTGCGGCACGCCGACGATGATACTCATATCGATTAGGAGAAGGATGACGAGAATGATGCCGCAGATTGTCATTGGTTTCGAGGGGACGGCGAAGAATAGAAGACCGAGGGCAAGGTAGCCTGTTGTGAGGGTGATGTATGCGAATGCGAAGAACCCAGATCCGCGGGAGTGCATCAGCGGTGGACTCACGAATATCGATACTAATAGGAACGTCCACCACACGAAGCTAGCAGCTAGTGCAAGAAGAGAAAGCCCTCGCATCGCGCGTACGCTCCATAGATTGTAGGGGGAGACCTGGACGAGATTAGTATCCTTCAAGGACATTGTCGCAAAACCAGAACCACTCACGGCTGGATCATCAGGACTCAGATAGCCTTGATCATTATTTTGTGGAAGCAATCTCGAGCGCTCAGTCGGCTCTTCATGCTCTGATGCGGGTATATTCCTATCATAGACGTCGTCCCGAACCCGAGAGGATCCAGGCCTGTCGGGGTCATCCTTCTTTTGGTTCCAAAAAGAGACCATCGTGATAGATTTCACGATAAAGCCGAGCTTAGGGAAAGTTCAATCAAATCTTGACAAGAACGGTGGGGCTTATTGAAGAAGATCATAGTTCGTGGAAGATCAGGTTTGATAAGATAACCATGAGGTATGACGTCATTCATTATCCTTACCTAGTGGGGGGTTCTTGATCGAAAGGAACCATTGATGGGGTTCTATGAGAATAAACAAATAAGCATACCGGGAGAATTACTCCAGTCGTCGAAAACAAGGGAGTGTTATCGCTACATTGCACTTCAAGAAGATGACTTCTTCTCATTCAAGCGTGGGAAATACATGTCGTACGTCATCCTGGTAGAATACCAAGTTGCATGCAGGGTGAACTACGTATTTAGCTTACCTGTATAATCAACTTGGAAAATTATTACTCTACCGATGGTTTGAGTTGAGTCTGGAGTTTTAAACTCAATATCCTCTGGGCATTGGTTTCTATGAGGCAATCTATGGCTACTCTTGCACCCACTCCATAGCCTAGCCCAGCAACCTGCCAATCGCCTTAGTCAGCGAAGCTGGTGAGCATCCTGCCTGCCTAAGGTGTCTAAGTCTTGCTCTCTCAGAATGCCATAGCGCGCGGGGTGCAATGGTATGATCTCAAGCAACCTTCCAAGCTACCACCAGGTACCTCATACGTAGCAAAGTGCTTTTTTTGATGCATTGCTGTCCGGATTGAGCAACAAAGGATCTTGATACTACTTTTAGTGCTCACTAAACACAACCTCAGGTCAAAGACCACACACCGTTTACACCTCACGTGTACCATATCTCATGAGTGATCTCCAAAAGTCCTTTGCTAAGGCTAAACTGGGCAAGCTTCCCTCGGAAGCACCCATGTACCACTCAGTGAACATCCCAGAAGAACATCACGACGAGGATGGCTCTTCCGCTTCCTCGGTGTCTTCGACGGGGACTTTAATGCCCTCGCCTACGAGGAATCTATTTGCCCGAAGAGGCGGTGGGTATGTGCTCTTTTCCGTTGGAATTCCTGACTCCTGTTAGATGAAAGTGATACCGAACATTATGCCTGTTGTCAATTCTGCTTATCTTGCAATTGAGCTAATACCAACCTCTAGGCAAACAACCCAATCACTATCTTGGACAGACTTCTTCAGCCAGGAACTATTCCTACCCGAAGAAATCAACGGAATCCAAATCATCCATCATGTATACTTGACACCACCGTCCGAATCAGGCCCATTATTCGTGATGCATCACGGCGCAGGCTCATCAGGCCTCTCATTCGCAACCTGTGCAGACGAGCTGCGGAAACTCCTTCCGAAAGCAGGTGTACTGTCTATCGATGCAAGAAGTCATGGCCGCACCGCTATGACTCCAAAATCAAAGCCTTTCAAGCAAGATAATCCTTCCACTGGACTCGCTGCTCAGGCCGAGGCTGATGCAAAGATTGAACTCGATCTCAGTCTGGATACTCTCAGCCGAGACCTTGTCTTTGTAATTCGTGAGACACAGGCAAAAATGGGCTGGGAGAATCTCCCGGATATGGTGCTCGTCGGTCACAGTCTTGGTGGTGCAGTCATTACTGATGTAGCCAAGAAAGGCGAACTCGGCTCGAAGCTACTGGCGTATGCAGTGCTAGATGTCGTTGAAGGTAATTCCTCTGAATTTTTAACCATTGGGATGATGGGTTCTGAACAGCTTCGATAGGATCCGCTATGGACGCCCTCCAAAGTATGGAGAACTATCTCTCCACCCGACCAACCCGATTTCCTTCACTAACATCAGGAATCGAGTGGCAGTAAGTCTCTCTCACCCTTGCCTGTTCTGCTTTTCTCTGTGCTACGCATCTAAACAAACCCAGCACTCGTTCCCGAACAATTCGAAACCATACATCAGCCCGAGTATCCGTCCCGTCCCTCATCTACGAGGAGACCGAGCCAACCGACCCCTCACGCCCCTGGGTATGGCGCACGAATCTCTCCGCCACCAAGCCATTCTGGGAGAATTGGTTCATAGGTTTGAGTCGCAAGTTTCTTGATGCGCGGGGTGGCAAGCTATTACTGCTGGCGGGGACGGATCGATTGGATAAAGAATTGATGATTGGACAGATGCAAGGTATTAAATGGTTTCATATTACGCGCGGACGAATGCTAACGGTTATTCTAATATAGGAAAATACCAACTTCAAGTCTTTCCAGAAGCGGGTCATTTCATCCAGGAAGATCAACCGAGCAAGACGGCGCAGGTGTTGGCTGATTTTTACAGGCGGAACGATCGTAGTGCGTTGGTACTGCCGCCCAAGGTGGGCGATTTGCAGGCAGCTGCTGCGATGAAGAAAGGCGCTGGCGTCTTTGAGAAATGACCTACCAATTAAATCCAAGATAGAATATCGTGAACGAGTTCTGGTTCTTAAGTAGATGATACAAGCATCGCGTCAGGTTTACTACACGGGAGGTCTACGGCTAGAGGAAGGCTCGAAGTCATTATCAATGTATGTGTATTTTGATTAGAAGAAAAGCCATAGATATCCTAACGGTTCCATCCCCAGCATAGGTCCGTAGAAGCTGCATCAGCAGCCGCCGCAGTCCACGAGTCCTCCCATCCAGAAAGGCAAGATAACTCATAGATGGCAGCCGCAACGCTGTATCCACAGACCGAGCAGGACGGTACCATCAGGGGGATAACAATAAAGGCTGTTTCTCCAGTAAAGCAAAGAACCTTGATGGTTAATCAAACAAAATAAGACGGATTTCCGCGCCGCCACCATGCCATAACACCAGAGAAGATTGAATTCCATTTTGAAAACGCCATCAGATCCCAGGAAAAATGGCGGCGAGATGATTCTGGAGACAATCATGACCAGAGAGAAAAGAAAATGGTATCCGAAGAAACCGGGGGTATTTGCGCCGAGAGGAAATAGAAATGGTCGACATGGTGAGGACCGAGGAAATTGAATATGGCCATCTAGGGAAGATAGGCACCACCCGCAATAATCAAGTTCATGTTGGTGAACTTGACCTTGTAAACGGGACTCTTCTTGGTTGGGAAAGCGCTGATCTGGTCAGGCGTGACAACGACATCCTTGCCCTTCTTTTTCTTGCTCGAGGCTGTAGCACTTGCAGGAGCATTTCCGCCGTCAATCTTGGTACCGGCACCGCCTTCACCAACCACCCGGCCTTGAGAAGCATCCTGGGGACCGCTGACATCCCAGACGCGGACAGTACCATCGGCACCACCAGAGACAAGGACTGTCGATTCAACACTCCAGCTAAGGGACCAGATACCGCCATTGCCGTGGCCCCGCATGCGCTTCAGAAGCCGACCGGGTGCGAGATCCCAAAGGAAGATAGAGCCAGCATCATCTGCGGATGCCAGGATCTTGCCATCACGACTGCACTCCATGGCAGTCACGTTGCCCGTGTGACCACTAAACATACGGACTGCATTTCCGGTAGTGATAGCCCACATCCGTACGGTCTTGTCAGAGCTAGCTGTGAAGACGTAGGCGGAGTTCGGATGGAAGCAGACACAGTCCACATCTTGGTCATGTCCAGCGAAGATGCGCTGCTGGCGGATGTGGCTAGTGAGCCAAAGACGGCCAGTGCGGTCAGAACCGCCAGAGACGAAGTAATGGCCGAATGGACCCCATCGCACGTCCCAGACAGGGCGATCGTGGCCCTTGTAGACAACGAGGCATTGCCAGGTGTCCAGCGACCACAGGCGAATTGTCTTGTCCCCCGAGGAGGAGAGGAGCAACCGAGCATTGGTCGGAACGGAGTCCTCGCTAGAGACGTTTTCGAACTTGGTCGCACAAGGTGGGAAGGCAACCGCGTAGACTGGGGCAGAGTGACCGATGAGGCGCCGAGAGTTGGCTGGAGGAAGATCATCAAGATCCGGGAATGCTGCTTCGATGTTCTTCCCGTCAAGACTCCAAACTCGGATGTAAGACCCGGCGAACCCTGCAGCAACAAGCTTGTTGTCATCAGAGAAGTCGAGGCAGTTGATACTAACAATCGTCAGTAAGTCCTTTGATATATAAAAGCGCAATAAGCAGGGGAAATGAAACTTACCTGTCGAAGGTGTTGTGGAAGGTAAACATGCACACGCTCACTGCAGGACCCACGCCACCAGTGCGACCTTGAATTCTGAACCGATCCCGGTTCTCCCGCACCTTCATGCACTCAATCGCGACGTCACGAGCGGTGGATTCAGGGAAGGGAATGTCGGCACGAGTGGGAGCCTCCTCATCTTCTTCCTTCTTGATCATCTGCTCGAATTCCTGGACGAGTGTGTTACGACCAGGACCAGGGGGATCTCTCGCATCTTCGGCGGCCAATTCTGCACGAACATCCTCTTCCAGGTTCTGCTCCATTGGCAGCTTGCCGAGCCGAAGTCTCGGCAGGGTTCCAGCCATGGCAGGATTATCTCCCGTGTACGCAGAGCCGGCATGGTGACCAGGAATGCCCTCGTCCTCGGAGGGGAATGACTGACCCGCTCCGATCTGGCCAAGCATGGCAGCAAAGCTGAACCGATCGTCGGCGGCGCGGTCCATTGTCTTGATGGTGCAGTAGCTGCTCAAGATGGCGTTCATGACGGAACCACCCTCCTTTTCCTTGCTTTCCAGGAATTGAAGAAGATTGGTGTAAGCAGGGTTGCTCAGAACGATGCGGTATTTGTTGGTTCGATAGAGCTTGGCGGTATCGTTGGCCTGCACATGTTCCGGCAGGCTGATGGGCTCCAGCTTGCGAACATCGTCCGTGTGCTCGGGAAGGAACATGTTCTTGTTGGCATCGAAGAACTGCTTGGCATCTTGGGGGTAGAACGCCGTAACCATGTTGAGGAACGAGTAGACAAACAGTGGCCACAGCACACGGCGAAGCTCGGGCTTGTAGAGATCGAGATTCTCCTCAACCCATGCCTTGAGCAGGTCTAAAAGGTTTGGTCAGTATGTATATTGGACGAGGATAATGTGAAGAGACTACTTACCGAAGCCCTTACGGAACTTAGGCCGGGCATCCTCTCCAAGAGGGGGAAGCGGGCGTCCATCGATCTCCTGGTTGGCGGACTCCATGCGAAGCATAGCTTCGGTCCGGCTGTAGCCCTTCTTGGCTAGGTAGTCGATGACCTGTATGTAGAATGATGAATTAGCTTTTGGCCGTCAACAATAATCAACAACGAATGAAAACGGACTGCATCCGGTCTCGAGGCCTGCTCTAGCAGGGTCTCAAGAGTATGTGGGACCTGCGCTGGCGCTGCAGGTTCCTCCACAGGGGCAGGTAGTGCGTTGGGGTCAGACTCGCGACGGCCTTCGGTCTTGTCGGAGGGCTCGACATTTCCGCCCTTCGGGGTGGTCGTAGTCTTCCTGGGATGGCCAGACTTCCCCAAAGAGACAGGAAAACGAAGCACCAGCGACGGCCCAGGCGTCTCGGGCACAACCTCAGCCGATGTGGCTTCCTCGGCTGGCACAGACTTCCTGGCACGGGCTGGCCGTTTGGCGGGAGTGGTTCTCTGGACGGAAGAAGGCCCAGCCGCCTCTGGTGCCTTCCTTGCAGTTGGGGTCCGCGGGGTCTCGGTTGACGGTCCCGAGGGCTGGTTCCCGGGGCTCCTCTTGGCTGCGGCAGCAGCAGATTTCCTGGCTGCTTCCGAGGGATGATAGTCCTCATCCCCTTTGGGAGGCTTTCGTCCCTTCTTGCGTGAAGGCATCTTGATGGAGATCGAGAAAGCGAGATGGAATAGAGATAATGGTAAGAGGTGGGCGAAGTGAGGTTGTAAGAGAGTTGTGCAAAGAAGAAAGCGTTCCGATGGAAGAAAAGAGGCGCAAATATGGCCGGAGATGAGAGCTTCTGCCTATTCAGGAAAGAAGGCAGACCTTTCCGCCTTGGAGGTCGCGACTGCTTGCTGATTGCTGGAGAGACTGATTGCTGATTGCTGGCGACGAGTGGCACATGCGTAGATATAACGAGAATATTCCGATGGAAGGTAGAATAGGCGGTCTCTCGTAGGCTCCTCGTCGTAATCTTCATCATCGTGGCCAACTCTGTGATGCACCGTATATCACGTTGTCCCATCTCGACTGAACAAGTCCCGCTCAAGGCAGGCCCCAGTAGAAACCCCGAGAACATGGACCCAGCTGAAACTCATTCCAGGCTTCAAGACCCCCCAAAAAGACCAAGTTGCAAGTCGCAAGACCACGAGAAGAGCATGCCAACTCCTCAAGACCGGATACCATAGGGATGCACACAGGAAACAGAAAGAAAAGATGAACAACTTACAATTTGATTTAAGTTCTGTTGCGACATAGCACCGCTCTGTGGAGGAGGCGGACCAGGAGGAGGAGCAGAGTGAATAGGTGTTCCAGACATCGGTTGTTGCGACGACATGGGCATATTGCCTCCATTTGCGCCAGGTCCCATGCTGCCGCCTCGCGGCGCAGGGCTGGGAGCGCCACCTGGCGCAGACATAGCGATTGGACCGGCGTGGGAGGTTCCAGAAGACGTCTAGTGAAGATGCCGATGATTGTACAAGATGAAAGACGACAAGCGAGGGGCGCGAAACAGATATTGAAGGATGTCGTCCGGGTTGAAATTGATATTCGGCTGGCTGTCGCCGCGTTACGCTGAATAAGCTCCCCGGATTCCACACACGTGACGTAGGTCAAGCTATGTGGGAGCCACCAGCTTTCCAGCGGCCAAGTTTCTTCTTCACTCTTCCACTGCGCAAGATCCGGTGCGAAAGAGACGAGCGCCAAACGAGCACCGAGATACCGTTTGGTACGAGGTTTCTAGCATCTACAATCTCGCAAGATGAGTGAAGAAGTACCACCCGCGCAAACTTTCACTGCTGCGGATCGCATCCGGCAGCTGAATGAGATTGACCACGTACGAGTCATGTAAAGCAATCGATCGATTGCTCACTAGACTTGGCTAACAGACATTTTCCGCAGGATGTAGCGAAATTGCTTCAATCCGCCGGTCTCGCCATCCAAGCTCTCACCAATACGAAGCCAGACTCCGACACACCATTCGACGGCTCCCTTGAATCGCACAAGGCTCTGTTTAAAGAGGCTACTGCAAAATACTTCTCACTTCTATCCTCCATCGATGTCCGGCTCCGTCGACAAGTCTACGCCCTTGAAGAAGCTTCTCTTACTACACCTGATATGGCCACTAAGGGTGACACTACTGGCGCAGGCGCCGGTGCTGTTGGGGCCGCGGGGGCGGGTGCTGGTGCTACAAACCCTCTGGATATCAGTTGGCTGAATAGCCGGAAGGACACAGTGGGGAAAGACAAGGAGGCAGAGCTGTGGGCTGCCGCGAGGGGTTTCGTGGAGCAACTGGACAAAGCGCCGGACGGACTAAATGGCTCGATCAAGCAAGAGGCGGGTGAGTCCGAAAAGATGCAAGTCGATTAGGAGAGGCTTGACACTTTCCGGGAAAAGGGCGGCGTCGACGTTTCTGCTTCACATGATACCCTAGTTCTCAGAGCCAAGAGCGAAGAGAAACCAGCAATTTGAACAATTTATCCTTAGAAGGGTCTCATATTGATATCAACTGTATATGGTTGGATACCCACGACTGTTCACAGAACGAAGCTATGCAAAGAAGAAACGCAGTAACAGGTTGTCTAAATTGGGCTCCCGGAGCCTCTTTCAACCTAACCAGACTAGCAACATCCAAAACCCAGGTCAAGATCACTTCTGCATGCCCTTGATCATCTCGAGTTGTGTAGCCCGATCCCGGTTAGTCTCCGAGAGCGATCCCAGACCTAAATACCACCAAGTCAGTCCTGTATTCTACATTGACGAAGGGATAGTAACTTACTCCGCAGCTCACCGACAACATCTTTGGCCTTGCCGAAGTAAACTTCCTCTAGAAGACGCAGCACATATCAGCAAATAATTTCCAGAGTACTTCTCAAGTGTTCTCGAGCTGATGTATGATTTCGAATTGTCCGGGAACGAGTACTGGGAAGATTGTTAGGGAAACACATACGCAACAAGTTCCGCATCTTCAATTCCATATCCTCAACCAACCGCCCAACATTAGCAATGTGGCTCGCATCCGACTCAACGGGCAAATCGGCCTCAACCTGGCGGGTCATGTTACCGCTCAGATCCATCTCACCAAGGGCATCGGTCTCGTTAGCCAGGTGCAGGATCACAGTGCTGGTAAGCTTGTAGTGGGACATGCGCGCGCGGTCGGTAGCCTCGAAGACGTGAATGCTGTCCCATTCGCCGGAACTCTGGGAACCGGCGGTCACCCCTGGAGAAAGAGAGTAGAGTCAAGTCAGCCACGATCATAGCCCAAACACCCCAAGTATATCAGTCAAGAGGGGAGAAAATGGATGTTCCATACCCTTCTTAAGCAGAATAACACCCGCAAATCCATCATCCAAGTCCCAGAAGTACACGCTCCCAACACCGCCCTCATAATACAGCTCCCGGTAAACATCAAACGCCTCGTTGGCCGCAACCTCAAGCTTGCGCACACGCTCACTAGGAACCGTTCCATCCTCAAGAGGAGGATCAAACTCGTTGCTCCATGGTGACCGGTAGCTATCACCGTCGCGGTTGTAGTCACAGAGCAGGTAGTCCCGGCTGGTCTGCGGGCAGCGGCGAATCTCCAGGGGCTGGTCGACGGAGGAGAGAAGGTCTTCGGTCAGATCGGGGACGATGGTGGTAATGGCTTGGAGGTTGGCCTTGGTGTCGCGCGGGTTTAGACGCCGGAGCAGGTCGCTGAGAGTGAGGATGGTCAGTCAGTCAGCTTGCGGGCTCTTGCGGTGCAAGTTGGGGCGGGGTTAAGGAAGGGGCTTGCATTGCCCGGGTTGGGAATGTTATGCCTGATGAGGGTAGAAGTGATGGGTAGGAGAAGGTTCATGGACTCAGTACTTACAGCGCGCTATCGAATTGTGCGTCAGCCATTGTGTGGGATGGGGGTTGTGCTTGTGTATACTCCGTGCTGGTCACTAGTCGGCGGTGTTGACGGGTGGAGGTGCGTGGGTGTATTGGCGGGCCCTTGTGGCACTAGTATAGTCCGTGACATGCGGCGAAAACTACAATTTGGAATAGAACCCATTTGAAAAGATTGTCCGTAAATTTTGATTCTTGTTGATCTATGTACATATGTGTAATTTACTGGGGGGACGTCCAAGATGCCAGCCCCGATGCTAGAATCCAATGGTTGTTGTTCGTCACTCGTCACTATCAGAGAAGATAGTCCTATTTGCCCTCCATGGTTTTGGTCGGGGCTCGGGTTGGGGCTTTGCCTTCGGCTGGAAGAGAACACTTGCATCCGGAAGGTCAAAGTCAGAGTCATCGTCGTCGAAGTCGCTTTCGACAGCTTTGGGGGGCGATGGCAGTAGTTGAGACTCAGGCTCTGAATGATTGGGCGACATCAATGCGGAAATTCCATCGTCAAAAAAGTCTAGAGCCTCACTGGTGGCGGATCGAGAAGGCCCAGAGCGCCGAGACGGTTTATTTGTTTCATGTCGGCGTGACTGCTTCGCCGTAGCATCAGAGGATGATCGACGAGGAGCTTTGGCAGCCTTCTCCGTCTCCTTTGCTATGATCTGCTTATATCGATCTTCACAGTCAGGGCCTGACTTGTCCATCTTTTGCAAGGTTGTGATCATTCGACGGGTCAAAGAGCCATGTGTCACCATCTTCGTCGGTCTGGCAACGAGTTGTAGTTGTGGGAAAGCATCGGTCCTCGGGTAGCGAATGAATTGGGGTGAAGTATCGCCAATATTCTGATAGTGACGTTCCAGCTCCTGTTGTTCGCTTGCAGAGAGGACAACCTCCTCCAAAAGTGGCACCTCTACCGGCTCTGGCGTTGGTGTGCGTGGTCGCTTCTTGGGTGTCGTCTTCTTTTTCGTCGACTTGGCAAAGCTCTCCTCGAGCGTTGAGGCTCGGGTGAACCCAGTCTCAACATCATCAGGCATATGGAATTTCTTCGGGGGCCGCTTGGGCACCTTGCCCTTGCGCTTTGGTTCGGGAAGCTCTCGCTGAGAATTCTCTGGGGGTATCTCGATTTGTCGTTTGTCGGCGACGGGACGGATCCCTGGAGGCAGAATGCGAGCAGATCGGTCGTCGTGGAAGGTAAACCGGGTTCCACTGGCGATCATTTGTTGCATCTTCTCGTAATTGTCTTTGGCCTTGGTAAAGTTATCCTCCTCCTTGCCCTTCATCAACAGCAAAGTGATTTTACCCGCTCTCTTGCGACCCGTTCGACCCATTCGTTGCAGCATGCGAATAGGTGATGCAGAGGAATCGTAACACACAATGAGATCGACCTCGCCAATATCCAGACCTTCTTCACCAATTGACGTGGCGACGATCGTGTTGTAGGTTCCTCCTTTGAATTTCTCGATTATCGACAACTGGGTCTTTTGGTCCATTCCCTCGGAGCCCTTGGCCGAGCTCTGTCCCACAAAGACATGTGGTCGAATCATGGGCGCGTACCGTTGCAGCACTCTTGTCACCTCTTCGGCGCTGTCACGGAAATGCACGAAAATCATAACTCTCGTTGCAGGCCTGCCATTGCTTTCCATATTATCCTGCCCCTCTCCAGCATCCATGAAATGGTTCAAGATCACGGACTTGAGATACTCCAATTTAGGATGTCCGATAAATTCCGGGTTCTTTGTCCAAGGTTCAAGGTGGCTCATAAGTTTCTTAAAACTCTCATCTTGTACAACTTGCTTCTGCCATTTGCCTCCCTTCTGGCCATCGGTGTTGGATTTGAAATGCAAAATGTGACGGTAAAACGGTACAATTCCGTGATATTTCAACAAGTCAATAGCATGCGCTAAACTTGCAAGCACAGTGAAAATGGCATTAACCTTGCCCTTCAGCCCGAAATTGGCATTGCGGCCTGCATCAGATCCCATCCATTGCTGTCTTGCTTTGGTGAGACCGAAGGCTGTGAGACCCATGGGATCGTTGCCCCAATAAGCATTCATAGTCCGAAGCTGGCTGACAAGTGGTCTCAGTGTGGTGGATAACAAGTCCATGCAAAAGATCATCTCATCCGAGTTCTCAAAGATTTCAATTTCGATATCACGGCTATGCACGTAATCTCGAATGTCAATAGAGGTTTCTGTACGAATTTCAACTCGTGATATGTCCAAACCATCGATGACTGCTTGCACCGATTCGACTGTTGATCCGGGAGTAGCGGTCAATGCCAGGACGCGGAAACTCTGGTTGAAGCGTCGAAGGAATTTGACCACTTCCACATATGCATAACCACCAGTAGCGCGGTGGGCCTCGTCAACGACCAACAGGACAATTCTCTTTGGGTCGGCGATTCCAGTCTTCAAGTCGTTGATCAAGGTCTGCGGAGTCATGAAGAACACACGCTTCGACTGCCACTCTTTCGCACGAAGACCAGGCGGAGCACCTCCCGTGAGCATGGTCGTCTGCGATCGTGGGATGCCAGCAATATCCAAACATGCCGAGACTTGTTGTGATACCAAGGGTTTGGTAGGGGCAACAAAGACCATTTGCGCATCCTTCGTCCATCGGAACCAGTTGAGCATGACTGTTGCTGCGATGAAGGTCTTTCCCAGACCGGTAGGTAAGGCAACGAGTAGATTATGGAAAAGGCCCTTTTGGGTAATGTTGAATTGGTAATCTCGAGTGGTTCCCAGGTTGGTCGGATACCACCAGGTATTCAATGAATCCTGGTTCAATTTGTGGTGGGTCGGACGCTCGTTTTTCTCCGGTGGTGCCCAATCTTTCTCTTGTGGTGTTTGATCCTGATTCTGTGCAGCCATTCCATAAAGCGTCATTTGTCGCATATATTGAGGCCGGTTCGTAGGTCGCTGAAAGCTGGACTGGGGCATCGCAGGTTGGGCAGGTCGTGATACTGGCGACAATGATGGAGATGAATCGAACGCGTCATCTGGGATATCATCGAGCTCGAACGAAGCATCCATCAAAGCGCTGCTTGTACCGTGATTCTGAGCAGGTTGGGGTTGTTGCAAAGTCGAATTAGCCATTCCGCGCATGTTATTCTCCTCCTCGAATGCATCCAGCGAAGTGGCCAGAGCTGCCCTGAGGGCTTCCTCCTCGTCATAATAATTGTTTCCAGCCTGTTGAGCATTTCGACTCGCCTCATTGACTTTGGGGGTACTGATCATATCTGGAGACGGCGATTTGGGATCTGGTTTCTGCCACCTAGGACCGCGGATTCGTTCGGGGCTTGAGTCGGGCTGCGTAAGTTGGGTAACGAAGATGTTCTCTTGGAAATTGCTCTGTTTGGGCACGAAGCTACGAGACTTGGATCGCGCCTGCCGGTCGTAGTCCGTTGATGAGTCTCGCCTTCGTGAGAATACCTCATCATCTATGTCGGAGAACGAGTCCGTCTCGGATGCGGCATCGCGATCGCCCTGTTTCCCGCGCGTCGGCGATTGTACGCGACGGCGTTTGGTCGGACGTGGTGAAGCGACGTCACCGCCAGGGGAATCAGGTACGACAAAGTCATCGTCAAAATAGTCCGACTCGGAGTCAGTTGCGGACATGGCGCCGATCAAGCGCTGCCCAGCGCCTGTTGCACCATATCGAGCACATCCCCCACGCGTCGAAGTGTCGCGCGGTCAGGTGATCCAAAGAGGCTGTTTGCATAGTTTGCTGCCTAGGCTGAGCTACAGACCCAATGCTGGTGGGTGGACAATAGTACAGTACTGCATAGCAGATATCTTTAGACAATATTTTAAATCTATTTAGCCACCTTGCCATTGCCATGAGATAACGAGCTTCCGGTGTATAATGTGCTATTCTCATAATCATGGATTTATGAGAGAGGAATACAAAAATGTGTGTAGCAACAAGGCATCGAATGTTCTATTATTACCATTGCAACTAACCTCACCTAACTCAATTGCTTGATTACTTGCAATTTCAAACCACCATAGTTTAATTGATCATATCGATTATATCGGAGTTCCATTGTCCCAGCGAAACCGTTACCATTCCTGCTGGGGATGATCGGCCCGATCGGCTCTATACGAACAACACCCCAAGATGAAGACACTGAAACACAAGGTCCCTTACTGCCGGGGGAGGGACTAGTGGCGGGGATGTGGAGAAATCAATAATCATAAAGCCTCGATAAAAAAAAGGGAAAGAAAAAGCAAAATGTAATTATAAGGCAGTGAAAGTGGCACGGACGTAGAGAGTAACAGACCTAGTAAGTTAGTTAAGTTCCTATGCAGTACATAGTCACACCCCAGATTTGACAGATCCACTGGGGCGTCAGGGTCCTGCGGCAGGATGGTCTAGCGTTGTTAGCGCAGCCCTTTCCCTGGCTCCTCTCCAAGGGACTCCCAAGAAAGGGAGATGTAGGTACCCTTGTTATCAGAGGAAGTAAGGTAAAAAAGCATCCTGCAGACTGCAGGTCCTGGTCAATAGGGCCGATTAAAGGAAATTGGACTATGGAGCCCAATTGAACTGGAAGCTGGTGGAAAAAAAGTCCTGATATTTTCTCTCGCACTCAAGAGTCAATCTGAGACAGGACGAATGAGAGCTAGCGCCACTCCTTGGAGTCCTTGGGCTGTTAGCTGATTTCCAGGCTTGAGGGATTGGGGAAGGTCAAGGATCATGATTTGACTGGATCGTTTGGGGGTTAGAGTCCAGGTCCAACATGCCAATGCCCCTGCTGCATCGGCTCGATCCCCGTGATTGTGCCTGTGTCTGAGTGCCTTGTGTTTGACCCGTATTTAACTCGTCTTCCTTCTTCTCCTCCTTCTTTCTCTCTTCCTCTCCATACTCTTCCTTCGTTGCTTTCTTGCTCCGTCACTCGTTAGCTTCCCAGTCTCTACCTAATTTCACTCGATCCCATTCTCTCTTCCTCAATCCACTCCCTCCATCTCCAAAATGAAGTTCAACCTGATCGCCCTCTCCACCCTGCTGGCCCTGGCTGCCGCCGCGGACTCCACCACCTCCACGGTGGCTCCGGCCACCACTCTTAGCGCTGAGGCTCAGTGCGCTACCAAGTGTAAGTTGCTACTCCCCAAGTCCAGCCTCACTCCCATCTATCAGCTCTAACGCGTCTTTACAACAGGCAATGCCAACGACGTCTGCTGCATTGCTCAGTGTTACCACGTCCCCTGTCCCAGCGACGACCAGGCCAACGACACCAACAGCTGTGTCGCTGCCTGCCCCCAGGGCACTGGCTCGCCCGCCGACACCCAGAAGTACGCCGACTGTGAGCAGAAGTGCTACAGCTCGCACTTCTTCCCTGCCACCGGCGCTGTTGCCGAGGCCACCAACTCTGCCTCCTCTGGTTCCTCGGGCACCACTGCCTCTGGTAGCTCGGCCACCCAGACTGGCTCCAGCTCTAACTGTATGTACCATTCTCTCCACAAGACTCAAGTCTGGGAGCTTTTCCACTAACTCTTTCTCCTCCCTACAGCCAACAAGGGCGCCAGCAGCACCAGCGGCTCTGCCACCGGTACCTCCAGTGGTGCCGTTCAGTCCACCGGTGCCGCTGCCAACATCCAGCTGGGTGCCTCTGGCGCTGGCCTCTTCGGTCTCGTCCTGGCTGCCTTCGCTCTATAAGCGCGCAACCACGCAGATTTTGTGGGATCGATCAATATTGATCCGTCGCGGACTACAACGCAACATGTTTTCGGGAGAAACTTCGCAAGCAATTGCCCATGGTCCGCATGCTTTCTTTTCATTTGTGTGATAGTATCCAAGATACCTAGTTCTGGCTCTAGATTTAGGGCCTTTTGTGAATGACATATGAATAGTAATACTGGAGGGAAAATAACCAACCCTACCATCATCAACCTTGCGCTCTTTCCGTTCGTACTTTATTTCCCGCATCCTCAGTTGCGAAGTTTGTAGACATAGCATTCCTCGGTGCTTCAAAAGAAAGGTAAAAGCCGACGCGCCGATCGAAACGAGTCTTTAATTGTCGCATTCCGCTGATCAACGCCCCACACGGCGGACTTCTTCCCCGCATAGAGACGATCCGAAGGATGGTCGTTCTCTAAAGCAATTTAGATATGCACTGACCAGGGGAGAGGTGATGCAGTGTGGAATCCAAGTACTCTAAGACACTAATCCTCGGATAGTATCCATAGGTAATTAATGGTTTCGAGTGCGACTTGTCTCAACGGGCATAGAGAGTGCATACACTACTACTTGAGTGAGTCAGATATAGATCTGTTCAGGTTCACCGCCAACGCCAATCGACGCGTTGTTTACTGCGGGGAAGGGAAGTTTCTGCCGATGCTACGCTGGAGCCTCGACTGCACAATATATCTCTTCTTGAACTTCAAGTCTGACACACATCCGCACTCCAATACATCCATACCTACCCAGAGAAACCTCTCCTGCACATATCATACCTGTTTTCCACCCTATACCTATACCCAACACTATCCACCACCAACTATCAAAAATGGACGTAACCAGCTCCGAATTCCAAACCCTCTACGAGGCCATGACAACCTTCGTGAACACCTGCATGTCCGGCCACGACCCCTCCCACAACCCAGCACACGTCCACCGCGTCGCCAACCTTGCCAACACAATCCTCCAAGCCGAACAAACCGCCAATCCCACCAAACCCCTTTCCGCAGCCGTAGTCAAGCTCGCCGCTCTGCTCCACGACATCGGCGATAGGAAGTACCTACCCACCCTCGCCTCAACCACCTCCGATGGCACAACAGATATCGATCCCAAGACAATGGTCCAAATCGCCCTCCTAAACGCCGGCGCGCCCTCCGACCTAGCCACAAAAGTCCAAACAGTCGTCTCCCACGTCTCCTACACAACCGAATGCAAGGACCCCGCTTTGATCCGACGCCTCATCGAACAAGACGGATATCCCGAGCTCGCAATCGTGCAAGATGCAGATCGACTCGATGCCATCGGGGCGATTGGGATTGGGCGGACGTTTACGTTTCTCGGCGCACAGGGGAAGAAATTTGCCAAGGAGGGAGAGTGGGAGATGGGGAATTGTATTGAGCATTTTGTAGAGAAGTTGGAGAGGCTTGAGGGGATGATGAAGACTGAGACTGGGAGGGGGATGGCGAGGGTAAGGACGGAGAGGTTGGGGGTTTTCAGGGGGTGGTGGGAGGAGGAGATGGGGGTTGCTACTGCTTCTGTCTAAAGATGGTCCAAGGTATAAAAAGAACAATGGTATAGATGTCTACAGGGCAGTGCAGTGATTTCTATGTTGAATACCATGGGGTGTTGTAGCCCCACTGGTTCGATTCATTGATTCATGTTCAAAGTAATAGTAATAGCCGTTCTGGGGCTTCCAGCGAGAGTAGAGTAAAAGCTCGACGCGCGGATAGCATCAAGAAGGTCAAAAACGAAAAAAGAGGAAAAGATCATTCTGATCAGAATCCCAACGCCAAAGGTAAAAAGAAGAGTCGTCGGTAAAGACGGTCATCTCGAGAACCAGAGATGGCATAGAAAAAAAAATCGAAAAGCATGAGATATCCTCCAGTCTATCAAAAAATGCAAAGAAAAGCAACGAGCAGGTAGTTTGGGTATTTGGGTATTTGAGTTTCTGTGAGCAAAGAGAAAAAATAACGAGGAAAACATGATAGCAGAGCAACCGGAGCCGAAAAAGCAGAAAATGGGACAAGCAAGTATGTATGTGATGTGATGCAATTTCATAGATACGGTTCCATCAAGGAAAGTATCAAGAAGGGGGGGCTGTAATGGGACGAAACGCCGGGTGCAATTCTTCAACGCCGCGCGAGCACAAAATCTAAACCACTGGGGGAAAAATCATCAAAAAAAGGAGAGGGGAGGTAAAAAAAAAGAACCTGTTCCCACGTATTGAAAATGATACGAGAAGAGAATATGAAATCAAGTCAAACTCGGTCCCGCGCAAAATCCAAAACTTCGCAGTCATCCTCGAAAAACCCATCATCCGCCTTGAGGGGAGTGGAGTTTCTCTTCTTCCGGCGAGTGGTGATGACCACTTCCTCGACATTGCCGGTGCTGTTCCCAAGGGTGATGAGATTCTCCATTTCCCCGCCGGCCCCGAAGGAGTCGCCGCGGATGCCAGCGTCCGCATCAGCTTCGCCATCCTGGTCATCACCGCTGGTGTTGTATGATCTCACAAGTACTTTGGTAGTGGGGATGTCATCACCAAAGACCCACTGACCGCTAGGCACATGTGCTTTGCTGTCAGCGGGATACACGTGAAGGCTCACACGCTGGTCGGTGTGGAACGGTTGGTAGGGCGTGTTGGTCTCGATCTCCACCTGAGAAAGCGGTTGGCAAAAGGTCTTGCCCACGTTGCCAGGCTGGGAACTGGCAGAAGGCAAGAGAAGAGACGCCTGAATGACCTTCTCCGAATCGTAAGGCACAAGAGGTGCCGGTCCACAAATGCTCTGCATATTGGCAGGCAATTTGAACTGGACCTCCTTCGCTCCAATAACGGAGTATGACTGACGATTCTTGTTGGTGGAGGTGCTTCGCTTGAGACGGTACAGCTTGAACTGCCCCTCGTCCACCGAGCCCATGAAGATGTGTCCCTTATTCACAACCCATATCACTCGTGACGGAGCGGGATCCCGTGCAAGCCCTGACAAGTGAAGTCGATTTTCGCCGACATGCCGGAGCGTCTGCACAGTGCCGGTGGCTGCTGCTCCCATCGACTTACTAAGTCCTGCTGCAACAACCTTGCCACCTTTGATGCTCGCCGCGGTGGGCAGAGCGAAGCCACTCACATGCTGGAAACCGCTGCCAGTTGACTGAACCCGACCTCGGACCGCAGAGAGGAATGGCTGCGTCTTGCCACCCATGAAAGTCATCGCTGCGGAGAGCGGGTTTCCAGCCGCCACTGGACTCGACAGCTCGTCACCCGTGTGGTCGACACTTTGAGATTTCTTCGCGGATGGGCGAGCACGACGGAACGGGGGCCACTGGAATGCACTTCGAGGTAAATCGAAGACGTGCACAGTTCCCTTTCGCGTGATGACAGCCAGTCGATCACCAACCGGGGCCGTCCAAATCACATCCACAATACTCGACGTGGTCAACCGCGCGTATCGGGCAATCTGTCGAACATTGGGGCCATGACCACCTTGATCGTCAGCCATGAACGCCATGGCACGGCAGTGCTTGAGCTGCATCAGATCCCAGACATACTGCACATCTCCTTTCTTGCTTGCAGTGAAGAGCATCAATCCATTGGGTGAGAGTGAGAGGTAACTACAGCCATTGGGGACCTGGAACGTTGCCACTGGATTGAGGGATGCCGCTTTGGCGTCCACCCCATCATCGAATCGCTTGAGATCGATAATAGAGACCGCATCGGGTTCAGGCGACGAGGTTACCTGAGTATCTAGGGCATGTGTCGGTGGGAACAGCCCATAACCATGTCCAGGGGAGTCTGGGGCCCGGACTGGTCGCAATGGTGGGGTACTCGGCGAAGAGGATTGCCCGCTGTTCCAATAATTGTTCCATGCCTGAAGTCCTTGGTCACCCATCCACCGGGCACCTTTGACCAGCTCCTGTGTGACACCTCGGGCAACCTTGTCCAGGAAGCTCTCTCCTTCACCTGCGTCTGTCGCACAATTCACGGATGGCACGGTTGGCGGACTGCGGGTCTCCATTCCTTGGGCTCTGCCATGCATCAAATGAGCGGGGACCGTTCCCTGGATGGTTGCTCTATGAGAGGAGGGAGGCACGATTGCCAAGAATCTTCCTTGAATAGTCAAGACTGGTCGCTCCGTGACAAAAGTGCGGGGGATATCATGGTGCGACCCTTCCGCATCGGTGGAACTGGACGAAGTAGAGTATCGCCGAGCTTCTCCAGTCTGAACGTTGGTCCAGGTCTTTCCCAGACACTGATAGCCATCCGAAGGGGTATTCTTGAAGACATAAACCTCACCACTGATTCCGGAAGCGACAACGACATGGTTGCCACTGTGGAAAAGTCTCAAACCACCCACAGGGGCCGGTGCCAAGGATAGGAGGCCCGGAATATTCTCTGGCGAGGGCACTGGCTTGCTGGCAAACAGTGTTCCCATATGTTCGCCAGATCGGAGGGAATACACCTCTACTCTGGTCTGGTAGAATGGAGCCTCGGCCCTCACAGATCGCTTGTCCCCTGAATGGCCCTTAACCATAGAAGGGGAAACCTCGTTCACATCCGAGCCAGTGGCAGACACCGGACCTTCCTCTTCGCTGGGGGGAAGAGGCCCATGAACGACGACAGCAATGTGTGGCTGAGATGAAGCACCTGCATCAGTAGAGAGATGTCCAGACAGGATCTTCGCCTCAAGTACCCGACCATTCAACCCACTGATCTGCCCCACCAATCGAGCTCGACGATCTTCCACAGCGTGAACCTCGACTGCGCCATCGGTACCGATCACGAGCACATTCATCGGCGTGCGCGGAGTCTTGGCCGTCATGCTCGGCAGGGTGTCAAAGCTGCAGAAGGAGTATCCACCGTCACCTGGACGGCTCTGAGTGGGAAGATCAATGTCCGGGGCGCCGTAGAAATGGGCCTGCGGCAGATGCGGAGGCGGAGCTATATTGCTCATTGGACTTCCGTAGGAGTGGCTCTTTCGCCGGTCAACGGACTGCTGGCGTGAGTGCATATTGCTTCGGTACCCGCTCCCGTAACTGAACGGGCGAATGCGAGTCGGCGGAGATGCAGAGGAGGGATGATCAAAGCCGCCGCGTTCCTGAATGGTTGGAAAGTTCAGGGGAGATTCGTTGGGAAGGTCTCCATCCATTAAATCTGCCGGCGGGCTCTTGCCATACGGTACTGCCTGTGCCCAGGTATCGGTCCGCGAGGTGAGGTCGTTGTCTGGCGATTGCTCGATAGAGGCAATCGCATCGAGAACCGGCGAGGCTACGGCGAGAGGTACATCGTGATCCAGTGAAGGATCCGGATCTGCATCTGGATACGAGAGCGGCTCCTCCGGGGCAGGCACCGCCGGTATCCTATGCCATGCATCAGTCATGATCGGTCTATGTCTAGGGAACGGACAGAGGCCTACATATCCACTTGGGGTGCTTCGGCCGCTGCCTTGCCCCCCTTGGCCTTTTTACCATTCTTCTTCTTTTTGCTTTTTCCACTTGGCTCATGCTCCTGAATACTGTTGGTGGGGGCTGACAGGGTGGGCGCTACGGAGGGATCGTCTTCTAAAGACCGGCTGTGCTGGCGGATCAAATCGTCAGGGGCTGCCGGGGGCATTCAACAAGCCGTTTGCCTCAGGAAAGGAGGCCACAGGTGAGTTCTTGAGCAGGGGATAACCGCCCTCAAGACCTATGGTGAGGTCTGAGAACGGATAGGTTTAACGCCGTCTGCGGATCACGGAGGCGGGGGATGCAGCTGAAGTACGCGAAGAGGGGTACGATCTGTAGTGCGCTGTTCATCAGTTTTGAGTTCATTTAGAATGCATAGTTGACAAACTACAAGCAAGCGCTTGATCCCGACATACTTATACAGGTCTCGCTATGTGATTCGGTCGCGGATCGATAGGTTGTTTTGAGGGGTTGTTGGGATACGTATCTGGAGCGGAGACGCTCTGGATACGCGGGGAAGCTTTGATAAGGCCGATAGGCAACAGCACCGACTGGATGGCAGATCCAGCAAGTGCCCAGGGCAGGATAGTGTAATAGCTTTGGAAGATGGGTCGACCAGAGGTCAAGTAATAAGTGAAGCAGGAGAGAGAGAGAAGGAAAGAAGGAGAAGGGAACGCGATAAGAAGAGGGGGGAATAAGTCGGGAACACGGTACCTGACTCAGAGGCCCCGAACTCAGCCAGACGCAGGCAAACTCGGGTGGGGGGGAAGAAGAGGGGGACAGACGGGGCCAAGTTGCGCCAACTACAGAGAGTTCTGGCTAGTCTGTTGGTATGTTCGACTGTTAGTACATAGCTACAGGCAATATTAGCCATAATTGATTATTGTTATAGCCGCCACTGCCAAACTGCCACTGCCATGCTGACCCCGTCATTCCCCGCTGGTCACATCCCCCAGAATAATCATGGAACACTACCAGTACTACTATTTACAGATTACCCACTATAACCTGATGAACTGATGAACACTCCACGAGATCTCCAGGGGACTTGCATCATAATCCACCATGTCATTTCTCGATCTGGAGATCACTTCCAGTTTCTAGTTCCCGTGGTACGTGATGACTTGCCAATATCCCAGTTATCCCAGTATTTCCAGAACCAGCCCGCCACCAGAACGGAGACAAAGGGATTATCTAAGCCCTGACAGCATGGCCACCCACTGACCATGGATCAACTGTACGAATCCGTTTAGAGTCATCCATCCCTTTGTCTGTCTCTGACTATCATCGTTGGATTTGGATCTCCGTGGATCATCAGTGGAGGGGGTCACGGGGTACCTGCAAAGAACGTGATGACCACGCGGCCTATCATCGTGCAGTCGGAGTCCAGTCTGAGTAACTCAGGAAACAAGGAGTAATACCGCGAATCAGCTCCGTCATAGGCTGATGTAGGCTACGCTGCATCTTCCGATACGCGCATTCCAAGGTCTCGAGCCCTCCATATACTAGTCTGCGCAAACACCAGACCTCGGGCCTGTTCGTAGTTCCGTCATAAAGGGCTCATGCGCGGGGAACATCCTGGAGCAACATTCTTTTCAATTTTCTAGTAAAAAAGGCCGATCGGCTCTCTTCTCCATCGTGAACAAGATGAAATGGAAAAAAAAGAGATCGGGTATACACAAAGAGGTGGTGGTACATGGCTCCCTCCTCCTGGAAGCCGTGGCATGCGATCGCAAGTCATGTCCTTTTCCCCGTTTCCCCCCTTTTTGAATCCAGCGTGTCCGCTTTAGGTCTTCTTCTTTGCGGCAGCCTTGGCTTTGGCAGCCTTCTTCTTGTTGCTGTTGATCATCACAATGCCTATGAAGGTGCCCACCACGGCCGAGCCCAGGAGAGTCAGGATGACGGGGATGCGGATGGCCCAGACACGTGGAGGGAAGAGATCGTGGAGAGGGTGACCAGGGTCGACGAAGGGCTAAATAAAGAATAACCGTGAGAAGAAGATCCAGAAGCAGAGCCGGTAGAGATGTAAACACGTACCATCAACAACGTCCACGCGGTGTAGTAGAGAAAGATAGCGGTTGCGGCCAAGAGCATGGCGGAACCGACGAGTTGGCCCAGCTAATGGAACATTGTTAGACAAAGATATCATGGTTGAAATCAATCGGTGAGTAGCATACCATTCTGTTAAGGAGCGGTCGCGATCAAACGCAATGAAAAGGGGAGATCCAGAAGAGAGCCCTGGTCGCGGAATGAATGGCCAACGGTGCTGCTGTCAGGAGCTCATCCCGTGTATTGATCTAACGGACACTCGACACACCGCTTTCCATCTGCCGCATACAGTACTACTCCTACAATAAGAGAGTAAACCATAGAGATGTTCGTCAAGATGACGATTTCAGGAGTATTTAAAAAGGGGATAGTACTTAGTAAATTACTGATTAGAGCAAGGCTTAATTTGAACTCAGTTCATGTGTAGTCTTGGTTGATAGATTATTCTGCTGGCAAATTGCCATATTCGTTGGAGCTGGCCTTCTTCCTCCCTCACGTGACCCATACCAGAGCTTTCTTTCGCGACTCCGTCCAGTTGGAGAACCTCACCACCGCGCCTCCGGTGTTTCTTCCCCACACCACGCCCTCTCATCTGCCTCCTCCGGTGTCTCTGAGATCTCACCATGTCAGACCCGGTTGTTCTGCAGTCTGCGGTGCGAGTGCCCACTCCGCCCCCGGGGACCTTCTCACCTACCGCTGGTGCTCGAAAGCGCTCGCCTCCTTCTCGATCACCCTCACCCAACCGCCGTCGTTCGCCCCCGGGTGATTCCCACCGAGACGATGCCGAAGTACCTCGTATGGATGAGCGACGCGCAATCGAGCGCGAACGCCAGCTCGCCGAGCGCGTTCGTGAGCACGAGAAGCAGGAAGCCACTCGCAAGCCCATGACCGAGGAGGAGAAACAAGCAGCGGCCAAGGCCGAGTACGAGAAGCTGTTGAACATGCGGTCTGGTGGTACTTACATTCCCCCGGCACGACTTCGCGCGCTCCAGGCGCAAATCACGGATAAGACCAGCAAGGAGTACCAGCGGATGGCATGGGAGGCGTTGAAGAAGTCGATCAACGGTCTGATCAACAAGGTCAATGTCTCCAATATCAAGTATATCGTGCCAGAGCTTTTTGGTGAGAATTTGGTTCGCGGCCGTGGGTTGTTCTGCCGATCTATCATGAAGGCGCAGGCCGCCAGTTTGCCGTTTACCCCCATCTACGCTGCGATGACCGCCATCGTGAACACAAAGTTGCCGCAGGTTGGAGAGCTTCTAGTCTCTCGGTTGGTTATTCAATTCCGCAAGGCATTCAAACGAAATGACAAAGCTGTCTGCATCTCGTCCACGACCTTCATTGCACACCTGGTCAACAATCAAGTCGCCAACGAGATGCTTGTCGCACAGATCTTGCTGCTGCTGCTTCACAAGCCCACCGACGATAGCGTGGAAATCGCCGTCGGTCTGACCAGGGAAGTTGGACAGCACTTGGAGGAAATGAACCCTCAGATTGCGAATGCCGTTTTCGACCAATTTCGAAACATCCTCCACGAAGCCGATATCGACAAGCGCGTGCAGTACATGATTGAAGTCCTGTTCCAAGTGCGCAAGGACCGGTATAAGGATAATCCAGCGATCAAGGAGGAGCTCGATTTGGTGGAAGAAGAGGACCAAATTACACATCAAATTGGGTTGGATGATGAAGTCGAAACTATGGACACTCTGAATATCTTCAAGTTCGATGCAAACTGGGAGCAGAACGAGGAGAAATACAAGAAGTTAAAGGCCGAGATTCTCGGTGAGGACAGCGATGAGGATGAAGACGATGAGGACGGGGATGAGAGCTCCGAGGATGAATCTGATGCCGAGGAACAGAAGATGGATATTAAGGATCAGACCAACACTGACCTGGGCAATCTTCGGCGAACAATCTACCTCACAATCATGTCTAGTATTGACTTTGAAGAATGCTGTCACAAGCTGATGAAGATCAATCTCCCGGCCGGCATGGAGCCTGAACTGCCTTCCATGATTATCGAGTGTTGCTCCCAAGAACGGACATACTCCAAGTTCTACGGCTTGATTGGAGAACGGTTTGCCAAGATTAACCGTCTCTGGTCTGACCTGTTTGAGGCCGCATTCGCCAAGTACTACGACACTATCCACCGCTACGAGACGAATCGCCTGCGGAACATCGCACGGTTTTTCGGACACATGCTCAGCAATGACGCCGTTGGTTGGCACGTTCTGTCCGTAATCCATATGAACGAGGAAGAGACCACGTCCAGTAGCCGTATCTTCGTCAAGATTCTGTTCCAGGATCTCGCCGAGAACCTTGGTCTTCCTGGCCTGCAGACCCGTTTCCGAGACGAGATTCTGCGGCCCAGCTTCGAGGGTCTGTTCCCGACAGAGAACCCGCGTCACACCCGTTTCTCGATCAATTACTTCACCAGTATTGGTATGGGTGTGTTGACGGAAGACATGCGCGAGCACCTCAAGAACGCTCCTCGACCCGCCGTGCCCGCTCTACCTGCACGCACTTCCCGCTCGCCATCAGACCGCTCATACTCACGGTCATCATCTTACACTCGCTCCTCTCGCTCACGATCCCGTTCCTATTCCCACTCTCGTTCCCGCTCTCGCTCTTACTCACGTACTCGATCTCCTTCAAGGGACCGTGGGCGTTCCTACTCTCGCTCCGTCACGCCCGCTTCCCGCGGCAGAAGTTACACACCATCGCGGTCTCGCTCGCGCTCGCGCTCGCGATCTCCTGTCCGTCGCAGCCGACGAGGTGCGTCATACAGTCGGTCCCGATCCCGGTCTAGAACTGTATCGCGCACTCCACCACGACGCAGCCGGCCCCGCTCCTACTCGCGTAGCCCTAGCCGCAGTCCAGTCCGCCGAGCAGCCTCTCGCTCAGTCTCCCCTCCACGCCGAGGGCCGCCAACCGCTAGTCGTCGAGACCGTAGCTACTCGAGATCACCTTCTCGATCAGCCTCCCCTCCTCGTCGGGAGCCGGCAGCCAAAAACGCAAGACGGTACTCTTCAGCATCAGCATCTCCGCCACCTCGCGGCGGTGCTGCTCGTGAAAAGTCCCTTTCTCGATCTCGCTCGCGCTCTGCTAGACCTCGCGACGACTCCCGGGGTCGAAGTTACTCGCGGACTCCCCCTCCTCGTCGCCGATAAGCGGATGTACCATTGCCAGCGTTTCTCTTCTTTTCGTCCCACGGCATGAGATTGTCGATCTTTGGGGGACTTTGTATGGGGGTATATCTTGGGCTTTCGGACAGGTGCTAGGAAACATAAACAAGCCAATGAATTTATTTCCAAAATACTGTGTACCTAAAACCCTGCTGTCTTATAACTTTTCTAGTTCACTAGTTAAGAGTCAACATAGATATCTTGCATATGCCATTTATTGACAAGCCAAACCAAGTCTATTGGGTATCTTATCAACACCAACCAAACCCATTCTATACAACTATCCCCATTGGAATGCAGAATACAATCTAATCTAATCCTCCATAGCCTCCCAAACACACCTATCACACCTACAATTCCCCCCCCAAAGCCCCACAAGCCCACTCCCTCCTCTCCCTAACCCCCAACCCAATATCACAATAATGATTCAAAATCTCCTCATCCCTCCTAATCCCCCCCGCCTTGGGATCTTTCATCTCAATCCTCCCATCATCCAGCGTCCGCGACCAAACAGCCGTCTCCTCATTATTCCGTGCGCGGAACGTAATCTCCCCGCCCCATTCCCAGCGCACGTTCGGATCACACGAGTGATTCGCCAGACACCAGAGTGGATGGACGGCGCAGAGCTCCGGCCCGCCATCCCAGGTGGACAGACGGCCGGAGGCGGTGCCGCGGAATTTGGCGTAGAGGGTGTTCAGGATCCAGGTGTCGTAGAGGGGGAGGGTGGTGTAGGGGTTTAGTTCCATTTCTTCGAGGATGCGGGTTGGTTGGAGGATGTTTAGGTGGAAGGAGAAGGGGAGGGTGGCGGATTCGTCTTTTGTGGATGTGGATGAGGAGGTGAGGTCGAATTCGTGGAAATCGCCCCAGATATATTTCACCTCGGGGAGGTCGAGCGCGTGAACGTCTTGTGTAGCGGACATAGCCAGGGCACGGCCTAGTAGGAGCAGGTATAGATAATCGGCTTTATCCTTTGGATCAGGGATATCCTTCCCGATAGACTCGAGCCCATCCAGACCACAGATAGCACCGTGGTAAACCTTTTGCGCGGTATCGTGACAAGCCTGGCTACAGAAGATTGTATCGGCGCAACCACCCTCACATCCAACGGGTGGATTCTCAGCCGAAAGATCAGGAAGAGGTGCATTGCACGCATCACAGAGATCATCGTGAAGACGGTTCGTAGCCGTCAACAGCGATGTTTCCCGGAGGATAATCTCATCCGGAGCAATATCCTCTTTTGCGAAGAGTCCCAATTGCACCGAGACTTCGTCTTCGTCGGGTGTGTCGCCATGCAGAGCTGGCAATGCAACTGCGCGAACTTCGCACTTTGGCGCGACGTCCTTCAGTCTCTCGTTCAGGAGGACGAGCTCCTCCGGCGCACGACGATCAGGCTCATGTTCATTCCAGGGATACAAGATGCGACGCGCGAAGCCCTGGGCTGGCAGGACGGCGGGGTCAATTGCATCCAACTCGATATCACCCCTAGTGCCAGTACGCGACTGGTAAATCTTCTTGATAGAGTCGAATTGCTCGTTGAGAACAGTGACGGAATCCTCGTTCTTCTCCGCACCCAATTCGCAAAGAAGTCCAATTCCACGCATGCCGAATTCAAACGCATCGCGATAGCAGCCACACCGGACGAGACTGCGCACCAACACGACATAAACCTCGCCGATAATCGCATCATATTCCTCCTGCGTCACGGGGATTCCCTCTTCTTCGTCCTCGTCTTCATCCTCCTCATCCTCATCCCCATTATCACGACCATTCTCCTTCCCAATCACAGCAGTATCAACCTTCCTAGCATGAAACTCACACCCATCCGGATCAACAACACTCTCCAACAGCGAAAGTGCCCGATACGCATCTGCCGCCGCAAGATCAGGAAATCCTAGTTGCTCATAGAGGCGGGCGCGGTTGAGGTAGAGGTGTGGATTGTGCGGGTCGGCGTAGAGCTCGGCGGTTTTGGAGGCGCGAGCCTGGAGGAGATCTGTTGCCATGATCTGCCAGACGGTATTTGGTGTGTGTCAGGCAATTGGGGGAATAGGGAATGTGAAATGTTCACGTCTTGAGATTCTGGTGGCGGATGTGGATTTTCTTGCATGTGGGGCATTTCCGATGGATTTGGTGGGGTTATAGAGGGGTACATACTTAGCAGTACTGTATAATAGCTATAGAATTCAGAGATAGCTAGCTATCTAGTAACTAGAAGCCTAGGATTGTTGTTTTATCTTTTCTATTAACAATATGTTCTACGATGATGGCTAGTGTAATCCCTGCCATGATATATTTCATGCCTCATAATGCATTCTCAATGCTGATTCAAATTACATCCAGTCCAAAAATTAAAAATAGAAACACCCGCTTTTCCCTTAATGCAATAACCATTCTGGATATCAGGGATAGTAATAATAACAAGAAAGAAAGAAAAGAAAGAAAAGAAAAGAAAAAAAAAAGGTCCATATGAAGTGGGGAGCTGCTCTCCCAAGGTCACTGTCGCGAGGTATGTATCACATCACCTGTTTCATCCGTTAGCTTCTCATCCACAGATTCTCCATGGTGCTGGAAGGAGAAACAAACAAGGCAATTATCATCGAGGACAACAGTAGCCCCCTCGCCCGGAGCCATACCCGCAGCGAGGCCACCAGTTCCAGCCTGTCCACCACGGAGCGTAGCAGCAAGACGCGCCAGCATACTTCTCTATTTTCGAGAAGTCAGTCACGGGGGAATGGAATGGAGATATTGAAGGAGAGAGCGCACTGTTATGTAGGCTTCACTCATGCCGCCGCGACGATCGACATCGTTCTGGCTCATGATGCGGTAGCTGTCGTGAATGCGCTTGCGGCTCTCGAGTCCGCCCAGATTACGCACAGCAGGTCCAGCAAGGTTGACTGGATTGTCGGGATCCAGGATATTGATGCCACGGTGGGCGAGATCTTGGGCGTGACGATCGGGGGAGAAGATCTTGATAGTGTTGTCAATTCCAGAGGCGGCGATAGTGGGTTCGTAAGGATGACCTGAAAAGAGAGATTAGCTGTGATGTTTCATGCTTGGTATGGAAGCAAATTTGATACAGACCTTGGACAACGTTGACGACCTCACTATCACCCTCCAGAATATTCACCAGGTTCGTCGTTTTGCGATCCCATATGAAAAGATGCCCCGAATCACTCCCGCTGACAACGTATTCATCGTTTAGGCCGAAGAAATTGACATCTTTGACGGTCTTGATATTACAATGTCCACGGTAGACCCTCGTGTGAGCAGAGACGGGCGTATTGGACTCGATACCTCCCCGGTGGGACTTGCGCGTTGTACCACGGATAAACAGCGGCTCTTCGCCGTCCTCATCCCAAGATTCGCCATCGCCTTCGTCCTCCGAGGAGTCTCCTAGGCCCAAATGCCAGCCATCTGCTTCCTCTTCGCCTTCGTCGCTTTCTGCGTCCTCAACGTCACTCTCATCAGAGTCTTCTGCTTCGGAAGCTTCAGAGTCCGGTGCCCTAACAGGGGTCGCCGCGGTTCCTTCAGGTGGGGGAATCGGACCAGAACGACCAGTCCTGACGACTTCGATCGCCTTCACCTGCTCTTCCTCCACAGTAGGATCAATATCATCCTGGACTCTCTCCAGGTCCTCGTCGCTAGCCGATTCATCGATAGTCGTATAGATTCCGCCAAAGGCCCGATTAACGAAGGAATAGTTGACTCCACTCCCGGCTTCCATGAGAATGCCCCGACCCACCCGCAAGACCCAGAACCGAGTAGCAGATGCTCGATCCAACGACCGAACTTGCGAAGACGGATTAGAAACGCGGCGGCGATCAATCCGAGCAGCTGTAGTTCCCAAGTCCTCCAGTGGCAACCGCACTGCATTTCCAAACGCAGTCACCGCTGCGACTTGAGTCTGGAACAGGATTCGCGTGGAATCATGCTCGAAGCGAGAGGCGTCCACGTTGATGATTGGTTTGTCTTTGGCAAGGCCCTGAAGGTAAGGGATAAGGATAGTATTAATTGCATCATCGGTGGCTTCGGCAGGGATGGGGAACCGTCCTTCAACACGTCTTGAATGGTTACCACGCTTGAAGCCATTAAGTAATTCTTGCCTGCCACCCTGAATCCAAAGCAGGATTGCCTTGAGAAAGTCATATCCAAATTGAGATTCAGAATCGATAGAGTCGTCCTCGTTCGGCGCGGGGATAATTTGTACAAAATCAATGACCGCATTGGACGCAGATTCCTCTGAGGCATCATCATGCAAAGCACGGGCAAGGGTGCCAGCAGCCTGAACGAATCGCCACGACGCCTGGCGGTTGTGACGAAGTGCTTGTTGGAAAGTCACAGTATCACTCGATGGGTTCATCGGATAATGCCACTCGCGCATGACTTCATCCATCTGGGGTAGCCATATCGACGCCAGCGACAAGACAGAGGCAAAGGCTCCCGAGTAGGGCGTGAGACTCGATTGCTCGGCCTCGGTAACTTCTCGTGCAGTTACTTCCAGTGAGAACAGCGCCTGGCGAAGCTTGACCAGACCCTTTGCGATCCGCATGCTCAATCGCTGAACCTCATTCAGCACAGAATACCTCGCGCGCTGAACCATGCCCAGCTCATCACTATCGGTCATCGTCGGGAAGAGAACGTCCTCAGATTCACCATTCTCATAGGTGACTCTGAAAGCATCTGGTTCTCCGGAGCGCTGTTGAGGTTGATGTCGGTCACCACTTTCCTGGGACGACATCGAAGCAGGCTTAGGACGCTTGCGCTTTCGGCTCTGGGCGTCAGTTTTATGACGATTTGCTTTCTTCGATGCAGAAGGCAATTCAGGTGAAACATCCCGTGCATCTGGGCTTCGGATCAGATCAAAGCTGTAGATGTGATCGCCAGACCAACTGACGACCATCTCATCCGGATTTGCATCACTGATTTTGCAGGCGGTGATGTGGCCGTCATCAAGGTGCTTCAGGCGACGTTTACCCCGGGGAGCAAAACGCCGAACGCATCGGGTCGCTTTGCCCATCAGCTCATCGTCGAAACTGGCAGCACTTGATGTTGATAAACCCGGGCTACCGCTTTCGGCCATAAGATCTCGGCCAAGCATACGTCGGTCATGCAAGAAGCAGTGCATGTGAGCGCCACCTAGGGCGATATAGTGCGGTTGACTGGGAGAGCAGGATATCGTGTTGAGATCGAGGCGGAACTTCTTGTAGGATATGAGCGGAGGCGGGACATTCGAATCGTCATGCTCTAATCCGGGTCGATATGCCATGAAGCCCTGACCCCCCCGGGGTGGAGGATAAGCCTCCGAGGGCTGACGAAGATCCCACTGTCGGACTTCTCCATCTTCAGAGCAAGTTAGGAACAGATGTGGCGATGACTCAGTGACGATGCGCTTTACGCGATCGGCATGACTGCGGTAAACCCTGGCATTGGTATTGCCCTCACTTAGATATCGCGTGCCTTCAAAAAAGTTATTAAAGCGCCGACTTCGAGCCGAGGCTGCAAATGCCGAAGTGGAAGCGATATTGCCGTTGGCGCTGGAGTATTCGATGTCGAAGACACGCACTTGCGAATCGCCCGCGCAGGTTATCAGGGTGCGGTCATTCGAGTGTGGCATGAACTTGACGGAGAAGATGTTGGCTTTGTGGCCAGTGGCGATGGTGGTGTTCAACGAGAACTGAGCATCCGAGGAGTCGGGTTGGTATGAATAGATATTCAGGTGCTGGTCATCCGAGCCAGAAGCCAAGAGACGTCCGGACTTGGACCAACTGCGACAGAATTAGCACAGTCTGACAACGCATCTTCCTCCATTAACGCCGAACGACAGCTGGAAATTAGGACCGCGATAAGAGGTAACCAGAGCGATTAGACATACCTAAGAGCATTCACGCAGCCCGTGTGACCGCCCAATTCGTTAACGATGTCAAGATCGTCGATCCATTCCTTGGAGCCGTAAATGCCGCGGAGCGAGGCAAAAGGCGACAGGTCCCCGCATTCTCGGCGCCAGAGACGGTCGTACAGCGAGTCTTTCATGATCGCGAGTGACCAAGGGGAATCGCCAAAATTGAAGCCTTGACTAGGGAGGATCGCCAACCATCATGGACCCACGGTAAGTTTGGCGGTGTTGCAGGAACGGTCTTTTGTTTCTTGCTGAGTCTTCGTGTCTGTCGAATGGCAGGTGGGAACCAGGTGGAACTGTAGATGACGTCAGGCACGTAACGGTCGGGGATCGAGGATAGAACTGGTTGAGCGTATCCAAATGAGAGCTGAAGATGATGAGAAATGAGATGTCAAAGTCAACGAAAATCTGTTTGAAAGTGGCAAGCACCAGGGTTGGAGTGAGGGGAACAGAAAACTGGGCAGAAAGAGTCAAAGCAGAACAGGTTCACGACGGCGCGACCAGGAAAGCACTGGGTCTGACTGGGACTGACTGGGGCTCGACCGGACGGGATCCAGACCCAGCAGAACGCAACAGAACGACAAGGGGGGTTAATCAATCGTCAATCGTCAATCATGGCAGGGCATTAGTCCTAGTGTGGTTTAGTGGCCATCATGACTAGCTGTATGTAGTTTAGCGTAACTATAGCCTACGGGATCTACTCCGTACAGTATGGCGATGGCAGGTCCCCCGGCCGGATAGATCGGGCTGAGTCAGCCCAACTGTCCAGATTGGGGTAACTACATCAATGTACGGAGTACTATTGTATGTATTACTTTCTGCTACGGCATTGAAACAGATGGAAGAATCTAAGAAGCTAGTCGATTGAGCCACTAGAGATGAGTCAGTAGACCTTAATTATGGAAGTTCTGTCACTCTACCGGGAGATACAGTAGGCATTGATGAGGTCGTTACTCACATTGAATACATCACGCAAGCTTATACACGAAAAAGTGTTAATAATGGAGAAACAACTCGCTTCACTCATGACAAGCATGTCATAACTCAAGCCCTCCAAACACCCACTCTCGGCGCACTCATCTCCCGCCTTGACCCCGTCACCTCACTCGCAATCCGACGAACATACTCTCGCTCCGAACGAACAACCTCCGCCTCCAAAGTCCGCATAGCCCGAATTTCCTGCAACATAAGCTGAATCGATTCCGCCAGCCCCTGCGCTACACGAGTAAGTGCAGACTGCGGTAACTGTTCCACCTCTCCAAAGCCTAGGATATCCAGGCTTTGGAGATGTCGCGCACACAACTCCAGCTTTGCATGCAGCACGTGTACCTCTTCTTTCCAGGTTGTATCGAGCGGGTCGATGAAAACTATCCCATCGAATGTTCCTGTAGACTCACGCTGATGCCGGATATAATCTACCTGCTGGAACCAGTCTTCAAAGATGGACACGGCTTTGGTATACCGCCCGCTCATTCCGGTTATCACTAGATCGGATATTTCCTGTAGGACCTGCGAGAAGATCTGGATTTGTTCAGAGAATCCATGCGGGCCTTGGTGCTCGCGACAATTCTGGAGCCAGCAGGCCAGAGATTGCATATTCAGCTGGTGCTGGCGGCTCTTCTCATCCACCAATATAGATCGGTATTGATCAGCGACGGCATCATATTTCTCGCGCAAGCGGGATTCTGACTCTGCCTTCCACTCTGCATGGTGCTGGAGCGAGCTAGAATGAAAAAGACTCAACTGAAGGAGCTCTGTCTGTAATGCGGCGATGTCGGGCCAGGACGTAGGAATGAGAAGATTATCGGTGTCGGACGTAGACCCCGGAGTCGGGGTCGGAGGCTTATTCGGCTTCCTGGGAGAGTAGTGTTGCTGATAGGTAGAGAATTGCGCGCGAGGCTTCTGAGCGGTGGGTGATGGGTCGGGTTGAGTTGGTTTCACGCTCGCCGGGACCATCTGGCTGCGGTGTCGGGCGTGGCCCCGGACAGTGGCTGCGGGTCCCGATGTTGCATCTCGAGGTTGTCTCAAAGAGGCAGATCGCATGGGCCGAGGGGGAGGTAGCATCTCCGTCTTTTTGGGCGAGGGTGGTCGCGCCGCCGCCGAGGATTGTGTGGGCGATCGGAACGTGGATGCTTTCCGCGGCGACGGCGGCGTGAATGTAGGCGCCGTGGCCTTTGTAGGGGCTGGAACATTGCCTCTGGTTGATGTTGTTTTCAAAGCACTCGGTCGAATCAAGCTCTGGCGACGTGTTGGCACCGTACTGCTGGGAAGGGCCGTCAATGGCGCTCTCTGTCTCTCCTCCCCCGTATTTGCCAGCGGCAGCCTCTTTGGCGATGTTTCCCCACGTTGTGGAAGCCTTGTCTCTGAAGGCTGAAACCGGACCTGTGCCGACCCAGTTCCATCGTCTCGTGTTAGGTTGCTGCGCTGCGGGAGGAGAGTTCGTCCGCGATTGGATACCGCATTATCTTTGAGGGAGAGACCCTCGACCGGCGAGGGGTTGTCTGAGAATCGGGTCTTGTCATTTGTCGAGCGGGTAGGTGCTTTACTCGAACCGGTGGCCGGGGTTGTAGCGTTGGTCGTGGGTCGTGCTATATTAGAGGACTGCAATTTAAATTAGCGAGGAATGCTGGGAATGGATCATGGGGGAGGTAATCTCCTAGCGACTGACTGATTTCCGGGGTTCACGTAGTGATGCGGAGCGCGTTGGGATAGGCATGGTCGCTACAGAATGTGGTTAATGAGTTGCGTGCATCCCGCGCTCGCCCCTCGCTTGAACTAAGGTCAAATTCAGTCGAGGAACCGGCCCCAAGCTCCTGGAAGAAAGCGGTTCTTCGGGTCGCGACGATCTCCCAAAACAAATCCCGAAGTGGAGTGGAGCTTGGGGCCGCACAGTCCGGGCGAAACTTTAATGACGAACCCCTCAGTCACAGTGCTTATGGAATTCTACACACAAAATGTACGCATCTTATCTACAATGTATTTTAACATTGGAATAGGAATGAGAAAGAGAAAACACACTATTGGTATAGGTTCTATATTCGTTCATTGCATTCTATATAGCCGCACCATACTAGCTCCCTCAGCTCGAAAAAAAGCCCAAGGTACAATCAAAGGGAATCTCACTTTTGAAAATTGAGAGATCGTCCAACCGTAACAAAATCATGAGCACATTGAAACCAGCCCCATTACACGCATGACAAGCCAGATCATGGCATCGAGGCATTCCACGTCGCGTCAAGTCTGCGCCTACTCAAGGCAGTCGCATTCATCAATGCTCCAATCATGTAGAAATGAGATTGAAGCCAGTTGCCCAAAGCTCATCACAGGCTTCCACGACGAGGGAAAGCAATGCCCTCCACAGCAGGGTGGTCAGTGAACCAGCTGACCTTCTCACCGGCGCCCTGGTTCACCAGAGCCGAGGGCAAGCTGTGGCCCTCCTCATTATCGAAGATGGCCTTCAAGATTTCCTTCTTACCCCCACCGGTCGCCACAAAAGCAATGTTCAAAGCAGAGGTGACCACAGGGAGGGTCAGGGTGATACGCTTGGGCGGGGGCTTGGGAGACTCAGTCTCGGCAGCCACCCAGGCATCCTTTTCGCGCAGGAGCTCGTGACCCGGGAACAGACTGCAGGTGTGGCCATCAGGACCACAGCCCAGCAGAATGAGGTCGAAGACGGGTAGCTTGACGCTTTCCTTAGCAGCAAAAGAGCGCATCAGGTCCTCCTGGTAAACGTCGGCCAATGCCTGGGTGTCACCGTCGCGGACGTGCTTCTCGTCGATGGGGTGGATGGTCGGAGCACCGAGCTCCGCGGGGATTTTGCTGAGCAGCTCGTCCTTCAGGAGGAGGTAGTTGCTGTCCTTGTCGTCGAGGGGCACGGCGCGCTCGTCGGCGAAGAAGATATTCCATTTGCTGAACTGGGGTGTATCTTCGGGGGAGCCATTGCTGTCGGCTAAGAGGGCCTTGGCTAGGACGACGGGCAGGGAGCCGCCGGAGACGGCGACGCGGAAGGTATTGTGGCGGGCGAGGGCGGCATTTTGACAGCGCAAGACGTACGGCCGCAATTGCTTGGCCAGGGTCTCGGTGTCGGGGAAGCTGTAAAGATGGGGTTGGGAGGTGACCATGGTTGCAGGGTGATTAAAGGTGGTGTGAGGGGAGAAGGAGGAAGAAGGGAGGGGGCCGAGAGCCTAAGATTAGGACCAGAGAGGCTAGACTGTGGAGACTTGAAGAGTTGGGATTTTAGAGGCTTGGAAGGCTTGGAGAGGACTCGATATCAGAGGCCTGAGATTAGTAGATAGTTGACACGAGGGTAGGTACTAGGAAGAGGTTTCTGCAGAGCTGGCTGGGTTTGGCGGGGCGAATTGATGCGAGTTGCGATGGGCGGAGAGGCGGAGATGACGTCGATGTTCAGTGAAGTCGACATGTGAGTCCTCTTTACAGTATCAAGATCCCAACACCCAGTCCGGTCTTCCTATCTCTACAAATTCAGTGAGCCAACATTTCCTTCTCATTATCCTGCTAAGGATGATAGGATGATGTAGGAATCATGTCACTCTTAATCCGCAAGGTCCGTCACCCTGGATTGATAACGATGGAGCCCATCGACGGATAAGATCAGCACTCACGTTGCGTCCTCGCCACACTTTAAACCACATAAAACCACATAGGGCATTTGAATCGCGTCTGATATGGTCTGATCTCGTCTTACTTGGCTTGGTTCGGTCTCTCGGCAGCAGTCGGGTCTCCCCTTGTCAGCCAGTCTGCAATTCTGCACCCGTTCCCCCTCCTGTTTGGGCCACCTGCATCGCCAGTATCCTGGCATGACGGCGTCATGCAGACGGCCTAGATGACACCCGACCGGGTGTATCGGCCCCGTCGAAGACATCGATCGAGATCGAAGGAAATGGAAAAAGGGAGGCCCTCCAATGACAGGCGATGATCAGAAAAAGGTCAGACCTACAGGGGGGAGGATGACTGCCAATACTGCTAGGCTGCCCGTAGTTACTGTATCCGCAAGACGGCTCGATGTTTCTGTTTCGAGTCTAGCTGAAAGATGAAGAGATAAGCCCGATGTGATTTGCATTCTTACTATGAAACCCCCATGTGTTGGGGGTCAGCATAGACAGTGGTGGATCCACCACCAGCGAATAGTGAGGACTACTACGGAGTAGTTTAAACACTATTCACGATGAATGAATGACCTGACTACCAAACTCCAGTTGGGCGATAGTTTTGGCAAGTCCACTTTGAGGATCCCCTTGTGGATATGGAAATCAACTGTGAAGAGAATTTTCCCCCTAAAGCCGGGTTTGGGAATCTGATGAAAATTTTGGAGTCTAGCTTTATCGGGGAGAAATGTCAGAATGTGGTCGTAGGGTCGTGACTTTTTACATGGTGACCTGGTCATGGTACAGAATTCACTTGCTAAATTCCGGATCCCTTGGAAGGCTCCGAGGCCAGTCATTGGCGTCATGACAAGCCGAGACAGGCTGCCCAGAACCCTTTTGTTAAAAGTTTCCGGTATTCAGGTTACGCGAATTAAACTACTGGGGAGTCCCAAAAGAAGACGCTATCGGGGCCTGCTAATCCGCTAATCCGCACATAGGCAGTGACGCTGAACGAGTCACGACTCGAGTACATTGTGGAAAACTGGAATTCGTGGGCTCTATTATTCTTATTTATCAGGCTCGAGTATTAAATATTTTTATAGTTTCTTGATTTGTGTCCTGCCTAAACGAACTCCAAATATTTGAGTCTACTCCGCCCCCCCCTCGGGCGCAGGCTCCTACTTTCCTATTCTTCTTCTATCATTATTATAACTTCCTTACCTTCTCATCCTCCATACTTCTTCGGACATCCTCGGTCGCATCTACCCAACTCCCAATTCTTCTGCCCGTGAGGCGACCCTAACGCCCGGCATGAATTCACCCATGGTCCAAATCTCGCCGCAACCTACCTTGCCCCCTCCATCCGAGGCATCTTCTACACATGGTCTGACCTTTGACATTGTCCGCTGCTCGCGGTGTCAACAATCCCTCAGTCTGGCCAGTCACTCCACTGCCTCCGGGGTAGTTCAGTTTGGCATGAATTCTTATTATTGCCATCGCTGCGCGTCCAAGGTCGGCTTTGTCCGTTGAAAGCGCGTGGTCGGCAACCAAACACAACAATACCTACAATGTTCCACCACCACATACAGGCTGGGGGCCTGTAGCTCGAAATCAGCAACCAAGAAGCTCTCCACTCGATCAACGATATCACCGATAAAGTACATTCAAACGTGATTTCCTATCATCCATTCGACTTTTGGACTCTTTCCTTTGGATTCTCCGACTCATCTTCAATCGGCGTCTCTTCTACGCGGTCCTATCGTGTTCCATCGCACAGATGACACACCGGATGTTTTTATTACTCCCTTTATGTCGGATTCGGGGCCCATCAATTCCCCGGAAAGGTTGGCCAGACACTCCTAATAGACAAGATGGTTGTGTCTTGGGCCAAATCTCGCGGGTTGGAAAAGGTTCGGATAAAGTGCTTTCTTTGGCGAACCTGGAGTTGACGGATGACGAATGTCTTTACATTCGCGGTTTTTCCCATATCAACAATACTTTTCTTGATATAGCAGACCCTTTATAGGTTCTGCCCGGCTGAGGCCTTTTGGGGGTTGCATTGCATGATCAGACTATACACGGTTGTCTGATCGGGTTGATTTTAGCGATGTTCTTGCGTATAACGTTGCAATTTACTGTAATGCAGTATCGCATTGAAACCATCTTATATTCAATATTGCATATTTGAATGTATCTCGGCCAGTTGAGAGTTCCCAAGACCTCTCTATTGTTAAAATTTAGTGTACGGAGTACAATACATCACCAAATAATAGGGAAAATGAGTCCAGAAATGACCACTCTTAACGCCACTTTACGCCTTCTATTTACTAGAATCCTGATTATTGAACTCTCGCGTGATTTGCTTTTGCCTCACTTTTCTTTTTCCACTCTCTAGTCCAAGCCACCGTTCTGCCCGCGCAACCTTAACCAAGACACTGTTTTTGGACAAGATCAGTCCAATCAGCGTATCAACAATAAGAAAAGCTTCATATTGGAAGCCGAAACCCCTTTGCCAATTTCAAGGATAGAACAACCAGGGCGCAAGCCTCACCATCTACGCGGTGGCTACATTCCTTGAGCTTAATGATATTATTCAATCTGTACAAAGCGCATCGCACCTCTCGACGAGATAAAATTCTGATTCCTAGTATTAAAGAAACACGCTCAAGACTTCTTTGAAGCGCCAGGGGTTGGGGGGCTTGATTGGCCACTCTCATGATGGTTTCCCAGATGATGGGTATCGATAATGTGACCACTATCATATCCTGTCGCGTGGAGACTGATGTGACTCCTTTCACCCTCGAAAAACAACGCGTAAGCCTCTTCACCATGAACCGCATCATCGCCAACCATAAGCTTTTGCTCGTTCAGTCGCAATGGAATGCGCAAGACAAACTTGATGAACACGCAAATAAGCGAGGTCATGAATAAGTTCAGGCCGATGATGAACAATGCGCCCACGATCTGCAACCAGACTTGCTTTCCATTACCTTCAATTGCACCTCCGGGATTTTTGAGACCGAATGCAGCGCAGCCATCGATTGTGGCGAAAATACCTGTGAGAAAGCCTCCGAGGAAACCGGCAACCATATGAGTATGAACCACGCCCACTAAGAAGGAAATGTTAGAATGACTCGAGGACGGGTAGGCTGGAGCTGGATGCCACACTTACTGACGTCGTCAACTTTCTTCATCCATTCCATCCGGCCGAGAACATTCATCGATATCCACGGGATCGAGCCTGAGCAGGCTCCAATGATGATAGCACCCCAGCCAGTGACGAAGCCGGCAGCAGGTGTAATTGCAACAAGGCCCGTGATCTCTCCTTGAACGGCACCAATAACGGACGGCTTTTTGAAAAAGACAAAGTCAAGAGTCGTCCACACAAGGAGACTCATGGCTGTACAGATATTTGTGTTTAGAACGGCAACGCCTGCATCAGGGCTTGCAGCATATGGGTCACCTCCGTTGAACCCATTCCAGCAGACCCAAAGAATACCCGCGCCAACCAACATGAGAAGAACATTGTTTGGATAGAAGGAGTCCCTGTCGCGTTTCAAGCGAGGACCGAGCCAATACGCCGCTGTAAATCCTGTCATGTAAGGCCCGTGAGTTAGTACAATTCAAGTACGAAGAAGGTAGGTATATTTGGCTCACCTGCAGTGCCCGAACTAAGATGAATAACATATCCACCAGAATAATCTAGGACACCCATTTGAGAGAGAAAACCTCCTCCCCAGAGACTGTAGGAAACGTCAGCAACTGATCCCACAAGATATTCTCCGATCTAAAAAGCAAACCTGAATGCCCCAACGGTATAACTAAACGTGATCCACAAAGGCACAAACGCCATCCAAGCCAGAAGATTGATCCGACCGAGCAGGGATCCACCTAAGATAATAACCGTAATCGCGGCAAAAACGAACTGGAAATAAATCATCGTCGATAGATTGTAATTGGTAGTGATACCAGCAGCGGGTAAAGTCGCTTGGGCCAGGTTTTGTTCCATGGTCAAAACGGGCCCAGGCGTTCCAAGCAAGGGAAAACTTCCCCACTGCTCACCAAACGCCATTTTATACGCCCATATCACCCAGCATACAAGCGTGGCGGAGAATGCATAGAATACCTATCTTTCGGTCAGCTTGATTGGAAACGGTTTCAAGAATCAAATCTTCTTCAGTCATACCATAAAGGCAGAGTTGATGGCCCATTTTCTATGCAATGTTAGCTTTGTATTAGAAGAGATCGGAAGGTCGATCCTTGGACATACTTCTTCACGAAGCCAGCATAGAGAATGGCAAGTCCCGGGATGGATTGGAGTGCAACCAATGTACCCGCTGTCAACTGCCATGCTTGATCACCCTTATTAAGCCAACTGTTTAATTCGCCCTTAGAATTCTTTCATAGCCTGAAATACCACACAGCTCTGGGATGACTTACTCCGGGGCTGGGTCGGTCAAGGCTGTGACATTTGCCATGTTGGACCCAAGCTAATGCAGCTATAATGGAAGCAAGATTTGGAGGGCCACACTACTGTGGTACTTCAGACAAAATCGACAATCTACGCGCGAAGGAAGGTAGAGAACATATATGTAGGGCGGGCTGTTCACAAGCTTAGAATCTAACAACCTTCGCCTTAGGTCTCAATTTCTCAAATGACCATGGACGCTCTTCTTCTGATTGAATCCCTGCCTATCATTCTGCTTATTCCTTTGCTTCTTCTCCGGTTCCAACTTAACAGCTTCTTCAACAGGAAGTCAAGTCAGCTTTAGATAAAGCATCGCCTAGCTGATGGCGCTGAAAGATAAGATGAAAGTAAATCTCCCAAGCCAATAGGAATTCCTTGTCTACCATGCCCTCCAAATCTAGGTTCTTCAATAGAATTTATGACACATAAAAATAAGGATAAGAGCACTGAATCGCGAGGCTATCTCGGCCAAAGAAGGGTTCGTGTCGAACGTCCTTTCTATGTTTTTGACAGACAGCCCTTCCGGCCCCACTATGGCTTGTATCCCCAGACAAAGAAGCTTGTCTAAAGCTTAACTTCCAAAATGTGGAGATAAGCCCACCCATCTCTTCTATGATTGGGTTTTGATGAGCCACATGCTACAACAACGGCTGAACAGTGACGTTGGTCATATCAAGTAGAGGTCCGTATCGCTTGCAGCCTATTCGCTACATCTGCACCATTTAAGCCCGCTCAGCAACAGAGCAATCAAAACGCATCAGCTTATCTTGAGAATGTTTTGGTCGGACATTTCTCCTCACGTATGACCTTACTTAGATGGACATCAGGGAGCTTGTCCCAGTCTATTCGATCGTGTGCATGCGATCTAAGCCCAGCAAGTAATTATTCAATTCCCAAGTCGTTATTAATGCCTCAGATTATTGAGGCTACTACTGTTGGCGAAGTAGTAGAAGTCTGATCATGCGCGATATACATAAAGGGTAGAATCATGGCTCGCGTAGGGTGCGTGCGAGGGTTTATGGAAATTGCTGCTATATTCCGATCATGCCTACTTGGCTTCATTCTACCCGAAAAGCCAAGACTCAAGAACAGTGAGTAGAACCTAGCACGGAATCGACCAGAACGACATAACTTATCCCAATTGAGAGTCAATAGATCCTGAGCCAAGACAAATCTTTTTGGTTTGCCACCTAACTACCGAATAAAGGCAGAAGATGGTTGGACTTTGGAAGGGTTACCCCCTTTTCAGATCGCTATGTGCAGATTCCGAAGGACAAAAAGAGAATGAAGAAAGCCATGCGCTGCTTCAAAATTGTCAAATTGAAAAGGAGATCTTGCCTCAGCCTTCACACTTCACTATATCAACATCACACCCGGCTGACACTACACAGCCGTCGGTTCGATATATGAGCTTCGGCATTGGCGGTGCGGGTAACGTTAGGAGGTGGGTTTAGAGGCTTGTTTCCCTAATATTTTTATCGTCGCTAGTCATTTTGCATAGCGTCAAGGTTGTCGTTTACTGATTTTTGTCAGGGTCTCGATTTGTAACGGAATATACGTCGAAGTTGCTAAGTCTTCTCATAAGGAAAGATAATTGACTGTGGACACTGCTTGGCAATATGTGTGATGAACCTTTATCTATGATCTTAATTCAGGACTGAATATATTACTTAATTGAACTTGCTACATACGACAATCGCGCGTAAATGGCCGAAGCCGACTTCGATCAAATCAAGTAGGCTGCGGGTACAAAAGGCCAGAGAGAAAAGGAGAGGGGAAGAAGACAAAAATGAATCTATTACAGGGAAGAAACTTCAACCTTGCAAGCTTAATGCCCTCTAAGAGACAATGATCATATAGTTGGTACTATTTCCAACTAGTGCCCGGAAACCATGATGAAGGCAAGCTACGTAGAGATTGTCAGCGATGACACGCCTTGGCTATCAATTGGAGTTGGTATATTGCTCGCTCATGATGTTCATCAGGTTGTATGTGTTAAAGTATAATAGGACTGGAAACCCGTTTAGTATTCATTCAATTCACCATGCGACCGGACAGACCTGTTGGCTTTCTACTTCGGCCTCTTGCGTGATGAGACCCTGAGATACCACTCTCTCCCTCCCCATAAAGTTCCAACTTTCTACATCTTCAGACTTCCCGATATCCATATATCCCTGCTTGGGGTTTCTTGACCACCCTTTCATCCTCGCATCCTTTCGGTCGAGGGTCGTGTGTTGCACTTGTTTAAACCCGTCGGGTTTCGTGCCACCTCGCTTGCCCTTCATACCATGCGAATCTGAGTTAGAAAGGCAGATCATGTAGTATGCCTTAAGGCGGGGTCACACATGCCCTAGGCACAATCCATCACGCATCCTTCCAAATTTAGCCCCGGCAGTTGAACTGTGAGACATTTGAATAAGCGCCTTGGTGATGGGCGAGGAAACACGGAGGCTGATCTTTCGAGTCCAGGATGTCGGTCCCCGAGAACCTGCAGATTCTGGAGTCCTACTTACTATCTCCCCCGAAATCGTGCACTCTGTGAGGGGTAAAGCTGCCTTTGACTTGTCTGAATGGCGCCAGAGCTAGTAAAGCTCATGTTGATTGAGACCTGCCGTGTCACCTTGAGACTTTGGACCCTTTGCCACTCTGAATACTCGCTAGCTTGTCTCTGACAGCATCAACTGGCTTGAACGGGCAATGTCCATGAAAGATGAACAGTACGGAGGATGGCGTAGAAAGGTACCTCCATACACAGTACCCATCTCCCACGTCCGTGCGGGCCATGACGCCCTACAGATTAATTGCGTGCATCACTGACAATCCTCGAACTTGACCAGTTCCCTTCCAGCGACCTCAATGTGGAGACCCGTTCGATCCTTTTCATTCACTCTCAACGCAACGCACTCGCAGCCAGCCACGATTTCTGTCTACTGTATCTGTCACTGCAGGTACTCCCAGCTAGGCTCGCATCAGAATCAATAAACGCAGCAGATCCAAAAGTGAATCCACTGGCTGTTCGGCATTGGCTGGGGCTCTCATCTGATTGCTCAAGTCACAGGGACCCTGAATGTTACTGGTCTAGTGGTTGGATTTACTGGATTAAATCTACTAGTGAACCCTCGGCGATCGCTGATCGCTGCTGATCCTCCCACTGTAAGCTGTTCGATCGTTTCTTTTCTTTTTCCTGAGTGGGAACTATTTGATCCGATCTGGCTGACGACACCACAAATTCACTATTTAACAGGCGCTCTGCAACGCTAAGGGGATCATGCAGCCCACAAAGCCAATGTGATCGATATGGGTCGCTCCGCGCGCGCATCGAGCTCCACTCTTTTACACCCACTACTGAGCCACTAGCCCCTCTTTCTCTGCTCCCCAAGCCCCAAGGGCGTCTGTCCCCCGAAGCACCTTATGGGGAGCGAACAAGGCCGATCCGGATCTGGCGGTGTAACATGAAGCATGCTCAATGCTGCTTTTCACCCTCGAAGATCTTGCTTTGTGTTCTGTGCCTATCCTAACCCCCCCACAATGCCCCCGCTTCCCCTACGATCCGTGAAACGGGACGACCCGGACATGAAGGCGATCTAATGGCAACACCATTCGTGAATCGGGATAAGATTTCCCCTTGAGGCCTATGGATTATTGCGACGAGGACAGAGCGGCTCAGAGGGGAAAGGATTAAAAAAGCAATGAACAGATGACAGAAGTGCAGGTCTCTAAGTGGAACTATCCATGTATTCCACCAGTGGGGTGGTACGGGGAGGTGATTTATTGCCTTTGGCATTGGCTAGAAGGAGCTGAGCTCGGGCTTCGTCGCCGACGAAAATGACATATCTCAGCATTGCAGACAGGAGGAGTCAATGTATCTCCATCCTCACTGGCTGGCTGCTCACTCTCGGCACTATTCGATTCGTCGGTTTCTGCAGCTTTCTGGGTCTCGCCTCCGAACTCGTCGGCTGTTGTCTGCTGTCTGCTGCTGCTGCTGCTCCTGCTGTTACTGTTACTGCGGCTTTTGCACAAGCCATAAGGTGTCTCCGAATTCATTTACTTTGCTCAGTACTGACCACGATGCAAATGTCTTTTATGAAACGCCTACAAAAATCTTCTGGTTGAATTTCTTTCCTCCATCTTCATTACCGTGATCGTGGCCCTTATAATAAGATACTCCCTCGACGTTGGGTTCGAAGCGAGCTTGGAAGTTTTTCTTTTCTTCAAAGTCCGCATGTGTCGGTCTGACCAATTTGTTGACCTGCATTGAATGTCCCTGCAACAAGGTAAGCCGGCTGTGCTGTTGTTCTTGTGATCTTGTGAACCCTTAGACGAGGGGGAAATACATTACATCTCATGCTTGGTGATGTCGATGGTTATGCGATAGAGTCCGACCTACCATGCTTGTCTCACCTTCCAATCTGTTTAAGCTCCTCTACTCTCTCCAATGCTCAGCGCTGACTCGTGCTTGCGAAAGGAAAGCCAAGAAAGAACCACGCTTTCTGGATTTACAAAGTGATTGTTCCAGTTCAAGATCCAACCGAACACAACCCTGGTTAGACGGGTTCGACCTCCGACTGTTTCGCAACGCCGGCCTGCTCATCAGGATACTTGCACCACGGAAAAGTTCGCCGACTAACAACCGGACAACTACCTGCATTTCCGATCGAGGTGCGCCTGTGTCAGGAAGCAGCATCAGTAGTGAAAATCGGAGATCTCGATTGGTGATAAGAGGGTGATTCGCAGACATGCCGCTGTTTGGTCGAGAGAAGGGCCGCAGCCCGAGATCCCGAAGATCAGATGATGAATTTGTCGTGTTTCTTCAGGGGGTAAGCTCTATTTTTGAGGCAACTCACATTCTCCACCCCATTCGCTTACATACATCGTTCGTTTACAGATTCCAGCCCATTGTCGCTGGCAAGAATTGAAGGATTTGGTGCGCCAGACGGCTCTCCATATTCGCCAGGCCGTAGTCTATGATGACAGCCACGGCTTCCCGACAGGTTTAGGCCAGATCATTGTCAAGAACGAGGATGAAGCTTGGCGGACTTATCGTGAGTTCTTGCTTCTATATCGCGATACACATTGTAGGATTTTCTGGGTTTAACACTTAACACAGATCGGCTATCAACGAATGGGTGGGAGGGCCAGAGCCTAGTTGTGACATTGGCACGTACCAGCTCTCCTACAAAGCCTGTTGCCGGACCTACTAGAAGTCCACCCGCAATGATTCATGGCTACATGTCGGGCCATTCCACACCACCCCGATCTCAGGGAAACATGACCATGCCTCCGTCACCGGTTTCGCCCGAGTAAGACATCCATCTGATATTCATGGGATTCGCCATCTAACATGTCCAGATCCGTCCACTCTGCTAGCCCAACCTACCCATACCCAGAATTTGTGCCAATGATAGGCCCTTTGGCGATGGCACCACAGCCTTACATGCCCATGATGCCAGAGCCTATGCAATGCGTCCCGCCATCTCCTATGATGCACTGCTCGATGTACGACGCCCCAGGCTGGAACATGTTGCCCATGTACCCGATCTCGCCCGTTCAGCCTCTACACGATAACCCAGGAGACCCCTTTCCACGATTCCACCCGCGCAAACCATGGGCCAACCACCCACCCACCTCTAGCTCTCCCGTTCCCGACCTCGCCCAGCGAGTAGTCTACTTCCAGAATTTGAACTCAGCAACTACAACAGCAGACCTGAAGGCCCTCCTCCAGAACGTCGGAACTGTGGAGCAGTGCAACGTCACAGGACCCTCCAAAATCCACGATCTCCCCCAACCTCACGCTTCTGCCATCATGCACAGCGTTGATGAAGCGAGGCGTGCCATGGACATGTTAAATGGAATGACGTTCATGGGTTCTCGAATTCGCGTCCGAATGGATCAGTTTCCCGATAATTCACGAAAGGGGAGCTGGGATGGCAAGGTGGCGCAAGACGAGCCCGATCTGATGGAGCAGACAGCTAGTGAGAAGAGCTCTGAGTGCAGTGGATGTGAGCAGGATGTTTCCTTCCAGGAGCCAAAGCGGATGGACCCACATAAACCGCTTGTGGTTGATGGTAGTGGGGTGCAGAAGAGGTCTTTAGAGTTGTTGTCGACATCTGCGCCAACTTAGGCACCGATATATTTGGCTTTGGAATGGTAATATTGTCTACTTGGTGGGTTGAATGGAGTACTGCTTGGATAATAGGGCTGGGTTGGGGATGGTAATGTATTATATTAGTGTAGTTCCTGTTGAATGAGATAATGAGTGATGCAAATGGTCACTATCCACACCCATGTTCCTTCTTAACAATTCCTTGACTTCTAGTCTCCAATCCAAGATTATCGCATAACGCTCAGCCTAGGCTGATGGATCTCGATTTAAGAGGCATCAAAGTGTTGTGATCACTATATTTCCAATCAAGAAAGGTCACTGACTTCTAATCCACTTGCTAAAGCTAGAAGTCTAAGTGCAACACACCATCTCCCCAGTCCTCTCATATCAACGAGTTCCCACCAACATCAGATCATCATAGGTATTTCTCTCCAGGCTCAATCTACCCTTAGCTTCCAACGATGTCATGACCTTCGGATCGCGACACTCGAGTCTCCGGGTCATCTTAGACGAGCCATCCTCACCCTGAAGACCAACCAGCAAAGCCCCGACCACAAGGCCAACCATCCTAGCCTCATATTCCTCGGCGGCGAGACAAGTATCTGGACGAAAACCAAAAGTCAAAAGGCTCTCTATCTTGCCTAGGGTAAATTTACACCAGCGCGACGGGTCAAATCGATGCGTCTCTTTACCGCAAACATTACGGTCGAGGATACAACTTTCGAGATCGGCGGCGAGAATCCGGCAATATGGTGATTTGAATGCCTCGTCCATATCTTGTATTTCTGGGAAGGATTCTTTGGAAGTTGAGAGGCTGGAATTGATGTCGTCCACATTATGCTCTGCTTCTTGGGGAGGACCAAAACCACTGGCTCTGTAAATCCGCCGCATTGGCGGGTATAACCTGAGACCCTCTTGGACGATCTGGGGGGCAGAGAGTTTGACGAAAGGGTCCCGCCAGTAATGTTCATCATCGTCATTATTATCCACGGTGCCTGCGTCTGAATTATTGGGTGTGCAAAATTGCTCGTCTGTTGCATTCTTGACATATTGCTTCAGGATGTACCCCCACCATTCTGGATCTTTCGCGCTAGAAACAAATTGAACTTCTAGAAACAAGCGCAGTACAACGCGCCACATCATTTCAAACCCGTGTACAACCATATTGAGAGCGTTGTCTGGACCATAGCCATGGATTTTGAAAATGGTCTTCAGACATTTCTGGAGTTCCCGGTTATTTTCGTATCGACAGGATCTCGGGATATTGTCATTGAAACAAGGTTCATCATCTTGTTTCGAAGCTATCCAGATTTTAGAGATAAGCCGGCACAACTTGAGTATATCTTCGTCGCGCATATCAGGATTTATCTCTTTCTTGCACATCGACTTTAGCACGACATGTATCGCCAGGGCTTGCACGAGGTTGGTAAGGTTGATCCGAATCGAAGTACAGTTTTCAGGAGTAGACTGTCCATCGAAACCAGCATAAATCCAGCTCTGCGACTTTTCCATGAGCTGGCCAGCCCGTAGGTACCATTTGTAAAACCTCATATTCATCCGTCTCTCGACTCGCTTGCTGAATTCCCTCCTAAATCGGCGGTTCGTTGAGGTAAAAGCGTCTTCGATTCCGAACGCCGCCCGAAGCCGTTGGTACACCATAGCTCTTGATAGTTCTGAAGACAGCCGATTCTGGGGCTTTCGAAATGTAGGCCAGTATGCAAGGATGCTATAAAATTGCCGCATATCTGGGACTACTTCCTACTTCAATCGGGAGGCTGGTGGGCTTTTATTTCCGAATGTGAAAGAAGTAGAAGGTTGAGGTGATGATCGAGACTAGTATAATGGCCACAGATAGCATGATGTATTGCTGTCGGTATATATGTCGATAATTCAAGCATAGGCTAAATATTCCGTGGATTGAAACCAAGAGATCTTGACAGTCTATATAATCGTGAGCAGTGTAAGTCAAACTAGGTGGATGACACAACATCTGCATTGTTTGCGTTTGTCTTCACACTCACTGGTCGGGTAACAAAGCCATCTAGAACCATGATGAATCAGTATAGCACGGCATTCAATGTTTAAAGTGGTGGGCTTTTAGCAATAACTTCAGTGTTCAAGCAACGGAAGACTGCCAAAGATTTCTGTATAACAAGCCCCTATCTTTGGTTGTTCCAGCCGATGTGACGAGGGAATCAACATGGTTGTGTATGATTGGATATAGAAACAAGTGCCCTAGTAGAAGAATCATCAATTCATTTCATAAGACTATCATTTATCTCTGAATGGTCGTTTCCAATGCAATTTTCATATGCCAAGACCCAGCCGCGCATTCCAACCAAACAATGAATATATGCCCAAAGCGCCATGCCCGTAAAAAGTTGAAACAAAAGCAATTGATAAGAAAGACATTAACATGAACAGACGTATCTCAGGTCACTTTGCGTGATTGACCATCTCTGCGTAGAGATCATCGGGGATTCTTTGCACCAAAAGAACCGTCAAGGCGATAATACCCTTGGCGTCAAGAGGGGGCAACGACCGAAGGATCTTGTTGGGACTAGTGGAATGTCAGAGATATAAAGCGGTAATAGGTCAGAGATCGGGTTACTCACCTCGGACTCTCAAAGAGGGTGTCCCGCATGCGAATCAACTGAGCGACAATGCATAGAATGTTGAGATGCGGGCCATAAGCAAAGAGAAAGTCCCACAAATGCAACACTTCTGGCAATGGTGGTGTACATGCACATAACGTCAAGACCGATGGGAAAGCATAGAGTTCAGCATACATCCCCTTGGAGAAGAGGTAAGCTGCAAGCTTGGGCTCCACAATTTCCAAGCACCGATCAACTAGTCGAAGACCTCTGTGCACTCCATCCATAGCCCCTCGAATATAACCCGGGCACTCCTTAGTGACAAAGTAGTGGAAGAGAGCGAAAGCCTCTACCTCACTGCGAGCGGAATACAAGAAAGGTGCGCAGAGGACGTTCATGCCTTGCACATAAATCGCCGAGTCGTTAACGGTGTTGCTGGGGCCAGAGCCGGGATCCTCCAATTCTGGTTCTTCTTTAATGCTGGGTGGTGTGTTCACCAGCATCTCCATTTCGAGTCGCCTGGACGAAGAAGGTCGGGATCGAGGCTTGATTTTGGAGTCATGAAGTTTCCATGCCACAGCATTGAGTAGCCGGATGAGACTGGCTTCGGTTACACGGCGCTTGAAGAGCGGGTCTGTTGCGAGGGTGCGGAAAGTGTCATTGCGAATCTTCGCGTATGCGGGTGAACCACCACGGTGGACAAGGGCAAGGTAGTCGTCGGTGGGGACCGGTTCAACATTCAGGAGGATAAGCCATAGGTAGACTCGATATGGGGACTGTAATTTCACTGAAGTTAGCCATATCCATGTCTGGTATCTCCCCAAGCCCCAGTTTCAACACTAACCATGCCATCTCCATCCGCGTCGACTCCAGTTGACAGAACAAGGTATTTCAGTTCCTGCAAAGCTTCCTTGGTGTTCCCATTTTGCGGTCCATCGCGCACGAGATTCTCCAGGAGGGACCTCTTAATTCCCACGCCTGATCCCGTTTTCCGAGCAGGGCGCCTTTGTGTTGGGATTGGCGCTACCAGTGATGCTTCAAGAGCAGCCGCGTCACTGTTTGATCGAGGTCGACGGGCTGGGGTACGTATCGTAGAGCCCGATGTTGCGGACAATCCAGTATCAGTGCCACGAGTGGCTGAGAGGTGAGAGGACTGGGTTTGGGCAATGAGGGCGCTGGAGGTTGTCAGGACCTGATGAGATTGGATCTTGCGCAGCGTGCGCATCGTTCGCGGCGAAGACGGCACCTCGGGGCCACCGAGGCCCCAAGACGGCTGAGGCATGGCCATTTGAGCAATTAACAAGGCATCAAATGACCACTATCGCGCATCCTCTGTCTTGGAGCGGAGTAATCAGGGAGGTTGTAAAGGTTAAACTATGAGGGCTCCGGTGGCTGGAAGCTGTCGGTTTTCTGCCGTTGGAGAAATGCGGAGCACGCGCTTAGTTTGGTCTGGCCCCAACTTCCACTATCGTACACCTTCGAACTGCTGTCCTTAAAATTAAATACATTGGATGAAAACCCCATGTTCACTGGTCAATTTGTCATATTTCTACGTTATCGCAAGTATTGAATCATCCGCCGCTATGTACTGACAGCCGACTAGAATGGTGGACAGCCGGCAAAACAGAGACCCAAAACAAACATCCCCTAGCGCCAACTCCGTCGGAATCCCAATTATCCCAATTATCATAGTGACGACCCTCAAGCCTGAGCTGCACCTGCCTCGCGACGTCCATTGTTGCCATTTTCACTTCCACCTACAACAGTTCGAACGAAGTCGTGGTACTGGAAAACCTCGCCCCTCTTCACTCCTCCGGCCTTCGCGCCTCGTCCCCCGAAAGCCCGCCGCCCGGTAAACCCGCTAAAGACCTCGTCAATTTGTTGTTCTGTCAAGGGTGCGCCTCCGTCTTCAGGTAGAGTGTGCAAGAGGGCATCGCGTAGTTCGGCCACGTCGATTTGACCATTGTCATCATCATCAAATGCAGCCAAGGCGTTGAGAAGCTCTTGAGAAGAAGACATGGGCGACATTAGTTGAGAGAGGGTGTTTAGGAAGGTCGGGAAGTTGATTGTTTGGGATGCGCCAGGTGGGAAGAAGCTCGAGAGCGCAGAGGGAGATGCGTCTTGTCCTACAGTGGTCTCTTCGTTAATTTCCAAGCTCGCTTGTTTTGGAGAGAAAACAACGGTTCCGCTTACCTAGGTTCAACAAGACATCTGCGACGTCATCCTTGTTGACTAGCCCGTCGTTGTCCCGGTCTAGGACTTGAAATGCTTCCCGGATTTCTCTGACTTGATTGGCAGGGAGTTTGGAAGACGCATCAGCGTTCGCAATTGTTGTTCCACGCGATCTGTTGCCAATTATGGGTGATTGGTATCCAGGTGACTGCGCTCCTTTGGTCGGTGAGGGAGGAAGCTCTCGAGTAAACTTGGGCTGCGGGATAGGATCATTTCTCGTGGAGGCTGTATCGTCTTCTTCGACTGTGAATGTCTGGTTCAATTTACTCGGGGACTGCATAGGTGTATAACCCCGACTTGGTGAGCTTCCTGGTGTGCCAGCCGTACGAGCTGAGCCCGGCGGGGAGTTTGGCGTAGACGGGCGCCGGAAGGGCGAGGCCCTTGGACTCCCAAAGGACAGCGGGGAGGGTTTGAAGGTTGGATTATTTGACTGCATAATGTGTCACATTGTCAGATATCAATTTTGGCTCAAGCAAGGTGAAATTCATACCATGATTGTGCAAGTTCGAGTGTTGCCAGCGTGCGGAGTATATCTGATTGAGTGATGAAGATAGTAAACAATGCCCCGGCAACACAGTCGGCCCGATGAGGCACGTGCGGAGCCGCCAAACAAGTAGTTTAGGAGCTGTCAAATGGCGGCGCTGCGAGGAAACTGGATGAGAGAAGTCAGTTGAAAGACTTGATAGATCAATTTGGAGGTGTCATGCTGCATGAATACCAACTACAGTTTTTATAGGATCTTATCATGACTGTCCATGGTCATGGTTGAATGTCCCGCCCGCTCACACTTGTGCACACTGCAGTTGTTATCGCCTATCGCCCCCGCTGTGGAGATCGCCCTTTTTCTGATCCCGACCCCTGAACCATTGAACTCCCGGCCTGCGGTGTTTGGCAGCATTGAATATCATTCGGGTCGTAATTCTTTCGCTCTCGAAGCCTACAGACAAGGCATGTCCCTGGTTTCCTTCGCCTGACCCCGGCCCATCTCGACTCTCCCCCAATCCCTCCGAAGATGGCGTCGACACTGCCCTATCGACCGTCGAACGACTCCCTGTCCACCTCCAACCCCAAGACTAATGGACTTCCTCGTCTCTCTCCTGCAGCCTCCTTTATTGGAAGGTCTCCGAGTGGCTCGCACGCCTCATTCCGACGTACATCTACCGAGAATGCGGTAGGCTACAGGCCACGGCGGTGTAAGGCACAGTACCCGTTGGATTCGCCTGAGCGCCATGTGGAATACATTCTAGTAGCGTCCTTCCATATCGACCGGGGTCCGATCATGGAGCATCAGTATCCGGCGGCGATCAGCGGCGACGAGAGCATGCTTGCGGAACTGATGCTCCCGGATCAGACCCATGTGCGAAGTCAGGATTGGACCATTTTCTTCTTGCACAAAGACACGAGCGGCGATGAAGAGGACGAGTCAGAGGGCGGGAAGAAGAAGAAAAAGCGAAAGTCAAGATATCGCGCCAATGAGGAGACTGCGGGTATGTCTGAGGAGGATCCAGATGAACCCTCTGAGGGTGACAGCAGTGACGACGACGAGGGCGGGGAAGGGCCGCCCTTGATGTATGTGCTGAACTTGGTGAACACGAAGCAGGATAATACTGTCCGACGGTATGGTTAACTCATCATATTGCCTGTAAAACTTGTCAACTAACGAGACAAATAGTGGTGCTGTTGTCAAGGCCATGGCAATCTGTACAAGGCATTCATTCCTTCATATCTACAAAGTGAGTCCGTTTTTCTATAATACATGAACTGAATCTAACAAAATCGTAGCCACTATTGCTGTTAGCCCTGGAAGACTATTTCAAATCACCTTACCCCGAAACGCTTGCATCTCTTTATGACGCGGTGAATAACATGGACCTCTCATTGATGCCGAAAATGTCCATCTTGGAGCGGCACATTTTGCAATCCAGTAACACCAAGGACATGTTCATCGAGAAGTTCGAGCAAATGGTTCGCCAACGAGAGGAAGAAGAGGCGGAAGATGGGGAGTGTCCTCCATCGCCCAAGAAGTCGGGCCGATATGTTCTCCCTCGGGACACGCACGAATTTGAGTCCAAAGTGGTCTATAACGATATTCCCATCCCTGTCAAAATTCCTACAGTCATTTGGCCCGAGACTGTTGGTGACTTCTCTCTCGTCAAACTCATTCAGACTTTCGCTGGGCCTCACGCTACATCACCGCAGCCCTTCCCAAGTCACCCTCACTTGACGACAAGCGGCCCCTTCACACACCCCATCATTGTACTTATCAACGCCATCCTCACGCAGAAGCGAGTGATTTTCCTAGGACATAACCGGCCATCAGGCGAGGTGGCCGAAGCTGTTCTCGCAGCTTGTGCACTTGCATCTGGTGGAATTCTACGCGGCTTTACTCGACACGCCTTCCCCTATACTGATCTGACCAAGATCGATGATCTCCTCAAAGTTCCCGGTTTCATTGCCGGTGTAACAAACCCGACTTTTGCCAATCATCCCGAATGGTGGGATGTTCTGTGCGATCTACCGACAGGTCGTATGAAGATCTCAAGCCATGTCGAGTCTGCCCCGGTAACGGAAGGGCTTCTTTTCTTCCAGCAGCAAAATGCGTTGTTGCCGCCTCCTTCCAGCACCCATCCTGATCCCACGGGGGACCATTTGTTTATGGATGATATCCTTCGTAGCATCAGCCAGCGCCACGGTGAGAACGCTATCCGCGCGAAATGGCGCGCGTATATTGTCAAGTTCACTCGAGTCTCCGCAGCATTCGAGGAGGCTGTATATGGCGCTTCCAACCTTTATATAATTGGACCGGGTGAAGAGTTGTCACCCGACAGTCCGACAGGTCATCAAACAGACCCTACAGATCCAACATCCCTTAGGGGTCATGGATACGTTTGGCCCGATGAGGCTTCTAAACAGCGCGAGCTAACCGCCTCTGTCTCACGAATCGAAGGGTGGCGGAATACCCGTTCATACTACTCGTATATTCAAGACATTGCAGCGATGTATTATCCGGCGCGGCCAATCCAGCGACCTGATATACACCATCACCATGACCGGCTTCGGTCCCTCAAGCTCTCCCATGCCGAAGCAGGTGCCATCTACCTCGCGCTATCTCACGCCGTCAAAGACTACGCCGGTATCTGTCAACTGCTGACGGTTGCTCCCGAGAATCAGGCCGGGCTCTTCTACATCAGTATGGGTCTTTTCCATCCAGACCAGGTCGTGCGGGAAGCAACTGTCGATCTACTTGACCGTATTATGGTACACCCAGTCGGGCGACATTTCTGGACTCACCTTAGCCGCTTCGCCAAGCTGGGCTACTTCCGGGTGAAACGAGAGCGTGATGCGGCCCAGAGTCCTATCTCAGGTGCTGGTTCCCCGACAGCCACGAATCCTGGCACCAGCTTCGGCGGCGAGCCGCAGAGCCTGGTGGGAGTTGCGCTTGGAGACAGCTTCAAGAGGAGAAGTTAATTCGACTTACAAGAAGAAATCCCCCATTTTGTTCTGCTTTGTGAGCGCTTTTGTCCTATATATCCTGCTTTTCGCGCACATATTCTCTGATCTACTTTGCTCATTTGTGACGAACGTTAAGAGCCATGTTTTTCCTTCTTATCATGACATCTGTGATGCATATTTGGCTATTTATATCTTGTCTTCTGGTTAAATCTTACCAAGGATACCTTGAAACTTTGTTCCGACATTTTGGCATTTAGTCGAATCAAGTGGCTTTCATTACTACATGTCAAACATGTTCTCAATTACCTTTGCACTATGTATATGTCTGAAACTCGAAGTGGCGCTACGTTCTCGTGGCCTTCGGCATGAAGTACTCGGTTCAGGGGCTTTTGATGGATGATATGTACGCGATCTCTTTCCATAATTTCACCCTTCTAGATTCTTTAATCAGGGCAGGAAGCTCATATATAAGGGGGGAGTTTGTTTTCATTGAAGTTTCAGAGAGGTGGTGATACACGAAGTCAAAAAGCACAACACTTATTCCTTCTCAGTTCGTCCACTGATATTCTGGCAACTTATATCCATCAGAATGGGCAGAGGCAGTCCCAAAGACCTTGTCAAATAGCCAAGGAAGCCGACTCCAACAAAGGAATGCAAAGATCATATTTCTCAGCCAAATCCCCCAAGCGGTCTGAGGTGCAAACGCTCCAGGAACGAGAGGTGGAATTTTCTGCATCCTGTCAATGAGCGGCCGAATCTGCTCTTCATATCCCTTCAACCCGGCTGCCAGATCACCTCGATGTTTCCCCACCTCTCCAGCTAGCAGATAGGCTCCGGTCAGAGCCAAACTGGTACCGGTACCCGTTGGACCAGGGGCGTAGCCGGCATCACCGACCATCACGAAGCGTCCTTTGTGTAAGGTTGGCGTTTTGACTTGAACCCACTCACTACCGTAGAAGTCATCGGCTTCGATCATGCCCTGCACGATCTCGTCGCATTTCCAACCCGCTCCCTGAAATTGTTGAGTGACGAAGTCTTTCAGTGCGTCGGTGCCGAGCTTGTTCGCCTCGCGGAACTTCGCCATTGAACTGTGGTCGTTGCGTGGTTTGATACCCATCAGTGTAACGCGATTGCCACCAGAGGGGTCGGGCCCAATGCCGACGGCACGACCGTTCACAGCACTGTATGCTTGGCCTATCTGGCTCCCGCCGAGAAGGTCCTTCTTGACGGAGAAGTACGTTGCCCAAGCGTTTATGGGCTGGATGTAATCGCGCATGGCACATCCGAGACCAATTGCCCGAGTCCTTGATGTCGCCCCGTCGCAGGCGACGACGAGATCGTATTCCGAGGATGGAGTTCCATTCATAAACTCAACTTGAACAGGTCCGTCGCTCGTCTCAGGTTGCTGCATGGAGGCGACTTGTTCTCCAAAGATGTAGTTGACAGACTCGTGATCCTTGGTCAAGTCATACAGAATTCGTGACAAGTCGCCGCGAAGAATCTCATACTCGGAAATCAATGACTGGCGATCGGGATCTCCGGTGGAAGTCATGGTGCCGTACGGACGGCCATCCTTGCCTACGAGACTGATGCCATCGATTGACTGCAGGTTGGCTCGCACGGCTTCCTCCATACCAGGTATCTTCCGCATTACCGAGACCCCTGTTGTGCGGATGTCGATATTCTGGCCATTGGTCCGGAGCTGGGGGAATCGCTCGATGATTGTGACTTTGGCACCAGTTTTGGCGAGCCAGTATGCTGTCGCTGGGCCTGCAATGGAGGCACCCACGACTAGGACCCTTAGATTTGACATAGTTGCATGAAGAGCTTGATATAATGGTTTCTTGTCTTTAGATCATACCAAGAATTCCGAGAGAAACAAATCCGCTGAGTATTTTATATAGACATGGTGATGGGAATCCCATCTGTACCTCGGGCACTTTTGAGGCCGAGCGTGTGCGATAGCTGATTGGCTCACATCGGGTTTGGGAGACTCGAAGCTCGGGGGAGACAGTGCCCGAGCATTCAACCAATCACAGTCACGAATGGCTCTCTGCATGAATTGTTTATCTTCGTGGGTTCATTGTTGATTCCCTAGTTGCGATTGATCTTTTAACAATTGATCCCAGGATATCCAATTATCAACATCAAATTCAAGCCCCTCGAGAACATCGAAGTCATCAGCACCCGGCACTCCAGTGGAAGACGATAGACCATTTGATGACGCTGCCTCGGGGGTTATCAGCATATCACCTTGTTGTTGTCGTTTGTCTTGGTTCTTCTTCAAAGATCGTAGGGTACTGATGAACTCTGGTTCGGGGGCACTACTACTCGATTCCCAGGAATCCCAAGCCTTCAAAGCAAGACATCTCATTGCCATACTGAGGGCCTGTCGGCTGTCGAAAAGCTCATCATGGTTCTGGTAGAGTTCGGCGACACTTTTCCAAGCTGCCTCGATTTGATCATGGGAGAGCAGGTCTCTTTGTTTCAAGAGAGTCGTCAGCATAAAGATGAATGAGTCTCGAGTTCCCCATAGAAAGAACGGTTTGATGTGCCATTGGAACCTGCTGGTCCCACCATGAGAGTGGACTGCCGCATCGGTGTCCAAGGTTTTCTGCGCAAGTTGGAATATTTCTTTTCTTTGCAGATCGGTGGCGATCTGGTCCCTTACTTTGGGAAGACGAAGTTTAAGCCTCAAGGCCGTCATACCGGACCTTGCAAGCCCGATAGTAAGGAAGTGCAAGGGATTCACAATGTCACAGTAACGAATGAACTTTTCCTCCACTTCGCTTTCTGCAGCAGATATGACTTCTTCAGCCTCACGATAATCAGAGGAGCTCCAAGGTCCTGCCTTGTTGATCGACTTCCCCGATTCAACCAGTCGCTTCCCCACGTATGCGCGGGACAGACAGAACATCATGTCTGTTGCACCACTTTGCTCGACTGGTTTCTCTGTCATTCCAGGCCAAATTTGGTCATCATTGATGTTGAGTGGAGGTCTTGTATCCCAGGCTTCCGGCAAGCTGATATAGTCAATTCCAGCAGACTGGCTTGCTCGAGAATCATGTGGAAAAACCTGATAAAACAATCGACGTCTCATCTCTACCTCAAATGGTGGCAGGCCCAAGTTCTCTCCATCTCGATGGAGGCCGATTCGTTGTCCAATGCGGGTGGATATCCCAGTCATGATCCAGTATGTGTGCGGATCATAGGCGTAACGGCAAGAAAGGAGGTAAAGATAGAGTGCCTGCAGTACAGCGATTTCCGTTGTCTTAAGAAACGACGTATTCACTAGAGCCTGACGTGCGGCAGCATGAAACCGTTTCATCATTGTTGATCGGTCTTGTTTGAACATCTTCATGCACTCTTCTTCCGAAATCGAAAAGACAGCACAGTGATAGATTGAAAACAGTAAACACTCCTCTGCCTTAGAAGCACTTTCAGGCCGTTGTGAAACAGATTCGACCATTCTGGCAGTCGATGGGATATGTAAAACCTTGCAGATGGGTTCCACATTCTCGGTGTGCATCTTCCACAGCTGCATGGCATCTGCATGACTTGGGTGACAGTGCAGGGCACTTTGCTGGCAACCCAAGAACGCACCCGTCAACGGATCCGGTGGGATGGCGTTGGTAGAAACAGAATCAGAGGTGATTGTATCGTCGTCCTCGTCCGTGGACAGGTGTCGAATCTCATCATCTCCGAGGTTGAACCACATATGACTGTCGATATACCTGGACCTGCCTTGGCCGGTAAGTAGCCTGCCCGTTTTTGACGAGACTGGCTTGACGAGACTGGCCTCTGACTTTTGATTGAGAGGGACTTCTTCAAAATCCACTGTATCAGTATTTAGCAGACCGTTCTTCTTTAAAATGCACTCATATCGAGCCAGTTTTTCCATCACATCGTCCAGTTTTCGTTTTTGAGGTCTTGGCTGCGGTGCTTGAAAAACACACTCGAACCCTCCTTTGCGGCATCGAGAACAAACCGGGGCAGTTTTGTCACATTTGACCTTTCGTTTCGCACAGGTTTGACATGTGTAGGGCATGGTAGACTGTGGTGAATTTGTTTGACTGCCCACGCTGAGGCCTGCTCTGATGGGGGCTGGGGCAATGGGTACCAGCCCACTACTCGAATTTAAGTCGCTTGCCATTTCAACTCCAGTGGGCGTAACATTCCATTAACTGTCATGTTCTAGTCCCAACTCTTAAGCATCCCGCGTTGGATATTGCTCTTGAATTAAGGAGAGTTGGGGGCTTCTTGTCTGGCATGGAATGCAGCAATTATCCATCATCCTTCACCGCTCAGCGACCAAGCCTCATCGGACTGACCAATTAAATTTGAATCCCACTCTTTGTTGCTCCAATGAATCCGAATTCGGAATACGATTTAAACTATCAAAGTACGGAGTAATTAGGTCCACTGGAAGTTGTGAGAAGAAGAATTTCTATAGAATATATCAATCCGCCCTTAGTGACAATATACCACAACAACCAATCCAAAGGCCTTAGGATCTAGAACCGGCACCTGAACATATCAGTCAGGGTGCTTCAATGCCCTTTTATCAACAACTTCACGTACCAAGGCGAGATCGATGGTATAGGCCATCTCTGCCACGATTTAGAATACAACCATGGCCAGTCTTCCCGTCATGACCGCCAGAATACTCGACGAGAGGCCAAATAGGAGAAATCGCGCCATGAGGGTATTTGTCGTAGAATGAACCAGGCTATGCAAAACGCGGGCGCCAACGTAGGTCCATGCAAGAATCGAATCCAGTTGGTCAATCTTTCCTCCACGAGCAACTGCCAGCGCCAAAGCGATCGCGTAGAACTGGGTTGGCTGCTCAAAGAGATGGTTATAGTTATCTCTCTTCCAGCGCGCAGAGGCAGGCATCTGCGCGTCCATTTGGCTCTTGGTGATCTGACTCGTAATTTTGATTTTGTTGTAAACCGGAATGCAGACAGCGTACATCCATACTTCCATGACCAGGGTCCAACCACTTAGGGCGGCGACAGGGCCCAGAAGACCAGAAGCAGTGATGCTTGTCATATTGAATGAACTCATGAAGGTATTCCAAAAGGTAGGGCCTATGATTCCAGTATGGATTGATTGTCGGAAAAGGGGGAAATTAATACGACGAGTGCTAAGGGGTTATATACGAGGCCCATGACTCAGGCAACTGGATTTCAGCCCCTCGATAGCATAGCCGGACTTCGGGCGTAACGGGATCCACAAGGAGCGAGCCTTGCGTGCTCCAGCACTAAAATGGGGGTGGGGAAGCCACGCTACCGTTAGTAGGGGCGGAAATAATGTCGACCCGAGGCCCATAGACTGCCAAGGCGCCAGAGTTTCCATTGTAGAGTGCCCATTGAGGCATTGATCTTCCCGAGATTCGTTGATTGGATATTTCGAAGTGTCGCTGGCTGGTGAGTAGAGGTCTTACTATCCGGCCATCAACCGCCCTCGCTGCAGCAAATCCCTAATGAAAAGTTCTATTCTATTTATATACTATGGAACAATGTTGCTACAGGCGTAGTATAGGCAAAACAAGTTTAGAGTATGGGTATCGACGAAGTAATAAAAGAAGAAAGCATCCAAATGGAGGAACGCAGTGGTTGTGTGGCCTGCGAAAATAGATCATGATACCAATGAAAATAGCCCTGAAATTCCTCTTCTCCTGACTGCATGCATTGTATTGTTCGATATAAAGATCACCCCTTGCTTAGATCATTTGTTCCAACATCAGGTGCTGAATGTCATTGTCCGCTAGGACCGAAATTATTCAACGGAGTTTCATTGTTTCCTTTCGACGAATAGAAAGAAACCTCGAGGGTAGAAATATGTAGATAATGCGCACTCAAATTCTCATCAATAGCAGAATTCGGCTTCTTTTGTGAAACTGATATCTATTCCCTGCTTGGCGATTCACCACGTTTTTCATTGTCCTACCAGAGCCACGTCTGGTTTTTCTCTGGCCGACTCTGACTCACGAAGTCGGTTGGTGATCAAGCTCATATTGATGGTAAAAGTCTCGTCGCTCAAGTAGCAAACACAACCATACGATGTCGAGCATAACACTGTGGGTAGTCCGGTACAGTTCCCCCATTTGGATTACTTCCACTGAGCCTTGTATGTTGACGATACTAACAATCCTCTTACCTTCCAGGTAGTCGGTGGACATCCCTTTGCTCCGGCTTGCCATCCCCAGGTTGCCCACCTGGCATGATCTTCAAAGGGGGTAGCTGTATTGTTAATCGTCCCTATTGGTTAATTGATGTTCTTGATCCATTAGATTACCGTTTGGTCTTGATACTGTTTTACTGAAAAGGGGAAATAAGATTTTTGGAATTTGGGACTTTACCATTATTCATGTAATTAGCTTCAATCCCATTCTTTTTTACCTGGAGACCCAAGATCCGAGGTGACTTATACATGGCCGTGATATCCGAGTAAGCAGTCTCAGTAGCTCAAAACTCCATTTTTGTCACATCTCGTGCGCTTCGAGACATTCTTGCAACGCATCCCGCTGAGCATGTACATACATACACACTGACTGTGTGAAGACGAGGGATAGAATAAGTGGGTAAGGTATGATTAGCGAAGCTGGAATTTCGATGAAATCTACTTTATGCCTGAGATAGTAGTTCTGATAACAAGATTGGAATAATGGAAGATGAGGAAGCTCAGGTGAAACATTGTGAACACTGTGACCACCTCTGAATTATACCTAGTCAGGTCGATGTTTGGGGGGTATTTGTACCCTACCACCCAGTAAACTATTAGAGGATAATTCACTACCCGACTTCTAGCGGGGCTTAGCGTCCAAAGGTAGAAATTTCTATACTGGATGAGGGCAGTGAAGCCGGAGATAGGCGGCAGTTCCCGTTGCGGGTTAGCGCAGGAAGCCATCCCTAAAATCCCTAACCGGAATGACACTAAACCACTTCAGGCTCCAGTCAGACGGGCGCTTAACCGAACCGCGGGGGAAGGGGCCAAAAACAACGGCGTTCTGCTAAATACGAATTGTCCGTACTATAAAATACAGGGTACCACCCTTGAATTCGCTACTCTAGAACTAAAGAATAATCGCAAAGTTCGAGGGTAAGACGCCTACCGAAGATTCTGCTCTACTTACGTGCAACTATCTGTTACGCGGTGCCTGCTGGTACTGTGAGTAGATGTAAGGCGGGGGAATAATACCTTACTGTAACCGAGTTATATTAGATATAAATTCGTATGTATTAGTAGGATTTAAGGTACCTTGTAGGTTAATAAGAACGCCTATAGCCTCTCTAGTCGCACCTTTAACTAATCTAGTAGGGTTACGTATATTTGCTAAAACTATTGTCGGTATTCAAAGAATAGAATTAACCCTGGAAAAGTGATCCTTACACCTTAGTTAGGAAGATTTGTGGTTGAGATAGCGGCGGGGTAAAGGCTTCTGAATTATACAATTAAAACCAAAGCTTTGCGGGCCAGAAAGCTACTCGGTTGGTCACCTATGCAATATATGCTCTAGGATAAGATCCCCGAAATTGTAAAAGAGGAGGCACATACACATGATCTGTCTTGAGAGGTATACTTGAAATGATTTCTCACAAAAGACGCAAGCGAGGTATTGTTTTTCATTTTTAGTGTAACAATATTCGACAATATCGGGTCCAGCGGAGTGGTCATAGCGTCCGCAAGGTTACGGAAGACAGCAACCGAAGCTGATTGGGTCTATTCGAACCATAAATAGACCGAACTATTGGGCTCAACAGTAGGGTTAAGTAATTACAACCGAAGTCCCGACAGCGCTTAGTGCTCTTACATGTTAATGAAGTCTTGTGGACCAGTGAAGGTCAAGCCAGTGATTCCACAAGCCAGCGAACTAGCGAACCAGCGAAGCCAGGCGGGAAAGTTAAGATCAACGTTTTAAGAAAGCCAATGAAAAGTCAGAATGAGCCAGTCACAGAAGGGAAGCGTAGAGTGAATTACGGATAAAACCCTACAAACCTAAGAGCTAGGATAGATTGAGAAGTCAACGAGCAATCAGATAAGTGGTTCCGATAAACTCGAGTGAACCACAACACGTCTTGGCGGCGAAAACCCACGAATCAGCGTCGCGAATGGGTGACGGTTTCGCAGTACGAACCCAACCAAAACTTTGCGGGCAGCTCGCGCGCGGTAGTAACCCCTTCTCTCGTTCCTCGTTTCAGGGCAAATGGCTTAGCGTGTTTTAGAATAGAGTTCGAAAAAGAATCGAAGAGAATGAATAGGTGAAACTGATTTCGAGCGGGCCGGTAAAACGACTTGGTAAGTAGCTAATTCTACTCAATAGTAATGTATGAATTCTGAGGCGAATTTGTTAGATTGACAATCACACTTTTGATTTTCGCAATTTTTGGATCGTTCGCTTATATTTATTAGCAGGCACCCCGCAACAGCAGAATTTTATAAAGTTCCTCCCGCTACTTCTGGGTCTAACAAGTAGCTATTAGCACTAATGTTCTCGAACGTAATGATAGTCTCGCCTCGTTAATATCCGTCAGGAAGGCACGCGAAAAAAGATATGGATCGGTTGAAAGGCATCCTTGAATTCTGCCTGGAATTGGCTCGAAAGAAGGCAGGTTGAGAAGCAGCACTAGCTAGTTTGAAACGAACCCGGTATGAAAGATGTCTATGCAATATTAGACAATGTTCAAGTAGAGGCGTTCTTAACATGGTTCCTCAATCTCCACTTTGCTACACAAAGCAAGCATACCCCATGAAAGTAGAGGGTAGGATAAGCTTTCACCGGATGTTAAATATTGGATCAAAAGGGTGCTTTTTTAAAGCTGATTACCGAGTGAGAACTGCATTCCCAGGTACTTAATAAGGGAAATATATTGCACATCTAATATAAAATCGCACTGTCTATCAAGAACAAGCAGAACAAGAAGTATACTACTACGTCCCTCAAAAACTTCGCAATCCCTTTTATTTGGATTTGGATAGGGAAAAGGCATTGCCAACCCTTTTTCTAATTGCCAATGCCTAAACCATAGTAACTAACATCTTCAACACACTAGCATCCTTCTTCTTAGAGCCCTTTTGCCTGGATATACCTGCCTGTAATCCTGCCTCAATGCCTGTAATCAACCTCACCTTTTCCCTTCCCACAAAATCCGCCGGCCGAAAGCAGATGGGGCACTCATAAACCCCCCCTTGGTAAGTCTCAAAGGCGAGACAAGTTTGACAAACCCGGTGTCCGCATTTTGTCAGCAAAATCTCAACGCCACCGAATTCACTACCCACGATGCAAGTGTGGCAGAAGTGAGTCGGAAAGGCGATAGAAGAGTTTTGCATGCGGCGTTCAATTTCGGAGATAAGCTCCTTGCCTTTCTCGACGCGGTCGCGGAGTAGACGCACTTTTGTTTCTAGAAATTGAAGGGTGTTTTGAATGTCGGTGGCGATAAGGGTGGGCGGTTTAGATAAAGTTGGGACAGGTTCAAGGAGGAGGATTGTCCGGAATCGCCGGGGGGCGGGGAGATCTCGCATGACCTTTTGTTCGAGTTGCAAGCGTCGGCGTAGTTGGCGGTTCACGAGGACGGTGAAGTAGACTTGTAAAACTTGTAATGCGCGGTATTCGGAGGTGTAGTCGAGGCCCCGAATCGAGAGTTGGGTCGTGTCCATCGTGGTTTATCCAAGACAGGATATGTTTGTAGATTATACGTTAGATATTAACGCTTATGTGTTGAGGGGAAATGAAGTTCCCTGTGGAAGTGAATGTAGAAGAAGATATGTCTCGTGTGCGTCGTATACCTCTCTTTCCACACCCTCAGACTCAATTGGAACTGAAAAATAAGTTATATCATATTCCAATTGTCAAAGCTACACGAAGCCTCTTAAATAGACGATTGAAGTGAACTACTCTGATCCTAAACAAGATTTGCTCGGTATAATTTCGGCTGCGAGTAGCCCTTGGCATAGCCGTACTGAGAGGGCAGACAGAGATTCACATGTCAACAAAATCTTCTAATATGGTAAACTCAGGCCAGGATCTCTTTTCTTCCAGTTGAGTTGTCTTGGCAATGTGCTGAGCTCGCGATAAAAGAGTGCAACATCAACCATGTCTGGAACAAGAATCTCACTTTTTCTTGCTCTCTTCTAAGAAACATGCTAGTTAGTATTTCCGGTAAGTCAACCGTGGATTGAATGTGATGTTGCCTGTACTACTTGGATGAGACCCACGGAAATGCCGTCGTAGATTACTTGAAGAGATCTATTAATGGCCTTCCTATTGTCTAAGTGGGCCCGGGGAGGAGTCTGGATAACGGGGTATAACTGCGATAGTTAAAGATATTAAGAAGTCATTCGTATTCAAACCGCGGATCATAGGCAGATATGTTCCGAATATTGCCATAAAAATTTTAGGGCATGTCCGTACGTTGATGTTAAGGTTTAATACCGAGCAATGTAAGCGACCTTCCAAATAGAGAAAGTATGATCTCAAACCGCTATCAAGAAACAAAGCCGTGGTGCGATTGTAGGAATAGTCTATATCTTATTACGTAGTCAATTTTCCGGTATCCAGCCCAGAAAATCTATTCGGCGATTTCTGGACCCAGTGATACTACCACTATTGTCTCCCTGTCGTAGTCTGGTAAACTAATTTCGTCGCCGAGTTAGCAGGCTTGGTGCTAAGCGCTTATATTGTCCTCTATATCGTGATCCACTAATCCAATGTGTTCCCATTCGATGATCGAAAACGAAAGGTATAGTTAATCTTATGCGTTGTTACTGAAATACCTACTATGAGATCCCGCCTTACTTTGTGTTTGCTTTGTCTATTCACTGCAGTAGAAAAGGTAATTTTCGTAAGCTGTATGTCAATCGACCTACTTCTCGTTCATATCCGGAATCATACTAAATATTTGGATCCGAAAGTTTGACCATCTGATACTCGTAACAAACGTAAAAATGTCACTTGGATTAACGAGGCTCATCTTGCTACCGATGGTATGTAGTTCGATATGCTCCTTGGATATACGAAGTTACAGGATAGCGCAGGATAAACGCCACCCTGTTCAACTCTGCTCGTCTAGCCCGTACCTGGTGGATCTGAAAAGAGGTAACACGAATGCCAACTAGCAACGCCGTACCTCGGCAATGGTTTTTTTGGAGTATATCTGGTAAGTATACTCGGCGTACTCCGGCTCTTGGCACATAAAACCTGTCAGCCCTATGCCTCGGCCCCCGGCAACGTCACCATCAATTCTGCATAGTCACCTGTCGGATACCATACGCGGCGGTCCCCCACGTTAGGCTGTCTTGAATACGACCAATCTCTCAAGAGTCCTCGCCATCGGACTCGGTCTAGAAATTGTTATTCGGTCTATAATTTGTTACAATGCCCCTAGGGCAATAATCTTCTCAGGAGCTTCGCTTTTGTTCCCATGAGGTTCCAGTGGGGACCGTGATAAACCCAATATATCTTATATCTAGTATTATAAGCCATTCATGAAGGCGGTGGTTTTACCCCAAAAAAAAAAAAAAAAAAAAACTCTTCGGTCATAATCTCGGGGAGTAAATTTGATATCATTTTTGGACCCACTTCCCGAACAGTAAATATGATTCAAAGACTGATGACAACCTATCACTGCGTAGGAAACGCCTCTGTTGCTTGTTCATTCCCATACCAATGCACCTGTCAGTCACGCCACCTCAGGAAAATTATTTAAGGTCCTTGTAAAAGGTCGTATTATTGATCAAACGGAAATATTTTCCGCTGATGCTGCGGCTCTCTTGTTTTCGTGAATATCCCTAGTAACCACTGAAGAATCGTCATGTTCTGCAACCGGTGAGTTAGGATTGTTACTGGGAAGCAATTATTATGTGAATGTACAGGAAGCTAAACTGAAATATTGGCGTATTAGTCCAGTCTCCAAACGGCCGAGTAGTGCGTTTATTGAGCACTTCCAAAGTCTTTGCGGCTCTTCTTTCTTTAATCAAACAGTGCAGCCAGGGCCAGCCATTGGTGCCATATCCTCAAGCAGAGAAATAGAATCACAACTATCAACGAGGTATGCACTTGCCCAAGCGCAGATAGGTATCAATAATCACAAATTTACACTGTTTTTAGGAATATTTCAGGGTTAGAGGTCAAAGATCACGGATCATTTGATGATTGTGCAATATCAGCCCCAAATGATTTCTGCCGGGATGGCAGCCAGTCATTCGAAAGTCGGAGCCCGGGGCATCACGACTCACGATTCATCCATTCTGCAAAATTGCCATGTTCTCCTCTTCATATCGATCGAGAAGAAGCTTCAACCGTTATGTTCAAGACCGGAAATCGTCAATCTTCCCTGCATCCTATCCTGGACACCATTTGGAGCGGTCATCCTGGTCTTTCCAACTGGTCAACATCTTTCGAGCAACAGATGCAGCCAGGGCTATCTTCAAACAATTTCTGGGAACAAAAGCTGGTGTCTCCTTTTAGCTCTGGCCACAAAAACTGGAATGAACGGACGAGGTCTTTATCTCAGAGTGGACCGTGCCAAAGCTCAGAAAACTTAGAGACCCCTTGGACGCAAACTTTCTCCTTGAATAGCACAAAGAAGTGTCATGATGAAAACGAGATGTAAGTATTCTCTACGCAGGGTAGGCTGATGATAATCTAATTATGTTCTTAAGGCTCCGATTCCATATTTGTCTTGGGGCCCCCACTGCGATGGTGAGCGACCAGGGCGAAAAACCCGAGACATACCTCAACAAGGGGCAAATATACTATATACGAATTGTTGATACGGCTCCGCCTCCGTCTGATAGCGAGAAAACGACATACCGGACCTTTGTTGGTGTTTCGTTCAAAGAGCAAGATCAGGAAATGAGTGCAGAGGCCTACTGGCGGTTATGGGCAGTTCGGCGTGCCGTAAGTAACCTCGATGAAACAGACCATGAACATCGGGCCGTTGAGTTCGCAGATGAGCAGAGACCTTGGGTAGAGCTTACGGAAGAGTTCACCAATGGCTTTTCTGTGACCTGGACTATTGATTCATTGACTAGTCTCAATGAATGTCATATCCCAGTGCGGTTCAATTTTCTATCGACCGATTTCACTTTAGTGAAAGGTGTGAAGGGTCTTTCAGCACGACTGTGCGTGAAAACCGACCAGGTCAACACAACAGAGCTGCCGTACAAGCCGGAAGTCTGTTTTTGCAAAATCAGGGTATTCCGGGATCACGGTGCTGAGCGAAAACAGTCTAACGATGTCACTCATGTGAAGAGAAGGATCAAAAAATTAACAGAAAAAGCTACGACGCTAGTACCCCACGAGGCACTAAGGAGGCGTAGGCGAGGTAATCCTGTTGCTGGAAAGATGAAGAAATTAGAGGCCGCCTTTTCGTCTTTGACCGATGAATATGCCTGTTCAACTGAACCGGACGAGCTAAAGGCATATATATTACCGAATGAGCCAGAGCTACAAAAGAAGCTGGTCAAGCTCCGGAAGATGTTGTTGTCGGGCTGCCCTGAAAGTGTGCTGAGTCTTCAGGGCGGAAGAGATGACGATCCTGAGACACAAACCATACGATTACAGTCCGGATGCAATTCAACGCCAAAGCAGCGTGCTACCACTTCTGAGGGTTCATTACGGGGTGTCAGTTGTCACTTCAGCAGTCCAGACCATATCCAGAACAACTGGCTAACCAGGACTCGGATGTCTACTAGCCTACGAAAGTCGCCCACACCAAGTGAGTTTTATTATCTGTGCTCTCATTGCAGTTTCGGTTAATCATCTTTTAATTTAGCCTCCTGCTTCTATATAAGTAAATACACCAGCGAGTCGCCTTCGGAGAGATACTATCGCGCAATCTACTTGAGGCAACGAACTGTCCTGGAGCTCACCCAAAGGATTTGTCAAAAACTCGATGTCGAGACATCAAAAATTTCTCGCATATTACGCACCGACGGTAATAAATCGGGCTTTAAGATCCTGGTCGACGACGACTTCGTTCAGCGGATGACGGACTATCAGGATATGATTGTGAAAATTGAAAATCTTCCAAGGAAAGAGGACAGCTCCGGCTTGACTACTGAGGTATCTTTGGAAATTCAGTTAGAGTTTAGTTAAAAGACTGCAGTGGCTGCAAGATCATCTACAGTATTACATAAGGAGGCCAAAGAAAAAGATTTAGCGCCGCCCTCGCAAAGTTTCGACACAAGCCACAGACCTTACCAGATAGATCCACCACATCACAATACGAGGTATACTCTTAGAATAGTTTCGATAAGATCCTAAAAGAAATCTCAACACTACACATTTAAGTGAATTCTTTAGACCCTATGAGCTCGCGTTCCCATACGAGTATCCCCCGCACTCCATTCAGTTACCCTATTAACCTTTGGTACAGCAGATTCGACGCTGTTTCCTGCTGCTAGCTAAACATCCAGACGTATAATGGATTTTTCGAGTTTTACAGTGTACTTTTCGTGCAATAAAAGCTGTGTACACTGAAATTGTAGTCTCGGCGCGGGTAAAAGGGTGGCCGTTTCTGGCTCCCACCCTGAATGTCTGCTCCTTCTGGGCATGCCCAAGTATACCGCGGCGCAGGTGACAACGCTAACCCTTATCGTCCGTAGAATGATTGGTTCATGGTTGCTCCTCAAGTCTCTAGGAGTGTTTATGTTGCACCTGTTTCGCAACGTACTGCATTTCCTGCAACTTGCTATCTTGCTCTCCTCGTCAAACCATTTGCACATCTGTTGCATGTAGTGCCCGCCGATGGCAAATGTTCGGTAATTCTACATCACGGACACAAAATCAATCATGGTGACCTTACTCTCCCCTTCTTTCGATCATTTTTCACCATCACGTTCATGCATTGGATGTCATGAATACACTATCCTGTCTTTCCTCCTCTGGATTCTAGCGTGTCCACCACACTCCTCAACCGCCTCCTATAGTCGTAGTCAACTAGTTTGTCGATAGTTACCCTCCTTCTTTCCTAAGCGTCTTTAACTTATCTATCCTGTGGTAATTCTTGAATGCGTTAATAACAGCTTCGTAGTACGATTTGACGGCCTTTTTCTCTAATAACGTCTTCAGGACTTAAAGAGTTGCTGGTGCTTTAGCAACATTCGCTTGAATAGCCGTATGCTTAATATCCTCTGGTTCTATGTTACTTATATCCTGGAACTCATCGATTCTCCTGAGTTTGCTATCTAATGTCTTAAAGAACCTGAAGACTTTAGCTTCTAATTCGGCCCGACCGTATTCGTGGCAGCTAATTACTTCCTCGCGCTTAGTTAATACTAGAGAATTAAAGATCTCGAGAGTCCCGCCGTTGTCATTATAGAATTTAATAAACACCTTTAAGGGCTCAGTAGGTATGCCAGCGGCAGGCTTCGATCGCTCTACAGGACAGTGGGCGTTAGTAAACGACGCATAGTATAACACGGTTAAGGTCTCTAGATCCACAGATAGCTATTCTTCCGTTAGGAATGTGCTAATAATGTCCCTGTCGTTCTCTTTAGTCGGTATCTTGTCTTCAAGAAGCGTTACACAAACGGGAGTCAAGGTGGCTATCTTGCTTTGATGTGGATGGGGTGCCTTGGGCGACTAGAAGAGATGCGAGGGGGCAGACTAAATGGGACATGTGCTAGCAGTGCGATATAAAAGAACTGCGCAATTCTTTGGATGTCAGTGTCACGGCTCAATCGCAAGAAGTATTGGTGCAGCCTGATATTCTCATTTGTGGTGCACAAATCGGTTTCGGGGTCACGAAGTAGTTTAACGCCAAATTGATGCCCAGTCTAGGGAGCCGGATAATCAGCGGCTAGCCTAACTCAGTGCCCAGTAATTATCTTTCGGCCGCCAGGATTCCGACGTACCGTGATCCTAATAATACCGAAAATCGTCCCACCCTCCGCTTCTCCAGAGGACAGGTGTGGCCACGGCATAAAACAGATCTTTGTAGAAATAGTTGAGGGTTCTGCTCTTTGGCTTTGCGTTGTGCTTCCTCTTTTATCCAGCCAGCCCACGAAAGAGCGCGTCTAATGCTACATGCCGACGGTAATATGTTGGACTCATCCTATAGGAAGATAGCTATCTCTTCGACGTATAGGTCAGGCTTTTGGACGAGACGGTCATAGAGGGCGTCAAGCATGATATGGGTGGTGGTACTTGGTTGTTGGCCGACCGAGACTGGGGGGGGTTCAGTTTTACCGAACAATCTCAATTTTTAGCAAGTATTAGAAAGAACGCTTCTATATGGCACTATCTTTGCTATTTAAAATGCTATGAGTATGAAGACCCTGTATATAATCCGGATATTCATCTGATGTTAATCGGAATTAACCTTTCTTGCTATTTAGTTCGCGGTTTGGGTAACTGTAATTGTTAGGTCAGGAAGACTGAGAGCGAACGCCAATAAGGTGCGCGTAGTTGAACTTGATATGTAAAAGTAAAAGTACATGACTATACAGTGCTGTAATTTCTTCCTTGTGACTCTTGATGCAGTAGTTTTCTTACATGTCTAAGACTGTATATTTTCTCGCCAAAGGACCTTTGCATCACCGAAAACTTGCCGCTCCCCAAGTCGTTATTGCCAGATTGTTCCTAGTTAACCGGCACTATGGAAAATTTGCTGCACAAGACATCGCCCCCCTAAGAGTGGGCCAACTGCAAAACGCCGCAGGGTATGTCAGTTCCTATGCGATCCGATCAACCGACGCACCGCCATTTTCGCCCCTTTCACACCGTAATCCGTCGTTGCAACCATCTCATCCGGTATATATACAAAATTCCCAATCAGAGCTAGATTCATCGTTTCGTCAGGGATGATCTGCGGTTTATCAGATGTCAACCGCGGCAACAGTGGCGCTGTCATTCGTGGCACGACACAAGGAACAGTGACAGAATCATTGATCATCTCCGGGTCGAATTTCAGATGATGTAGGAGTTCTGCCATAATCTCCCTTCCTGCACAGGCAAACATCGGCTTCTTAATGAAGTCCCCCGTTTTATCAGCGCGCATCGCATAGCCCCAGAACACCTGTACCTCCGGTGGCTGACCCGGGAAGAGCGGTTGCTGAGGCACCCTGATGCTCAACAGCCAACTACTGTCTTTTAGAGTCAATAATGACATGGAACCCAGGGGGCCACCCGTCAGCGCGGTTAGTCGGCTAAAGAATTCCGCGGATCTCAAGGTCACAGTGAATGTTTCGAGACGGGATTCTAGCGTGCGAGTGCAGAAGTTATATGCGTTTCCGAATTTGGGGTGTTTAGTGCATAATTCCAGCCATAACAGCCAGTTCTCGTCAAATTCGTTCTCAATATTCAGGGACTCTAGCGATGGAGCAGCGGTATTCGATCCGGTTGCCAAGCCAGACATGATAGAGCCAAGGGAAATGATGGCTATGTCGTTGGAGCGGAGTTTGACTGTTGTCTCCTGCTCGCTGTCTTTCAGGCATTGGATGGCAGAAACCATGTGAAATCCATTGCGATGGTCCAGGACGATATCTGTGACCTTCGTTCGGAATTGGAAGTCAACGCCGCGTGACTCAAGAAATTGTGCGATCGGCACGGTAATGTTCTCATGGTGGTTAATGCAGCCGTGGACCGGGGGGTGTGCATCTTCCAAACCGTCTGTACTATGCATGAAGCGACGGATATAGCGGCGGAATTCGGATGCGCTATGCCACGGTTGGAAGCCGAACCTATAAATGTTTTGTTATGGCAGCTCAATTGACGAATGACAGATAGTCGAAGGTCCCGGGCGATTTGTTGTTACTTACGTGGTGGCTAGCACCAGCCAGTATGTACTCCTGAAGAAGCTCCCACCGAAGTGGTCACAGACTCGCGATCGACCCAGTGACTTCTCAGATTTCACAGACAGTACAAGCAAGTCCAAACGATGTCGTAGCCCTGCTTTGATTTTTTTGGTATTGATGCAAGAGATTCCGCGCGACTTCTCCATCAAAAAATGCGCGTGCGGCATTGCGTCAAGGGCTGCTCCTTGGTTAAACTTCCGAATATCATCAAGCGCCGTCTTACCTGCGCCCGATCTAGATGGAACTATCGAAAGAAGCTCCTGAAAGCAGAGTAAATCGCACATCGGCGTTACTTCCGCCCGATATTCATAGCCATTTATCGGGTCGCCAGCATGGGCGGTACTGCCACCGGCTTTGCTAAAGTCTTCGAGAATATGAACCCGGGTAGGCGGTATTTTGGCTTCCTCGATCAAGTAAACTGCGGCCGCGAGTGACGGTAAGCCGCTCCCTAGGATCCAGGCATCCAGATCGGGTAGGGAAGGGTTCACTGGGAGGCTATTCGGCGATGACATGGCGAGGACGCGTTGTGAAATGAGTTCATATTGAAATGAGGGATCTGATACTTATTTGACATACTACGCGACGGGCCGGAAAAGTGGCATTAGGACCTGGTGATGTCAGTTGCATTTTCAATTACAGCTGGACAGCATGCTTTTGTGTTCCGTTCGCGCCGCAACTCTGGTGCGGCCCCACGCTGACGTAAGGTTGAGCCTCAACTAATCTTCTCCGGACATGGTTGTATTCCAGTGGGAAGACTGTAGACCATAATTGACAACCTCCCGCCCGTTTCGCAAACTTTTTGTTGAAAACTAAAGCATAGTAACATAACAGGGAATAATTTGGAATCAGCTGTCTCAGCATATATTGTTTTTGTACCGCATAACTACTAAGGTAAGTACTGCGCTCTTAGTATCTATTCACAGTGGATAGCAGGCGCCGCGTGATACTAGGCTTCTATAAAGTATGTCTAGCTACATTTGAAAGCAAGGAGCAGGTATGTTACCTAACTGGTAGCACTAATATAGTTAACCATAGTGGTAGTCTCCCATCGTTTTTACCCGTCAAGAAAGGACAAAAAAGATATGGATTCTGTTGAAAGGCATCCTTATATTCTGCCGGAAAATTTGGTTTAAAAATGGACAGTCTTAGGAGCGTCACTAGCCGGTTTGAAACTGTGTAGTATAAAAGATGTCTATGAAATTTCAGATAACCGCTAAGTATAAGCTTACTTGACACGCTTTCCCAATGTCCCTTTTGCTGTATAAAGCGAGCGTACTTCAGGGAGGCAGAAGGCAAGAGAAGTCCTCAGAGTTACAATGCCCGTCAAGGAAGCCTCGGTGGTAATGGATGTATTTTGGGTTGTGGCGAAATACCATATACCATATATTTTGCTGCGTCAATAATTTACGGAAGTCAAATATTGGATAACATATAGTGAGACTTTTAAAGGTATTACTAAAGGCACCTAGGGAGATATAATGCATATGTCATGGTAACTATTGAACAGACGGAAAATTGTCACTTAGATTGATAAGGCTCGGCTTGCTACCGATGGTATTTGAATATTCTCGGAGAGTTTTCGGAGTCGAAGGATATAGCGGGATAAACGCCACCCTGTCCGACTCTGCTCGTCTAGTCTGTACCCTGCGGACCTGAAAGAGGTAACCTGAACGCTAACTGGTAACGCCGTACCTCGGCAATAGTCTTTTTAGAGATATATCTGGTAGGTGCAATCGGCCCGGTTCTTGGTACTTAAAACCTTGCGAGTCCCATGCTTAGCTCCTTGGCAACGTCACTAATAATTATGCGTACTCATCGGTCGTAAACTAGAGACAGCGTTAGGCTGTCTCTGACTCGACGAATCTCTTCCTAGCTTTCCTCGTCTTACTCGACCTGGAACGGTAAATTTCATAGCATCCATGGTTGAGGTCATATATCGCAAATTTTGAAATTCCTCTTCCGTCACTGTCTTGACTACCCGGTCGTGGACGTGGAATTCGATATCAATTTCGGACCCACCTCCCAAACAGTAAATGTGATGTAAAGACTAATGACTTAAGGAACAGAAGCAACCTGCGAAATGCGAAGAAAATGCGATTGCCTCTGGCTGAGCCCACCAGGTAGCAAGAAGAACTAATCGCAGGAGAGCCAAGATTCTAGCAACCTAAGGCAATGGCATTTCGGATCCGACGAGATAGCGACCTGTCGCCTAGGTTACAGCTCAAGATAATGGAAATAAGGTCAGAGTTCAAAGGGCTAGTTAACACGGAGGCAGCTCAGAACTGAGGTGTTTGTCTTTATCTTCCATCGTTTGTTTCCTTTTGCTTATAGGACAGTAACATGTGGTTGGTTTACGCTGGTCCGTAGTGAGGCTACGGAGAATGTGTGTACCTTCCTTCATTTAGGGTTGCTAGCAGTGGGACCCTGCTTTTAATCCACAATGCGCTAACCCTAATTAGGACAGCCGCTTTATTAGTTGGGGAGAACTACGGTAAGTTGGTAATGACGGTCACCCATCGACGTATTGTAACCATTCTGTAATGATACATCGAGACCCGAGAACCCTCGCCGACTGACCACCCAAAAGGAACATAGCACGTACTTTTGATAAAAGCCCGCTTGAATCCCGTGCCAGTAAGGTTCAAGAGCGGAGCTCTAGTGGACTGGAAGGCCGTTTTGTTATAGAATCAAGTATGTTCTAGATTTCAAAGACTGAGGTATCCGTCCATTTCTTGGAATGAAGTTTCAAGACCCTTGGCTTTGTGTAGCAAATTATCCGAAATCAAGCAGCCTCGTCCCTAACGTACCTTGGCAATGAATGATAAACGTCATACACCGAGATGGTGCTCTCCGATTTCCGCGTGACATGTCTCGTCGTGGATTGTTGAGATAGATAACAAGTATAAAAAGTATACGTTCCAGAATTCCACCCTATTTTTCTGAATTTTTGTTTCTATAGCTTCAACATAAACAGAACATATACCTCTCTCAGCTATCATCCAACAATGGCAAATTACTCTATCCTCCCAAGTCCGTGATTGCCTTGGATGGTTCAGTCGACTGTTCCTCTATACATTCAATACAATCATTACAGCCATCTACACTGAGTATAACAGGATTACCATGGCTGTCACCGTTTCTTCTTTCACAAAGTGAGAAACATTTTCCTCTGGAAAAACTATACCAGAAGCATGTTTCGAAGGCCTTCAATATGCCATCTATGACCTTTCAATCCGATCCCCCGGAACAACCAGGTCCACGGACTCGTCGGTCTTCGAAAATGTCAGAAACAAGCAATGAGGTCAGACCCTGGAGAGCCAAGAATCTTGAGCGCAATCGCATTTTTGCCAACAAGTGCCGAATGAAGAAGAAGAAGAATCACAAGAGTATGCAGGCTCTGTTGAATACCGAAACATCCAAGCGCGACTCCTTGCTGTCAGAATTGGGGCGGTTGAAGGACGAACTTTGGTACCTCAAAAACATGATCTTCGAACACGCCAATTGCGAACATCAAGGTATTAATAGTGAGCTAGCTAAGATGACGCAAAGAATCCTTGAAAGCAGCTCAGGGCAGTTGAAATGTCCCTCTCTAGCCTTCTCAACAAGTACGTGCTCCGACGGGTCGATACGTGGGGAACCAAGCGGCCGAGAGCACGTCACACTTCCAATAGGGGTTGTCAGCTATGGGGCCAGCCCCGAAGCGATTTTTGAAGATAGTCTTGGTCTGGCGACACTATAGTTGGTCTTAGAGCCATAGCGCTGTACATTATATAATATTCAGACGTGGGGGAGAGGCGTGGGGTGTTAGGACTTTTGCTAAGTCCCTGTAGCATGAAGTTCCCCACCGTAAAGTATACCGTAGACGTTTTTAACGTCGCCTGTCTGGCTATGAACATTATTGATTCTCAAATTGAACGCGCTATAAATTTTTCTTTTTGACTCCACTTCCGTCGGGGTAGGGAATTGTGTTTTTTCTTCCCAGACTTTGATAAATTCTGATTGTGTCAGCCTACGGCGAGGTCTGTCGTCGATCATCACACCGCTATCGGCATGTCGGAGATACGAGCCGATCACCTTTCGCCCGCCTTTCGCCCGCCTTTCGTCGAATTTTTGCAAAACTTTTGCTCAACTTTTGCTCACTATCAAAAAATCAGAAGTAACGTGCCGAATTACCTGCTATTCAAGTCTATTTTGAGCACACCTTGAGCAAATTTAACCATTTTTGATATAATTTGCTTAACTTTTGCTTAATTTTTAGGACTTTACTTTTTTTCCTATTTTACGAAGACGTTTTGGGCTATCTCTGCGCCTGCTTTACTTAGCTTAGCCTTAGTTTACTTGACTCCGGTTAGACTTCGTATTTATTCTATCTACACTACCTTTGGCGAGGGGTTAGTGTAAATGATACTGTATCTCCCATATGAATGGTCACAGCAGGTTCGATGCCAGAGAGGGAAGTGCTGATGGTTGTTCTCGTTACACAAGATTCAAGGTGAGATTCTGCGACGGTAAACTTGAATAGGGACCCGGAATTGACCTTCATGGTACAAGAGGTTCCCAGTCCGTTGATAACATAGGAAGCCTGGTCATGAATCAAGAGTTGATGAGCCGTGGTCGCTTGCAAAGTAGTGCAGAAGGTAGCTTAGCTTCAGCACATGCTGCGGGACTATATGTAGGCTTCAGCCTCCGAAAGTCTGGATAATTACCTGCCACAAATTCCAAAGAAGAATTTACGACGGTCAGAAAAATGCGTTCCATTCCCTCTGGTGTGGTTAAAGAAATTGAAAACCCGACCCTTGCGGGCCAAGCCGTTCATTGGCCACTCATATATCACGTGATCTGATAGCAATACAACCTTGACCACTGGGCTTACTACTATTGGGCGGAAACTAGCTCCGAAACGAAAACCGCAAATTATTCGACACAGACCTGACGTCAATAGCCCTAAACAGCTTGGCTCGCTTTAGCCGCGGGATGTCGCCTTATATAGCCTGCCTTCAGCGCGTTCTGTCCCTTTGAGTCTTCTAATCCGCAATAGCCCCGGTTAAGTCAATTCAATAACTATATCATAAACGATGCCCAAGCCAGACAATGATCTTATTAGTCGGTTTCGGGAAAAGTTCGGCGACCTCTTACTTACTTGCGATGAGAGAAAACGTGGAGGAGGTATTATTGATACGCTTCATTCAAATCCGCCAGCCAGCCGTATCAAGGGCATTGAGTCTCTAGATGCTATGCAATTTGATACAATCAAACCGGAATTGACGTTGGGGTTAGCGAACGGTTCGCCAATTTCATGGAGCGCCGATGCTCCCGGGTTGTTGTGCCCCACAGTTGTTGGCGGAAAAGATATACCTCTCGATCGCGGTATACCAGGGTCAGGCGCCGTTTTCCACAATGGAGCAGGTGACTTGCATTCTCCTATGATACAATGGGAAGCAACCACTGCGGCTGTTCTTGATGCTCCAATTCGACATGCACCGACGAATCCTTGGGCCGACACTAGCCCCTTCGTCCCGTTATCTCTGACTCGGCATTGGCCATACGAGGATACGCCCTACTCTCTAGGACCGGATTACAACGTGGAGTTCCTGACAGATCATGATGCTGGTTATACCTCGCTAGGTAATCTCGATCATGCACCTTCGACTAACTATTTGAGTCAACAACCCAACTCCCAATTTGATCCGATAATATCCGAAACGAAGTGTATGGAAGATTCACAGTATGGCGGCGAGACAAAGTACGCTGGTAATCCACGGTCTTTCTGATTCGAATACTCATACTCATTCTCTTAGCAGGTTTTATTACAACGCTGTACTAGAAGCCCCAACAGCAATGCTTTGGCATGACAAGGAACGTCCTGTGACATATCTCAATAAGGGCCAAACCTATACTCTCAGGGTATCGCTTTCTAAGCCACCTGTAAAGAGTGCCGGATCTATTCAATATAGAACATTTGTGCGAGTGTCCTTTGAAGAGGAAGGCCAACGATCTGATCCGGCTGCGGCATGGCAGCTTTGGAAAGAAGGCCGAGGTCTCAAAGAAGCCTACCAGCGCCAAAGGGAGCTATTAGCCGTTGAATACGTTGAATTTCTTCAAGATTCTGCTATTTGTCAGTCGCACCCTCAAGTCCGGCTCGAAAAGACCTCCGTGGATGGGTTCTGTGTGATATGGACAGCCGATCCAAGTACAAAATCATACGAGGGTGTTTTTGCGCTAAAATTCAATTTCTTATCAACCGACTTCACCCTCTCCAAAGGCGTGAAAGGAGTACCAGTCAGGCTGTGTGTTAAAACATCAGTCTTACGACCTGAAGACAGGAAAGAATCCACAGAGCACGACTCGGAAATTTGCTATTGTGCAGTGAAGCTTTTCCGGGATCATGGCGCGGAACGAAAGCTAGCTAATGACGAGGCCCTTGTCAAGAAAAAGGTTGCAAAACTCAACAAACAGATTGCCGAACAATATCAACGCTCGGGCTCTATCGGCCTTCGTCACGCTTACAATCCAGACGGCAGTCATCAGATGAACAGTCAACATCGAGGTCGCAAGTGGAACGTAAGACGACGAGAGAGCCAGACAATCGACGATCTTCGCCTAAAAATTGCTCGGATGAATAGAGCCTTAACTTCGGTTCGTCCACTGACGGTTCTCGAATCCCGAGGTACCGAGCAGGATGATCCCGACTTGCATCCTGTTATTTTGCCGCGCAGAACAAGTAACTCTATGGAAATTGAATACCTGAACAATCAGCATACTAAGAACATATCGGTGACTTTGGCTTCCCAAGGTTCAGTCGAGTGTTCGGAGAGCTCCTGCTTGCAACGAAGTCGCCTCAAAAGCAATCCACAATGTCCGCTTAAAACAAAGAGTGTCTCTGTCGAAGCTTCGCAAAGTTCGTCGGATCTTTCGGTGTTATCATCTAAAGCTGGTGCGTACCACTTCATAACAACTTTTCGCACTTTACTAACTTCCTCACAGTCGCATGCTTTTATGTTCAGGTCAATCACGACAAAGAGGAGTCCCAAAAATGCCTTTATGCAATCTACTTGGTGGAACGAACAGTTCTTGATCTCAAAGAGAAGCTTGCGGAAAGGGTCCGGACTGATCCAACACTCATTGCTCGTATTATTTGGCAGAACAGTAACGGACTGAAGATCCTGGTTGATGACGACGTGGTCCAGCATATTCCTGAGGGGCAGTTCATAACTGCAGAAGTCTGTCACATGTCTGACACAGACACGGTTTCCTCAAGTGTCAAATCTTCAGTGATGGAAGTCAAACTTGTATTCTAAAGGTCTCTCACTAAGTTCATAAGATCGTGAGTGATTTGTCAACACGCGGCAGAATTACTGAAAAACGAATGATTGATGTAAGTTCGAAGTCAGAGCTTTACTTGACCGAATATTATTATAATTCGAAAAGATTGATACGTAAGAGCACATGCAAGGAACCCGTATCTTGGGACTTCACCTGGTTGATAGCAATCTTTCCTGGAGACATGTAGGATAGGGCCAGCGCCCCATTCAATCTGATCCTGAATATTGGAAGGCCCATATCTATCGGAATAGTCTAAAAATTGGAAACTATCTGTCTGTGAATAAATTCTAAAAAGGTTTGCGAAATTTGTATGTCTGATGCAATGCTGAATGGTACAGTATGGTTGGTTTGTTGGTTGATGTCATTTACCCTGACCCCTCGCAACAAGCAAGATGCAGGCTACAACTACTTTTAGATACTCGCTGATTATCCTTGAGATTGCTCCAAACTTCCTGAGCGGTGAAATTTGAGCCTCACCTAGTAAAGCCTGTCGTGGCCTTGTTGCCATTTGCGGTATTAGGCTGCCCTTATGGTGCGACTATAATGAGTTTCCATATAAGGCGGTTAATAGTTGTCCGCGGTTGGCTGCATCTCCACTAGAAATCGTGAGAATGCTGGCAGTGCTGAATTTAAGAACCTAGTTAATGACTGCGCGGCGGATGCGGTTCTTAGGCGTTTCTTTTTGATTTTCTCAAGCTTGAATGGCGACAGTTTGTTGTGAAAACGGCGGCGAAGATCTTCGATTACAAGTGTGGGGATAGGAGGTATGGTTTGAGGACTAGTAGTCGGGCGCGGTGAACATATTTTAGGTTGCTGGAGGATAGAAGCGTAGGTCTTCGGGTAGCATTGGGGGAGACAGATAGCTGTTATCGAGATCGTGGATTTAACCGCTAATACAGCGAATTAATGCTCCTAATGACGTACCCGTTTGCACATTTCATACTGCACACCCGTGGCAAGCGAATGTATTAAGTAAGGACCCAGAGTCTCGGAATTGTCAAAGTTATTTCACTCCAAATTGCGCACTTTTCTGCATACCACCCCAAGCAGTCAAACCGATAAAAAGCCGAAGTAATGAATCTCCAGATCGACGCTACCAATAAATCATGCTGATTAACCACTTCAACTTGTTACTCGCAATCTCGGGAATGAGAATGCCCGATTGGACACATTTGTGCTTAATTCGTGGGCCCACTCCGTTTTGACCAACTTTTGCTCGTTTTTACCCTTGAACACTTATTATTTTGCGCACCTTTTGCTTAATCTTTTGCACCTATTTTGCACTATGTCCTAGTCTCTGATTACTATTTTGATCACTCCCGTCTCCCTATTCTCTTTTGCCCACCTCTAATTGCGCGTCCCTGCCTTGATCACCAGAATCCCGGGCTTCCCTAATTGCACATCCATAGAGAGCAATGCAAATACTCTAAATCTCACACTTTTTTTGCCTCGGCCTTAAAGGTCCTAACGCAACACATACTTGTGAGAGTTCGTTACCTTAAGGATCCTGAAAGAAGCGATAATACGTCTGGGAGATTTCCAATATATAAGTGAAAATGTGAACTTCGGTGGGTCGGCTCTCTTTATTTAGGCTCTTTAAAGCAACTGTATTACAGGAAGCTTTTTCTAGCTAATCTTGCAATTATTCCCACATTCGAAGGTCATCGATATAGACCTAGGGTATTGTTTGTGTAGGATAAGCCTGAGTAGTTTTAAGAAGGTAGGAATTTAGCCACCTGAAATCTTCGAGTCTTTTGTTGATTTATAGTATTTTCTAATAGAGATCGTGAAATTTTTGCGGAATTATTAAAGAAATAGCCCTTTTCTAGTGAAGCCTTTAGTGACAGCCTTTGAATTATAGACACTAATATAGAGAGCGTACGGGCAATACAATAAGCTTTTTATTATTAAAATTACTTTACATGTTTATAAGCTTACACTAAGCTTGTTAGAAAACTCTAGCGATATTTAAGACTTGAGTACCGTAGCAAATTACTGATAAGCCCTTATAATGATTACAGTAAGATTATTAGCCTATATCAAATACTTAGGTCTATATATTAATACCTTTAGTTTATTTCTTATAGTGTTTATTGTAATACCTCCCTAGGTACTCAATGTACCTGTTTTTCACTATATCCGAAAACAGAATAGTCTGTCATGCGAAAGCAAAAGTTGGCGTGCGAGTAGCCTCAGCCTAACTTAAAGTTAGGTTAGTTAGGTCACCCGTGGCTCCTATGTCATTATTGCCTTGCGTTCTTTCCTAAAACGGCTTAGGTCCAGGCTTTACACTTCCACGCTTGTCTACATGAATCATGCCTGTCTGTTACTCTTCTTGTCATCAAGGTATCCGCTGATGATCAGCCTCACTTTCAAACATGGCGGAGAGTGCCGCATCAATGAGTGTGAACACTCGGTTTCTGCTACTATCTGATACCCATGGCCTGAGCAGTCTTCCACACTCCGCCTCAATTGAATACGCAGATGTCGTTCTTCACTGCGGAGACCTCACCAAAGAATCCAAGCTTCATGAGTTTAAAGCCTCAATACAACTACTGAAGTCGGTGAACGCCCCTCTCAAGCTCGTGATAGCTGGAAACCACGATTTCTCAATGGACATTCCAGCGTTCCGGAAGAAGGTGGCAGAGGCTCCGGAGCCACTGGATTCTGGTATTTTATCGAAGTTCTATGGCTCTTATGGCGAGGCAAGACAGCTATTCAACGAGGAGACTGGCATTACATTTCTAGACGAGGGTATCCACACATTCTCACTGAAGAACGGTGCGCTTTTAAAGGTCTACTCCAGTCCATACACGCCTTCTCTTGGCGACTGGGGGTTCCAATACCACCCCCAATATGGCCATAAATTCTCCATCCACGATGCCGATGTCGTGATGACTCATGGCCCTCCAAGGGGAATCATGGATTACACTTACTCGGGTCAACGCGCAGGATGCCCAACCCTTTTTGAGGCCGTAGCTCGAGCTCGACCACAAATGCATTGCTTTGGTCACATTCATGAAGGCTGGGGTGCGAAGCTTGTAACCTGGCGCCCCAAAGCCAGCGCCAAACCTACCCACTTGACGGACATCGATAATGGCAAGTCCACTGTTATTGGAAAGCTTTCCGCCCTCAAGTACCAAGAAAATATCAAGCCAGTTTCCACCACAGCCTACTTCAGAGGTGACACTCATCAACTGAAGCGTGACGGCTCCCAGACACTTTTTGTTAACTGCGCAATTGAAGATGCGAACGCCCTACCAACACAACAACCTTGGCTTGTGGACCTTGACCTCCCTTTGGCACCCGAGTGATACTTGAGAAACCCGAAAATAATTATTAAACAAGAGAAACCATACTCCATGCCTTTGATCTCTTCCTCTCAATGTTCGTGAGTTGTACCGATTAATAAATCCGAAGTCCCCCGGAGTGCGGAGTTTGCGGGGATAAGTAGAGGATGATGGCTTCCTGTCCGTCACTGAATTTCGGCCATTTACCTATTTAGGAGCTGTTAACGATAAAATATATCTACTGAGCCACAGAATCTCAGCGGACTTTGGCAGCGGACTTTGGCAAATGGCTTTATGCCGGAGTTATATCGGACAAAGGGCTCGTATATATTGGGTCCCCGCATCCCGCCAACCTCGGATAAGCTGTTCCCCTCCAAACCCAAAATCGAAGGGATCAGACAACATTTTCCAAAATGACCAAAGTTCTCCTCCTCGGTGCTACCGGCTATCTCGGTCGCCAAATCGCCAATCTCCTCGTCCAGAGTGGACAACATACTGTCTACGGGGTAACTCGCAGCCCCGCCAAAGCGAAGCAACTGGCCAAAGAAGAGATAATCCCGATTGTCTGCCCGGACCCAGTAAATCGACCAGATGCATATCTTGATATCGTCCGCTCCAAGCACATTGATGTGGTTGTGGATGTAGCCGGCGCCGATGCTGGTTCGTACAATTTCCTCGCTGATGTGGCTTTGGTCGGCAAGGAGCGCATGGATGCGTCCAAGGCCCGAGGTGTACAAGCGTCAAAAATTGGATACATATATTGCTCTGGGTCGTGGGTTCACGGCTCATCCAATGAGCCTGTGAACGATTTCGATATCGTCGGGGATGGAGCAAACACGCCCCCTGTAGAATTAGTGGCATGGAGAGTCGGAATGGAGCAGGCTGTTCTTCAAGCAAAGGATGTGCTTGATGTCATGATTCTGCGACCAGCTCTGATATATGGCCGAGAAAGCACTATTTGGGCTCCCTATCTCCTTCCTGTGCGAGAGGCCGCAAAGAAGGGGTCTGAGACAGTGGAAATACCTCTAGTTGCTCATTCTCGACCCGGCCTGATCCATGTCGACGACACGGCGAAAGCTTTAGTTCGGGCGATCGAGAAAGTGCACATCTTCCCCGGCACAGGAGTTTACCCTGTCTTCGATTTGGTGACCAGCCAAGAGAGCATGCGGGATATCTTCGCTGCTCTGGCTTCAACCTGGGGATTCACGGGTACGGTGGAGCTGAAGGGACATGGCGGAGATCTATTTCACAAAGCGATGTGCACCAGCTTCCGAGGATCTTCTGCGAGGGCAAAGCAGTTGTTGGATTGGCAACCAACGAGGTTGAATGGCTTCGTGCAGGACATGGAAATCTATGCTGCTGCATTTGTGGCAGAGCATGTTGAGTAAATATGAAAGTAACTCTTTGACCAATGTGCAAGTCCAATATGTACATACTACATTCATCCAGTACTTGTACATCCGCCATTCTTCGAAGTCTCAGTAGTATTGGATAGGGATGGCATGGTACCCATACTGCAGAAATATGCGAGTTATCTCGCTATTCCCAAGTGAGGAGGCCAACGACAACGGCGACTGACCATACGCATCCTTTTTCAGTGGATCTGCGAGAGATTCCATCAATAAGCTGACCATATCGATCTTGCCTTGATGAACAGCCTGCCAAAGCGGAGTCTTTCGAGGGTACGACGTCTTGTCAACCGCCGCCCCCTTTTTCAACAGATGCCGCACGATTTCGACGTGGCCATGGAACGCCGCTCGCGAAAGCGCAGTATCACCACTAGTGCACAGTGCATTCGGGTCAGCACCTCGGTCTAAAAGAAGACGAGCAATGCTCTCGTGTCCACCCGCGGCTGCTTGTGAAAGTGGTGTATTCCCTAAATTCTTGCCAGCATCGGGATTTGCGCCGAACGCAAGCAGGATTCGCACGATATCTTCTCGGCCTATCAGTGTAGCTGTTCCCAAGGCCGTGTTGCCTTTATTTGACCTCCTATTAATGTCTGCGCCGTACTCGAGGAGTAGCTCGACGATATCCTTGTGACCAAAGGAAACCGCTACCATCAAGGCGGTTTCTCCCGCGTCATTGAATGTGTTCACATCAGCGCCCTTGTCCAAGGAAAGCTTGACGGAATACAGTCCACCCATTTGAATCAAGGTCACAAATTCCTCTTTACTTCCGGTGAGCTTAAACTTCATGCGCTTCACAATGCTGGGCTTCTTGCTGCGAAGAATTGACTTTGGCCGATAAGAACCGTTCATAGAAGAGCTGTTTTGTGATCTGTTTTCCTGGCTATTCTCAATGCTGGCCTCAGACTCGACGGGGACGGGAAGATTTTCCCGTGGTAGGGCTTGTTTATCGGAATCGTCGTTCCCTGAGAAGAACGGCTCCATGATCACGGGAATAGGAAATTCTTCAATTGGTAGTACTTGCTTTTGCGTATCATCCATATCTTGGATCTCCATTGCGACTGGGATTGGGAAGTCTTCCGTGGGGAGTACTTCTTTGTCGGAGAGACCCCGTTCAGAATCTTCTTGCGGCTGAAATGGTAGCGTGAGTGGCTCTCCTGTAGGCGTTGTGTTGTACATCGAATTTTTTGGAGGCAAGGGTGGTTTTTTCGACCATGGTAACCTTGCTGGGGGAACTGTCTTTTGGCCACTACCTTCCAAGAGATGCTCCTTCTCTACAGCATTCCGTAGAGTCGAAATAATATAGCCGTGGTCTTGATCCGACCACTCGGGTATAATGCCAATGTCATGAAGTTCATTTTGCAGCTTTTTCCATGCTTCATCCTTCTCCGTCTTTGGTGAAGCATCATCAAGGACATGTGAAACAAGTGCAGACCCTCGCTTCCCCGCTCGAACATCTTCAATATACCCCCGCAACAGGCGGTTGACATTGGCCTGTGATGATCTAAAAACTAAGTTAGAGCTTGTGTCTTCACTTCGGAAACTAGCCCAGAGTCAACACACATCATCATATCAGCATTCATAACGCTGAGCTCAAAGATCAGAGATGAGAAACGCTCCCGAATATCGGACAGTGGGTTCGCTGGTCCCACTTCACCTGCCTCTTGATGAAGCTGTTCCAGCTCTAGCAGAGCTCGACGACAGCCACCGAGGGTCTTTTCGAGTGCTACAACGGGGTAGTCCACACAGAGCAGCGCCAATGAGGTTCTCGTCAGATCAACCACCGATCGAAGCAGATCGAGCTCATTGCGCGCCTGGTTGATGAGAGTGGGCTCACGGATGGTGGAGTCATACAAGCAGTCTGCTAACGGTAAGATGGCTGCGATTTGCTCAGGAAGGCTGCATCGCGGAGCCTGGGGTACAGACATGATGAAGCATGGCGGGTGAGGGGAGATGAAAACAAGCAATGAGCTCCGAACCCTCCCGCCAAGCCCCCGTCATTGTAGGGCGCTTGGGGTTGGTGGGCGACTAGGGTCGTTGGGGGCTGAGTCTGAGCAGGGATCGCCGTTCCACCATCGACTTGGGGGTTAAGGTGATGTGTGCCGCTTGGACCATTGACCATATTCCCCTGATATGAGGCTGTGCTTGCTGTTGCTGCATGATGCATAAATTGGTCAAACTTGGACGGTTTCCAAGGGGATAATGGACATGATCGAAAGACAGAGGTGCCAGTCCAGAGTCAAAAATCAAAACAAGTGGGAGATGACCCGGACGCGGTCTACTGGGCGCAATTTCCCCCAAAGAAAAGCAGATATCCCAAGTACTACGGCGTATGCATTTCATATTTCATATGTAATAAGCAAAATATACAGGTTGTATTAATTAATAGACAAGAATAAAAATGTATATCACGCGAAAAAAAAAAAAAAAAAAAAAAAGGCACGCTGTTCGCTGGCATCACACATGACCGTACTCCCGAGGGAGAGAGAAGAAGAAGGGCAAAGAAGCGACCCAACTATGCATAAACAAGAAGGAAAATAAAATTACTGAATGTCCAACTTGATTAGAATACCCCCGCTATCGTGGCCCCGAGAGCGATGGCAAACAATGAAGTGATGAGCCGGAAACTCGGTGATTGCATCACCTGTCCAGCGCCAGCGGTCACTTTGGAAGAGCCAACAGTGACATTGGTATTGGCGAAGCCAGAGCCACAATATCCATTTACCACTTTGGCAGACGGTAGATAAGTGGTGTCGAGAGACTGGCCGTCGGTGCTGGCCCACTGAGCGAAGATTTTCATAGTCGCCTGCAAGCATTCGTTACAGGTGAGCTTCCCCGACGAAGTCAACGTGCTGCCAATGGGCATGAAATAAACATTATAATCATTTGGGGCCGTCGTGTTGGTAACGGCATCGACGAAGCAATAGTCCTTTGTGTCTGGATTAGTCAGGCAGGAGGCGCGGTACATGGGTTCGTATGCTATCAATTCTTGATACACACTTCGGACGACCGAGTTGTTCGCATCATAATCCTGGCCACAATTTTTGTCTTGAAGCATTTCTTTGGCCAGTGTTGTCATGGTCGATGCACACTTGGTGACCGATTGCGAGCACGCAACGTCGAGCACATGGGAGGTAGCCACGGCGGAGGTCAAGGTGTGGAAAAAGGAATTGGAGTTCCCAAGAAGGACCGAGACTGCGTGACAGTCGGTGAATGACGAGTTGGAGCGGAATTTTTCGAAGAAGGCGACGCAGGTCGCGTTGGCGAAGTTATTGGAGAGAGTATCGAATGCGGCGGGCAGGTCGCTGGAGGACGAATTATGGGCAGTCACAATGCTCCGGGGCAGTAACAGGGCACCATTCCGATCGATACCGGGTGATGTCGCCCTCTCGTCGCTATCGGCTTCATCGATCTGGAAGATTTCATGGAGCTCGAACAACTCTCGTCGCTCGGCAAGCTCACCCACGTTGATCTCTCCACTTGGCCCCAATGCCGATCGGGGGCCATCCTCATTTGGATCTGATACACCGGGTATTGTTTGTGCTAGCGTTGATATCGGCGAGAAACAAAGAATAAGCATTAGAATTAGTAGACCATGATAAAGCGGCCCAAGGAATTTTGCTGGTCGGCGAGACAGGCCGGGACGCGACCCGGAGCGCGAAGTTGAACGAGAGTAGGGAACCGTAGAGAGCGTGGGACGAGCAATTGAACTGCTGATGCAGTCCACTGAGTGGGCGATAGCATCCATGGTGATGTGAATTCGTATTTTAAGCGAGCGAAGTAGCCGTGACAGGCTTTAGAAAGGCAACGAGAGAGAGAAAACGCGACACGAGTGTCATGAATGATCTGACATGGCCTACACTATTATCGAGGCCCCCAACCGCGAAGAGGATCAGAAGTCCATTCAAGCGAAGTAAGCAGACGTAGTCGACGGAGGGCTGAACACCCTTTGTAACCTGGGGGAAGTCAGGAGTGAAAAGAATGATGATGACTGCCACGAGGAACCAACGGCCAGCCCACCGTACTAGTAATCCTCCACGAAGCCACTCGGTCGGGCACGGAGCACCAAACTGGACCAAGTTGAATTTTTAGTGCTCCATCGCGATTCGTATGGACACAGAGCAGCCAAGGCCGAGAACATGCCTGCAACACGGTGCGCTAGGCCCCGAAAGAGTAGTGCTCTCGGGGACTAGAGCGTTCTGTGGAGACGGGCGACGGGTACGGAGTAATGGTTCAGCGGTTCAGGGGCAGCTGCATGGTGCATGGGCCAAGCATCGTTGTCGCGTCCTTCTCTTGTTGATGCTCAGAAGGGAAAGGTTCGTCGCGTTGCTTGAAGGATTGTTGATGGGAGATGATCGCGAGGCCGAGACCCAGTCCATGGGACGATTAAGATGATGGGAGCCAGAACCACTCTGTACTGGCTCAAAGATCGGTTGATGATCAAATGCTGATCTCTTTCCTTTCTCAAGTACTCCGTAGACATGTAGACATGACAGAGATGGTCATTGCTTTTGATCTGTTCGACATATTCTTAGATAGTGTTTCGAGAGGAAATGAAAAGGACGCGGGAGTGCAACCCGACGTAAGGAGCCGGAGGAGTAGAACGTTGAACAGTCACGGGACAGGAAGGATGTTCAGGCAGGAACTGAGGCTCGAATAAAGCACGCGACTTCTATTCTTTTAGTATCTAATGATGCCTACTCTGTACAACTTCTCATAAAATCATGTACAACATTCACCCACACTTGCATTTTTACCTTCACCTTCATAGGGTCCTCCCGGTGAAGCCTCAATGTCCGGAGCCAATTAGGTAAGAGGAAAGTCGGCGACTCCACGAGTCCGCGGTCATCTCTCCCCCACACTCTCAAGAACTTCACCCCTCCATTCATCATGTCGGACTCGCTCGTACCAGAGACGCGAGTACTGGCTGTGGCTAGCCATGTAAGCCATACTCCAAACACCTCCGATATTGACTACATAATTAACATCTCGATAGGTTGCCTATGGGTGTGTGATCTGTGCCTCTGTGGAGTCATCCAGTCATCCGATGATAACCTTCAAGCTGACATCTTCTCCAGCCATGTGGGAAATACAATGGCGACCTTCGTCATGCAGTCTTTGGGCTGCGAGGTTGCTGCATTAAATACTGTGAATTTCAGTATGTTTCTTCCCCCGCTATGTCAAGCAATCCAAATTCAACCATTTCGAGGCAACTCCGCGGGAAAGTTCCCAGTTGGGTGAATCCCGATGATATAGCATCGGCACTCGCTAATTCAGAATATCTAGGCAATCATACCGGATATCGCCAATTCAAGGGTACTCGCGCTACTGCGCAGGAAATCTCAAACCTCTACCAAGGGTTATGCCAGAGTAACTTGACCGATTTTGATGTTATGCTCTCCGGATATGCCCCAAGTGCAGCTGCCGTTGAGGCTGTGGGTTCCATTGGTATTGATCTACAACAAAGGGCTGAGAAGAAGCCTGGATCATTCTTTTGGGGTAAGCTCTATCATTCACTTCTGGTTTATTTGATCATTTTGCTGATACACAATCCAAGTATTGGACCCTGTTATGGGCGACCAGGGCCGGTTATACGTCAACGACGACGTCGTCCCCGCTTACAAAAAAATCATCCACCACGCCGATCTAATTCTTCCCAACCAGTTCGAGGCCGAGTAAGTCAAATTGAGTAGCCCAAGCAATCTAATTCCTCTGCGGTAAAATCGAGCACCGAAAACTAACCTGCACAAATAGAGTCCTCTCCGGCATCAAAATCACATCTCTCGCCACCCTGGCCGAGGCGATTACTGCTATCCACCGTATTTACTCCGTGCCACACGTCATAATCACTTCTGTGCAGCTTTTCAAACTGTCGGCGTCCGGGTCAACCCCCAGTCCGGCCGAGAACTTCCTGACGGTGATCGGCTCCACAACAAAGTCAGACGGATCTCCGCGCCTATTCCGCGTCGACGTCCCCGCCTTAGACTGTTTCTTCAGCGGTACGGGTGACATGTTCGCCGCATTGACAGTTGCTCGTCTACGCGAGGCCGTCGACGCTGCAGGTGACGATCTCCGCAACACCCGCTCTTGGGTGTCGCCCGACAATGTCCCGTCCAGTCAGCTCCCGCTAGCTCAGTCTACGATCAAGGTTCTTTCAAGCATGCATAGCGTTCTCGAGAGGACGATGGAGGCTCGCGATGCGGAACTCGCAAAGGATGTCCCGGCACAGAACGGGGGTGTGAGTGTGGAAGAGCAGCAGAAGCTTGATCATCTACGACGAACTAAGGCCGCAGAAGTGAGGCTAGTTCGCAATACGCGATTCTTGCGGGACCCTCTCGCCCAATTTGAGGTGCAGGAATGGTGCAAGGAAGATCTCCCAGCACAGTTACAATAGAAGATATCGTTATGGATAGACGGACTGATCAGGCTCTCGCGGAAAGCAAAAAGGAAACAGTCTATAAGAGGTGGGAGATGGAAGAATACGGCTCCTCGCCGACCTATACATTTCGAACCGCAAATAGATAATTTGATATTAGATTTCAGAAAGAATGGACCGAAACATAACAATTGAAAATTTCGCCGAGTTATTAGTCGCTCACGCTGTACCATCAGTGGCATCGAGTGAACCTTCTGTGGCGAGTCTGGTGGCGTCCTATCATCATTCTGCACTACCTCCTTCTTTTAGTCACGCAGCCTCTCTGTTCAATATATATGCACCGTAAATCTTCTAGTCAACCCCATATGTCTGTTCGAGCCTTTCGAACAAATTCGGAGACCCACGATGGCGCAATTCTACTCAGAGAAGACTGGTATCACAACCTGTCTTGACATCATGACACAATTGACACGGACGTCCAACTTTTGATGTTGTTAGTCATACTCGACATGTGATTCATTAAACACGGCAAACGACCGCCAATCTAGATGTACTCCAATGCATTTTGTCCGCCTCCCCAAAACCCGATTCGTTAAATGATCATCCTCATCTCATTTCATTGAAATGTCTAAACGCCAGTGCTGCCAAAGCCACCAGCACCACGGACACTCTCCTCGAGCTCTTCGACGACTGCGACCTCGGGGGTGTAGATCTAAACAGATGTTAGTATTTGAAACCTGCTGAATGATAGAATATGAAAACTGCACTCACCCTCTCCAGAACCAGCTGGGCAACACGGTCACCCTCCTTGACTAGATATTAAACATGCGTCAGTCATTACCCGACAACAAATCAGCGTTTATCATCACGTACCAGGGAAATCAACATCAGAGTGGTTGAACAGCAGCACCTTCACCTCACCACGGTAATCAGCATCAATGACACCGGCACCAGTGTCGATGAAGTGCTTCGAGGCAAGACCACTGCGGGGAGCGACACGGCCATCTGCAACACAAAAAAGATCAGCCTCCATTCTCTCGCCAATTGCAAACCCCACATAGAATCAACATACAAGTACCCTCCGGCACAGCCATGGCAATACCAGTATCAATCAAAGCCTTGCCCTTAGCCGGCACCACCGTCTCCTTAGCAGCATACATATCATACCCCGCAGCAAAGGCCGAGCCCCGTGTAGGTGCCTTGGCCGAAGGAACGAGCTTCTTGATCAACAGCGGAGGCAGAGGCTGCTGGATAGAGGTCACGGCGGGGGCATTGGAGGCAGTCATGTCGGCGTTGTCGTTTGTTTTCGTACGCTTGGCTAGCGGAGAAGCGGGGAGAGAAGGTGGTTCGCGAGCGGCGTTGGTGGCGGGGATGGCGGTGGGCGGAGTAGTCTCTCTGGTCATTGCCGGGAGAAATGAACGATGATAGGGAGATTGAAGAGTGGAGGAATTGAGGTGAGAGACGCTTGGAGTAGTAGGAGGTCAATTGATAAATCGGTGAAGAAGTGGGGAATTGAATTGCGGTGTACGGAGTAGTTTGGTTTGATCTCCTTGCGCGCTTCACCGCTGGGACGCGGCGCGGTCGCGTCGGAGTAAATGCGTAGAGAGGGTGTTTGTGTTGTTTGCTCTAGATGTTCACGTGACCGAGTCTCAGGGATGCTAGTCATGTGATCGACTTATCCTGCCTGCTTTCACCGCTCCCCGTTAAGCCTCGCTTGGAAGAAAGAGCCGCGATCCAGTCTATGGAGTGGATACCTCCAGCTCCATACGGAGTATATGTGGTGAACACCATGTCTCATAGTAAATAGAAATGAGACTCCAGTAGGGCAATTCTTAACATCCCGTGAACGGATTATGGTGTCTTCAATCAACAATCACTTCGCAGGATTTCATAAAATTTGCCGATATCTTACCTCAATTCTCGGTCACAGACGCTATGATGTTCGAGGGTGAGACCGCAAACTACGAAGCGTAACACTGATCACGGACGCATATTACTGACTAGTCTCCAGTCCATGATTGCAAACAGATAAGCCGGGGAGCTCAATCCCTCCTCCAGATCAAAACTCGACCACAAGACGACCTATCCGACAATCATTGATTTGAACGCCATAACCGTGATCAGGTCGTCATACATCAGCGACACGAAGATGCGGATCTCCGGCCCTCCCCTATCCAATACACTAATTTGTATACAGTATCCGACAAGCCATGAATCAATCATCCACTCACAAGCCTCGTATTACTCGATGGCCTCCTATCAAGAAAACACCAAGCGAGTCTTGGAGGCTCCGTATATGCAGGCATTGCGGCCCGGTTCGCAGGATGGCGGGAACACTACAGTAGTCGCGGGTGTTGGCGACTGCAATAGCCGTTTGCTAAAGGTATGCAATGCAGATGCAGGATGGTCGTGCATTAGGAGGATTTGGATTTGAGATGGCAAAGCCAAAGCCAAGCCGCGAATATGAGGTGGTCCAGTAGTCTTGGTTTCTCTTGATGGTGGAGGGTGGATTATGGCAGGATATGGAAAGGCTAGAAGCCACGCTAAAGAGTTTCTAGGCTGGGTTTTACGAGGTTGAGGTTTTCTATTCGTTGGCTGGATGGAGTAGGCCTTGCGAGTTCGTACTCGTAGGCCGTGGATAAGTCCGTGGGCTTTTGAGTGCATTTGGACGGAGGAGGAGATTGATGATGATGATGATCATGATGATGATGAGATCCACGTTCATCGCTTGTCTTGTGCTCGTGGCTGAGAGTCTGGTTTCTGATTCCCGGGGGTGTAGTATAGTACGTACGTATGGATTCTGTAGAATGATCAGCTTATCGTCGAAGGATCTCAGGATTTTAGGTAGTAGTTCGAAGTAGTACCAGTACTTTGGAGTAAGGTCATAGTGCCTCGAACTTCTATAACTATCCGTGCTTCAGTTAATGCAGTACCCCTAATAGGCATATGTATACTCCGTACATTGTGCTGAGACCCTTGAGTAAGAATGTCTCATAGATCCTTAGATCTCCAACTATTCCTTCTTCCATATCCTGAATAATGCCACTATTCTCTGCGGCTGTGTGCGGAGTTTCTATTCTTTCTAGGTATTTTGTAGAAATCTACCAGCGGGGTCTTGTCAGCACTTGACCTTATTCGGTCCACGTTGGTCGCGAGTCAAGAAGCGCCCGTATTTTCCTGCGGCTGGCGGACATCTTATCACGTCCATGCGGTGCCACCATGCACACCGACAACCTCGTACCCTTGTCAAACGAATAGTCGTTGATTCGATGGCTTGCTGAGGGTTGAAGGAGGGGTTGGTGTTAGGGTCACGGTCACTGTGCTATGTGCTATGGATCTCATGTTAAGTGGTATGTCCACGGCTCGATTTGGTTGGCAAGTGAGAATGATGTTTACTTGTTTATGTTTTCAAGTCTACTTCGCATTCGTTCCCACTCCAAGGAACATCTTCTATGTAGAGCTGTCATGATAGGCCGACTGCTCTTATTATCTTGTGGGCCAGAAAAGAGGGGAAACCTGCGTGTAGAGACAGAAGGGGGAGGCGAAAAATGAGGCTACCTTGGCCCTGCGGCTCTACGTAAAGTGAGGCTGAGGCAAGCCAGCAGAGCAACCAGAAACGAAAAAAGAAAAGAAAAAGAAAAAGCAACAGCACCAGAGGTCGTAAAACGACAAGAGGGAGCGCCCCCATCGAAGAGGAGGCCCGTGAGTCCGTGAGGACTGTGGGTGGCCAGTGATCACTGGGCCAGAAAGCCTGAAGGGGGTGAAGAACCCACTTAGGTCGGGACTAGCACGGTGCCACTTGGAGTTACATAGGCTGGGTTAATTTAATTTAGGCCGCTGTGGTGCGCCAGAGGAGGAAAACCCATGCGTTGCGCAAATGATCTCGGCGCGGGCCGCGTATTTCCTTTCTGGAAGTAGAAGCAGGGAAGGAAGAGGGGGAGGAGGGTGACGGGGGGTTTGAAAGGTTGATAGCGAAATGCCACAGCATGAAGGTGAGCTGATGGCAGACGGAGTACATGACGGAGTGCGTGTTGAAGAACTGACCCGGCGAGTATTCTTGTTGACCAGGGTGCAAAGCAAAGACCAGCCCGGATGGATCATGGCAGACACGACCAGGCCAAGACAGGGCGGTTCGTTCGGGATCTCCTGAAACGCGCAACGTGGATCATGTTGCGTTGGCAATCCTTCGGAGCCAGGCGGGTCGGGTAAGGCTGGTCAATGTGGTTATGGCATGGCAAGTATTGTAATACAGTAGGAGCAGTTTGTAGTTCAAAACTCGATATGAAGCAGAGAGACAGGAGAAGCACTTGTCACAGAAAGGAAAGTGTTAAGCGGAACAGAGGGTGAATATCACTAGTGAATGGTAGGTTCAAAGTCAAAAACTGCAGGGCGAGATATCATAGGATATCAAGGTCATGGGTTGAGGAGGATGGCTGAATGGCTGAAAGGTTCTTACAGTGTCAGTCATGTCAGAAGGTCCTCTAGAAAGGTTGTTCGCAGGCAAAAAGACGACGAGTGGAGAAGCACAGTCGTGCAGGTTCCCTAGCTGGGATTAAACCCAAGGTGGGGAGGCAGACCAGGTTGCGAATCAATCGAGGCTCATGGGAAGAAGGATTGGATTTACACTACTCCGTACATACTGTAGCAAATAATATGTTACGATTCTATGGGTCAAGCATCTAGAAAAACTACTGTATGAGAACTTACAGGATTGGAAAGACCACTCTCCCCCAAAAAACCCCCAAAAAAGGGGGGTTGGCATGTCATGAAAGGAAGGTGGAGAAATAAAACGGGTGTGTCCACTCATCGGCCACGATGGCCCCGGTTGATGACTCCGAAGCCCGTCCTTATTGTATCGGCCGTACGCACAAAAGCGAAAGCGAGACAAGGGCAAGAATGGTGGAGCCTAGAGGCAGCGAAGTAACAGAATGGAAGAAGAACGAAAAGGCCAAAAGGCAAGAATGATTGACGGGGAAAGGATTCGAGCGTGCGACCGAGCCTTGCTCAAATCCTCCGATGTACTTGATGGGTTGCGATCATCTGCCGTGGTCAGGAGAGAGGGTCGACGTGGTGATAGCGGTGAGTGTCTCCTGTGTGCTGGGAGCGAGGGATGGAGTGACGAGTGACGACGAGGGTGACGTGAGCTAATGATGCTACAGGAGGTAGTTTGAAAACAGTTCTCTCGGCTCAGGGCTGTGTAGGATCTATAGATATGACCAGACCTATCAGACTTCTAAGAGTAATATTTACAAGAACAAATTATAAGAGATAGGACTTGGACTACTCCATAGTCCTCCTCGAGTCCAATTCTCTTAATCTTCGAGTATAAAATTCCGGTATACTTTGTTCAACCATTCATAATGCAGTGTTCCACTATCGCCACAATCTAATGAACCCACCCAAAGTTAAGCGTGGATAAAAACCCAAAAAAGTGACAGGTTCAGCCCGTTTCGAGCTGCGGGGAATTAAAAAAAAACAGCAGACTCTCAGAGAGCCTCGGGACCCAGGCCCACATCCCAGAGCCTCATTCTTCTCTTCTTCCTCTCCTCCCCGTGCGCAATTTCGGGGCTCTTTTTTTGTTTTTTCCCCTTCACCCACCCTTCCTTGACGAACTTTCCCTTCCCCTTTAGACCATTTCGGGGGTTGATCCTCATTCAATAATTTTTGATTTTCTGATCCCCGGAATCCCCGTGGCTTCAACTGGCTCACTGGCTCACTCTGGGTTGCAGAAACCAGTGCGGCTTTGCTGGCTTAACAAGTTTACTCGCCGCATCCCTAATCGGCCCGTGCTCATTCTGCTTCTCCTCCCCTATCGCGCTTAGCTCATAATTGCCTTTCCCACCCCCCCCCCCCTCATTCATCGCACTTGGAGAGCCTCGTTTGCTGCCCTTTCGTCCTTGGGGCTCTTTTCTTTCCCTACCTCTTTTCCCTACCGTGCTCTGTCCGGTGATATCATTCGAATGGCGTGGATCTGTTGGCGGATCCGTTGAGCCTCATTCTCCCTCCTAACTCTAACCCGTTTTCCCTTCCTCGTGTCCCTTTCCCCTCTTCCAGGTCCGCCCCAAAGTTCCCCCCCAAACGGTAAGTTTTCCTCATTACTCTCATTCCCCCCCTCTCTTCCTTTCCCCCTCCCTGCCCAAATGGTCGGTGATTGCCCTTTTTGTATTCTTCTTGTTCCCCCTCCCGAGTAGATCAGATCAGATCCGATTCAGGTCCAGATCTAGATCTAGTTAGAAAAACCTTGGGTTGGTTCGCTAGTCTCGGTGGAGAGCTCTTGTTGGGGTCCGTTCTGTCGTGTCCGCCTGGGTTAGATCCCGAGCCCGCGCGCAGAGCCTCAACCTTGGTCAACTTCGGTCCAACCTCCTCGCTTACTCGAACCGTTCACAAGCTTGCATTCTTTCCCATTTCGAGTCAATGATTCTGTCTGTTTGTCGAGAATCTACAGCGCGCCCTTGAGCTAACTCTCTCAGACAGGGACTCTACCAGACTACGGCTGTCATTATAATATCTCACCGCTGATGGTGTACACCGGTCGACCTGTTCTATATCACCGCTACGAGTTCACCTCAATAGCGCCCCTCTTAGCTTCCCAGAGGCGACCGAGTCTGCTCTATGCATCTCTCGACTCGCCATGACGTCCGACATCTATGACTCGGACGACGCCATGGGGCGGTCCCCGCCGCCCAAGCCGGCCAAACCCAAGTACGGGCTGGACGAGCCTCCTCCACCCTTCGTGAACGTGAACGATGAGAACGACGCCAACTCCACAGTCAAGGACCCGAAGGGAACGCTCGACCGTTCCCGTAAGCCGCACCTGCCGGAAACGCAGACCCGAACGTGTCTTGGCGACTCGGTACTGATGAGCTATTTAGGGCCAGATTGTCCGGAGGTCGCGGCGGATGTTCGTGAATCTCCGTACTCGGACTGGTCGCACAAGCAGGATCGGTTGCCTAAGGATTGGAAAATCGCTCCTCTTTCATCAGGGACAGAGGAGGGACCCGGTGAGAAAGAGGGGATTAATATTGGAGGATGGGATAAAGCAGGAGTAGAAGGAGGAGGAGGAGGCAGTGGGAGCGATATGGATGTGGACAAAACAGAAAAAACGCCAATTCCAACGCCAGCACCAATACTAGAGCCTGCCCCCATCTTGAAACCAATCCCTGGACTGGGATCTGCCGCCGAGGATGAGGCCAAATTCAAGTCGGTGGTGGAGCAGGGAGTACCACAATTACAAGTCAACAAGAAAAAAGATCGCCTCACATCGTTATCACCACACCTCAAACCACTGCCCCCAGTGCTCCCCCCGCCTGCGCCGCCATCCGATTTCAAGAGTGAGTTTGTCTCACCGCGACAGCGACCACGCCTACAGTCTATTACGGAATTCCCTCCTGTACGGCCCTCGCCAGACCTGCTCAAACGACCACCCGAGCTAGGTCATCGTGTCTCATTGCCGTCGCTTCAATCTCTCTCTCCTCCATCCTCCACGACCGGCACATCTCCCGACTCGGCCAGCTATAACCTCAATACCAAAACCCTCCCGTCCATCCAATCCGCCCTCGGTGGGTTTTCACCCAGCGAGTTTCCTTCCACTCGACCCAATGCGCTACCTCCACCATATCCATACTCGTCCTGTCCGGGGTCCGCGACCTCGACAGATTCTCCGCATGATCGTCAACTCCCGCGACAATTCTTGCCCTCGCATATCCCTCCCAGTCCTTTTTCACATCTCTCTCCTATCAGCGCCAAGGAGCACTCCAACAATCCTTCTCCCGCATCACAACCCTCTTCTGCATTTTGGCGCGGCCCTCCTCCACCACCACCACCTCCTCCCCAGCCAGTGGCCGACACCCCGCACCACGCACCGTCACCCTACGACACGTCCCCCATGTCTACCACAAGCCCTCTCACAAGTTATCCCACACCGACAGAGCCGGTTGCTCCTACACCAGAGTCTAGCGCCGACCGGACCCCGTTGAGTTCGAATGCGGCCTTGCATGGGGCCGGAGCGACGGGCAGCTATAAATGCACGCATACTGGGTGTACGGCAGCACCGTTCCAGACTCAGTATTTGCTCAAGTAAGCAGAAGCCGATGGCTATGCGTAACGTATAGTCATCACAAATCCTAGTATCATCGCAATGGACCCCTAACTGTAACCCACAATTACCAGCTCTCATGCAAATGTGCACTCGCAAGACCGGCCTCATTTCTGTCCTGTGGATGGGTGTCCACGTGGGTTGGGTGGGAAAGGGTTCAAGCGCAAGAATGAAATGATGCGGCATGGCCTGGTGCATAACTCGCCAGGCTATGTATGTCCCTTCTGTCCTGATCAGCAGCATAAATATCCTCGGCCAGACAATCTTCAACGGTGAGTTGAACCGTCTTTCTAAATCTTGAAAGTGACACGGCTTGAAAGAGCGATGGACTAATCTTACGGCTTTGATAGACATGTCCGCGTCCACCACGTTGATAAAAGTAAAGACGATCCTATCCTCCGTCAAGTTCTCGCACAGCGCCCAATTGGGAGTACACGAGGGCGACGACGAAGGTCGAATTTCGCTTAAATATCCGACTCGACTTCAGGTTCTGAGTATTCTCTTAACGCCAGAAAGCATGGCCCTCAGCGGGGGTACATAACATGCACTAAGTGATCTAAAGACCGTTCTAACCGTCTATGCTACCTCACGTCTATCCTCTCCCACCCCCTACTTCTCTAACCCTCGGACCGGGCTGGGCCAACACACCCTACATTAACGCGTAACGAATTTCCATCCTCTGATACCTTTGTTCGAGCTCTACTATGCACTCATCTCGCCGTTCTTGTTCGACATTCGACCATTCTTCTCTTCCAGCGAAGTACAGTTCTCAGTTCAATTTCTCTGTTTCACTTTCTCTATCTCTTCATTCGATGATACCACATGTAACCCTGTTAGAAGCATGATGATACACGGGCCATTCGTTTCTATCTGTCTTATCAAATCTTGTTCTTTTCAAACTATCGCATTAGGCCGCGTGTTTGATTGAGCTTTTTTTTCTTTTAAATGGGCCACTCGTTTTTGATTATTAACATCTATCTTTTTTCCTTCATTTTTCCAATCTTTCTACTTATTCTTTATTTCTTCGCGGGTATCGCGCAGCATAGGTGCCTGCTTGAAGGGCCGTCCTCTTTTTTGGGTTTCTTCTCGTACTTGGTTGGGAGTGAACGAGGGTTGTGATAGGAAGAAGGGATAGCGGGGAGCATGGATCAGGTGTCGACCACATTCGTTTCTTGGGATGAGGAATCTTCTGACCTTCTTACTTTCGTGTTAAGTCGGGTACTTGACGCGATGTTGATAGTTCAAAATTGCATGGTAATGCTATTCTATACATATCAACAGAAATTCTAGCAGCCATGTGATTAGGTACTTTCGCTCCAGGACAGAGTTCGAACTGGTAAATATGCACGTGACATTCTATGGTTAACATGCACTTTGTCTGTGACTCTATTCTGTCTTACCGTCATTCATAATCATGATACTGATACAAGGAAGGTAAAATGTTGAACAGTGACTGTCAGATGAACCGTTCTACACTCTTTTCAAAACTACCATAAATCTTACCCAATACAACCTCAACAGGGAGATTCCCACAATCCCCGAGATACACAGATACAACCTTATGCCCCGAAAGCCAGGTCTAACCTAGTACCCGGTGCATCGCTCGTTTGGAAGTCAATCCTCATTCTTCTGTTGCACAGATGGAACACAGAATATGGAACACACGCGCGCATTTATCACAGCATCCCACCGCAAGGGATAAATTCATGAAACACGCATGACTAAGATAGTAGAGCCTTAAGCATCTTTCTCGGAATATTCTTTACGCGGTTCCAATCTGTCGGAGACTGATCCTGACATGCACTGCAGAGCCTATCTAATCTACCTTGCATCTCAAGTGCAGAACAGTGCCTCGACTCGAAAGAATAAATGTATCACATAGTCACACGGCAGGCAGCCATGGGGGTAACCAGGAATAACATAACACCTATGCGTATAGTAGTCCGTACAGTATGATGTGTTGTCGATCATGCACTGTGGTTTTATAATTAGGTCCAACAGAGCTGCAATTGTGTAACGAGGACAGACAGAAACAATAATTCAAAGCAGTTAGCAGATGGGTTGGCGTTTCACGTTTGTTGTTCTCGAATATGCGAAGAATAGAGGAAATATCCTCCGATGCGGATCTATTCTAGGGACATGTGGCGGGGATTGGAATGACGGGGGCGATAGTGATTCTGCCTTGCCAGAAATTGGGGGAAGAGGGGGGCAAATTATAGTTATAGGAATGTGCAATACTAATACTCTAAATACACCAGAAATAGAAAAGGGTCCTGGGGTTAGTAGTTAGTTAATCCAGCCCCCGCCATACCAAGTAGCTCTTTCTTCACTTTTAGCCCCTTAAAGACTAAACTTGAAGACTCGGCTTGGCAGAAACTAGAGGGGCTAACCTCCAAGCTCTGACAAGTGTCTATGTCTAGAAATAGCACAATCCATAGTTCGAACTCTCGTGACAATGGGGGCCATATGTTAATCCAGCCAAGCAATGCCTCAACCCCGTGATAATCAATCCATGCGACCCAGTGATTATTGTGATTCAGAGACATGGACGGATGTCGGGGACCGAAAGCGTCACAAAATTAAATTCCTTGTAAATACTAAGGTCTAAGGTAGTAGTAATAAAATAGAGTTGTCACGTTGTGCATCCAGGCTCCAATGCGTCGCACTCTATACCCAATCCAGTCTAGCGCCGCATGGGTAATCGTCGAATATTCCTTGGGTTTCACTATCCCAGCATCGTGGTTAAGCTGTACGGAGTTGTACTCCGTTACTCTGTCCCTCAACCTTCAACAACCCTGTTTCGGGACTATTTCTCACCGTCCACCCCAAATCAGGACAATGGGGCCAAAACCGAACCACGGTCAGTGACCGATCAGCTCGATCCTCATGACCTAGATGCACACTCAAGTAGGGACAACCTGGGAATTGTGAATCGTTAGGATCCACACTAAGCAAGGCCGGAACAGGTTATCGTTCGGGGGGCTGATATGTGCATAATCTAACTGCTGTTCACTGCTGCAGTGTACAGTGTACTGAACACTACGTGACTACAGTACATGGTTAATTCCACGCTAAGGTCCGATCGGGACATATGGTGCGCCGGCGAATGGCGCCACGCTAATAACGCCAAGGCATGGAGGCTCGGCAATGTGGCATGGCTTAGGTGCGTCGATCCATGGTGGGGGGTGGTCCTCCGTATTTCATCCGTTTCCGGAGCTGAAGCTGAAGCTGAACTTGGCGTTTGAGTGTGCGGTGTGAACAAAGCTTGGCTGGTGGGCGTTTCCATTCAACACTGTAGATAACATTGTTTTTGAAGATTTGTTGGCTAGTATTATGGGGCGTAGATTGAAGGGATGGATCATAGAGGGGCTACCCTTCTGCATGGTCAGCACTGGCCCGATTGGGAGAGTGTTGCGGCGGCAGTGGGGGAAAGCGCGTGGTACATAGCTTAATAATAGTGTCTTGGTGGGCAGTGTTTGAACTTTGACGTGGGGGATATGATTATGGGCAACTACTCCTTCAAGATTCGAAATTCCTTGCTACATCACGATGGGAGGATAGATAGCGTGGTGTGTTGGAAATTGGGCTTGGAAGGGTTGGAGTGCGGGGTGGCATTGGGTTTGGTTCGATTGCTTATTTATGACTACTATAATTATCGATTTATGCTATGATAATTCAGTAGGAATGGAAATGTTTAGCGAGTATCGTTTGTCTTAGACTGATCGACTCTAAGGTTGACAGCTCGTAAGGTTGATCGACATTCGACTAAGATAAAGTAGATGAAAAGTAGTCGGACATTGTTAGTCCGGAATAATGAAATAACATAAGCAAAAAAAACAATTCAATTCAATGCGATCCGATTTCTTGGATGATCTCGTAGCTGAGAAAAATGTCTTGTTATCAATGACAGTCGTAGAAGGCAATCCCAACCCCATCCTAATTCGCCAACTCCCATGGATGATTTTTATCCAGTCTCTTTTTTTTTGATCAGAGTTTTTCATCTTTTCAAAATCAAGTAGAAGAAAGCCAAAAAAAAAAAAAACCAACGCCCCGTCTAATCCCAGTTCCCTCACATGAAACTCAAGTTCGCCAATTCACCGAGATCCCGCTAGCCCCCATGTGTTGATACAGAATCAAAATAGAAATCCCCAAAAAAAGACACAGACCCAAATTCCAGACCCCAAATTCAAATGATTCTGCGTGGACTCCAGTATAACTTCCCAAAAAAAAAAATTCATCATCCAACATCAACATAACACATAATTCTTGTAAAGCATAATCCAGGGATGGAGATCGAGATCACCCCCATCAGCGACTGCCTCCACGTCGATGAATACGCCGCACATGATCTTTCATGTTATCCACCCGACTGAAGACCCGCCCACATCCGTCCCACTCACAGACGATGCCCGGGTTATGCTTCGCCTCATGGCGAGCACGGTCCTTCTTGCTCGAGAATCCGCCCTGCTTGGACTGCGGACATCCCTCATGTCGGCAGAACAGGTGCTTGCGGTGGCGATTAAAATGCTTGCGTAGATCACAGCCTCGTCGGAAGATGGCCTGTGAGGTACAGCCTGGGTGGGCGCATCGCCAGATTCCTTCGCCCGCGGGGATACCATAGCGGGAGAGGTCGGCTGGGTTGAAGGGAGGTGAAGATGGGTGGCGCGAAGAGGAAGATTCAAAGTCGGATAGGACGGTTGGTGCTGGAGATGTGCTCATTGCGGAGCAGGAGTCGGAAGATGGAGAGAGGAAGCTGCTGTCATGTGTGTGGGCTGTATTGGAAGATGTGGAGGACGGGCCTCTTGAGAAGCTCATGGGTGGAGGGGAGAGCCATTGCTGCTCGGGGGTGGTCATGTTCTCGCCGAATGTTGAATAGCAAGGTTGAGGGAGTTCTGATGAGGGGAAGGCGAGAGGACTGATTGCTGGGTAGGGAGGGGTTGTTTGGTAGAGACCACCGGTTAGGTCACTCTCCATGCACCATTTGTTGATCTGCTGTGGAGTGTAGCCAGAGACACTTTGAATTGGAGGGTGCATCGAGGGTTGGGAAGACCCGTATGTATAGTAGGGCTGCATGAAGGGCGAAGCGGTGGTTGAAGCGATAGCAGGGTCAATGGAGGAAGTGGACAATGGTCTCATCATTTCTGCACCGGAAGCACTTGACCAAGCGTGAAGAGAACCTATGGCATCGCTGACTGGCGAATCTCGGTCTGATAAGTAGGTCGCTGGTGCCAAGAAAGACGTCACGTCCTGGGGGGCACTCGCATAGCCCAGCGGCGGTTGGACCCCAGCTGGAGTCTCCGTTAGACCCAACGGGCCACATGCTGCACTGTCAGGCACGGGGGCATTCATGTCCTTGGCTCTCCAATGCGCGGGTCGCATCGCAGACATGTCGGGCAATGGTGAGAAATTTTCAGAGTTGAACAATAGACCTTCGGCGGAAACCATCGACGGAGCGTGAACCTCTCGGTCAAAGTCTAGCAAGGCGCTTGTGGGGGAGTACTTGGCGTGCATAATATCAACCACTACGGGGTGCGGAGAATGTAGATGAGGAGGTAAGATCCAGGCTGCTGCGTAAATGAGACCCAATAGGCCATATGCTGGAAATTTGAGGACAACAGTGAGGATGTAGAGTAGAGTTGTAGAGGCAGTGAAGTAATCGGATGTCCGGGAGCGTCAGATTTATAATGATCAGCCGTTCCGCAATCCTATGGGGACGGTGGGTAATGTGGAAGTATCGAATAGAGGTCGATATTAAAACCGTGGCTTGTAAGACTAATCTTCAAGAGGCAATGGCGTATTTAATATTTAGGCTGCGGAGAGAGTCCGGTCGAATGCGTCGATGAATGATGATTGATGACTCTCCCTCGAACGGAAAGTCCGATCTGTATATAAGAGCAAGAAGGAGAGGCAGTGCTTTGTAACAAGTCCAGCCAGGCGTTCCAGACAGCGGAATTAGGAATTTCAAAAATGATCTGCAAATAGATTTACTCAGATAGGTGAAGGTGAATAAGGAAAAGAAACAAAAAAAATAAGGGAAATGTACGAGCCGTTGAATAATCATGAGGAAAAGGCACAAACTAGGATGAAGGTGCGAGCTGTTTGTGTGGCTTATTGATGGGAAACCAACAAGAAAGTAAATTAAAATCAAAATAATAGTCCACTTTTAAAAGTCACTAGCCAACACAAGAAAGCAGGACGCAGCAAATCGACAGGACCAGTTAGGTTAGTTGGTAATGTTCCGCCCCCATGGCTTAGGGTACTTGTTTGGAACCCAGGGCCAAAACGATCGTAAAAACCCCCAATGATGATTCAGGATGATTCAGATTACATGCCGGGACCGGGAGGCATGGCGGCCATGGTTTGGCAGCAACTGATCGACAGAAGAGCTGTAAGAGCGTCAAAAAAGAAAAGAAATAAAATGCAGATTCCCCTGTGATGGTAGCACGCCTATTGGATATCCCGAGTAGGGCTGAGGCCGGGGATCGGTACTCGACCGGCTGTGGATTCACTGGAATCACTGGAATGACCCCCCTAGGCAGGCATCGTAGGGGGAGACCCGTACGCGCTCGTAGCCTCAGAGCCTACGAGCTCTGGTAGGTTCTTCGGGGGTGCCATGAGCGACTCATCAATTGCCTAAATTGGATGTGGTATCGTTGACGCTGATTGGTGTAGCGTACGAGGGTTGACCAACGGTACAGACATTATTGTATTCACTCTGCTTAACACCGAAGAGATCTCCGCCAAGGCCGAGCCGAGGAGGGTATGCTCTGCGCGTCGTTGAACCTTTTTCAGAAAGAGACGGTGAACCAGTTGATTGGAAGAGAAAAGGTATGCAGACTCCACCGGGCGGCAGCACTTTTGGGACTACTGGCGCTATGCTAAGCCACGCTGTGGGAAACACAGTTACAGTACTCCGTACTGTTGTTGGTTTACGCGGTAGGGTAAGTGCAATTCTTAGCCTTTGCATGAGTGAATAGTAGAGTATGTACGTCGTATTGATGCATGAATCTGATGATATTCATTATGCTAAACTATGCAGCCTGTTGTAGTTACCACGGCACTGGTTCGCATCGCAGCATTAAACCATTTCCTCAATCGAGGGATATGATCTTGTCACTTTGGTGGTACCACTAACTACAATGACCCAAGCCGGAAATCAGTTGCTGTCAAATTGTCAATGATACTCATGTGGAGTCCAAAAATACCAAGAGCCCCCATTATTTTTTGCCTCCCCCGCTATGAACTACGGAACCATCATCTATAGACCCAACTGATGCTACTACAATAACCTCTTCCCCAGAATAACGTGATCTTCGTACGGCGACTCCGATCTCCGACCTGAAGTTCTACAGAACCAAACAATCAACGTCCGAAATAGAACAAAAAAAAAGAAATAGGTTAAACAATCGAGACCGACTATTCTGCCTAGCATACGCAATTATTCGGTGGCCTGGACGCAACGGCAACATAAGGGTAGCATCAATCGTGCGGCCACGATTTAAGGTAGTATGGAACTCAGTCAAGCTGCCGAAATAAACAATCAAAAAGCATGGCAAGCGTATTCGAGACACTGCATGCTACGTCGTCGATCCCTCCTGAAACAAGCAGGGGGTGGGGAAGATGCGTTGAAATTCGAGCTGGGGAAGGGGAAGGGGAATAGCTTCCGGGAGAGAAAAGAAAAAGTAAGGGAAAAAACAAACCCGAAGAACAGAGTGAAACTGCAGTACTGTAGACATAAGCTACAGAAAACATTTCGCGCTCAGCTTGGACAGTGCCCGACAAGTCCGACACCGACGATTACAACCGAGACCTGATCCCTGTCAGGGCCGCTACTGCACCCATGATTGGCCCGAGCGTACTAATTTAGTGCTTAGTCCACGGTCGAGCCAGTCAGAGCGTTGTCAGACAAGCCCAGCGAGTCGGGCAGAGTGGCCTCTTCCAGACGCGAGAAGCGGTGTCGATAATTTAACGATGATATGCAGTGCCGAGCCGCACATATGGCGCCTTACAAAGCACAAAGCGACAGGGTATTGCAGGAGTCCTGCCGGGATCTCTGCTTTCCTGGGCATAGTCACATTCTGGAAAAGGAGGGGAAGAGGGGGTCAGAGAGAGGCTCGAAGGGCCGTGCCAGCTGGGCAGCATAAGGCCGGAGATAGGGCTGAGGGCTGTCGTTGGCCCTAACGCCGAGCTTGTCCCAAGCGAATACGTATGCTGGATTCCAAATCGCCATGCGCTGGCATTATGCACCTGTACTGTGCCCTATAGACTCAGGATGTCTCAACGTAGAGTTGGGTTATGGCGGAGGTGGGGAATGGGTGAAAGTAAAACCACGAATGAAGTTGATAGGGAATCGAAATGGAAGCGAGATCTCCCGAATGCCGAGTATGGAAGGAGACGTAATGAATGAGAGACGTGAATAGCAACAGGACAACCAACAGTTGGGTTCACATATACTTCTGCCCCCCTGGTTGTCTCAGAGCTATGGTCCTCTTCTGATCGACTCCGATCGTTCTATGATAGATGTGCAGCACGATGAATGCCGAAAGCCAAGTATGTACAAAAATAGTGCACATCCCCACATAATGTCTCTAATTCAGCCTTCCCGTCTATATCACCTCGCTTGGTCCTGTGTTCCATTGCTCGATCGGTCAATTTGTCAGCCAGTCAATCCTAGGGATTAGAATCGTCTAGCAAAGGTGTGGTCGAATCAGGCCCGGATTTCGCCTTGGGGTCTGAGGCACCCCGGTACAGGATGTAGTGTTGAACGATAAAAATAAGGTCGAAGAAGATGGTGATATTACTGAGCAGGAGCTTGGCGGGATTTCCGGTGATGCCACTCCAGTCACTTTGCAGACTGGAATCGAGGACTAGTTGCAGCAGAGACAGAATACCTCCGATGAGATCCAGGATAATGGTCCAAATGTTCCATCCCACCGTCGACTGCCGCCTGTAGTTCAACCAAGCCTGTGGGACGTACTTGACCGTCGTGATGACAAGTTTGTCGTATGAGAAAGTGTAGATCTAGAGAGAGTGTGGGTACATCCCCTGCATTAGACTCCAGCCCGAGATAAAAAATAGCTTTAAGGATCAGGCAACCAAGAGGCTAATATGTGTCACTTACCACATCAATCCAAGCCCACGAAAAGGGATTGTTTTTGCTATCCGGGGTTTGAGCAAAGACAACGCAGATCACCACCAACGGCGCTAATACGCAGCCACTGAATAGGCCTCTCATAGTCCAGCTCACTCGTTGGTGACGAGGAGTATGCAGACCCGAAAGACGAGGCCAAAACATCGAGTACGCAACGAGGCACATGATCACTCCGAGTGCCGCAAAGGCTAAATCATTAACACGAACGGTCGGCTCGGCGGCGGCAGGGTGTCTGGCCGCATATTGAGATCGAATCACCGGTGAGTAGAGAAAGGTTGCAGTGTAAATCGCATAGCAGGTGAACCCGAGCAGGTTGATAAAGTTGAAGTCAATGGACACCCCGGATGTTGACTTCCGCCGCCACATTGAGATGGGTAGAGGGAAAAAGGACAGAGACCAGCTCGCCATACTGTTGCCGGTGGTGAGCACAGTGATTCCCTTTTCTGCCAGCTCCCGGAAGGAATATATTAGAGTTCACGCGACTTACTATGTCCATCCCAAGACGCTGCGATGAATGATCAGCGATTATCCCCGCATCTCATTCTTACCATGGGGACCACTTACCGGGACAGCGCCCGAACAAAAACCTCCACCTGTGAACGATCCATCACTGATAGTAATTCCCACAAAGGGGTTTTCGCTTTAATGTATATTCCGACTCCTAGTCTCTCGGGGTCGTACAAGCATACGCAAGGTTTCCGGAAGCCGAGTTGCGCCGGGAGGGTAATGCGTCGATCAGATCAGGTGACCTTATCAGATGTTTCCTAAAAGGAGAAGGCGGTCAACCAGTTCTGCCCGTTGCTCTGGTTATGTGTTGGCGCCCTAAACCCAAAGCGGCAGACAGTTGACAGGGCTCACTTCGCCCAGTTGTTGTTGATCCTGTACGACTTTTGGTCATTCTCATCAATTCGGTGACTGTCGGCTGAGTTTTCAATCTTCAATCTTGCTAAAGGATACACTTTTCAATTTCTTGTCCTTGTGCGACTCCCCTTCTCCTTTCCTACTTGCCTTGACTCGCGCCGACCGTCGTTCACCGCTAGACACCATCAAGTGTTATCGTCCGGGGAAAGGCCCCATTTCCACACTTTCATCAACAAAGCCATTCATCGATCCACACATCAAGAGTCCCTGTCATACACGATTCAATTGAGTTCCCGTTCTCGTCGCATGGTGCATTCTTCGGATCGGGGGATCTGAATAGATCTCCTTCGGTAATTCTCCTTCGGTAACCCGGACATTCCAGAGCATCGCTATCGCACGGCACATTCACAATCGCCGCCACAATGTCCGACTCGGGGCTCACGGCTGCGGGGAGCAGCACATACTCATCGAATACCCTTCACGTTGGAGATGGCACTTGGGACACGCAGCGCGACACCTTTTTGCTGCCCAACCTGATGGGTTTGAATTTCGAGACAATGCGATACAATGGTCAGTCTACGTGTACCTTTGCGATGCGAAGATGGTTGTGCAGCTAACATTCCTCAGGCATGGGCAATCGATTCAAGGATATGGCCGGGTATCATTCCATCATAATTGCGCACGGTGTTATTGCAACAATCGTTTTCTTGGGCCTCGTCCCCATTTCGACCCTCATTATTCGTTACTACGGCCGATGGAACCCGTACTGGGCATTCAAGCTCCACGCCTGGTGTCAGGTACTCACACTTCTCTTGTCGACGGTGGTGTTTGTGCTGGGCTGGTTTGCGGTTGGCCCGAAGCGGAGCCTGACCAACCCGCACCATGGAATTGGCCTAGCAATCTATGTGATGGTTATTTTCCAGGTTCTATGGGGCTGGTTCATGCACAGAAAGGAGAGTAAACGGGTTCGGCATCATGTGCCGTTGAAGCTTGTGGTATGTTCCGCCCCCGGATTGTAGCATATTCAAGAGGCTAACCCTCGGACTTTTTCAGATTCACCGATGGATTGGTAGAGGATTGGCCCTTCTCGGTTTGGCGCAAATCCCGCTGGGTCTGACGCTATACGGCTCTCCCAAGGTTCTATTCATTCTCTATGCAGTTGCAGTCTTTGCGCTCCTCATGGTCTACTTTATCCTTTCATACCTTTACGACGATGAAGGATTCCATATGGCCAGTGAGCATGGTAGCAGATATACCGGTCCTTCAGTCGTGGAAGAACACCACGGAGGAGGAGGTGGCGGCCTTGGCCCAGCTTTGGCTGGCGGCGCTCTTGGCGCAGGACTCGCTTCATTGTTCAAGAAACGTGCTCGCGGCCGTACAACAAGCGTGGCCTATGAAGATTCTCGGACCTCTTACTCGGATGAGAAGTATTCTGATGAGTCCTCCCGTCATAATGGGGGTAGTGGGGGATGGGCAAAGAAGATTCTTGGAATTGGTGCATTGGCTGGTGCAGGCATGCTGGCAAAGAGCTGGTGGGACCGCCGCCGACAGCGTGAGGACGATTCTGAAGTGGGCCGCTACAGACCTGCCCACTCTCGCACTGACAGCTATACCGAAGACTCTCTGAGCAGATTGGAAGACGGTCGGCCAGAACCTGCTCACCCACCTGTTAGCGGTCGCCCCCTAGCCGCCCTCCTAGCAGGCCACAGAGCCCTGGTTCTTCATACTATTACAACAGCACATATCTGTCCGAGCAACCGGAACGCCGCCCTTCCCATGGAGTTAGAGATGCATTGCTTGGAGCGGGTGCTTTTGCAGCCGTGAAACGACTGTTTAGTCGCAATAAAGACAAGGACGACGAGGAAAAGCGCCGCCTAGAGGATATCCGCCGTCGAGACGAGGAAGATGAGGCTCTACAGAGAGCAAACAGCAAGCGACGTCGAAATGAGGCCGGTGCCGGAGCTGGTACCGGAGCTGGTGTCGGACCTTATCCTCAACGACGAAGACCAAGCCCTTACACCGAAAGTGACCTGACTCCTACTGATCTGACTCCTCGGCCACGCCCTCCTCCGCAACGTATCACGTCCGGGAGCTCCCTCCTCACCCCAGAGCCTATGGCAACGGGAGCTGCTCATGGCGCTCCTTCAGATATCCCTCCCCTTCCTCCTATTCACCAGGAGTTGTCTGGTGATTTCCCTTCAGCTGAGCGGCCACACTCACATCATTCCTACCATGCTGAAGAGATTGCTGCTGGCGCAGCTGCTGGTGCCGCGTTGGGCGCTGCCTCAAGCCGTCGCCGCAACAGCTCGAGTCGTCGCCGGGACGAGAGCCGTCGCCGAGACGACAGCCGACATCGATCTGACCACGTTGAGTCACCGCCGGTATCAGTCAAGGTGAAGATGCACAATGATGGCCGACACGTAACTCTTCGCCGCCTCACAGAAGAAGAAGCCGCAGCCCAACGCGAAGCAAGACGTCGTGAGCGCAGAAATTCGCGCCGCCGCGGCAGCAGCGCAGGCTCCCTTTCCGGCGACGAAGGTCGTGACTATGACCGTTGGCGACGTGTCGAAGAGCTAGAGCGTCAGCAGGCAGAGCAAATTCGTCGTGAACAACAAACTGCTGCCGCTGCCGCTGCGGCATCCGCTGCGCCATCAGCGAGCGTGCCTCCATCATCGTTCCACCCCTCCCAATCTCAAATTAGCCATGTACCACCACCACCTCCTCCTGTCCCACCACCAGCACCTTCAAGCATGCCCTACGGTCCGGGAAGTGTCACTTCTCCCGGAACATGGACTGGCACTGAAGCCAGCGGATCATACGCTAATAACCGCCGACGCCGGCGTGCCGAGCGAGCCCGAGCAAAGGAGAGACAGCAGCATGGCGTGGAGTTTGAGTAAACATGGGCTAGCTATTTTGTCCCTTATTCCTTTCTCCCCTTCAGCCCCCTTTACTTCCCTTTTTTCGTTTCGTTTCATGTGATGACCTGTACAAAATGAGTTTCTGGTTTTGTTGATATGACGGCCTCTTTCTCATGCCACTTTCGATGTTTTTTTTCGCCTCAATTTCACCTATGGATATGGATGGCTATGTCTGATGGCAATGGAAATGAATGACTTGAATGGGTAGGACTTTTGTTTTTACTTGATTGACGAGGCAAGCGAATCTATGTGTTTGTCTTTTACTTTTGTTTCTTTGTTTCATTTGGACATTTTGGCCGTTTTCATGGGCCATTGGCTTCAATATCATTTCACTTATTTGTTTTCAATTCCATTTTTCTTGCCAAAACTACTGGACTCTGGGAACCTTCTCTTTGCACCGACGAGGAATATTAACATTCTGTAGATCTTAGTGTCTTAATATACCCATGTTGTGTTCTACTCCACTCCACCAAAGCTTGCCCTTGCCTCAATTTTGGCCCCCGGTGCCACTTTCATGTAGCGTAGCGTGTTTCAATTGAGGGCCAGTCCTGGTAGGTTATCGATCCGAACTCAATCCCCTTTTACACTGAACCTTTTCTCTTCGTCCCCAAGGTGACCGCATCTGAGTCTTCAATCCGACGAGAATGAGGTTCCCAGAAGTCGTTCCAATCGAAAAATCGGCACCCGATCTCGAGATTGCCCGTGGGCATCTGGGAAATGACCTTCCGGTCAACAATGACGGAGACATCCTGGTGCCTTTGCAGATGCTATTAGCGACTCGCCGTGGCATGCGTACGGATTCTTCACTAGCCACCTTGGAAATTCCACTGGATCAAGCCATCGTGTTCTCCGGTCCATCTGGCGTCGAGGCCGTGAGAGGCACGCCAAGCAGTCGATCTGCTCGGCTACATGCATATTGTGTGAGTTGCACTTTGAAAATAAAGTCAGGACTATCAAGCTAATTGTCATATCAATCATCAGGCAGAGAATTCTCATTACCCTTATACTCTTCGGGTTTACCATGTCATTCATCAGAGACGTGGTCGACCGTCGTGACATGCAGAAAACAAGGGGAAATCTTCCTCTTCGGGTTGCTGGTCATATCACCGCTGCTTGGATCTCCTCCCTAATCCTCGCTCGGATATATGTGAAAAGGAACATGGCTGCTGCGACGCCCCCATCTTTCAATCCCCAGTCTTACGAGTACCGCTTGGTGCATTCCATGCAGCGCTGTGGGACATCTTACGTGAAGTAGTGGCGCATTCACAGGAGATGGATGGTATCTGGTCGAGGGATCTCAATGTGCGAGAGGTCTTTCGAATTGAAGGGCTTGTGGATCCGGAGTGGCTGGAGTGGGCTTACGATATTGTGGTCAAATCTTTTTGGTGATGGGCAGGTTGAATTGCAGTTTTCGGGGCTGGATAATCAGAAGGGGATCTTGGCCAAAGAGAAGCGTCGGATACTGTTGAAGGAGGGAAATGAGCGTTTATAATTATGACTTTGACCTATCAGTCTTTGCGGTCATTGGTTGACACCAGAAAGAGCGTCATAATAATACGAACAGATAAGATAGAGTACTATAATACAAAAAATGCTTTATTCACAAGAATAAGCGCACCATCATAAGGTCTACTACGTCAAAGCGATGAATTACCCGTAGGTTTTCCAGCCTGCGGAATCCACCGACTGCTGCCGGCGACATCTTCCCGGCGATGTTTCTCTGGATCACCATTGTCATCTCCATCTACCCTCTGGTTAGGCTCATGTGGCGGATGGTTGACTTTTTCTGCGAGTTTTCCGGACTGAGGCATGTATGGAGTGCTTGCACTGACATCAGTCCTGTCTCTGGACTGTGAATCCGTGGTGGAATCTGTATTCTTGGCGTTATTGCTGCTATGAAGTGCTGCTGTATTTCCAGACGGGTCTCTCTGGATATTTGAGGTGCCTGGAATTGTCAGTTAGAGCTGTTCATTAAACGCGAAGGTGGAAGGCGCGGAGAATCAGAAAGTGAGTGACTCCCGGAGAAAGCTTACCGTGGTGAGGGCCGCCGTTGCTTGATCGATCAGACATATTGAATTGCGAGGTAGCAGTGTTTTTTTAATTTAAGCTATTCTCATCTGTACTTCTTCTCTAACACATGAGCTGGGTTAAATGTGTCTCTTGATATAGATGCATGCTCCATCTATGACGTGGCTGTGATGTCGACAATAAAACCCAGCCACTTCCCCAATTACTCCATGTATCAAGCTTAATCATACCCAAACCAGTCTTCGAGGTAGAAATAGAACTCGCTAGATTTTACAAGACTAATGCTAGCCATAAATTATTAAAGCTGGAAACTTGATGCTACCCCGACGCCAAGACCTGACACAACTATGACAGAGGCGACAAACTCTCTCGGGGAAACCCGCAATTGGGACGGTGCCCTCCGCTTCAAAATGTCTTTGCAGTGTAATCAATTAGAGAGTAAAAGACAAGGTATTGCACTATTGTGAGTGATCTGGAGGTCTTTCATGAAATCTTTGGTTTGAATCTGAAGCGTTGTGATGCGTGAAGAAAGCCATGAGGGTAAACTCCCGGTGGCGAGAGCCAGCATAATCTTGGATATTGTAGCCCTCGATTAATACACTTTCAGCTCTGCAGGATGAATTGTAAAATTTTTGATGCGATATTATTTGTTAACCGGGGGCCTAATTATTGAGGGCAGTAGCTTGGAGATACTGCCGGTTTAGCTCCACCCGGCTTCTACCATCATGATCCAAGAGACAAAGTTATACCAATTAGCAAATGTCATTTGTGTGGTACAACTCTAGGCCACACTGATTAGACAATGTAACGAAAGGATTGATGCCAGATTCGATAGCATTTGGGCCTGTTCTCACGAACGGAAATAAGTATACAACAGCCCAAGTACCACACACCATATAAAATCCCACGGATCATCAGGCACAAACAAGAACGACAGGTGTTTAGTTAAGATGCTTGACAGACCCCGCAATCAAATCATCAAGCTAACCGTAGAACAATCGCAGTATAGTAATAACACTCGAGTCACAACAGAAAACTGGGTTCAGGAAGCCTCTCTTGGTTCCCAAGACAGGATAGGAGTCAGCGGTTCAAAGACGTGAAGCAGTTGCTTTTCTGCGGCCAACCCCGGGGCCTCCAGGGCCATAGCCAGGACCAGTTCCAGGCCGGCGGAACTTGGCCAAAAATGCAAGGAAAAATGCAATGACGATGGACCAGAACATCTTCTCCAAGTAGAGGAGGATTGTACCGATCCGCGAGTTACAGGCCCTGTTCAGGACGGAAAATACAGCAACAGGGAACTGTGCAACAAAGACTGGCAAGACCAGGTAGGTATGGAATACCAAATCATCGAGCGCAGGGCGATCCGCAGGATTTTCGGCCTTCCTTCCGTCATGGAATGAGGTGCGGAGTGGGAATGGTACCGAGGTCAATTCAACTTGAAACGCACCTCCGTTCACAGTCAAAGCCGATTGTTGTCCAGGATGCCGAACTTGACGAATGGAGAGGGAGAGTCCCACGAAATCGGAGACCGGGGAAGGTGGTGTGCCAACTTGGATTTCTGTCGCGCCAATTGCAACATCATCCCCTTTTTCGGGAATATTGTGTTCAACAGTTTCATCGCTTGGGTCGGTTTGGCTTGCCGAATCTTTGGTAACCCCCTGGAGGCCCAGCGAAGGCAAAAGATATGAGAATGGAGCATCAAGTTGTCGATTCAGAGATCGGGCCTTTGGCGGGCTACGATATGGTGAGACCCGCTGAGCATGGTTTGAACCTCTCCACTTCTTGAAATGCTTCTGGTGACAGTGCGGAGAAACGTAGTCAATCTTCCGCCCCACTGCAGGACTGGAGCGGTCCGCAGGAGGGGAGTGCGGCTTTGGAAGAGACACGGGTGGTGGAGAGGATCGCACGCCAGGCACGTGTCGAGAAACGTCTTCAATCTGCTCACTGGAGCCAATTTCGGCAGTTGGAGCGATGTCCTTTGGGGGGATGGTTGTGGAAGAGCGAGGCTCATCGTCGACTGAGAACCGACGTTTCTGAGCCTTCATTCCGCTCTCTGTATTGCCATCAAGCCATTTCAGATCTCCCTCTGATTTGCCATCGAGCCATTCGAAAGCCAAAGACTGGATTTGCGGCGCGGAGCTGGTACGGGGTCTAGCTGGTTCTCCGGGGCTCGCACAACAACTGATTGAGGCAGGAGTATTCCGTGGACTGACAGGCTCAGTGAAGTTGTCCAGCGAGTGATAATGATCCAGGTTGACGTCCAACTCCAGTCGAGGATATGGCTTGCCGATGCCTCGGCCGTGAGATCTGTCGGATGCGAATTGAACTCGATTCATTTTGCGTTCAGGGATTCCCGGAGAGTCGAGTGGCTGGGCACTACGCTGCAGCAGGTCATCAATTCTGGTGATAGACGCGAATGAAGAGGCGAGCAGGCCGTCCTCGGGAGTATCAGTCATCTTCAAGCGCGTATCGACGCTTCCCAAAGGAGCTCTCATTGATTTCATAGTCGAGAGTGTCGCTGCGGCAGAAATTGACCAGGGAGAGGAGTTGAGGGACAAAAGAAATCAAGAGGGAGGGATAGGGAAGGTCTGGCTGGCAGCCGTGGAAGGTGCCACCACCGATCATACTTCTACCAGAGAAACAAAAAGGAAGGAGCGGTCAACAAAAGAGAATTGCTGTAATTCTACAAGTTCAAGGTATGGGGGTGAACGATCAAGTGGTTATGTACATCTATTTGACATGGGCCTGCAGGGTCTCCAGAACCTATTCGAACAAAGGTTAGCGGGCGGTTCAAGTCCGGGTAAATGAAAGCATCATCGTACCTCAAGCTCAATCTTGGCCTCGGCAATGTCCTGCTCGCTGCCGCTGCCGCTGGCAATCTTCTGGGCCTCAGCGATCTGGGCGCGGATAGCCTATATCAAAAAAGTTAGATCAATATCAATCCGGGGGGTATTGTCGCAAAGGTGGATCGGAACATACGTCGGCGCTGAAGTCCTCCAGGGGGAAACCCTCGACGGCGTTGATGCTGAGCTGGGAGTCGGGCTGGACAACGGCGAAACCGCCAGACACTATCACCGAGAAACGATTGTTAGCTGCATCATTCCACTGCATCTTGATTCGGTCGGCGGAGGTAGGTCGGACATACGGAAGTACTGCTTGGTGGCACCACCCTCCTCAACAATCTCAACGAGACCGGGCTTCAGCTGCTCAATGGAGGGAACGTGGTTGGCGAGGACACCCATCTCACCGGAGGCGGCGGGGATGTTGACCTGGGTACTGTAGGCGCGCAAGGTTCGTCAGTAGGTTTTTTCAGGGAGCGGCGAGGGCGGACACGACAGGGAGGGAAACGCACACGCCGGTGGAGCGGTAGATGGTCTATGAGAGAGCACGAGAGTTAGTCCAGGAGCCATGGAGCTAAGGAGATGTTGATCCCGAAATCGGTTGAACGTACCTGGTGAGGCAGAGTCAGGGACAGCTTGATCTTGTCGTTGACGGCCTCGGCATATCCACGGCGCTGGACGGGAGCGCTGAACATGGAGGGACGGGCCCTCAGGGCAGAGCGAGCGAAGCGGAAGGAGTTCATTTTGCAATGGGTGGGTGAATGCAAAGACCGGACGTATCCCTCTTGAAGGTTGCGTTGCAAAGGTCGAAATCGGAGCGCCGGTTGTTCCCTAGCGGCTCAGATCACGTGGATGGGACCACCCGGCATCAACAGTTAAAGAGCACTTACGTTGACCAAGACGAGAGTAAAACATAAATCGCGAAGGAAATACATTTTAGAAAGTCTCGAAAGAGTCAGATGCAGACTCCAATGCCTTTGGTCTCGGTTTATTTCTCTACCTTAAGGTAGAATGATTCGAAATGTTGAACAACGTACGCCCAGTGTCAGCCAGGTTCTCGTTTGGAGGGACTGGGCTTCATTGTCTATATTGAGAAATACTGACTGAATCGTGATAGCTACATTTAATTGCTCCGAATAGTGTATATCTCCTCGTCAAGCAGTCATTAACATGGCTGTCAGTTGACACTCAGAAAGCCAGATGGATAGACCAATTCGATCACGTGATTTGCATGTTGATTTCATTGTCACGTGATGGTCAAGATCTTCAGTGTCACAATAGCACTGAATAAAAGCATGAGGTAATGATAGCATGCACCATGCAATTCGATGATCGCATTAGGGATTTTCCTGGACATATTGAGAGTAACCATTAGAGCCATAGATCCTAGGCACTACTTTTTATTCTCCATACATAGTAAAGCCAAGGTACAATATGGGGGACAATGACGTCCGTGCACTGCTCCCGCGGCGGTAAGCGAGATCCCACACAGACGGGAAAAAACCCTAGCCGAACACATCCACTTGGGCTCGACTCCGACAGAACTCCTCTCCTTTCACCATCCCGTCCACGTTAATCGACAACATCCGTCAAGATGGCCAGTACGTCCTCCGAATCGCCCGGTGCCTTTCTCAGCGGGCGTCCAACCTCTCGAAATTCTTTTCCGCCCGATCACTGACATCCTGTGCGCTTTATAGAGTCCAAGAACGCGTCCCAGCACCACCGCAGCCAGAAGGCTCACCGTAACGGGTGCGTATTCTCTGTCGCATATTCAATTCCTGCAACGTTATGGTTTTCGTCCCGAATAGACAACAACTCCGCCCGAGAAAGAGGTCTTGAAGTGGAACGGCTGAGATGGAATATGGGTGTGACAAAGTTGGACGATTTGGAACCTCTATTCGACTTCAGCCATAGCTTTCTGCTCTCTTTCTCAATCCCTTTACGCCCACGAAACACAACCACGAGAACACACAGGACCAGCGCTGACATCGGTTCCCTCATACAGTATCAAGAAGCCCAAGACCAACCGTTACCCCTCCCTCAATGGTGTTGACCCCAAGTTCCGCCGCAACCACCGTCACGCCCTGCACGGCACCGCCAAGGCCCTGGTACGTTGATATCCACCACCGATCCATTTGCAACAACCACAGGATGAACCCTCAATCAGCGACGGAAACTAACAAATGAAACAGAAGGAGCGCAAGGAGGGCAAGCGTGAGGTCGCATAAACGTGGACGGAATCGAAAAGAAAATTCATGGACGGAGGAAATCTCGAGCGTGCAAGGAGCCGGAGAACATAAATGTTATGTGCGATGAACCAAGATCAGACAGTCCCGCTGTCTTAGTCGAATAGGCCTGGTTTCTGCTTATTCCTTGCGCGATATCCATTCTGGGGTTGTTTGATACACAGAAATCAACAGGCTTAATTCGATAACCACGCAGTGGTGTCGATCCCGAGCGGGAGAGACACTTTTTTTCTCCGTTTTGTGTTTTGCTTTTGCAGTTTCGGTTGGACTTGACACCATCGCTTTGCTCTGTTTTGCTTTGCGAGTGATGGCTTTTGTGCCCGTGCAGCACCTCGAGCATGCATCTCGAGTTCCCTTTCCCCCAGATCTTTCGATCTTCTACGGCATATGTGTGTACAGCAACGTGCTCTTTTTATGCGCGCCTGCTGAAGGATTTTTTCAACGTGCCAAGAACAAACCCCATGCCCTCGTCATATATCTACTGCTTTCTCGCCTTGCAATGGTGAGAGAGTTGATCGATGGACGGCAACATCCCCGTAAGCAGTAGAGACATTTTGTGGAATCGAATTCTCAGAGACCGAGTGGTGTGAGCCAACACCGGTATCATATCATATTGCATGCATCAAACTCTATATACCAATACTCGCTGAATATTATACTTTCCAAACAATCAACCGTTTATCAAATCCACCACTGATCACCCATTCCTCCTTCGCATCATCACCATTATTAGGCACGGCCACGTATCCAGCCCAGATAGTCCGCACCTTGCTCCCCGGCTCATGGCCATCTTTCAGCAGGGCAACTACCTTCCCGGTCTTAATTTCGATACCTCTCACCACCCCGTCATCCCCATTGACCCAAACACCAGACCCATCAGGCCGCCAAGCCACTTGCGGCGTCGAGTAGGACGTTTGAGGAGCAAATGTGTTCGCCTGTATCAAGATCGCGGCATCTTCCCGATTCTGCAGGGCCAGGGCTTCGAGGGCCTGTGACGCTTGCGTCACGGCCGCATCTGGAGCAGTTGTATTGGGAGAAATGGTCGATGGGAAAAGTAGGCGAACTATGATCACCTTCATATGTGGTTCTGAAGATGTCGCCACTGCAAGTAGGCCTGGGTCGAGTGGGCTGAGTGCCATGTGAGATGGAGAGAAAGCTACCCAGGCGTTAGAGTGTGGCGCCAAATTTTGCTGTCCAAGTAGTCGACATTCGCGTGGTGAGTTTTGCGGATTGCCGCTGTCGGTCTGCTCTGTACTGTCCTGAAGGCTTGACTCTACCTGGTAATAGTAGATATAGCTCGAGTCACGACGCGAGACAAGGAGCAGTAAATCGCCAGTATCGACGTGGCGCACGAACAGCAGGGACTCTGGGTTTGTAGCCAATTTGATGCGTGCAGCGGGGTCACCGATGACAGGCGTCGAAGCCTGATCTCCAGGGATAGTCATTCGGTATAAGAAGACAGTCGCGTCCCAACCAGCGGTAGCAACCCAGAAGACCCTTGCAGAACCCGTGTCGTCCAATTCTTCATGTACAACGACCTTGACGGCGTACTTTGCATGATCGTTTCTGCTTTGCAAGACCTCCGAGCCGTGCTGGAGAAGCAGATGTCCCGACATATTGGTCATCAGGATGTATCGACCTTTGAGAATTGACACGAATGAAAGTACAGGCGAGTCTGACAGGCCGGAGAATGAAGTGATAGCTTCATTCCCGGAAATAGTTTCAAGCAGGTGCATCTGTCTATCAGCGCCTGTGGAGATGATGAACGGCCGTGTTGATGCCGCGGGGTCGGCATCAACATCATTTTCATCACGGCCAGGATTCTGCCAAAGCTCTACTGATGCAGCGAGTAGGTTTGAAGATGTTGGAGTAGAGACAATATTTGGTTTAGAAGGTGCTAGTTTGAAGTCAGCATCTATCCATACGCAGACGGTGTCATCCATGATAACAAAAGCACGGCTTTGAAGATTAAATCGAGCATCGGTCAGGCGCGACTGGTCATAGCCATCCAAGGATAGTCTTACCTGGCAGTCCCCATTCAGAAATCTCTCTACTCTGATTCCTAAGTCGCTCAAAATTGACACTGTGGTCATATGCCTTCTTTTCCTCCAGCAAGCTTTGGATCGTCAAATTGTGAGTGTCATCGCCAGAGGCCTGCCCCACGTCGGGGGCAAGACCTGCCTCGCGGATAAAAGCCTTCAGAGTCTCGGTGTAGGCATTTGTCCGTAGAAATCGAGCGACTATGGCACTTGCTAGTTCGTCTATCTGGGTGGATGGGGCCATGGTTGGTGGGTTGGGGTAGTTTGCTCAATGATGGAAGAGGTGTGTGGCGCCAAATTAAATTGTGGCACTGGTGTATGTAGGCCGGATTTCCAATGCCTTCACAGGGTCAATGCCACAACAAGATGGGTGGGGAAGTTTCGGGAGTAATTCATGCTACAACAAATTTCGAAAGGAGCCTTGAATATACAGAATAATTAATTGGGATTGTAATAGAGCTGAGTCTGTTGATATGCGATTTGCACCGAAAACATCCCTAAGAACGCCGTTCCAGCATGCTACCCGTGAATCCGTCTGCCTTGGGATGTAAAGAAGAAAAAGAAAATAAGAATAGTCAAGTTCCCGCTGCCATCAGAGCTTCTCCTCAGCCGAACAAATCCTCCGCACGCCGGCGACGACCCCCGCGTCCCTGGAGCTTTTCAGTGAACAACTCCTTTTCAGCATTGTCACCGAATTTGGTTGGGAAGAGCTCGCGAACTGATGAGCCTCGGCCTTTGATCGACATGCCGGGCCCCGAGTTCCGCATCGCAAAGCCTTGGTCTTCTGTGCGAGAGATCTCCCGAGAAGACGAGGTAGGGAAAAGCTCGACATTGCGAGTTCGTTGATCCGAGCTACCATCGACAACTGGGACGGAAATTCTTCGTCCTAGAAGATCGGGCGTCTCATCTGCGGCGTCAAAGGCATCTGAACGACGGTGGTTGCTGGGCCTGCTGGGGAACAGCTCCTTCTTCAGGTAGCTGGAGGACGGCTTGTTGGGGAACAGTTCACGAGCACCCGAGTCATTGGATGAAAAGAGCTCTTTGCCCTGGTTTCGTCCACGGCCCTTTGGTGATCGCTCACGGAACTTGCGACGAGTATCGACGTGGTCTGCATCGTCAAGTGTGTCTCGGCCAGGCGACGCACTCCGGTTGCGAAGCCGGCCGGACGAGCGCTCATCCTCCGGGAAGAGCTCTCTACCACGGCGCCGTCTCCGGTCTCCTCCACGGCCACGGCCACGTTCGGAGTCAGAGTGGCCATCAGCCTGGGCCTGGGGCTGGTCGTCATACATATTGACATCAAAGCGGTCATCGTGATCACGGTCCCTACGCCGGCGCAGTTCCCGATCGTCGAACCGACGTCGCCGATAGTCCCCATCGCTTGAGTCACTACCTCGTCGCCGGCCAGATATTTCCTGTCGCAGGCGCTCGCGGGGGTCGTGTTCAGGGTGCATGAGGTAGAAACGACTCTTTTCGTGGGCACGCGACTGTTTCTTATCCGTCTTGACGGCAGATCGCACTTGCAAGACAGAGTCGGGGTGGGTTGAGAGAAGCTTGGCCGACCGTAGGCGCAATGGTGGCAGGGTGGATGCGCCGTCGCCCTCCTCCTCGCCGACCTGTGTCAAAGCTGCGAGAGCCTGAAGGCCCACCTCGGCGGAAGAGTAGACAATATTGGCGGAGGTATCGTCGATCCATTCCACGCGGGAGGGCACCTCATTGGCATAGTGTGTACTGGCGAATTGTTTGATGTCGTCGGTGGTCATTTCATCGACCCCGCGAACGTGGACTTTTTCGTAGACGGCCTCCTCAGTGAGAGGATCCGCCACCTCTTCTTGTGTTGGCGCATCCTATGGAGAGACGGTCAAATCCACGATCAGCGATTGTGCCACTACAGAGGCCAATGTGAGGGAATTGGTCCATGACTCACGGTGATAATCGGCTGGGGTGGCTGTTCGAACTCCGGCTCCGGACCCAAATCGAGGTCCATATCCATGTCCATGATGGCGGTTGCGGAGGGGATTCTTGTCCCCGTTCGCTCTCAACGTTGCAATTTGTCTGGAAGGGTATGAAATCAGATGTCAAGTAGAGCGCGGTGTTGGTCAAAGATGAAAGATCAAGTGAGATGAGCAATGGGAGGGAGAAAAGGCCGGCGAGAGCTTCCCGCGTGTTGGCCCTTTTAGGATTAGTGCGTGTGTGCGGGACGAACCAGTTCCAACGTCCTTTAATCTGGAGGTAAGACGGTTCTCTTCTAGGCTTCACGATTGCTTGTCTGATCGCTGCCTTGGTAGGCTCCAATCCCCATCGAATTAGTCAATACTTCATGTCTCCCTTGCGAATGGCTGTTTTTAGCCCATTTACTACATTCTGATTATGAACAACTCGCTGGGGCTGAGCAAGACAAGTACTAGGCTGAGTCTACAAGCTACGGTGTCCTTGACTTGAACTTGGGGGCTCGAATCGTCTAATAATCTCAGAGCACAACTACAATATCAAGTTTCCTACCCCCTGTAGCTGTCAGATAAATAAGACCCATACGTTTGATCGAAAGAGCCTCATGTCGCGGGGAAGAGGGACTGGGCTACAATGGACCTTGACGTCATTTCAAGTGGTGGAAATCCCAATCTTCCTGGTAGTAAACAAACCTTAACTTTTCCACTATTCGTCCCCTTGCAAGATTATATCGCTATTACAATTTAGCCTAACCTGCTCTGATCTTTTCAATTGCTCGCCATTGTCGAGCATCGAAATTCAATGCAACACGGAGCGGGGCCGAAGCATTTCAGATACAAAGCCCGGTGGAGGATGGGTATCCCACTCCCCGCCGGAGCCGCCGCGAAACTGCCATCTATGGAAGGCCGTTGAAACTATCGCTTCTTCTATTCGCAGATCTTTGGACAATGTGGATCGTCCAGTCTACGATGGTCCAGGCGCCGCATCGCGGGGGAGAGGGGTTGTCAGCAAGCGTCATTGGGCTGAACCGGCTGAACCCCCAGGGATTATTGTGATTTGGGCTTGCTACGCCTCCTCGTCACCTGGAACCCCTCATCCATCTAGACTATACTCTCTTGAATATTATTAAGATTCAAGATTTCATATAGGTTGATGAAAGATTATTGAGTCAAAATGCTGTACGCCGAGAACGACAAACTAGTCTTTCGATTTGACGACCACTTGCTCTGGATCCAACCATGGGGTGAGAATGCATTCCGTGTGCGAGCGACCAAGCTCGCTGCCATGCCCACCGAGGACTGGGCTCTTGAATCCGAGCCAGATAGCCCGTCTGTCACGATCGAGACACCCGCCGGGGAAGATGCAAGCATCACCAACGGCAAGATCCGAGCGACGGTCTCCCAGCGAGGCAAGGTGATCATATACGATCGCAAGGGCAAAAAGCTCCTCGAAGAATATGCCCGAAACCGACAAGACCCTCGCGATCCCAAATGCAGTGCCCTTGATATCGAGGCTCGCGAGCTCCGACCCATTCTCGGCGGCGATTATCATCTCAAGCTCCGGTTTGAATCGCTTGATGCCAAGGAGAAAATCTTTGGAATGGGACAGTATCAGCAGCCGTATCTCAATCTCAAAGGGGCGGATTTGGAGCTAGCACAACGCAATTCGCAGGCTAGTGTGCCTTTTGCGGTATCATCGCGCGGGTACGGGTTCCTTTGGAATAACCCTGGCATTGGGCGAGCCACCCTAGGCACTAATGTAATGAGCTTTGAGGCATATTCCACCCGTGCGCTAGACTATTGGGTAGTCGCGGGTGACTCACCAGCGGAGATTGAAGAGGCCTATGCAAAGGTGACTGGATATGTTCCAATGATGCCCGAGTATGGCCTCGGTTTCTGGCAATGCAAGCTCCGGTATTGGAACCAGGAGCAGTTGCTTAATGTAGCAAGAGAGTACCGACGGCGCGAGGTTCCGCTCGATCTGATTGTTATTGATTTCTTCCATTGGAAGCACCAGGGAGAATGGAGTTTTGACCCTGAGTTCTGGCCTGATCCTGGTAAGCTATAACCTTCCGTTTCAACGCTCATGTATAGATTATCATGTCCCTTGCTCACACGCATTTTCTCTGCCTCTTAGACGCCATGATGAAAGAGCTCAAAGAGCTCAATGTAGAACTCATGGTCTCCGTCTGGCCAACGGTCGAGAATGCCTCAGAGAACTTCCCCGAAATGCTTGAGCGTGGACTCCTGATCCGACATGACCGCGGCCTGCGAGTGGCCATGCAATGCGACGGTGATATCACTCACTTCGACGCTACAAACCCCGAAGCCCGGAAGTATGTCTGGAGCAAAGCAAAGAAGAACTATTACGACCGAGGAATTAAGGTATTCTGGCTCGACGAGGCGGAACCCGAATACTCGATCTATGACTTTGATATCTTCCGCTATCACGCCGGCAGTAACCTGCAGGTAGGCAATATCTATCCAAAGGAATACGCACGTGGATTCTATGAAGGAATGCAAGCCGAGGGTCAAACGAATATCGTCAACTTGCTTCGCTGCGCATGGGCGGGTAGCCAGAAATATGGCGCACTTGTCTGGAGCGGAGATATTGCATCCTCGTGGGACTCGTTCCGGAATCAGCTCGCCGCAGGCTTGAACATGGGCCTCGCTGGTATTCCTTGGTGGACTACCGATATTGGCGGGTTCCACGGCGGTAACCCAGATGACCCAGCCTTCCGCGAGTTATTCACTCGCTGGTTCCAATGGGGAACCTTCTGTCCAGTGATGCGACTGCATGGGGATCGAGAACCAAAGCCCGAGGGCCAACCGACCGCCAGCGGCTCTAACAATGAGATTTGGTCGTATGGAGAGGAGATTTATGAGATTTGCAAGAAGTTCATTGGGATTCGGGAAGAGCTGCGTGAGTATACGCGAGGTTTGATGCGGGAAGCGCATGAGAAGGGCACGCCGGTGATGCGCACGCTGTTTTATGAGTTCCCTCACGACCCTAAGGCGTGGGATGTCGAGACAGCGTACATGTTTGGCTCTCGATATCTGGTGGCTCCTGTCTTGGAAACTGGGCAGCGCACGACTAAGGTCTATCTGCCGGATGGGGCGCTATGGACGCTCTGGAGCAAGGTGAGTCTTCCTCAAGTGGATATCCCAAGGGTCTATCAGGGTGGAAGCGAGGTAGAAGTGGACTGTCCTATTGAGACGATGCCCGTTTTCTACCGCGTGAACATCTGAGCTGCGATAAACAGAGCATGGCCAGACGCCAAGATGTATGTATTTCGATTGAACCTGGACTCCCATGTATGAGACTGTACGAGTGGTCTGGTATCAATTCACCTTGTTTACAACGGTGTCGTAATGCAGAGTAATCATCTGATACCTACAATCCCGTTACGTGACAACTAGTTCCTATCCAAATGCAGCGATATGCAGCTGCTCGGGCCCCGATTGCCCCAAAGTCTACGCATCTAGTCATCACTCTCCCGGCTTTCCAAGACACGAACAATCCAGACCCTCCACCTACCAGGGCCCGTTAGTAAATCAATACAACGGGCAGACTAGCCCCCATCAGCCAGCCGTCCAAGCCGAAACACAAGCCAAACGTTGAGATCAGAGCACATACCCGAGCTAAGACACCTCTTAACATGCAGCCATTACACACCATCGGCAGCTTCCCCCAGGCATCAAGGCCCCATCTGAGATCGGGGTCACACATCAACTAGCCCGTGCGGGATGTTAGATCGATCGACTACGTGAGGGCTGATCAGCTGGTGATCAGCCGACGGACACGATTCCGCTAGTCTGTGTGTAGTGTGCCTGGCCTGGTCGAGGAAGGTGGACACCCCATCAACGAGGCAGGGATGTGCTCTGTTTCTATCTGCCAATCTAGGGCTCATCAGCACATACATCCCGCGCCGTCAACACGATCTTATTCTGGACTGGGACTGTATGACACGAGCCGCGTCATATTGCGACCAGACGAAACCCTCGTGGCAGACAGTGTGGCAAGGGGTATTCTCTGGATAAGCCATGCCCGCACCCGAAGATCATCACAATATTATCCATCACGGTCGATGGGGCCTCGTTCTGGCTGCAGGTTTCCTTCCAAGGGCGGGCCACATGGTGGTACAGGCCGGGAAAGGGATCCAGGGACCTGGAACAAGGAAGTGAGAATCACGGCAGATAAACTCATTGTCCACTCTCGGAGGGGGATATTGTTTCCAAAAGTCGACGAACAAGTGAAGCTAACGAGTTTCTGATTTGTTATTCATGAATTGTGTCGTACGGGAGTCTTCCGGCGCAGACGATGCAAGTCACCCACAAGACTATTGTCAGGATATCAAATCGACAGGCCCAATCGGCAGATGAGATACAATTCCGCAGGTCCAGGCACGAAGCCAAATAACGGACAAAAAACAAGGAACCACCTACCAACTACCAGTCTACTGGACGCATGCACTCCGTACCCATACAGAGTTCCAATAATGTGCAAATGCCCATGAACCAGAATCCAAGCTCGCAAAAAGCAATAACGGCAAGCCATCAAACCTAAACCACCTCACGCCTTGCATCTACCGATCCACTGATTTTCTGATCTCCTGATCTCCTGATCTGCCTGATCTTCGCCCCTCCCAAGTGGTACTACTGTAAGTTCCAACCTTCCCTGTGATGCATCATCCCTTGCAGAAAGGCCCTCGTTGCTCAATTTTCAATTCCCGAGTCTCGGCTCCAAGAATTGTCCTGTTCTGCTCGTTTTGCAGCACGAGTGTGTACTCTATGAAGAAGAAAAGAAAGTACATTATTCCGCGATTCTTCAATACATGATGTCTTCGTGCATACTTCCATCAATAATAGAATTGTTTCCTACGGTATCCCATGTGCCGTGTCAGCTTGCAACGGGGTGGAGTCGATGGAGGGGCGAGGCACTCTGCCTGACACTACCCTCGGCTGTGCTGCGATTTTACTGGTGTGGCGCACCGCGACGGGCGCCACTTGGCATGATCGCTGGATTAATCGCACTGCCGATATTATAATGATGACGAGAATATAGGGGTTTTAAGAACTAGGAATGGGGGTTTTCACGGATTTACATCCGGTCTATTTGTGAGGTGGTGGTAGACTAGTGATCTACACCTAGCGCTCTTGGAGATATATATCCCGCCCATTGTACGAGGCTGAGACAGGACGGGTCGACACGAGAAGGTCGAGACTTGCAACTCACTGTGGACATTGTAAACAAGGGCCTTGCCTATAACTACTGTTCTCATGAATAACATAATTTACTATGGCCTGGCTGCATCATCATTTACATCAGCCCAATCGAAATAGACTCGATGTAAAGTTTCACAAGGCCGACATACAATCGCGACCAACCTTTATTGTTGCTAGCCCTCCAACTAAACGCTGTCAGACCATCTGCCATCACATGAATTGATTACAACCCTGTTGAGAGGACGGAGACTGGTCAGACTATCTAGCGACTCCAGACTATCGTGCCAAGTCTGCATTGGCTGAAACCAATCACCATTTCATCATTGATGTTCATCGACCAGAGCTAAATGGATGATCCGTTCTATGAAAGTCTAGCTAAGGGCCTCATGACCCACGAAGCTACCTATTTTCTAAGTTGCGAGCTCAGACACACATCCTTCCACGATGCTACCATCCCGTCCTCACTCAGCCCGTGGGCGGCGCTGGCCCATCAAAACACGAAGCATTAAATGCGTGCAAGAGGCGGCGGGGAAGCGGGAACAGGTCTCACCTATAAAAGCCTAGTTAGAAACGCCTCCAACAGCATCATCCTGGTCTTCACGGAATAGGATGCACGGAGGATTGAAGTTACTGCGTACTAGGTAAGGAGTACAGTACTCTTCCATACCCTGTACTCAATACTCCGTACAGTACTACATACTATAACTAAAGCGACACTGGACCCCGCTGAGTCCATTTTGGCGCCGCCATCGGCTCCTTCGGCTTAACGACCTACTGCATCGAGTCAAGTACGGGACTTAGAGAACGAGATGCATAGTTAAATATGGATTGAACACTCCGTATGTAGCTGTCAGCTCCGACAGTCGCCCCCCTGAAAGTGCGGCTCAAATTGCACGGACTCAAGTTTCAAGTTTCAACAGGCGAGATGGGGCGGCCCCGATTTTGTCATGGTTGTCTATTTTTTGAAAACCCTACAGAGTCATTTCTTCTCCTGTCCAGAAAATGAGTTGACTCGTATAGTAAGGAGAATCTATTGATACAGTTGGCTGAGTTCAGCTGTTATTCTGGACACTTTGTCGGGGGAAAGGAATCAAATCCAGACACAGATCCGGCTAGAGTGGAATATGGGGGCCGTTTGCCGTCTTCTCCGCACTGCACTCCACTTGGCTTTTCTCCTAAAGAGAAGGTCGCCTGCTCTAGATTCCCGCTACACTACCCCTGCCCCTATTACTCAAGTATCATATGGATAGGTCTAGTGAAGTGGAGATATGGGTTATTCAATATTATCAGATGAGTTGGTGACTTGGTGTCAGCAGTCAAACCGGCATGGAGGGATGATATTATTTACTCCTGTGCAACGTCCTTCCGTTAAGCGCAAAGTATATACAGACTCTAAGTAAACCAGCACGACCCTCTCTAACGGGGACCAGAGACAAGATCTAAATCCCGAACAAAGTCTAAGATTTGACACATGCCGTGACGGACGGAAAGAAAATCCCAGGAGTCAGAATCCTCTCCACGGTGCAGGCTTGCCGTATGGAGAATAGAGTACAGCATATACAAGGAAGTATTCCGTAGTACAGTATCATCGGAGACCAGACTCAGATCAAACACGTTAGAGTTTGGCATATCCGGAAGTTCACCGGGATGGCAGATGTCATCATGTTATGGGTACCTTTGTGCTGGGAAAAGCGTGTGTTGTGTGCGTTCATCTGGCACTCCGATTGAGTTTGGACCGGGTAGATAGGGTTGGGCCGGTTGTTGTGTAACAACGTGGTTGGTTGCGCGGGCTGTTTCTGGTGGAGGCGAGTGGAGGGCCGTGGAGGAGTGTGTCTCCATCGATTGGCGTCAAGGCGTCCAGTTGGGACGGCCGTTCTGCCGCTCGCCGAGAGCAGTCATAAGGTCCTCCTCGGTACTGAGGGGTGTGTGGAGTTGATGACGAGGAGAATGTGTTTCTAGTTATAGCGTCATAGTTGACTAAGCGAGAATTGTATCGTGAGAATGATCTGTTGAGCGCCAACAATACCCTTTTGCGTAATTTCGAATCTAGACAAACCTTTCTCCTTTCCCCTCTTTCCTCCTCCCGTTCGCCTCCTTGGCGGACGCTACGGATGTGCAAGCCTGCAAGGACAAGGGATCTTGGTCTAGCGCAAGCGAAGTGGTTCGTGGGACCGCTGTCAAACCCGTCCGTGACTACGTTTAGCTTTCGCCAGCCAGTAAGTGGCCGTTCTAAACGACGATGACGGTTGAGAGCGGGGCAGCCTGGCCCGTTCTCCATCGGCGAGAGTCCATATTTGACCAGCTGTTCCCACCAAGTCAAAAGGAGCAGTCCCTGGAAACGGGAACGGGAGATAGTTAGGGCCGTTTAACGGTAGCGCTTCCTCTTTGAGAGTGGCATACCGGTATAACCTCGGTGTTGGCTACATGGGCGTCTTATTCTCCGTGTGGAGTACAGGATACATCATATGGAGACACGGCATATTAATAGGTAAAGGAGATATTCCGATGCTTGATAGATGGGCCAGTATATTCTGTATAGGAATTTCGACATTCGATGTACAGATTTTGATACTAAGTTCTGTATAGTATGATGATTCCATGGTATTATTATGCTGCAAGTACTGTGCACTGCCGCATCTACATACCTCCGGAGTAACCCTACCGCTAGTCCAAAGGACCAGGATGCTGTCATTCTCAGACTGACACAATAAGCAAAAGAGGAAGAGGCAAAAAACGGCTTCAACGGGTGGAACCAAGCTGAAGCTGGCAGTCCATCGTCCCGTCCCTACTGTTCCTGTGTTGCTCCAGCTATGTAGCTGAGCTCGAAAGAGAGATGTATTTACCATCCTACCAGCGTGCTAGAGTTGACTTCTCGTTAGTAGTGCACCCAGCTTTAACCTTCAGTCCTCTGAGTAGCTCTTTCATCAATCCATCATCAGTGTAAGATAGTGCTGCCCGTGTTATTGATGATATGTAGGAATATCCCAAAGAAGACTAGCGTATACCAAACGGTTTCCCACCGA